GGGGGCTCGGCGGGCCCGAGGGCGGCGGAGGCCTGCGCCGCGCCAGGCCACGGCGGGAGGGCAGATAGACGCAGCGTCGCGCGGTGGCGGCGCACCGCGTGCACACGGGCGTCACGCCGTCGCACTTGAGATGGCTGCGGCGACACGTGAAGCACGCGAGCGATATTTGCGGCCGCCGTCGCGGCGGAGTCCCGAGTGAATCCTCTTCAGACATGAGCGCTACGGCTGCACCACGTGGTCCAACACCGCCGCCTCGCTTCGTGCTGCTGCAGGTGGGTGGCGGAGCACAACGGCGAGACGTTGGGAGTCCGCCCGCCAAGCCCGATGCACTGACGCAGACGTGAAACTCTGAAGCAGCAAGACGCCGCCCCTGGATAGCGTTTGGTCGTTTCTACATACTCGACCAGACTGCGATCCAAGAAAGGCACGCCTACGATATGTCGCTGCTCTGCACAATCGTTGCAAACGCATCGCCCAGTTCGACCATGACATTCTTCGTCACTTCAGCCCCCGACGCCCCCGGGATGTCGCGGTCACCACAGCCATCTTCCGCCACCAGCACCTCGTAGCCCAAGCGTGCTGCATCGCGGGCGGTTGTCGACACGCAGACGTGTGCCTGTCATCGAACGTCAGCTCCTGAGGCGCGAGCGTCTGGATGGCGGACACCCACCATGTATCCCGTCAACACGAGCTTGGCCTCTCCGTTGCCGCCGAGGTACTCGTGCAGTCCCGTGTCTGCAAACGCGCTCGGGTGCTGCTTTTGAATCACCTTCTCCCCAGACTTCGCCTGAAGCTCCTCGAACTCCTCCGCGAGCTTCGTGTCGGGCGTGAAGATGGGGGCCCCGGCAGGCACCTTGTGTACGACGTGCACGACTCTGCCCCCGCCGCCACGATACTTTTCCAGCAGCGAGGCGATGACCCTGCGACTCTCACGCACGTTAGTCACTTGGAGCTGACCTTCCGCGTATTCGTTCTGCGCATCGATGATGACGAGTGTGCTGTCGTGGGGCGATGCTGTAGATGGTGTGACCCCGAGCATCTGACGAAATGACACCGCCATGATTGTTGAGCTGCTGGCAAAGGTATGGCTTGCTGGAGTGACAGAGACAACGAGGAAGACTGAGACGGCGCGCCCTTTTCGCAGCCATTGTCTGCTCACATATATGGAAGGTGCGTACCCTTACTGCAAACTCTCAGTCCCCGAACCCCGACCTGATTCGGAAACCTGAGACACTAAGCAACAAAGAATGGCACCATCAGTGGGGATTTCAGAAGTCCGGCCAGCTGTACAGAACACGGTAGATCTTAACTCACGAGATCCACGCGGAACCTACTTGCCTTTGCCCATGGGCTCACAGGCGAGGAAACCTCACCAAATCATGCATACTCAAGTGGGGCAGAATACTCTGCATCAGGCAAGAGGAAAAGTAGGCTATACCCTGGCGCGCATGACTAACAAACAATACTTTTCCCAGCTCCCCATATCCTAGTCATCGACATCACACCGCGAGTCGCAGTACGAAGCAGTGCGAACCATCACACACTTCTTCATGCACAACAGCCGCGGCCAGCAGCTGATGTCAGGCGACAATAACACGAAACATTAACATCAACATCGGCAAAATCCAAGGCCAAGTTCAGCTCAGGTTCCATCAAGACCGCCTCTTCAACTTTGCCCGCTCGTATCAACGTTTCGTGTAGTCCATGCAAACCCCAAACATTGTTCAGCTTCGCCTTGCGGCGAGGAAAACCCTCGGCGAGTCCAAGGTCCTCCCGGTATGCCCGTTCGGCTTCTTCAATGCGGCCCTGTTCGAGAAGAAGGCCGCCTAGCGCATGCCGTACTGGCTGCATCCAGGGCGGTGGGTCGGAGTATGCCAGGTTGTCTTCCCGCCGAGCAGCTTCCCGCAAAGTTGCAAATGCCGCATCGAAGTTTCCTTTGCGGTACTCGAGCTCGCCCGCAAGCATTGCAGAGGCGACTCCAAGGATATCATTCTGCCGGACTGGAGGGCTATTTAGGCGACCTGCTGGGACCATAGATCGAGCGACTTCGAACTTTCGCTGTGATTCTTCTGCTTCCTCGATGCGGCTCAGTGCGCTGAATGCAATGCCTTTTGCGTAGTGGATTACTGCAGTCGTCGCACTGTACAGATACGGGACTGTAGGAAGCTCCAAGCGAAGAATGTCTTCCCAGCGCCCAAATCGAATCAGCACGTGAGCTCTGCTACCAAGTTGTGCTTCGACCCAGTTCGCCATGTTCAGCTTCGTCGTTGTCAAGAGTTCACGCGTAATGATTTGTTCCAATTTGTTCGCCGCTGCAAGAGAGTCCTGAAGCCGACCGCTCATCATGGCGGAGTAGAGCTTTGCCGAGACGTAGTGAACGCGGTAGACTTGGTAGAAAATTGGGCCATTCGTCATGGCAAAATACTTGTCATCAGCCATTATGGCTTGCTCATTTGAGTCTATGGCCCGACGATAGTCCCCAATTGCGGCGTCAATATGCGTTGGCATGTGCAGCATATGAGAGGCCTCAGGGATCATGCCGCGAAGCCGATTGGCCGCAGGCAGTGCCAGCTCCGGAAAGGGCGACATCTCCAGCAGATGAATGTAAAGATGACAATGAGCGGGATGGTTGATGCCTTTGACGGAGTCGAATGCCCCTTCGATGACCCGGCGCGCTTCCAACACATGATCACCTGTAGGCTCGCCAGTGTCCAGATTCCATAGGCCACGAGGAGTCATGCACATCAGTGCTTCCGCGAACAAAGCGGCGACGTCCACATCGTCGGGGCAGCCCTGGTAGATGGGCCGCATGGCATCGGCGTACGCACGATCGAAGCATGCAAAGTCGTCCAGAGTCTCATCAGTGGGCGGGAACCGAGCAGTGAGGGCAAGTATCAGTCCCTGCTCTGCAAATGTGGCATTTCCGGCCAACTGCAATGCACGAGCCATCGCCTCCTTGGCTTTCCTTGTGGATAAGAGGCGGTCTTCTTCGTCGAACAGGCTCCAGGCCTGCAGGTATCAGCATTTCTCTCTTAACGGCGATGCTTTGAGTGAGAGAGCATTTCTTCCCAACCTTGTTGTAGTTTGGTCCGATCGAATATGCAATGCCCCAGTACGCCATGGCGCACGAAGGATCCGCTTCGGCTGCTCGCTCGAAGCATCTCAGTGCTTCTTCATGATTGAAGGAGCATGCCCAGATGAACCCTCGATTGGCCCATAACTGTGCGTGTTTCGATTCAGAGGTCACGAGCCACTGATAGCTGCCGATATCGAAGTAGGGTTCCGGAGTTTCGAAACTTGCTCGTCTATCACCCAATGAGTTTCGTCGTGTCTCCTGCCGATGTGAAGATGTGCAACTTACGCCATGGCTGAAATGTGCTCAGTAGGGATGCAGAAAAATGCTCATTGGCATCACAAGTGGATTGTCGGAGCTGGGCCGGGCGGAGAGATCCTTTAGAAGGCAACTACTTCAAAGTTTCGAGTCCCCCCGCAGCACCTCTTTGAGACATCCTGGAGAAGTTGGCACTGCCATCCGGGCAAAGTGTAGTCGTGCGAAGCTGGAGAGAATGGACCAATTACGGCCAGGGCGTGGGTCTTGCTTTGATCAGCAAAGTTCAGAGACCCCGATGACCCCGAAGACCCCGTTCTTCTGCTGAGAAGAATCTACTAGTCCGCATCTCACTGCGGCCTTTTCAGCACTGGAGTTTATGCCACCAGCTTCCCCGAAACGATGCCGTTGCCGCACACATGGGTCACTCTTCCTAGTACGTCGATGGAATTCCTTGTATCAAATGTATTCATACGCGGCCTCGGAATCGAGGACGGTAGGGGAAAATTGAGGAAACGAGAAAGGCTGTCCCGTCCCGGATCGTGGCTTCCTTCGAGATCAGGCAATATTCGTACCCGCAAGCCGTTCGCTGCATGTTGAACTGCAAGGCCTTTCCGATCGCACCCATCGACCATGGCACCCAAACTGAGTGTTACCCATATCGGCACAGCGACTGCAATCCTCGAAATCAATGGAGTGAAGCTGATCACCGACCCTTTCTTTTCACCAGCAGGCACGCGTTTCCCAATAACGGACGACTTCGCTCTCGTTGTACATCAAAACCCCGCATTGTGCCTCGACCAGCTTCCCGTCATTGATGCTGTTCTCCTGAGTCATGAGGACCATCCGGATAACCTTGACGACCTCGGCCGTCAGCTCCTAGACGGCCGGCTGGTGTTCACCACCATAGACGGCGCGAAGAAGCTCTCACCTCGCCCTACTGTGCACGGGTTCGAACCCTGGCAGACGTTAAAACGAGTGCGCATCGCAGGGAAACTTTTCCAGATCATTGCCACGCCGGCCAAGCACAAAGATGGCGACGAATGCACTGGTTTCCTCATCACAGGCGTCGAGGGGTACGAGGACTGCGGTAACTCCTTTGGTTTCAGTGCTTCTGGTCTCCCGAATGCGATCTACTTCAGTGGCGATACGGTGTATATTCCCGAGCTGAAACGCATCGCTGAGCAGTACCATGTTTGCGCTGCCATCATGAACCTTGGCGATGCGCAGGTGTTGCATGATATTGAGGATCCGGAGTCGGGGACGTACCAGATCACGATGGATGGGAAGTCTGCGGCCAGGTTGTTTCGTGATCTCAAGGCGGATTGTCTGATTCCGATGCATTATGAGGCTTGGGATCATTTTACTGAGGATGGGTATAAGCTGAAGAAGGCTTTTGAGGACGAGGGTATTGCGGATAAGGTGAAGTGGCTGGATCCTGGGAGGCCCGTTGCTATCTTGTAAATGGCTTCAGCCCTGTCAGATTAGTTCGTGACATGTTGGAGTCGCTGAGTAGTTTGTCCTCAGAGCATTGTTCCTGCCGCACGTGGCATCCGGGCTTGTCTCGATCAACGGCGGCCTCATGGGAGATTCATGCCGCATCACCTGCTCAAGTAAGCAGGATAGAGCATAGAATGGTGATGAGAACAGCTCGTCCAGGCCACGATTCGCTTCCAGCGTATCAACGGACATTTGTCCAGATGGCCAAAGGGCTGATGGTGCTCTGTGTACGAATCAAGCCCGGGGATCAAGCACCAAAGTCCCGTCCATACTCCAATGCTCGGATAAGCTTCTCGTGTGCCGTACTTTCGTATGCATCTGGAGTATCGAGGGTGTGTTGAAAAGGTCTTGTACATAATTTACACTTTCTTGGCACTGCAGGGAGCGGTGTCCTTGCGACGCGCCTCTTCTCGCGTCTTTCTTTCCTTCCACCACATCCAGAAGACACGACTTTCCTGCTAGCACTGTAGCACAGCATGACGGCCGAACGGAGCAATCGCTGCGTACTGGACATAGCCGAGATAATGCTCTCTTCGTCCGTGCGACTGACATCACCATCTCGCCATTTCTCTCACTGCCGGCATGCCGTATCCGCACAATCCCGCAGAGCAGCATCGACCGCAAATTACCCGGCTGGCTGCTCTTGAGCATTGTGGACCTCATGCGACACGGTACGAAGCTGCCACAGACATCATACGTCTGTTGGAAACTGGTAAGTGAGCTTCTTTCTTCCTCTCCTTCGCCTACTTTCACTTCAAAGCAACACACCCATTCAGTCTGCTCGCCCGCAATGGCAGCTTCCGCGTTGCTCAAGAGCAGAGTCCGAAGACCGTCTTATCTGAGCAAGCTCGCCAAAGCTGAGGATCTAATTGACCTGTTCCCGCACAATTCTTACATAGGGTTTGTTTCTACCTTTCCTCGGACATCACCTGCTGTGCTGACTCCCGCCCCATATGGTCTGGCTTCACGGGTGTGGGCTATCCCAAAAAGGTCCCGACTGCATTGGCCGAGCATGTCGAGAAGAACAAATTGCAGGGCAAGCTCAAATACAACCTCTTCGTTGGAGCTTCCAGTGGAGCAGAGACGGAGAACAGATGGGCTCGCAACAATATGATTGAGCGGAGAGCTCCGCATCAGGTGGGTAAAGAGATCGCAAAAGGCATCAACAATGGCAACATCAACTTCTTCGACAAGCACTTGTCCATGTTTCCGGTGGACCTGATGTATGGCTATTACACAAAGCACAAGGAGAACAACAGGTTGGACGTGGCCATCGTGGAAGCTTCGGCAATCACAGAAGATGGCGGCATTATTCCTGGAGCTTCAGTGGGTGCCTCTCCTGAGATCATACAAATGGCCGATAAGATTGTCATTGAGGTCAATACGGCATCGCCAAATCTTGAAGGCCTCCACGACATTACCATGACAGATTTGCCGCCGAGGAGGAAGCCGTACCTGGTCATGTCTCCGGAAGATCGTATCGGCACCCCGCACATTCCCGTTGATCCTGAGCGCGTTGTGGCTATCGTGGAGTCGGATTATGCGGATCAGACGCAACCCAATGCTCCAGAGGACGACAATTCAAAAGCTATCGCACACCATTTGATCGAATTCCTCAAGCATGAGGTCAATCATGGACGACTTCCGCAGAATCTGTTGCCCATCCAGTCCGGAATCGGCAACATCGCAAATGCGGTAGTGGGTGGGCTGGCAAGTGGAGGAGCGGATTTCAAGAACCTGAAAGTCTGGACGGAAGTGCTTCAGGATTCGTTCTTAGACCTCTTCGATTCCGGAAACCTGGACTTTGCGACTGCGACCTCGATTCGATTTTCCCCAGACGGCTTCCACCGCTTCTACGAGCGATACCAGGACTATGCACCCAAGCTTCTGTTGCGAAGCCAGCAAGTGTCGAACTCGCCTGAGATTATCCGCAGACTGGGTGTCATTGGCATGAACACCCCTGTGGAGGTGGACATTTACGCTCACGCGAATTCCACTTGTGTCATGGGCTCCCGTATGCTGAACGGACTGGGTGGCAGCGCCGATTTCCTTCGATCATCAAAATACTCCATCATGCACACTCCTTCCACGCGACCTTCGAAGACCGATCCCACAGGCGTCAGCTGCATTGTACCGATGTGCACGCACGTTGACCAGACCGAGCACGACCTCGACGTGATTGTAACAGAGCAAGGTTTTGCAGATGTCCGAGGCATGTCACCCAAAGAAAGAGCTAGGGAGATCATCAAGAAGTGTGCACACCCTGATTACTACCCGATTCTCAAGGACTACTTCGACAAGGCGGAATTTGAATGCTTGAAAAAGGGCTGGGGACATGAGCCGCACTTGTTGTGGAACGCTTTTGATATGCATAAGCATTTGAATGAGCATGGGACGATGAAGCTGCCGAAATGGAAGGATTAGTTTGAAATAAGGTGGAGTGTGTGCAATGGGATGTGGGACAATAGAGGTACGCAGACCTCCCACATGAATCGTGGAGCGGGACAAGAATCGGACCAGCAAACCGAAGTTACACAGAATTCACGATAAGTCGTTCAAAAGCTTTGCTACAACTTCTGCTGACAAGCCAAGTTTCCATGCCATGACTTGGCTGACTAGCGTAAGAAACCACCTTTTTCAAAACGTGTCTCATAGAGAAGCTCAAATTCATGCCGATCATAACTTTTCCATCGGAGCCTGTTCCCTTCATGCCTGTCGTAAACTCATGGCCACTGGCTGCCTGCATCACTTCATCTCCGCCCAAGGCTTCAGCTCATCAACAACTCTGGCCCACAATCCGCCATGCCACGTCCTCACGTGCGCCCAGTCTTCCTCCGGCATACTCGCCTCGAACATCTTCAGCCAGGCACCAATAATGAAGTCCGCATACACAGGATCCTGGCCATCGAGGAACGGCTTGGCAGTTCTGCCCCTCTGTTTCTGGGCCGCATTGGTACCCTTCGGAAGCCAAAAATAATCCGTCGTACCGCCTTCGTGACGATACGCTTTTGAGAGCTCACCCAATGCTGCTTCGAAGGAAACGATCATGGCTTCGCGTTGCTCGGAGGTGATGGACATGTCTTTCCCCATTTTCGCTGCGCGCTCGGCGAACATTGCGCCTACTTTTTCGGCTACGCTGGGGTCGAAGGGCATTTTGCTGCAAAGAATGGCGTATTTGGTGAAGATTCCATCGATGTGGGCGTTGTGAGCTGCCACGAGGCCGATGGTGTCTGGACGAAAGAGGTTCTTGCCTTCTCTGGAGGGGTAGGTGATGTCCAGATATTGTGCGATTTCGAATGTGTCGCCGATGAGTTTGCCGGTGGATTTGTCTTCGATTACTGGCAAGGTGTGGTAGGGAGTGCCGTCGGCGTTGGTGCGATTGGCTGGTACGCCGAGCTTCTCACGCACGGAGGCAATGTCGGGCATTTGAACCCATTGGGTTTTGTAGGGGACGCCTTTGTAGTTGAGGGCCAAGCGGATTTTCCACGGGTTTGCGGCGAAGGTGCGGGAGGGTGGAGCGGAGGCGATGTCGTAGAATGTGATGAGGGGTTCTTCGGAAGACATTTTTGTGGTTGTTGGTGGTTTGTTGGCAGGAAAGAGGGCGAGGCGGTCTCGTTTTGGAGGTTGCTGTCGTCTTGGCGAAGGATTGCTGTTGTGGAGCCGAATGCGAGACGAGCTGCACCACCTCGGATCCTGTTCTTGCTGTTTTGCAACATGTGCAGCTTCAGCTTCAGCTCCATCTGCGAGGGGAGCGGGATGCGAGAAGACTCTCTGCATTTCAAGTCTGCTCTCCGACATGATACGAATCGGCCAGGCGACGTTGCACTCATCGTCTCTTCCGGAAGTCGACAACATTGCTCCTCACCGAAAGCTGTGGTCTCGCAACCTCACCTCGTGGCAACTCTCGTGCGCTTTCTGGCGGCATGCAGAGACTCCTTCTCAGCCATGCTGAACTGGCTGCTATAATTAGCGTCGTATTGCACAACTGTCGGCTCGAGCCCTGACGATTCCGCCTGGGCACGTTACTTACTCATAGTCTGCACAAACGCCGATGCTCGGGCGGAAAAGGCTTCTGGACATACACAGCTGATTTGGAATCAGATGAAGAGCTCTGGGCGGCATAAAATTGCCTACATCAGAGCAGAAAATGTCCGGCAGCTCGAGCCTCACTTCCGAACGCCACATGCTTATCATCCAGGAAGCTGAGCTCGATTTTCGTCCGAGCCATTGGTCATGCGAGTGGCTGCAAGCGGAGGGCTATGCGTGGGCTACCCCAACATGCGAGCTCCGGGACTTCGCTACTCTTGCGTACTGACAGACCGCTACAGCAGTCAGCGGTCTTCCGGACGAAGATCTGGTCGACGGCGAGGCAATACGGTAAGCTGGGTTTGACTGGACTGCATGAGACGGCGAGGGAAACCTTCGGGAGGTGGAGAAATGCAGCTACGATTGTAACCTGAACTTGGAGTCCTGGTCGCAAGCATTGCGGGAGACGAATCACTTGCAATACCTTTGGCTTCTGTATGGGTTCCGGAATGCTTCGAGGACATGGCCCAGTATGGCGTGTTTTGATTGCAAACTTGGTCTTGCTAGCGTATCTTGAGCAGCGTCGGCTCTGAAGCTTTGATGAGGTCCTTCCACAGCATTGAAATGTTTTGAAGAGCAGCGTGAGTTGGACCACGCATTCTTGCTTCGCTTGAAGCCGCCGAAAGCCATTTGACAGGTATGAGAACCGCAAGGCAGAGTCACATAGCGTATGCCAGCGAGGGAGCGAGGTAGCTCCCATGAAGTTGCCCAACCAACGTCTGTATGCTATGTATCGAGGCTAGCGCCCGCAAGAAGTCTACTCTTTGCATCCTCAACCATCCAGTACCTAGAATTCCCAGAGTCGGATTTTGATCGACAGTATGGATACCAGAAGCGGTTTATGCGCATGCTTGGGTCACATCTGCGCATTCCTATTCGGGTAACATTGAGATCTCTCGACTCTGGTTCATGACCGCACATGAACGCTGGACACGATCGTGGCCCAGAGAAGAGTCCATTCTCGTGCCCTCATCCACTCAACTAATTGCGGTTGATGAGTGCATGAACACTTATTGGTCAAGTAGTTCCATGGTTGCTCAGATTGTTGACTTATTCCATGTTGCTAGCAGTCCCCAAAAATTGCAGAACCGATTAAAGGAACGGCTGAATAATGAGAGAATGGTAGTCGCATGCAGCGGTACCACTCGTTTCTTTGGAAGGATCCATACTGGACCTCTTGGCAGCTGACGATGAGCAATCTATATAATCGCCAATCTCCCACGTAGAACAATGCTCGCCATCACATCTTCCCACCGCCTGTCCTTCATTTGCAGCTTTCACCACTCACACTCCAATCAAGCAACACAACAAACTTCCATCTCAAGATGAAGACCTACATCTCCCTCGTTGCCATCGCTGGCATGCTCTCTGCAGCACAGGCTTGCACTGTCCAAGTCAGACATGGGGTCGTCAACAGTGGTCGTCAGCCTGGACTTACTCAAGCAAACTGTGGTGCTTCATGCGGCAGCGTAAGTAAAGCCCCTAAGGCGTACCACGATTGGTCCTGATTTTCCTCTTTGATCTAGCAATTCGAGGCCGACGCCACTGCCCATGTAAACGGCGTAGATCGTGGATTCGAGTCTTTCTTTTCCGCAAGCACCTACTTGTAAGCTTTTCCTGTCCGCAGAGGGCGCTTTTCCGCGATACTGACTCCCTTTTCAGCTATGATTCCATGGATCCGTACTCATCGACCGGGGAATACTGGCTTTGCTCGCCGGAGTTCGCTCAGAAATACGACTGCTATGTCTATTACGACGCTCAAGAGGGCAGCGGCCCACAACGCATCTGCTAGACGCTGGGGTCCAGATCGATTGTCATCATTATTGTACGGCAATTGATGTACTGGAAGGCTGCGACGACCTGTTGCAGGTATGGTAGCAGATCTTCATGTAAAGTTCGAGTAATTAGGCGCTTATTAGCGTTGCACTCTGAGCACAGCGTGCCCAAGCCCGATTTGGCCTCTTGAAGCACGTCAAGAACACACTACAGGATGCAAATTAGACCTCACTCTCCATCGATCTGTAGCGTTTGTAAGCAGTGGAACCAGGTTGCAATGGAGACAAGTATAAGAAGGTTTCGATTCTCTACTTCGACTGGCGTAAGCGGAAACGTAACACTGACTAGGCACATGGGCATCTTCGCTCTTCTCTTTCCTGTTTTCGCACCACGGGCTCTTTTACGGGCCAAAGCCCAAAGGAAGTGCCTCACGAGTCGGCCTTGCATCGTCTCAAATTTTCCTCGAGCCTTGAGGAGGACAATGGCCTAGCGCTGACGCTCCTTATCCTTCCCAAAGACCTCCGTTATCGCTGCTGAAAGTCTTGTTGGTAAGACTAAGCTCGACGCCTGAGTAGTCACGAATACCGAGGAAGCACTCATCGCCAATACACTCGACGGCCTGTGCAGTCTCTGTGCAGTCTCCCCTAGTCCAATGAAGACCGAAGAAGAAATTTCTGCGCTCATACGCATGAAGAAACCCGCAAAGCGGTGATCTCCAGTGGCGATACACCAAGCCCATGATTTTATGCGGTTGTCGTCTTTTCTGCAATGCCTTTGGCCCCAGCTTCCACATTGGTATGCTCGAGTCACTACTCGCTGCATCATATTTCTCTTATTATGGACGCCAGTCACCGTCGATGCCATACCAACCTTCATGGCGCTCCCGCGGATCTGATCCGTCCACCTCCGAATTCGTGTAATCGATGAACTCCAAGCCATCCGTCAGGTTGCTCGTGTGAGATTGCAGTCACTACGGCAATCAAGGCCAGCTCACCGGCACCTCGCCTGCGAACGTTTTCAGATTTCTTGTTATCGCAAACCGAGCATGCCTTACGTGCCAATATGGACATTGCAAATCAACGAATCTTCGTATTGAAAAACAATCCTAGGATGACGGCACCTTCTTCGCAGGCTACACTGCTCTCATGGATGCGAGCAGAAAGCAGAATGAGCTCTCAAGCACTCCAGCTGGCTGGAAACGCATACTATACGCGTGGTCCTCAAAGAAGATCCGTAATCAAGTCTTTTATTCGACGATCAAGGCGAGACTTTCTCTGGCCTTTGGTCAAACCCGTCATACATATACGCCCGACCACACCGGAGCCCGGTCCAAAGGAACGCGAAGACTGGCGAAATATCCTCGAGCTTATCCACAACTGGTCTCAATTCATTAAGGTCAGCGAACAACGAGCTCGAATGCACGCTCGTGCAGAGATGTACGAACTTTTGCGTGGAACTTCTGGGCGTTATATAGGTCGTTGGGGTTGTACTTCTTTATTATTCATGCCTGGTCGCCCTTGCCTGGCCCTTTCTCGACCATGGGATCGAGGTTTTTGGCAGCCTTCGTGTGCAGATTGGGGAACAGCGCTTACGGACTGAATGCGAGCTATCCACGCTGGGATCCGTAATGTCAAGCTGAGGGCATCCGGGCTCGCTCCGAAAGAAGATCATGCTTGACTGGGAAAAGTTGTTTTCGCGGGAAGTGAGTTCATCCGGAAGCTGCGTAGTCAATGGGAGGACATTTCATGACTGGCACGACTATGCTCCCTGTTCGCTTAATGCGGGCAAACATAGTTTCGGCGAGCCCCCGGCAAAATATCCAGTGCTTTCAGCACCTATTGTGAATCGACTGGATCATGGCGCTGTATACCGATGAGAAACTGTGCTCCAGCGTCGTGGCGCGCCGTTGTGACATATCACCGGCCACCAAGTTTGCATCTCTCTATAAAACCCAAGGCCGTTGCGGGATGGCACAGCTTAATTCAACGAAAAACTGATTGAGCAAAAGATCTTATGTCGATAGAAGTCTTTTCTGTACCTGTAAAACAGCATCTCTTCCCTTCTCAAAAACAACAAATCACACAATTCCACATCTCGCACACCTCCTATCTCCACACGATCCTACTTAACCTTCGAACAATCCACAACCCACTCCCCCAAATCATACCTCTTAATCAACACACTAAACCCCTTCGCAACCACATTCCTACAAATCCCTCTCTGAACCGCCAAACTCGGCGTTCCCTCCACATACTCAATACTAAACACCGCTTTCCCCTTCTGGATAAAAGGCTGATACTTCCCACACTCATCATAATAACTGTCTCCAGCAGTGAGATCCGAATTCCCCTGACACTCCTCCACAACAGCGAAATCGACGTAATCGACAAGTTGAGAAACGATGTCGTCCCCGTTTTTCAGACCGATTGCGAGGTCTTGCGCATGAGCCTCCGCTGCCAAAAATTTAACATAATCCACCGCATCAGCCTGCGTAAGTCCAAATCCTCCACCAGAATGTAAATAAGCATCAATATTATCCGGATCAATCGCATCACAACCCCTCTTTTTCGCTTCTGCGATCCGAGATTTCATAATATTTCTTATACCCGTAGCTTTCGTGTTGACCCATCGTTCACCGGGCCAGCCATCGAGACTGGAGCCGAGGTTTTGGGGTTGGGAAGTAAAATTCGAGGCGTCGGGACGCCAGTCTTCGAATTGGGTGCTGAAGTAGCAGATTGTTCTTATGGAGTTGCGTTTGTAGAGGGACCAGGTTGAGGGGGGGTTGTCGAAGAGGTCGGAGTCGATGATGGAGTAGTTTGAAGAAGAGGGGGGAGGGGAGGTGCGGAGGGTGGAGGAGAGGATGATTTGCCAGGTTGGCGTTGGGGTGGGTTTCCACCAGGCGTGGGTTGGGGTGGAGAGGAGGAGGGGGAGGAGGAGGGAGAGGGTGTGCATTGTTGAAGTTGGTCGTGTTGGGTTGGTTCGTGCAATTGCTGATGAGGACCACGTCGGAGAAGTTCAATGAGTCTTTATACTCTCTTCTTCCACCTTCAGCTCTTGCCTACGAATGATCTTGAGAACTCGGATGTCGCCTCTGATGTCCACTGTGCCGTTCGAGTGTCCACGACCTCTTTGTCCTTCGTGTAACCCAACGTTGTACGGAATCCTGAAGGATTGCACTAGTGTTCTTGGCTATACTGCAGGTCACACCATATCCACATTCAAAGCTCCGAAAAGAGCTCTTCTTTTGCTGGGCACAGGTCTTATTGTGCCGATTGGCAGGAACGGTGTGCCGTTCGCTCCACCATGATGCCTCCGAAGCTCATATTAAGCCGAAGGGTCTCTTTCCTGGGTCTCAGAGGCGAGAATGTCCTTTAGTGCTATAGGGCAAAGCTACAATCTTTGTTTGAAGGTCGAAGGAATTGTGGGATGAATCAGTGGCGATGCAAATGCCTCTTGCGTGAGTAGTCAAGTCCGCGCAAGTATGCTTCACGAAAACAGATCCCCAGGTGGGGAATTGTTCTTCCGCACTGTGCGCAGGTACGATCTTCGCTTGACCTGTCGTACCAACTTGCACTCGCTTTGTCGTCGATCTGCGTCGTGGCTGCGTGGCTGATCTAGCCCTCGTGGCAATTTTCGGCGGAGCTGAGACATTTCCGCACATCTTGCACGCTGCCACACAGACGCGAAATCGTGAAGTTCAGCTGGCATGCTTCAGGATGCGGATAGGGCATGCGCGATGCTTGAGGATCACCTGTCTGCTCGTGACTTTGAAGATGGTATGAGGTGAGGTCGGGTTCGGATACCCGTGAAAGCTAACGACGCCGTTTTGCGTACACGCGAAAAACGTGGCTCCAAAGCAGGCAGAGGATCATGGGGCTGTGACCGGAAAAGACGAAGTCGTCAATGCTGGAGACCTATTTTCTCCTATGATTTCGCTCTACTCGCCCGACTCTTCCTCGTCACCACCTTCCATCCCATGCCCCATTTCCCAGCTTTCTCCCCTTCCCATCCAACCTCCCCACCCCTCTCAGACTCAAATAAACATCCGTTCCCCAACCCCACAAACTCTGCACCGCAATTCCACCACCAAAATACTCAGCATAAGCCCTGCCCAGTGGTAAGCCATACCCCAACCCCGCCAAGCTTGACCCTCCAGCAGGCCCTCCACTAATCGTATCCAGTCCCGAACTGCCTCCACCAACACTAATCTTATCCATCATCTCATCCTCGTTGAACGTCGTAAAACCATATTCCCATAATTTGTCCAGGTTCTCTGGAGAAATACCACCACCTCGATCTCGGATTCGGATTGTCACGCCGGGAGTAGCTTGATCCAGAGGTCTGATGTTCTCTGACATTGCGAGATCTGGTTTATTGGATTCGGAAGCGTAATCGACATTTCCTTGGTCGTAGTTGCTGATCCCTGGCTTTTCTCCTGTGTGAGCATCCGCGTCGTGCTTTGTCTTCGACTTCATCTGCTCCGTCTGTGTCTCGGCAGCAGGAGCGGGAGCAATCGTGACCTCTATGGGCTCCTTTTCCATGCCTGCTTCGATTGTTGCACGGAAGCTGTTTTTCAGGAGTTCGGTGAGGATGTACTCCAAATGCATAGGGATGTGTGCGATTGTGGTTTCTGGGTCGCCGATAATGTTGATCGTGGGACGAACGCCGTATTTGAGCTCGCAGATCTCGCCCACCATGTGTTCGCAGCCCACGATGATGTCTGCTGGTTTCAATGCTGTATCTATCACGCCAATATATGTCGACTCTTGCTGGTCCTGCGGGTGTGGGTTGTCGGAGAGCTCGGCGTGGGGTTGGGAGCTGAAGTGGAGGGCGATATGCTGCTCTGCTATGAGACGGGTGCCGATTCGAGCTCGGAGGTGTTCGTCGAGGAAGCGGGTGATGTCGTCTTTGTTGATGTATTTCCTCGCCTCGAGGAAGCCACGAGCGAGGATAGCTATGGTGTTGCTGTGCGTCTGGACCAAATTGGCCATGACTTCTGTAAAGGTGACCTCCTCTTCCAAGCACTCAATCCTCCTCTCCGCGTATGGCAGCAGCGTCGACAGTGAGTGGACATAGTTGTTGTGAATTTTGCTGACATTGGGATTGGCTACGACAATGTAGGGCAGAGATCGCAAGCTCTGGATGCGATGTGCCAGGCGCGAAGGCAGGATGGAGAGGGTGAAGTTGGCATTATTGAGCAGAGCCTCTTTCGACAGCGGAGGACGGCCATTCTTGCACAGATCGGCGAGGGTGAGAGGGTGGAGGGGTGTAGCAGCCAGACGGGCGATATCATCATCCGTCACCGTCTTGGTCTGCAGGTGTCGCGTGCCTCGGATTCGGCGGGGGTTGTTGAAGCCATGCTGCCTTGCTATGGCTCTGCGGCAGAGCATAGCAAGGGACGTGTTGGGCTGTTATCGTGGGAGCATGGGAGGTACATGTATTTGTCTGCCGGCACGACAGTCGGTGAAGCGTGAGGTGCAGCGTAGAGGCTGAAGTGGCACTGTGCGACAACGGAATGGCAACGATGACTTCAGCGAAAGCACCGAGTTGACCCTTTCGCGTGCATGAACATGGACGACTTTCCCGGCATGAGCACGAGCACTCTTGCCCGTTTTGCACGACGAAAACAATGGCTCTGGACGATGCAGCAGCCGGCGTGGGACTTATTCTAGACGAGTTCTCGAAGCCGCCATCGCCGCCTGTCCCTGCAGCGAGGAGCGACGAACATCGGCATTGGCACTCGCCTTTTGCAGAACACGCCGGGATGACAGTCGAGAATGACAGACGGGCTTATCAGGAGAGGAAGAGGCTAGTTACTGTATGCGTGAGATCGAAGTGGATCGGTCGCTCGAGCACACCTTTTCTTTTGTCGCGAGCTCGCTTGATGATGAGGCAGATCACGAGGCGACGCGACCAAAAGCACACACGAGCGGGGATGGCGACTTGCGCACGAGTGCTGATTTTCACCCATCCGACGGCGCACGCGACAAAAACTCACAGACAGGCAGCATCGCAGCACTGATCTCACCTCACCATCTGCAACAGTTCGCGTCGGAGCAAAATCCCCACGCGTGTCGAGGGCGAGACAGAGCGGTCGCGACCAAGCGCGTCTCGGGCTAATCTACGTCAACAACCTTGTCGAGTTCACGAGGCCAACATAGCGCCTGCGCCCAGAGCCTCAACCATACCGACTGCGGACTCAGACAAACCACGACCACTGCTCCTTCTGTATACACGTCGTTCCTGCCACAGGAACAGGATCGCTCGCCCAGCATGGAAACCATGACCGCCAACTTCCCTCACCCTCCGCTCGCGGCCGTCTCGCCGTCCACGCACCTTCCGCAGTCGCAATCGCCGTCGCCCCGCGCGCAGAAAGCGACGCGTACAGTGCACACGCAACCCGAGCACTCACAACACCACCACAACCAGCACCACCACCACCACCACCCGACACTGTCCGCTCCTGCCAGTCAAGAATCCATGGTCAGCGTGCAGAGCAGCTACGGCAGTAGCGTACCTCACCTCCAAGGCAGCGAGAGCAACCTGTCCACGCAGACCGATCTGACGTCGCCCTCTTCCTCGCTCGGACTCAAGCACATCCTCACCAATGTCACTCCCGCCTCACACGATGCGACGCAGACTACAACACAAGATATTTACAGACCGAGGAATAAGACTCCCGAAAATGCACGGCACAGCCCGACGCACACGGCCGAGCACGCGTTGTACAGTCCCATGAGCATCACATCGCCCGTCGCGACGAATGGCGCTAAGAGAACTGCGAGTGGTCATGTGAAGAACGCGTCCAGCATCCACACCTCACCATATCGCGTGCAATTCCCGGAACGCGGATCGCGACGGGAGTCTGTCTCGTCTTCTGGCAGCAAAGCCGGCGAAATCGCCGCGACTCTCAAAGCACGCCTCGGATACGCCATGGCAAAGGTGCAGAACGGGTGGGAGCATAAGTCGCTTGCCGAAGTGGAGCAACTCGCAGCACAGCGACACCGCAGTCGGACGAGCGTGTCCCAAATCGATCAGCAACGCCCGGGCACGAGCGGTCTGAGCAATGGCGCGTCGAGACTTTCCATGTACGACCAGTATGGCCGCACCATGCTGGACATGACCGAGGCTCCTCCTTCCAAGCGCACGTCTGGGAACTACTCACAGTATCAGGCTCAGCTGCAATCGCAGCTGCAGCAACATCAGCAGCACTTTGCGTCGCAAAGTACGACGCCGCGATTGCAGCCTGCGCCCGACATTCGACCGACCTCGAGCCAGAGGGGCGGCGCGTACTCGGGGCCTATTCTGCAGCCACTCCCACAGCACGTGAGCAATGCCATGTCTCCTCCGCGGACGCCCATCAGTGCGACGTCCCCTCAGCGGCCTCCAACAATTCGTACCCAGACACAGACTGCCGAGGCCGAGCGAGAAGCACTGCAAGCGCTGTTCCAGCTCGGCTCGCCTCATACTTCTGTCGGACCGCACATCCCTCGGACTGGTACCGCGACGACCAATTCGAGTCAGAGTCAAATGTCGCCCGCCAGGCAGCCCGATCTCACACCCCGACACGCTACATTCGTGCGAAGTGAGAGTGCCAGCACATCATCGAGCAGCGGTCTTGACCCTACCTCCTCTCATGCCTTGCAGGAAAGTCGTACGCGACTGATTGAGCAGCTTGCAGACCAATGACCGTGATGGGTGCAACGATGTTTCCTTTTCGGGAGTTTGGATGCATATCTTATCTCGCCTCACGACCTGCCTCTCTCTGCTATTTCCTTGTACTAGGAAGCATTGTTCGGGAATGTTGCTACGACATGGATGGATGATACCCAGCTCTGCGCGCATTTTCACTTGAAATGTGGTGTTAGTATGGCGGCATTTTGTTGATGAAGCTTGCGAGCGTCAGCATTGTGGATGGAAGCTTTGCACCTGCTTTTCTTGTTTTCTTGTCTTTCTTGAACTCTCCTTTGGCCAGTACACCATGGTCTGGATGGAGCGGTGCTTTGGAGGCGTCGTAGGAGTTGGCATATGGCGTACGCGCCTGATGAGTGCCTTTATAGATCGACTTTCTTGTTTCCCTTCTTCTTGTGCATACCTTGGCGACGGATGGACTGGGCTGGGCTGGACTATGATGATTGTGAATGAAATGACCAGATATCCCCCGATCAAATTTGAGAAACCTTTTCTGCTCTTGACATGCTTCTCCATCTTTCTTGGACTGACATTCTCACTTCATTCTCTAATCTCACTAATGGCACGTCAATCAAGGTCAAAGCCGGTCAATCAGCGTTGACTGGTCTGGAAGTGATGAAATTAATGGTATCGAAGGAGAGTAGTAACTCTGAGCCTCGGATCTTATCATCATCATAAAGGTTTGATTATCGAGGCTGATACTGTCTCGCTTCGAATCGAATCAGAGGATCAAGCAGAACACCGAATTGCTTTTCAATGGCTTTGATATAGGAACCCGCCACGAAGCAAAAATCCCAGAATATTCGATATAGGATGAGGGGATCACAAGGACGAGATTGGCTTATCTATTCTAGTAACAAGCTAGAGTTGTTGTTCAGCAGTTTTGAGGACTTGACACCATGGGATGGGGATGTTGGAGCAGAATCGGACAGGACGAGGGAAAGCATGTTTGAGACCAGGACTTGCATGATGGGGTCTTGATCGCTGCTGGACGTACTGGTCCTCAGATCCTTCGGCAGGCAACGAATGTTGAGGGGAGAGTGGTGAGTTTCGTTGTTGAGTTGCTGATGCCTAGGGAGTTTGAGTGATAAAGGGTTATTAGAAGGCAAGCTTTCGTGCTTCATGGCGCGGGATTGCTGGGAGGTGTTCAATGTACAATGGCTTGCTGATAGGTGGATGAGGCTGAAGATGCCTGAGCAGTGAATGTGCACATACGGTGGTTTGTTTAATGTTGCGGACTTGAAAGCATGTTTGATCCTTCCAGCTGACGCTATCGTCAGTAGACTAACGAGATGATCAGTTAGCATGCAAGATTCACATAGACCGAAGAGCGTCGCAGAGATGTAAATGGATGGCCGAGAAGGAAGACGATTTCTCACGAGAGACTATGTTGAGCTCGTTGAGGGAAAAACACAGAGCCTCCGCCTCTTGCATCTTCGTCAATCGTCTTCGATGCCATTGATCTTGTGCAATTGCCTCAGCATTAATGCTCAATGTGGAGCATGGTATTGTGCTTTCGATAACGCAGACTTGTTGATTTGTCACTAGCTGTGACATGGCAAATCTATCTGCGGATTCAGCCAGCTTGCAAGCTCAATCATCTCACAGCAGAGACAGTCTGGATCTCACATGATGCGTGGAGCAACAATGGAGCTAATCGTTATGTACGTGGGCATTCAGTTGATGATCGAGAATGACATTTGCACTTTGGTGTTACCCAACGTTCGTGAAACTAAGCTTCAGAATCGTTTGATGAGAGCAGTTGCAGTCGCAATCAAGCATCTAGCGAGAGACGCCCACCAAGCTGGCAATGTCATCCTTCTTACGGAGCAGAATATTGCACTTGTATAAGCAAGGATGACTCTCTCGATGACAGAGAAACTTCTTCTCGAGGAGAACAATAGCCATTGCTTGTTTTTCTGGCAGAGCCCATCCAAGACGAGTGATGAGATCGGTGAACGTCCCATCACGGAGATATATATACGGATGTGACGGCCGAAACTTGGTCCAGTTCAATTACATACTATTCGTGCGAAGCGCAGCGAGTCTTGGATGATTCCTTGTCGTCCTGGTAGTGGTAGACAATGTCTTGCCACTTTCGGAGGAGATCCGGCTCTTTACGCCATCTCTGTCGATGCCAGTGCCGGAGCCAATGTAAAGTAGTGGGATGTTGCCAGGTTTGCGAATCTACACAACGTAGATGTCGGACGAAGATGGAATAATCCTTATGCAAAGTTTGGAACGGACAGGGCACGTAGAATCACGGTGAGTGCAACGGAAATTGGGGGTCGCCTTACACTACTTGACGTGGAAGCTCATCTAGGGCACAGACTAGTCTTGGAGTCTTGATGGACCCAATGGTGTATTGATGAAGTGAGTAAGTCACTGCAGACTGATATCTCAAGATGGAGCAGGATGGATTGTCCAAGAGAGGGCAGCATGTAAGCGGTTGGTCGCGCAGTGGCATTTCGAAGGATTCAGGTGTAGAGGCTAATCTTGCTGGTCGTTACGATTGATCTTTGTGCTCAATCTCTGCTTCATATCAACCTCCTTCTACATGTTTACCAGCAGCCATTTGAGAAGGCTGTGTATCTGGTGCCTCGCAGGCTTCTCATATGTATGGAACTGCAGATCATTTCTAGCGGCGAACTAATATTTCGCACACTCACAGAAGAACGAGTGAACACTACTTTTTGTAGCGTGGGGCTCACATTCTAGTAGCTCCTACTAATTTACGGTCAACAAGGAAAGCAAAAGTAATACTTATAGGCATGCATTGAAATCGAATGCAGGAAGTAGCAATGCAGTAGATAGCAGAGGTCTTGCTTGGAGGACTAATAGCTTATCTTCAGCCTAGAAGGGACCATACTTTTGGGCCAGGAGAGCGATCATATGTTGAAGTTCTCCTTCTCGCCAGCCACATTTTCACAAGACAATCGCGCGGCACCTGAGAGTCAAAATGCTTCTTGATTCACGATATTGTCCTATCATAAGCTACAATGGGAGGCCTGCTTCTGAATCTGAACACAGTTTTGATGGTATGGTTCGAAAAACAATAGAGAAGGCCACGTAGAAAATGAGGAACAGAGGATTAGAGCATCGATGACTGATGCGCTATGCTCTGACAAATGTTATAGCTTAGTCGACCCAGGAAATGGATCTCGAACGGCATTGTACGGCCTAAAACGTCGGAGGCATGAGTCATTCATTCGAAATGACATTCGGTACCGACGATCACTTATCGTCTGGCCGTCGATTCAATTCACTGCGTCTCGATCTTCGATCTTAGGAGCTGCAGGCTTTCTGATATTCCTGGGTCTTTGAGCAGGCTGGCATGCCGCTTCCTAGTCGCTTGCAAGCGCTGTCTTGTGTTGAGAGCATAAGAGATGGACGAGCAGAGACTGTACACTTGTGGATACTGCCGAGTTTTCATTGCCAGGTGTCCTACGCTTTCTGTTGCCCCCATATCGCTGAGCAGGTTGGCTCGTTGCTATATGTTTCCTTGCAAGCGCTGCATTGATTTGAGAACACAGAAGGCTGACGAACAAAGACAAGTCTGTTTCAAACACTGCCGATCATATATGGCCAGAACGCTTGCACTTTCTGCTATGCCCAACACGCTAAGCAGGCTTGCATGTGACTTTCTGCTTGCTCACAAGCGCTGCCTGGTTCTGAAAACATAAGCGATCGACGAGCAGAGATGGAACACGCCGATCCATGATTCTCATGAACCGTACCCTCTCTGTTATTACGATTTGCCGAACAGGCTGGCTTATTGCTTCATGTTCGCTTACGACCACTGCTTTGTTTTGGGTCTTCGTGTTCGTACAATTGGTAGGAGCTGTTCTGCGTAATAATAGCTACAGTAGTAGATCATTTCCAGTTCGAAACGACCATGCCCAACTCCCAGAAAGCTTTCTCTAAGGGAACTGTGGCTCAGCATCGCTACGCATCTGTACATAGATGAGCATTCAACAAGGTATGCCTCTAGAGGGGCCAGAAATTTTCGCTCAACATTGCTTGAGAAATACTAAGTCTGACGCTCGAAGCGTCGTGCCCCGAATGCACGTTCGGTCCGATCGCAACAAGTTTGAAGCGTTGCGAGCATTGAACGACATGCTTTAATAGAGAGACCAGTTTTGATCGTTCGAAGACAGCAAAATTCATTAGAAAACCGCTATGTCCAACGCTCGATGACGGTTTCTCTGGACAGATGTTTGATCTGCATCGCTACATATTTGGAATATTAGGAACGTGCAACAACGAAATTGCTTCAGAGCTCCTGGTGAGAGTCGATGGAAACTAGCGGTATTTATTCGAAAATTCCTATGTCTAACGGTCGACATCCTGTCTCCAGTCACACTCTGAGTACGTATCGCTTTAGGTTCTGATATTTCGGAGCATGCAACGGCAAGGAAACGTCAGAGAGATCAGGTTAAAGCGTTCGAAACCGGCAAAATTCATTCAGGATTGCCATGTTCAACGCTCAAGAATCTCTTAACTCTAATTGCGTCTCTAGTTCAGATCGGCTTGCATCTATATATCTTGGAGCATGGAACAGCAGGTTTTGCTAGAGACGCCAGTAAAAATGGTTCGAAAACGACGAAATCCATTCGAAAATCGCTATGTCAAACGCTTAGGAACCCTTAATCTCCACCAATCCTTTGCTTCGCACTGCCTTGTATATGCAGATCTAGCAGCTTACACCAGTCAATTCTCCTAGAGAGACCACCGAAGTCCACTCTAAAATAGCAAGATGAATTCGAATTCCGTTATGTCAACTACTTAGAACAATTTCCTCCGTCTATACTTTTAGTCTATTTCGCCGCGCATCTGCAGATTTAGGAGCTTGCAACAAAGAGTCCTTCCAGAGAGACCGTGGAAAATATTTCGGAAACGGCGAGATTTGGTCAGAGATCGCTATGTCTACTGCTTAGATATCCGCTTTCCGGATCCCGCTATAGTCCGGATCGCCGGGATTGTCCAGATCCAGGGGCGTATAATGCTTGATCAATCTAGAGAGGCCGGCGAAAATCGTTTCAAGCCGGCAAAATCCATTCGAAAATGGCTATGTTCAACCCTTGCAAATCCTCACTCCCGCAGCAACTCTAGTCCCTATCGCTTCGTATCTGGAGATCCGAGACCGTACAACGAAGAGTCCCTACGGAGAAGGATGAACGGTGATTATAAAAACCGGCACTATTAATTCGGAAATCGCTATGTCCAACGCTTAGACATCTTCTCTTCATTGATAAATCTGATTCCCATCGCTGAGGATCTGGAGATCCATAAGCACACAACGAGGAATGCTTCTGGAAACACCAGCAAGAATCGTTGGAGAACTGCGAAATTTCAGTCCAAAATTACTATGTCCAACGCCCAGATATGTTGTCTCCAACGACCTCTTTAGTCCTCATCGCTGTCAGTTTATATATCCAGGAGCTTACAACAAGGAGTGCTTCCAGAAAGACTAGCAGAAACCGTTGGAATATGGCAAAAATTATTTGGAGAATCACTATGTCCAATACTTGAAAACCTTCTCTCTAGGAACATCTTGATCCAGCATCGCCGTGGATCTGCAAATAAAGGAGCGTCGGAAGGCAGGCTCTTCTAGAAAGGCTGAGACTCAGCGGCTATGCTTGCAGTTCTTCTTGGCAAAAAACTGTAGAAAATGGAATTTTGGCAATGGACGATGAGGTATCACGTGTGGGTAGACAAGCGGGAGTAGACAACGATAGAAAACACTTGAGAAGAGCATTGAGAATAGGCAAGAAGTGACAGCAAGCGAGAATTGAAAGAGCATTGATTATGTTTAATGGTTGAATTGAAGCCTTAATTGCGAAGAACGATGCACTTTAAAGCCTCTGCCACCGACCATCTCTCATATCCAAATACCACCGGCCCCCGCATTCACCCCTTCGAGTACCACCAACGACCATCATCACTGCGGCGGAGGGACGTTCAAAAGAGCCCGAGCAAGAGCCCTCTTGTCCCAATCGGGTGTTGAGGCGTCAGCAGGGTTGGTGAAGCCCTGTGCTGCGATGATCGTCGGTAGGTCGTCGGTGGTCATCGTCGAGAGCACCGCGTTGCCCCGTGCTTGTGCCCATTGTAGTGCCTGCGTCAGCACCCCAGCGTCCTGGCCGGCCGGAAAGTTGACAACACCATTTGTAAGCTGGTGCAGGGACGGTGGGCCGGAGGCATGGCTACCCAGCGTGACGTTGCTGACTTCGTACAGCTGGGTGAATGTTGGACCGTCGGTTTGATCGAACGGTCGGCCAGCTGCAGAGGCCTTGTAGGCCGTCATGGTGGTGCTGTAAGGGATACGATTAGCCTTGAACATCTCGCAGTACGACAATAGAATAACTTACCCTTGAGCACTGAACGCCGCTGAAAATTGCTGCCGCAGCGTGTCGTTGCGACGGCCATGGATGGCCGAAAAGTTGCCATCTCTTGACCAAAGCTGCACTCTCGCCATCATTGGTGGCGACCAACCCTCTCGAGACGCTCGCTGCGCCAACTCAATCACTTGGAAGTGATTGGGGTAAAAGCAGAGTAACTCGAGAATACCGACCGGAATACCGGCCGGTGGCAGGGAAGCGCCTTTTGGCACGCCGCTGTCTGTTGGGTTCATTCTTGCGAATGAACGAGAGGGAAAAGGAGGGTGTGCTGATGTATCTGTCGAGGTCGAGTGTTAGGTCGAGGTCGAGTGTTGATGAACGAACTCGAGAAGGTACTTACATGTTTGTGAAGCGGGAGTATTTGTGCCGGCTGAAGCAGAAGGCTAGCACGCGACAGTGTTAGAGCTTGGTTGGCAGACGAGTGTGTCGAAGGAAGTGTTGTCGATCGAGGAAGTGTTCTGATCTGGCCAAGTGTGCGTGGATGTGTGTGTGTGGGAAGAAGAAGAAGAGCAGCAGGGAAAGATTTGGTGGGCTTTTATGGTCCGTGTGCGGGTAAGGGATGAATGCCAAGGCTTTTACATTCACCCAAGAAGGTTTCGGACTTACCGAATCACATGGAGAGCTCATGACGAATTTGCTTGTGATGCCGGGGCCGGGCCGCAGCAGAGGGAGGCTGTGTAGGAGTCTCTGCGGTGGATATTGGAGAGGGAAAGGAAGTAGTATCGCTAGTATCGAAAGTGTATATGGCCATGCTTATGAAAGAGAAAGGATGTGAGACAGCACAGTTGCTGTGTTGATGAGATTGAATGGAGAGCTGAGACAGAGCGACGCATGCCATTGATATATGGTCTCAGAGCTCCAGACGTGTTTGCCAGCTTGGCTTGAAGGAAATGAGTTGCTCTACGTTTGTGCTTGTTCGTTGATTCCTATAGACTTGTTAAAGGACGAACACAGACAATTTGCCAATTGAAGCTTGTAGAAGCCGATGGATCTGTACTAGGCAAAGCTTTGTTCATTGAGAAAAACAAGCAGACAAATATCTTCAGGACGAGTCATGGACAAACAACTGATAGCATGGACACGAGCATCGGGCGATAGCGCAAGAAGAGAGTGGCAGCTTCGAGAATCTCAGTTCGTTCGATGATTAACATACTGGTAGCTTTGCTACGAGACCTATTTTGAAGTCATTGCGAATGATAGCAACGCTTTTGATGCTGAAAACGCTCAAAGGGTATCATAAAAGCAAGAAAACATCGTAAAATCCTCCCAAAGCGCCCCAGTCTCCGGTTGAACGACCATGCAAGGTCGAAACAGCTGGGTACAGTGCATAGCGCAGATGTTGTTGCTGCTGCAGAGATCAAAGAGACGAAGAAAACTGTTCGTGTGCGTTTGGAACCCTGCCAGACCCAGACGGCCATCCAGTGAGCGTCAATGCTTCCAAACGTTGAGCATTGCGCTTGGGCTACGGTCAGGCCTGTTGGGTAGCAAGGCGATGAGCTCGGGTGGCCGGACTGCGGCTGCATAGGTCTTATGGTCGTTGTGCCATCAGTTGATCGTGGAGTGTCGAAATGCAACGAGAGTGAAGAAGTCGAATTTTCGGTTGTCACGCTCGGCGCAAGCAGTGATTGCAGGCCAGAGGCGATCAAGAATCGTCTTGTGAGCTTGCTGTCTGTTTGCGGCTGGAAAAAGCCTCTGCCGCCTCTTGATCAAGGTTCTTCGAACGATTGAGTGGCACAACCTTCGGCTCAGCTGGCATCTCTTCGATGATGGCGTTCCAGTCAGCCGTCGTGGCTTCTGTACGCCCGTGTTTCTTGCAGAATTCGAACACTCGCGTCATGATCCCACGATCCTGGCCAGTCGGCCACTTGTCGGTCGGAATGTGCGAGTAGAACAAGCTGAGTGGATAATCATTCCAGCCTTGCTTGGGTGCGTCCTTCGTGTCTCCGTTTCGGTGACGGTAATAGTCACGGAACTTCCACCCATTCGCAGTGAGAACGTTCTCAGGACCAAGGTCAGTTGCCTTTGAGACTTTCCACTTCTTGCACTTCAGCGCATACATGCCACCTTGTGAGTATTCCTTCTTTATCTTATTCTTGAGCGTCGTTTGGTCCTTCGCGTCGTTGGCTCGGCCAATGGCTTCCAAATGAGCCGTGCTCATCATGGGCCCAGTGATGCCGTTTCGCTGAAACCGCCTAGCCAAGTCCGGTGACACCATCCACTTCTGGTTGAAGACAGCAATCTCCTTGGCCGTTATATCAACCCCCATGGGCGGGCGCGCATCCTCGTTGAGGCGAGTTGTGTTCATTCGGGCTTTTGAGACGCGGCCAGTTGCAGTGTTTGGAGCCTTCCGAGCTTTCTTCCGACTGCCGGGAGCATTCAGCTGTTGGTTGACGGTAGCCTGGGTGCTCGCCGTCATCGGTGGCTGCCACTGGAGAAAGGTTGGGTATCCAGTGGCCTGATGCTGCAAACGGCTTACACCTGTCTGAGCATCTCCGTTGTTGAAGTCTGGCGTATACTGCGGATCAGGTGCAGTGAAAGGACCAGCAAAACCGTAAGTGGTGGCAGACTGGTCTCCTGGATGTTGCAGCGCCATCTCACTGCCAGCAGTGCTGCCGGGCGCCTCCACTGTGTGGTGATAACCCGTGTTGTATGTCGCGTGAGCATGTTCGAACGCTTGAGGGACAGGCTCGAAGATCTTGTAGTCTGAACCCTGAAAGACGTGCTTCAGATTGGTGTTGACGTTCACGAATCCGGATTTGGTGACAGACTCATCACGGGGAATCTGTGTGTTGTACTGATAGTCTGGAAAAGCAATGGAAAGTGGCCAAGCGTGGGCAGGTGGCCAGTCTTTCAAGTCTTTCGAGGACCAGGCGCTGGAGACAACAAATTCGTCTCCTTCGACGTCATCGAATGGAGGAAACGCTTCGCGCTGGCGAGAGGGAGCTTGAGTGGAGGCGTTAGCATCATATCTGGGAATTTCAGTGGAAGGCGATCCTCACCATCAAGACGAGCTCGCTTGCCTGATTTTCTCAGGGCCGGATCAAGAAATTCTTCTTCGTCATCCTGGACAACTGCCTTGCGCTTGCCTTTGCTTGAACACGGCGCGACAGAAGCACGAGAAGGCGGGGCAATCGCATCAAGCAGAAGCTGAGCAGACGCAGCGTCTTCTGGTGCATAAGCTTGATGACTTGGCGCTTCAGCTCCGCTGTTGGTCTGGCTCGGCGCAGGCCTCTCCATCCAGGAGCTTACTGATGGCGCTTCCATCGTGGCCGGGTAGCTTTCAAGCGTGGTGGTGTATGCCGACAGGTTCTCAGTGAAATTGTTGACACCAAGTTCCGTCGGCGGCGATGCCGGGCGAGGTGATGGGGGTGAAACGGGAGGCGCAGCGGTCACACTTTAAGACGTCAGCACAAGCAGGTCGCTTATTCAAGGCTGTGAGATGATACTGACCGCGAGGTTGGAGGGACGGGGGCAGCGGTGCCGCCGAGTTTCGACATGGTGAAATCTTGGGAAAGCACGTTGCGAAGGGGTGCTGGAGATGCTCGCCTGGGCGGCTGCTTGAAAACGATTGCGGTAAGACCTACAGGCGCTGACAGAGTCGGTCTGCCGTGTAAGCAATGTTATGGTCGCAGTTCAAGTTCTGGTGGAGAGGGCGGGCAGAACAGACGCGTCTCGACAGGAGTGGGTCCGCCAGCCATCGCGACCTCTGCACGGGCTGCGCCACGCAACACCAGATCTTCCATTTTCACGTCGAGTCAAATATGAGAGTGCGAGCCAAGAGCTGCTCATCGCCTGCACATCATTCACCCAATTCGACTTCATCGGTCGCAATGGTGGGCGGCATCTTGTTCAGGACTTGGGTGGTTTCGTTACCCCTGGCTCAATGGGCGGCAGTGAAGCTCTTTCTCGAGATGCATGCAGAGCGCTGGCTGATGCAGAACATGATGGTGGGCATGGATTCAAAATATATCAGCAAAATCACGGATGATCGTCTCGGTAGTGCGCTGAGGGGAGACGTTGCACCGGCGTAGCTGTGCTGGGAGGGATTCATCTATAGTATGGAAAAGGGGCATATAGTGGACAGGAAGAGGTGCTACGGGCGAGGCGCGATGATTTGAGCCGAATGATGGATGTAGAGGGAAATCTGCTTGGGCTTGTCGTGCTTTTTTGGCAGGTCCGTGGTTTGCTTTGGCGAAGGGAGCAACGAAAAAGGTCACAGAGTGGTTGACCTACAGACCAGCATGACAAAGAAGTATGGACGCATTGGGAATCTGCATCAAGGCAAGGACAGATATGACTGGAAAGCAAATCATATGGAAGAACACTATTGTTCTTGCAACAATCGCCCTGGGGCATCGTTGAGCAGCGTGGTAGCAAACGCATAGCAATGAGAGGCTATGGTGATGCCCAGGCTGTTACTTTTGCCTCTTTCGAAGATGACTTTCAAGAAATTCGCGGTGCAAGCTCAAAGAGGAATTTTCAGCAACTCTGGTTGTTCAATCAGCCTGTTGCTAGAATGCCTAGTCTACAGCATTTTGAGAAGAAGCGATGAAACTAAAACCGTACATAAAACGCTCAATGGGTATCGTGAAGTCAGGAACGCTCGCAAAATCAACCCGCGCTCATGCACACCATTCGCTCGAATTCATTGAGCCCATACCTTTACGTCTTCTGGGTAATATGCTCAGCACCGCTACTGTCGGCATTGCAGAAATGAAACACATCCAGTTGCGTCGAAAGCCGCCACAGTCCAGTTATTGCCTGCCTTTTCAGAATCATGCTGTCGATTTTTGACCAGAGCAGATGCTGATCTGGTAGCAGGTCCATGTCCGCCTCCCAACGAGCGATGAGCCTGCTGATGTGCCGAGGCTGGAGGCCACCAAGGTCTGAGGTGTCTTGAAGTGATGTAAAAGCTCAATGCGTAAATAACAAGATATTAAACCCCTTCGTAATCGACCGATACCTCGCATCTCCATTCTGAGCGTTGCGTACTCAGATATTTGTGCAGATGGAAGCTCTTGACGCAGTCAATCGCAATGTGTCAGAGCCATGGCCAGGCCAAAGCAACGTCTTATCACAAACCACGATGCAGCAAATCATGTACGAGTTCTGGACGCTTCTGCCGCTTCCTGGTCCAGGTTCAGGGTGTCGTCTTGCGCCTTAAGCAGAGGCTCGCTCGGTAGGTTGGCAATAAGCTCGTCCCAGTGAGCAGTCGTCTTGTCCGTCAAGCCATTGGCGACCACATACTCGAAGACGCGAGTCATCACGCCGCGGTCTTGACCCGTTGGCCAGTTGGCACGTGGGATGTGCGCGTAGAAGGTGGTTAATGGAATGTCAACCCAGGCATCTTTTGGCTGCTTGGCATTTTGTGGGTCATTGTGGTGCTTGTGGAAATCTCTGAAACGCCACTGGTTTGCAGTGAGGTCGTTGTCGGGTCCAAGTGCCACCGCGCTGTCCACGTCCCAGCTGCTGCGATTCGTAGCAAGACGGCCTCCCTGGGTAAATTCTTGCTTGACCCGGTTTTTATGGGTCTTCAGCAGTGCCTGGTTTGCACTCTGATTGATGGCCTCCAGGTGCATGGTAGCTGGCATGACACTCTTGATCCCGTTGCGCTGAAAACGCATCACAGGACCCGGCAGCGTAAGCCACTTCGTTGCAAAACACGCAATCTCCTTCGCGGTGATAGTGTGACCCATTGGAGGCCTCGCGTTGAATGGCACGTCGGTTGTCTTCACGCGTCTGCTGCGACGAGGTGCAGCCTGGGTGGTTGCTCCGGTGGCAGTCTGCGCGCCTGTGCTGCTGAGATTGGAGCCAGCTTGACTGGAAGCTTGAGTGGTGACGCTCGCCTGCGATTGATGGCCTACTTGAGACGAGCTTGCATGGGACGAGCCTGCGTGAAGCGTCGTGTTTGGCTGGGTCAAGTTGCTCACCGCGGCGACTGAGCTAACGACAGGCACCTGCTGCTCAGCAAGATCAATCTGCTGTCCTGAAAACGCAGAATGATCTCCTGGTCCAACTGGTCCTAGCTCGTAGTGTGTAGCCAAATGCGATGACTGACCTGTTTGCTTAGGCGTGGAGCTCTGATTGAGGGTACTGGGTGGTTGTGATGACTCGGGTGATTGATCATCGATGAGAGCAGCATCGATCTGACGCTCGGTGTCGACAGAGTTGTCCCAAGCTGCAATCGTGCCCAACTCAAACGGTGCAGACGAGTCGAAAGGCGGACCCGTTTGCCCAGCAGTGGAGCCGAACAAGCCATCGCTGAGCGATTGAGCCAGAGGATATGCTGCAGTGTCATCGTAGCTCACTGGCGCTGAGACAGATCCTTGGTGAAAGCCAGTAGCAGCCGTGAAGCCCAGTTCTTCAGGCGTGATGTTGACGTCGTCGTATTCCCAATCGTGTTGCGTATCACCGTGTGCAGGACTAGACGAAAGGAAGACGTGCCCTGAGTACATCTCGATCCCACTGATGTCAAAGAAACCCCCTTGTCGAATTGAGTCTACATCATTGGTGTCAGTAAAAGCTGAAGAGAAAAGCAGTCTGACGGGTTTTCACGTACCTGCCAGGCGTTGGCGCTTGGGAGAAATTGCACCAGTAGCAGACTGCAGATCGTTGCTGCCATCATCCTCTTCCACGGCACCACGCTTCCTCGGATTCGCCTTGGAGGTGGTGGAGGCATTGGACTGCGCGGGTGGCGAATTGAGGTGATGCTGCGGAGATGCGCCACGAGTGAATACGGCTTCAGCATGTGGTACATTCGGCGGCGACGAGATGGCGTGCACATCCTGCAGCAGCGAGTCCACATTGGACGACATTGGACTGTTACACGCAGCCTCTGATGGTGTCTTGGTTACGGCGACAGCTCCAAGGCTGTAGTACGGGGCTGGAGCGACGTTGTAGTCGGCGAACGCGCTCTCTATGTTTTGAGCCTCTGGCGAGGTAGGCGCACATGACGGCGTGCTGTGGCAAGACTGTAAGTGTATGAATGCTTCGCGGTCACCACTGGCCAGTAATCACCTCTTGGGCGACATGTTTGGCGCCATGTCGCACTCAGTGGCCTTCATGTACGATTTTGCCGACGAAGTGCGCCAGAGCTGTCTCGCAGTACGCGACTCCTTATTCGGGTGCAGATACGGCGGTTGAAATTGGCGAGCTTGATCGCTGTGATCAGCGCGGTGGTTAAAGTTCGTGTGTCTACGAGAAAGGTCGCGGTGGAGAGCAGCTGGCGGAAATCTTGGGGGCTGGGGGCCGAAGCCGAATTTGGACCCCGTCTGCCTCGAACAACACTTCCAACATCACGCAGGCTCCCGCCGCCTGAGCCGCCCGCAGTCTTCTGAACGTCATTGCAATGCCCTGTGCATTCTCCTCTGCACGCGTAAAAGTCGGCCATGGCAATCGCGGAGCAAGGTTAAAGCCTCTGACGCAGACATTGACACTGTATCAGAGTTATGGCCAGAAAATACCTGATTTTATCTACCATGGTGGAGCTCGTTGTGAAAGGGCCTCAAACGCTATCATTGTTTCTTCATCCAAGTTCTGAGTTGGGTCCACGGCCTGAATTGCGGACTCGCTTGGCAGCCTGGCAAAGAGCATATTCCAGTCAGCGGTGGTCGTGTCCGTCAACTGGTTGGCTTCCACAAACTCGAACACTCAGGTTGTCACACCGCGGATTTTATTGCAAAGAGCTGTTATATAGATAGGATAACAGGCATATAATTGGGAGGACTAGTTCGGCGAGCGAAACGGAGATCTGGACACCGCAATATGTACAGAAGGAGAACTTGATGAGTTTGCCGTGCTGCTATAACAAATATGCAATTTAGTTCAACGGTTTGAGCAAGAACATGGATAGGAAGGAGTTTGGCTACAAGCTCGGGTAACAAAGAACAAAAGCCGCATTCGGAACTGACAATGAGGTGCAAAGAATGGTCACGATTGCAAGGCGAAGTATGGTAACAGGCGACACTGGTACCGTAGCATTGGATTTAAGGCATTGGTCGTCTTCGATAGACCTATCACCGCTCTTTCTAGAGAAGAAGGCAATATGAGTTGAAGATGACCAGCGTCATTGAGTCTTCTGTCTAGTAACGTAGACTGCATCATCGTCTGTAGCAGCCTCTATGCATCCGATTGATGCGTCATCTATGTCCGAAACGCTCATGGGTATCATAAAAAGAAGCAAAATCAACAAACTCCACTAAGAACTCGCGTACCAGCCCAGCTTCGCAGAAACCAAACGCGTTCGCCCGTGTCATGCCATTACCAGTAAATGCTTGATCAAGACCGCGCAGCATTGAGACACAATGTTGCCTCCTCCAACGTCAATCACTACTTCTTCGTGCGAAACGCCTGAACCGCCTCCTCGTCGAGATTCTTCCCAGCAATCTTGGACTGAAGGAGTGGTTCGTTCTCGAGCATGGCGGCGACCAAGTTCCAGTGTGCGGTCGTGAGATCTGTGAGCCCATCCTCTTTCACCTGCTCAAGCATGCGCGTAAGGATTCCACGATCTTGACCCGTAGGCCACTTGCCTTCAGGGATGTTCTCGTAGAAGGTTGTCAGCGGAATGTCCTCCCACTCCTCAGTCGGCGCCTTCGTGGTTTCCTTGTTGCGATGCTTGTAGAAGTCGCGGAACTTCCACTGATCTGCAGTCAGATCGTTATCAGCGCCGAGAGCCACAGCCTGGTCGATGCTCCAGTGAGTGCTGCCCGTGTAGAGCTTCCCACCTTGATTGTACTCCTTTTTCAGACGATTCTTGACCGTCTTCAGAAGTGCAGGCTCTCCGGCGCGGCCAATGGCTTCCACTTGAGCAGCTGCTACCTCAGCAATCTTCACCCCATTGCGCTGGAGCCTCGTGGCCACAGCCGGGTGAATGATCCACGTTGGAGCGAACACACAGATCTCCTTGAGCGTGATATCCACTCCCATTGGCGGTCTCGCATTGGGAGGCACCTCAGAAGTCTTGATGCGTCGCTTTGATTTGAGCGCAGGCTTGGTAGACGAGCCTACGGAGGGCTGCTTAGACTTGCCTTTCGGTTTGGAAGAGTTGCCAGTGGCTTGCTGAGTGATCACGCTTGCCTGCTGAGAATCGTTCGTAGGAATCAGGCGTGGATCCAGGTCTTGAAGTGTCGACACGCCGCTTTGCACACCTACTGGAGTAGGGAGCAATGCTTGCTGAGTTGTGATCACGGCAGATGCACTAAGCGGCGGTCCTGCATTACCGGGATCGATTTGGGCATCAGACTGCTGTGACTCGTTCGATGTGGACAGATGGGGTGCCTGCGACTCTTCTTGCTGCTCAGAGGTGTCGGGTTCTGCCACGTCCCGTGAAGAAGATTCAGCCGCTGCTTGAGGGCTGCAGCTCTGGAGTGTAGGCTGAACTTGTTCATCGTGGTGCTGGTCGACGGGAGCCTCGTTGGCACTGTGGACTCGCATTTCGGCGTTGCTCAGAGGCTCATCATGTTGAGTATCAGCATCGACTGGGTGAAGAGGCTGGGTCACTTCGATTGGGCCATTGTGGCCTCCAGCATATTCTGGTTCACCATGCTGCTGACCAACAGCTGCTAGAAGAGTGTTAGCACGCGCTGATTGAGGAGTCAGCTTGATGTTTACTTACCTTGCAGGCATGGCCGCTTAGGAGAGGGACCAAAGGTGGCTGGTGACGTCTCGTTTTGTTCCTCTTCCTCGTCGAGAGGTTCGACGTTGCGCTTCTTTGGTCGCGCAGGTGAGGCAATAGCGGAGTTGGCGGGCATAGGAGATGCCGAGAGTGGAAAGGTAAACGGAGAAGCGTCCTCTTCGAGAAGGACAGGATCAATCGGGAAAGGAGAGGGAGAGGTTTGGGGGGACAAGTCTGGAGGCGGATGACTGGCGGCGAGCGGGACCTCGCTAAGTGGCGCGAGTGCATCGGTCGCCTCTTGTTGACCATTCCATGTCCCAAGAGGCGGGCTCTGAGCGTCGTGGTAGTGATCTAGTTCCTCCATGTCCGCCATTGGCGCCGCGTCGTGGTAGACCGACCACTCGTCATCAAAATCGAGACCAGCCACAAAGTAGGCCGAGGGGAGAGCAAGCTCTGGAGCACGACGAGCTTCAGGTGCGCTCGGTGCGGTACTGCGGGATGTTAACAAATGTATGTGCTTCATTGTTGTATGGATCTCGTCTGACCTGTTTGGCAACATTTTCGGCGCCGTGTTGCGTGAACTTGTGTTCTGGCGGTGATTTTGGGTGCCGTTGAGGAACGCGGCGGGAATTGTCGGCCTCTCACTCGTAGTACACTGTCTTTAGCGGCCACCTGTGCGCGTCAATGTAGGTGCAATGGTTGCTGACAGCCGTGTGCGTGTCTGGCTGGAAAGTCGGAGGGCATGCACGGAGCTTAGCGTTTCGGCGGGAGGGCCGTGCACTGTTGCGGCCGCCCTACCTTCTCCATCGCCAGCATCTCCGGCATTGCGCCGTGCTCGATTGTCAGATCTAAGCGTGTGCTGCAGTTGACTCCTCAGCATTGTATGTACCCTGCTCATCTCTCGCAAAGGCGGCTCATGAAAATCTTGGAGCCCCTTTCAATGCACCTGAAAGTCATGCCTTTGGAATGAATGCTGCAGCGACTTTTGAGGAAAGTGGCAAGCAAGAGATCTAATACCTTTCTGGCTTGTACACAATTCGTTCCGCTCCTTCATGTCGGCATTGTTCATTCTCGTGCCGGGGCGGGTCATGTAAGAATTCGTATCATTGGCCATTCCCTGGCGAGAAAACGAGCGGGCATACAACTTAGAAGCCGGCATGAATATTATGGCCAGCATCGGGCGCAGGGCCGCAAAAGCAAGGAGATGCGGCTATCAGAAGCGACATTGTCGCCAGGCGGAGGACATTGGGCCCGCATTCCGGGGAAATCGTCTATAGATCAGACAATGTGCATATATCTGAGGAAAAATGGGAGTGTCGTTGATAAGGCATGGAGCATTCAGGCGCTACTACATGTGCTGAAGAATATCTACATCAGTTGCCTTCATGGTTTTGCAAGCTCACAATCTGGGAAATCAAGCAACGAACAAAGACAGGCAGCCAGTCCACGGCACGCGAGCTGGTCAAAGGATACAAGCCGGATTGGGCGTGGACTTACGATGGGAACAATGGATGACATGAAGAGACCATAGCCGGATCTAGAGTCTAGAATGTTAAGATGGTGGCAGGGAAAACTTTGATGTAACTGAAAGCTTTGCGTTGAAACGCCATCTGCTACTGAAAACACGCGCCTTTGGGTATCTTCGCTGTAATGCCATAATAATCAAAAACGCCATGCTCATGCAAAATACGGTAAAGACCCTCATAGGCCGCAGCGCACGTGCTGAAGTTGAGAAAACAACCCTCCTCAGAGCCTTCCGCTGGTCAAATCCTCCTCGTCATATGGAGCGCTCATCAGTACACCTTTCGTAGGTCTCTCGCAGCTCAGTCCTTGCTGATCCGCAGAGCCATCCTCAACGAACGCATGCAAACGCGCAGTCCTAGTTCGAGGCTTTGAAACGTTCCACGAAGTCCTGATCAAGATTCTGGCCGGGTCGTGCAGCCACAAGAGCGATGCCATTGCCAGACTGCTTGATAGACTCGACTATCCAGCCCCAGTCTGCCGTCGTCAACTTATCTTGCATGTGTGCTGGGTAGTGGTGGATTGCCTCGAGGCAAACGGTCATGGTACCACGGCCACAGCCAGTGGGAAAGTTGGCTAAAGGCACGTTGGTGAAGAATCTTGAGAGCGGGATGTCCACCCACTGGCTCTTCTGCGGACCGGGTGCCTTACCATCAAGACCGATGCCGTTCGCAATGGCATGCTCGTCACGAGTGTGCCAATCATTGGCGGTCAGATCATCGTCCTGGCCGTGATCGATGGCGATCTGCTTCTTCCACTTGAGGCAGCTAAAGAAGAGTCTACCTCCCTGGGCGAAATCTTGTTTCATCCGATTGATTGCTTTCTGCTTCTCATTCACGTTGCCAAGACGATTGATAGCCTTCAGTTGCGTGTCCACCGCCATGCCGATTGTGATACCGTTGCTTTGGAAGCGACGGGCGACCTCAGGGCAGATAGTCCACCTCGGGCAGAAGGTGAGAATCTCCTCTGCGGTGATGGTGATGCCGCGAGGAGGGCGGACGTACTGGGGCATTTCGACGACAAGCTGACTTCTCGTGTACTTTGCAGGCGACCCATTTCCAGGAACAGGAGCGCCATAGGCGGAGGGGGAGTTCATAGTGGTGGGCAACGCAGGCGTCGGAGCTGTTGAAGAGCTTGCAATTGGCTGCGAGTTGGACGGGGTGTTGAAGTACCAGCCGAAAGAGGGATCGAAGTTGGGCGGGAAATCTTGCGGTTCGTAAGAGTCCTGCACTGAATGGCCTCCATGTGGACCAGCAATGAGTTCTGACTCCTGCGCGACACTTGGTCCATGTTCGCCGCCGGGAGCCACAGCGCCGTGATGGGAAGCACTTCCGTTTTCGAAGCTCGCGATGTATTCATCCATCTCGGCAGCCCAGGCGTGGAATTCCTCCATAGTCATAGCGTCCATTGCTTCCATCGCGACGGACAGTGTCGCGAACGATGCGTTGATCTGTTCGACTGTCAGCGCTTGCAGGATCTGTGGTATGGAGAGGTCTTACAAAGTGTTGTCCAACTTGAGATCGATCGAGAGTGCGCGGCTCCCCTAGCGGTGACGGCGACAGGTTGGGATTTGCCGTCGAAGGATGTCGCTGGTCGCGCAGGCTGTGACGAGGACGAGGAGCAACAGTGTTGACTGTAACGGGGTGATTTTCCGTAGTACGCAGAAGGCGATGTCCGGTAAGCAAAGTCCGCTGTTCAAGCCCAAAGGGTGGGCATGAGGTCAGCGCGACGGGTGGCTGCTCGTCGGGCGACCCCAGTGGGGCCCTGTGCCTTCACTCTTCACGTTGGTCATTTTCGTTGACTCGAGAGACTCGAGAGGAGCTGCAGATGCTTTCAGAAGACTGGAAAATGGTGCAAGTGCTATAGATATGACAACGGGGCTATAATAAAACTCGATGAAAATGTCAGGGGAAGGTCTTGGGTCAGATTCGTCGAGGTTCAGGACTACATAGAGCTTACAATGTTTGCCTTCAACAGTGAGGGATCGAGAAAAGACTACAGAATTCAGGAAGTGACTAGCGAGATCGAAAATCTGGTTTCGAGGAAGACGACTAGCACGCAAGAACATTTGATTTCATGAGGAGATCAGGCTTTGCACAAGAGTGGTTGACACGATGATTGTCGAGCTTTGGAAAGAAATCGCAGGTTGAGGTATCATGAATGCAGCGTTATATCTATGCAGTTGATCCCTCGATCAGCGTCCAACACTCAGTTTCATTCATCACGCAGCCTCTTCCAACAGCCCATCGAGCGTTCGGTCTTTTTCTTGATAGCCACTAGTATTCTCAGAACCAGGCATATCATGCTCAAATCTAATGCGTAGCCTTGAACCATTCAACAAACTCCTGATCCAGATTCTTTGCCGGATCTTGCGGCAGGACAGGAACAACAGACGGATCGTTCTCCTTAAGGTGCTCTCAGCCAATCCCAATGAGCTGTTGTGAGGTTCAGAACAGCGTAATCTGGATCGTCATGCACAGCTTCCAGACATCGAGTAACCATTCCCCGGCCCTGACCGGTTGGAAAATGACCGCGTGGCACGTTCACAAAGAACTCAGTCAGTGGCATATCTTTCCACTCTTGAGTCGGCTCCGACAAGATATCACCATTCCAACAAGCACCATTTGGAGGCGCCTTGCCATCCAAGCGAACACCATTGGCGAGAACATGCTCCTCGCGAGTGTGCCAATTATTCGCAGTCATATCGTCGTCTGGGCCATCATCTTTCGCAGTTTGCACGTCCCAGTGATCTCCACAATCGTAATAATGTCGACCACCGTGCGAGAATTGCTTCTTCAGGTTGTCAGTCAGGCGCTTGTTGATTGCTGCGTTGTTGAGCTGCCCAGACGCGCTGAGATGCACAGTAACGATCATCCTCGCTGTCATGCCGTTGCGTTGCATCCTCACGGCAAGCTCAGGTGAGGTCAACCAGTTTGGCCAGAAGGTCAATATCTCTTCCGGCGTCTAATGTGTTGAGCGGCGGACGAATATAACTGAGCTGCTGTTAACTGGCATGTCGATTGGAGGCAGAGGCTGAGTGATCGGAATGACGTGGCTCAAATCGATGGATAGCCCGGCCGTCGTGGACGATGGCACACGAGGCGCGGCGAGAGGTCGGAATGGTGGTGGAGCTTGATGCGTTATAGCTAGACTGCGCGACGATGTGGTAGCGTAAAGGTTGCCAACGTAGCCTTGTAAGAAGCCATGCGGGTATGGTAACGTGTTCGGTGTCCCAAGAAGGTTGTCGTTGGCGAAGCCAGGTGCTGGTCGCTGCCACATGCCTTGGTATAATCTGTCTGCATTGGAATATTGCTCGTTGAATCTCGCGTGATCGAGCTGTTCCACAGTGGAGGTCAGTGAACCTGCAGTGGGCAACGTGGGCAGTGCTGTGTGAACGTTGGTATCGGGTAACTCAGTGACCTGCGTATAGGCTTCCAATTGATGATGAAGAATATAATCTGAGACTTGAGATCAGTATGCTCCTTCCAGTCTCATGATACTGATCGCAGCCTACCGATTTAATCGAGACGGTGACGCTTGTCGGCACTGCTGTAGTGCGAAGTGCCGTCGATCACACCTCCTTCCTGCTCAAAATGGCTGTGTCGGCGCTTTCGGGGAGCGTTGGCGCTTGCATTGGGCAAAGTAGAATGGTCAGATATTGGCTTCGTATGGCTGAGTGTTCTTGCTGGCTGCGGGAGCACAGCCGGCTGCTCGAGGACGGGGCGACTATTGGTGTATGTCGCCGCCTCTGGGGCAGCGGCGCCGAAGGAGAAGTCGTAGCTCGTAGATTCAGTTTCCGAAAGCATCGGGTCTACCAAATGGCTCTCCTTGTTGGAAAGAGAATTGGGTTTATTGGCGGCCATGCTGACACAGGAGACCACACTGTGTGGTGAGTGATGAATTTGTCGTTGCTGTTCTCGACGTGTGTAGCTTGGTTGTACTGCGAAGCGGCTTTGCTCTCAGGATGGGCGGCGCCAATATGATGCTCGTCCTTCAAGCGCGAACGGGTTGGCGACGGGATCTATCGCGCCCCGAAAACTTCTTACTGTATGGGAAGGTACTGGGAGAGCGGCGTGCAAGCTTTTCGATCCGAGATGTTCGGTCAAGCTGTTCTGAAGTCGATAAACGTGTTGAAGCTCGGTCGCTTAAGCCCTAGTTGGCGATGCACGCGTGAGTGAAGCTCAAAGCTGGCACGTGCAGCATCCCCAACCGCGTTTGTTGATACTGCCGCCGCGCTCTTCAACCCAACGAGCTAAAGCCGATCAAGCTTTCGCTTGCTGCGAGCAGTTGACGCGTCTGCGCATATATACCGTCCGTATGACCAGCAGTGGATTTCCCCAGATGGCGTATCGTCTATGACAAACGAGGCCCGTTTGGCGTACTCCCGCCGCAACCGTGCACATTCTACAAGCAACCTACGTGAGATATTGTGGGGTAAGCTACTGCTTAATTGCTCCGCATGGGCTCCATTGGACGGCTCAACTTATTCTACGCGTCCAGTTGCTGTGGTCGATTGCAGGGGCAGGGATGTGTCGTGACAACCTTCTGCTGTCCAGATCCACTTTGAAGTGAGCTGTATAGCCGTAAGTCGTCATAGTCTCTGAATTCTAGCGCCACAACTGCAACTCGGCGCCGCGCAAGCGAGGAACAGCAAAGCTAGAGCACGCGCGTTCGATCAAAGTGGGCGACCGCAGTCAGGGCAAGCCGTCTGTCGAGACCTCAGTGACCACAAGAGGCGGTTGAACGTGCAGAGATCGCCTGGAGGTCCTTGACCAGCAAGCTTGCCCCAACTCCACCATCATGGATGGCTTCGCCTCCAGGGACACCATGTGGTGGCACAAAAGTCGCGATCGACCGCTGCGCCGGGATGGATCGGTGGCAACGTACTATAGCAGTACCATTGGCCGTCGAGGCTGCGGTATATCGACCGTCTGGAGCAGGCCATCGTGCAGTGATGGAGTTGCTGCGATACTGCGAGCGAAAGGTAGAAGACAATATGGTTCCCTTGTGCTCACCTGGAACCTCATATCTGGACTGCTCTGCCAATACGAGCCCGCGGCCTCTGAGCTCTATCAAGAGCAACAAGTTCTGTGAGTATTGGTCATCGGGGATCGTTTCCATCAATAGAATTGGCGTCATTCATGACCGCCGAATCTCCGAGCCAGCCAAGTACAGTTGTGCAGACGAATATACATATATCTGCTCAGCAGTACTGTCAGATCTCCTACTTGAGGTCAGTGTTTACGTTCTCATACGTGAAAGGTTCCATGACCATACGCAAATTGTCCTCGTCCCGGTAAGGCTGATGCTATGCCCTGATATCATCTTTCCGGCTCTACTACTGGCACATCAGCGATCAAGAGAAATGGGGATATGACGCATTCGCTGCAATGGCATGTAGCTGACTGGCACACAGCATCCAGGTAGAATGGCCCAGTCACAAGGAGATAGATTCGTGACCTCCGCGCCGCCGCATGCCTACCGTCTCCAGGTCCGCCCCAGCCTGATCGTTCGCCGGTGACCAGATCATTTGCACTGCTGCTGATATCTTTTTGTGAAGCCATCATCCTAGCCACGCTGGAGTCTCCCATAGCATACATCCTGCAAGAGTCGTAAAACCGCAGCGTCCACCGGGATACGCCTGCTGGTCAGCCAATATTGCAGCCGGAACAGCTTAGACTGATCCCAAGTGCTCTCTCCCAGCCAGTCATGAACCTCATCTCGAGAGAAATTGTAGTCCAACTTGATGTATGGAATCAAGCGCGTCTCCTCGAGAAATGTGCCACGGTTAGCCATGATCTGATGCAATGCCTCGATCGACCCTGGGTCCACGCGATCGTGTTCGTCCACGAAGCTCTGAGCGCGATCCTCAGTGGCCCTTGCGACGTTTGCGATGTTTAGGGATTGACCAGTACCGTTCTCATTTCTGGTGGAAGAGACCTCTTCCAGCTCAGCCTGTATCACATCGCCTTCAGTAAGCACGCCGTCCCAGTCGATATCTTTCCGCCTCACAATACTTCGGGTCGATTGAGAGCTCGCGGGCGGTTCCACTAAGGGAGCAGCCTGTTGAGCCTTACCCGGTGGCAAAGGTCCTGCAAAATATCAGCAACCGTTCTGCCCATTACGGTGAAAGGACTTGGCAAAGAACACGCGTGCTGAACGGCAGCGCAGCACATACCAACCATCGGTGGGTCTTCATCTTCCACTAGAAGGGGTCTCGCGACGATGACAACAGACGATGAGTTCTGTTCCTCGGCAGGTCTGGTTTTGTCTGCAAAGGGTTGAGATGAATGTTGTCTTCCCCACCACCAAGTGTCCTGGTCGGGCATGATCTACCTCGTGTCAGTAACCGCGCAAGTCCGGGTGGTAAAGCTGGAGGCTCACCTGTGGTCGTCCTTCTCTTCCGCAGCGTGGTCGGGGTATCTGGAGAACGCTGATGAGCGGTAATAGAGGCCTTGATGAGGGCAGCAGTGGCAAGAACGAGGCTCTTGTTCGTGGGCTCTTTGCAACGATGAGAGCTCAGGGTTGTCGTGTTCCGATACAGGAGAACTCACAAGATATATGACAGCCAGGAGTGTTTGACAAGCCATGGGCAAAAGCCTTGGGGAGGATGTCCAGACAATCAGCACGCCATCTGACTCAACCACTGAGCTCGAATGAGATATTTTGCCTTCATCGTTGGGGCAGAATATCTACACGATGTCCAATCGTCCCCTTGGCCCAGACTGCTTGTCAAACATTCGGAACTCTCCTCGTCTGCTATCTCGTCAGCGGCGATCTCTTGCTACATGACAGTATGAGCAAATAGACAGTGCTTACTGCCAACCTGCTACGCGTTTGTGTAGATTTTGTGCCAGTAGTCAGCTTAACAGCAAACGCTTGAAGATTTGTAGTACGATGATACCTTGGTCCAGTCGACTGTTCCTGGACTCCAAGTTTTCCAACGCCAGATCGCCTTTCGTGCAGCATTCAATGCGGTGGCATTTTCTGGCTTCACGGCCTCGCGTACACCATCAAGCCGATACATTTAAATATTAGCCCTGTTCTGCAAGTATAACGGACCAATCTGTTGCAAAGTATGTTGACGATCCAGAGAGGTTTTAGTATTACCGGCTGATTCTCGTAGTTCCATGGTGGGAATTCGTGCGTTCGATCCAGCGCCGTCGTGAATACTGCTCCCATGGCAGGGCGTGCACGCTCTACCTCCCAGCTCCAGGACCCGGTCTTCGTCCTCGTTCCGCATCGCGCTGTCCACGTGGTGCTGCCCGATCAGGCCCTCCTCCTCGACGAGAACTTCACTTGGTCAGCGCGCTAAACGTAATTAACGCGTCGCAAAGCCGCCAAGTCTGCACAACAACCCCATTGTGCGACGTCCGCCCTCTCTTCCCATACATCTTTCTCCTCAGCACTCACCGTAACAACCGCCTTCCCCATTACCTTTACAAAGCATCACCACCGCAATTCGCCTTGCAAGCATCACCGCCACCAATCGCACTGCAAACCTGCCACCCTACACAAACCGCCGATCGAAACACCGCCAATTCCCAACCATGTCGCCGAGAAGTCGTGCAGGAGCTAGGAAGAACACAATGGATATGACCGCTTGCGGTCGCGTAGTCTGGACGGGGATCAGCGGGGTATACTTGGTGATAACATGCTGCTTTCGCGGCGACAAGAAGGAGCAAGGGGATAAAGGAGGTCTTGATATGGTGTCGGTGGTGGAGATGGAGGAGGCTGTCGGCATGGAGTTGGAGGAGGAGGATACCACATCATCGCACCCTACGCCGTCGTCGCCAACGCCGCCCACATCGTCGAGCCCACGCCCATGGACACGCGCTTCCGCACCACGTCCAACATCCTGGTTCGCCGGACCCAAGAGATGCAACATGGCACGCCCTGCCCTCGAGTCCGGTAGTCCCACGCTCGATGCTTCCATGCCGCCATCCCTGACCATGCCAGCGACTACGACAACGACAACTGCGTTGGAAGCCGACAGCAACGGAGTCACGGAACCAACGAATGCAGAAGAACCGCGCACAATTCGTCCACGCCCCGGTTTCCTCAATCTCCGCCGCGCTGCCGAAGACTTCGCCAACATCGCCATCCCACACAGACGCCTTCTGCACGAGAATAGCGGGTCTGAAGAAGAAGCGAGCCGCATGTGGATCCTCGAACACCCAAACAGATACCACCACACACCAGCGGTGGTTATCACGGTGCCTCACGACGAGCCGCCAGAAGAATTGCGTTCACTCCAAGCCCACATGAGCCGTCGAGAGCATCTCCGTGATGAGAATGGGGAATTGCGGACAGGCTTGCCAGTTCAGCGGAGACTGAGGTCGCGTTACCGTTTGAGCGAGGATGGACGTGTGATCGCGGTCCTTCCAGACTTCTATAAGGACGAGAGTCGTGGAGCCATCAAGCGAACGCCGAAGCCAGAGACACCCAAGGTGAAGCCGACAGGAGCGGACGACAATGAAGACGCCTTCAGCTTCTTGTGGTTGGGCGACGCTCTGCTGGATGAGCAAGGCGAGGTGGAAAGCATGCCGAGCGATCAAGAGAGTCTAGACATGCACGCTGACTTGGCTGTGGCTCCTGCCGACATCCTGGGGAGGCCAGCTCAGTTGGATGTGGAAATATTCGGCATTTGCGGAGAAGATGGCCAGGAAGGAGAGATGGAATCGATCGCCACTCGGATGGGTCTTTGAGTGCAGCGGAGACTGCTACGGAGAACAAAGAAGAGGCATACCAATGGATCAAGGAAGGGAAGTTGGGCCAGACCACAGTACCAAGAGGCTGAAGGAAATAATCGACCGGCTGAACAACTTGGGGAAGGGAGAGAATGGTTCTTGAGATTTTGCACACGAGCGTTCGTCTGCTTTGGGACAAGACAAAGGACACTCATAGTTCGCACTTTGCATGGGTCTACGCACTGAAAGTTGCATTAGCTGTTGTGCAAAACACGATTTGAGGGAATTTGGGCAGGGTCCAGTACCAAAAAGCTAGACAGAAGAGCTGGCCGGCTGGTCAACATGGGAGAGGAGCGATGGTTCTTGAAATTTGAATACGAGCGTGTGTCTGCTTTGGGAGGAGACAAAGGGCGCTCAAGTTGTGCACTGAGTACGGGGCTACCTACTGGTCTTTTCATTAGCTACTGTACAATAAAGAAATTCCTTTGATCAATTCCACGTGCTCGCTGATACCCCAGTTCACCTGGTGGGACCTCACCAATGCTGCTGGTACGATTTTTGAAGCTCGGAAATGAGCTTCGCAGGTCCTCCAGAACGCCTCGCCAAATGTGGCCCATGATCTCGAATGCATGCTTGACAATTGCTCTTATTCCTGCTCATGTCAAGATCCGTTCAACGACCCATCAGTCCGAGCTCTTTTGTGCCTCTTCAAACTTTCTGGTACAGCGGACAGGCTACTAGTGCTCGTGTTGCGGGATGGTAAGTTCGAGATGTGCGTAAAAGATCCAGTCCTGCTCCTAGACAATCTTGGTGTCGCGGCTCCTGACTCCAGGGAAGTTTCAGATGACCTGAGGTCTACAGTAGATGCAGCTCTGCTTGACCGTCTGCTTGACAATCGACTGGGCCCTTCCAGGTCCAAGTCGTAGTCGAAAATGTCAACTTCGCCATTGTTCCGTACTGTATTCTTCATTTGCAGTATTTCCTCCAAGCTCAGTGTGCTTGAAGCTTTACGTGACGTTGGAGAGCTAGTGTCTTGCGCTGGAAATGTGAATTTGCCGCTGTTCGCTCGAGAGAGTCTATTTGGAGGAGTCACATCAGTCCTCGTGCAGCTCTCTGGTATTTCTGGCTCAAATTCATACACAGTCGGTAGCGGGGGAGTATGACTTTGTGGGGCAGTTTCAGCGAATCTTCTTGGCTGTACTCTTGGTGGTGACTGCTCATGAAACACAATCCTGGGCCGTGGACGGACGAACAACAGCCAAACGGCATCCAGAAGGTAGTGGAGTCCTTCAATGATAATGTAGAGCCATGCTCCCCAGATGCAGAGTGATAGCTTCGGATTGCGCAGAAAGACGATGGGAGATGCCAGTAATGCTGGTATGAAGAGGAAGGCTGCAACTGCCAGGAATAGACAGCCCACGATGGCCGGAGTAATGCCGTTCATGCTGTTCTCGGTCTCGGGCACGGTTTCGTGTGGTTGGTTCTGCCAAGCAGTCTGTTGCTGCTCGCTCACGCAGCGACTCACATAATGTCGATGTGATAACGTCCAGCTTTTGATGCTGTTGATGGAAAATGCTGTAGAAAAGGCCCGATGGTGTTCAATTGTTGAGTATGTTGTGCGTTGTTGAGGCGAGAGAGCTCGGTTCGGTCGCGAATGCCTCGCAACTCCTCAGCTGACTCAGCGTCGCTCGCTCATGCCACGCGGAGTTGTAGCCGCATCTTGGCAGAGTATATTCTGACCTCATGTCATGGACGTGCCGAATGATGTGCTGATGAATCCAGTATTCCTGAGCTTCTGGATATGGTCCCCCGATTTCATTAGAGGCTTGAGTGAACACTCAGAAAGTGCTTTTATTTTTGTTGCATTCACCTGCTGGCATCGTCTGGTCCTCGGCCATTGGCATTGACATTGTCCTGCTGCTGCAGTGGTGCGACGATGGCAGAAGCTGGCAAGATGGAGTTCCCATGGCATCTGGGAGTATTCGATGCACATTGCCACCCAACAGACACTCTTTCAAGTCTTCAGAGTATTCCTGGGATGCGTGCAAATGTGCTCACAGTCATGGCCACCCGTGCACAAGACCAAGACCTGGTGGCAAACGCCGCAGATGATTTCGGAGTGACAGAAAGCGAAGCAGACCGAGAAGAGACGGACTGGAGGTAGGTCAAAGGACCTATGAGACCAACTTTGGGCTTTTGTATATTATCTGGAACTGACATCTCGTCAGTGAGCTACACAAGATCATTCCAGCATTCGGGTGGCACCCATGGTTCTCTCACCAGATGTTTGACGAGGCAGAATATGATAATGCCTCGTCTCTCAGCTCTGAGCAGAGGATCGCACACTATCAAAGCGTGCTCACGCCAAAGTCAGAAGATCAAGAATTCCTGCGATCTCTTCCGGATCCTCGACCTTTTGGCGAATTTCTGGCCCAGATGCGGGAGTACTTGCAGAAGTATCCTCTCGCACTTGTGGGAGAAGTCGGATTGGATCGTGCATTCCGTATACCAGAGTCATGGCTGCCAAGTCAACAAGATGGCCGAAATGAGAGCTTGACACCAGGAGGCAGAGAAGGGCGGAAGCTCAGCCCATACAGAGTCAGCATGGAGCATCAGAAGAAAGTGCTTCTTGCTCAGCTTGCCTTGGCTGGAGAGTTACATCGTGCTGTCTCATGTCATGGCGTGCAAGCTCATGGCGTAGTATACGAAACGCTGGCGCAGACCTGGAAAGGTCATGAGAGAAAAGTCTTGTCCAAGCGCGAGCAGAAGAAATTGGAGGCTGCAAGAAAGGCAAACGCAGAGCCTGAAGAAGATGAGGAGCCAGACGAGGAGTCGGGACCAAAACCGTATCCTCCTCGTATTTGTCTGCACTCTTTCTCTGGACCTGCCGACACTGTCAAGCAGTACATTGCCCCATCAGTGCCTTGCGACATCTTCTTCAGCTTCAGCACCACAATCAATGCTTGGTCTGAGGATGGGCAAGGTAAAGTTGAAGCTTCTGTCAAGGCGGTCCCGGACAACCGTATCCTCATTGAAAGCGATCTGCACACCGCCGGCGAGCGCATGGATCAGTACCTCGAAGAAGGTGTCAAGAAGATCTGCCAGGTCAAAGGATGGGAGCTCGAGGACGGTGTGAGAACGCTTGCGCGGAACTGGAAGCGGTTTGCCCTGGGGAGACATGCCTGAAGGAGCCCTCGGCGGTGGGTTGCTGCCATCGACAAAGACTGACTGGATCTATGCACTGCTGTCAGCACTCCAACCTCAATGCGCCCCATAGTGCAGATGCATGCTCATGTCTCATCACCTCCCCGACCCTATTACCCTGCCCTGAGTCCATCACCACATTGATCTCGATCCATCTTCGACTGTGGCCATCCGCCTTTGAGCTGTCTCGACAAGGTCTCTGTTTCCTTTGTTCACGGTCGCGGTCTCACCCCATGAGACAAACCTGTCACAAGGACTTGCAACCCCGTAGGCAATACTGTCTCTGTGCAGCAAACATGCGCCAATGTACAAAACATTTGAGCTTCCCGCTTCATGGTTGAAGTTCGCTCAGGGCAACCGGATAAAGTTAGTCATCATGCAGCACTTTCGCTCCGATCAGCCGGCCAGTTACCTGACGCCAATGCCGCTCTTTTCGGACAATGCGCTTGTTGATACAAAGCCCTTGACGTTCGAGCGCGTCGCCAATACTCGCACCACAACAACTTATAATCCCGCTTCAACGCAACGCGGGCGTCGCTTCGCTTCAGTAAACAACAGCTACCCTAACTTTCCCGCTACAACGTCAACACCGACACACAACACTTACAGCCAACAACTTCGCTCGCCCTTGAACCCCATCTCGCACAACGCTCGACCATCACGAGCATCCTTCTCGCAAACAACTGCACCTGCGGACTCCAAACCCTACACGCACAACCCGGACCCACGGTCTGAAACACCATTCAACATGCAGAACCAAATTCAGCCCCCGACCGGCGGTCCCGCCCTCCTCACAGCTCAGTTCCAGCGAGTGCTACAGGGTATTGATCAACCACTGCGAATCACTGGCACAGCATCTGCCCTGCAGAAGTTGACCGACATCCTGAACGCTGGATTCTACATCAGGCGCCTCAACGACACGTCGGCTACCACGGCCTTCGAACTGTCCCTGCGGCCTTACCAGATCAAAGGATTCTTTCCGACCGATGCGGAGATGACCTCCCTGTCCAATTTGCCAAAATGCCTGCAACTTGCTTCTGGGTTCAACTCCGACCAAGATCTCACCATGGCTCCGACCGAGAGTGCTGCGAACCACATCTTACCGCCACTCGCTGCGCTGCGCGTAATCGATGGCGCCCGAAGGTACATGGAGATCGGAGACAGACTTCGTCATGGCTACAAATACTGCTTCGACATGCTCATCCTAACTCGCGTCAACAACCATCAATTCCTCGTACATGAGTTGCCATTATCATCAGGAACGACACCCAGTACCCACAGTGTGCTACTGTTCCGTCAATTTGTACGCAACGAGCAGGGCAACCTTACAGAGGAGTGGTCACCGTCCATCACTGTTCGAGGCATTCCACCTCCACGCGCTCAGCCCATACCCGTCGGTGCTCCTCTCGCTGCCAATGCTCCTCCTGTAGCTGGCCCCTCAAACCAGCCGCAACCACCCATGCCGCCCGCCGCCCAGCCTGCTCAAACAGCACAGACCACCCACAACTGGGGCAATGGCAATGGGGTGGATCCACTCATAGGCGTGACAGACCCGAACACGGTGGAGGGCGATCTCATTCTTCGCGTAGCCATGCGCTACACCAACAAGGAGATTCACCAAATACTCGCCGACAAAGGCAGCACTGCGAAGTACAACTCCATCACAAAGCGTATCAGCAACGCTCTCAAAGCACAAGCTAGAGCTGAACTCCAGCCTGGTGAACGATTGAATGCCAAGTGCAATGCGTTGCGCGAGGAATTCGATACGCAGCGTAATGCGAGTTTGGGTCGCCAGCCTGCGCAGCGTGGTGGGGGCAACGGAGGTGTTGGCAAGAGCAAACGCCGCAAGACTGGATCGAAGACATTTGTGGCGGGTGATGACTCTGACATGGAAGAGGAGTTCGATGAGATGGATCTCGATAAGGAAGAAGATACAGACATGGAGGATGACGAGGAGGATGGCGCTGGAGGCGGGTACTCACTTCGGAGCTCAAATCGCGCACCTCGTGCAAACACCGCCGGCCAGACCCAAGATGAAGTTGACGTGAACGATGTCGAGGACGACTTGGGAGGACAGGACGACGGCGACGATTCTGACGGCAGCGTGTATGACGGCACTTAGGAGGGTTTGGGGAGAAATTGATAGATCGATGGAGAACAAACTGATAGATTGATAAAATGGATAAAAGAATCGGCCTGCTTCTGCGCTGCATTGACTCCACTGCAGGTTCGTGATATGTTTGACCATGAAGAGACATCCCTGCCTCGTTCATTCTACGATGTACTCGAACGAGCTCCAAGTCCAAAGGCATATCGCCTTTCTTTGTCACCTCATTTGTGACATCTCTTTGTTGCAAACACTGCACCCCAGATAAATATGTAGCTTCCCACATTGAGTCCTCTCCACACCCGTCTCCTTGTTCTTGTCGTCAATATGCTTCTCTTCCTTACGCTTGTAACGCAAGGTCTATACGACTTCGAGTTCTGCTCATATAGCCCAAACAAAGGCCCGGTCCTGAACATGGGACATCTCGCTCGCCATGGATCTCAGCAAAGCAGACCGCCTGGCCCTGCAGCTGCTGATGCCCCCAGTGAAATTTGAGGCATTCCTTCAACCAATGGCGAGCAACTATTGCCAGCGTGCGGGTCGCTGGTCGGGCTGTCAAGCTACCCTTGCTGCAGCGGAGGGCGGAGTGCAGGTCGAGCGGGCTTGGCAGGACTCTCTCAGACAGTGCGATTGAGGGTCTTCTGTCCCTAAGACGCAAACTTCTTTGCAGTTGGTCAAGTTCCCAACATCTCGAGCTGCCACTGTTGCGAGGACCATCTCCTCGTCAGCCTGCACTGGAGCTCCCCATCGTCTCGATCGTTCTCGCCAGCGACCCCTGCCCGCCTTCCTGCCCTCCTTCCTTCCCGCCGATACGGCCAAATGTAAGTCCAATGCGCCCATCATTCTCTTGAGCGCTTCCAGACGACTGACCACATCGCTTAGTCGCCATGTCTGGCAACGTAGGGACAGAGGCGCCGCCTCACTACTTCACAATGGACGACCTTGAGTTCTTGCGCGCAATCTCGGCTTCATGAAAGTCGAGACTCTTATGCAGGTCATTCGCAACCAGTATGAGGGAGACACCCGCTCTACGCTCGACTATGCCGATCTCGATCAACTCCTCCCCGCCCTCAACATGGCGATGTGGGTGGCCAAGGGCCGTCCCCAGCAGCAGCGCGTGGCACAATCCGCAACACCATCGCAAGCCTCTTCGCGAGCCACGGACGACCAGGCTAATCCATCGCTTCCTGATGGTCTGGCTCCCAACAGCCCCACTTCGCCGCCGCCGCCGCCAGCTTTGCAGCAAGTTGAGCAGCCCCAGCTCACGCACCACGAAGCATCATCTTCGTCAAGCACTGCGGTAACGCCAGCTCCATCCACGGCAACGGATAGCTTGACTTCCAGCATCATTAAAAGCAATCAGACTGGAGATACGGAGGCTACGCAAATCACGCATTTGCAAGAATACGGAAATGGGAATGCCTCACCGGCAGCACAGCCAGTCACGACGTCTTCCAGTAATGATGTCAGCGCTTTCCACGCTCAATCCCAAGCTCTCTCGGCAGCCACTGCCAGCAACATAGCACCCAGAAAGAAGGCCAAGAGCACGGGCCTTGCCAGAGCAAAGAGCAGGCCGACGTTCGTTGTCAACCCACACCACGCTGACATGGGCATTTTTGCTGGGAAGACTGTGGATGAGATTCTCACTCCCAATAACGGCATCAGTACCGAAGAGTTTTTTTGGGGCTCGTGCCTTGTTCATCTCAGCTCACTCCAGCGGCCACAAAGATGCCGTGGAGAAGATCAATCAGAAGCGCAAGGCAGAAGGATTGCCTGAGATGAGATTCAAGGACAGGACGTGGAACCATCGGCTGGAGGACGCTCTCATGCACAAATTGGGTCGTGCAAACTACGACAGCTCCTTGGAGGAAATTCGCGACGCAAGGAAAAATGACCAAGCGCGTGCTGCCTATGTCGCTATGTTGATGAATGATCAGACCAACGAACACAACCCGACAAGCGTTTGTACGGAGGAGTCTTGCATCGGCAAGCGGGCTCGTGCACAGAAGAAGTCACTGAGCGCTTTGAACGCCTCTACACCAGCGAATGGAGGCTATGGCACTCCGTACGCGACAGGCTCGGCAACTGCGAGTTTGTTTGATGGGTCGAGCAGCGAGACGCCTGCCAGTGAAGTTTTCAATGCCAACGCCGGGACCACAGCGCCTAGCTCGCTCAAGCACGCACGAGATGTCAACAACGCCGAGCCAGCCTTCGAGCAACCGGACGGGGTCAACATCAAGCGTCGAAAGGCTCGGCAGGGCCGGGTGTTGAGAGGGAATGGGCAAGCACAAGGATCCGACGATCCTGCTCTTGACCCAGCTCTCTTTTCCAGCAATCAAGCTCAGAGCCGTGCGCCATACCATCAATACTCTCAGCAAGGCAATGCAGGGTTGATTCAAAATGGATATGCACCAGTTGCTGAGGCCCACAATCACCCGCCTTCTACCTTTACTGCACCTGGCCTCCATGCCGCTACCACGTACTTCGATGACCAGGCCAGCGACAGCATGAGGACAGAAGACGTCGATGGTGCGGTTGTCCACCAGCAGGTTGACGATGAACAAGGCTTTGGAGAGGTCGCTCAGAGCTTTGAAGAAATCACTGCACACGTGGGCGGCGGCATTGATACTCACCACGACGGCCCTGCGCCAACGCACTTCGACCAACACAACGATTGAGGCGTCTAATATGGGCATGGTCTGAGCTACCCAAGGAGCGACAGATCTGAGCAAGGACTCAATATGGGACACGGTAATGGCACAGAGAGTATGGGTGGATAATTGCTTGCTGGATTCGCCAGCACCGCTGAATACCACGCTCAGCACTTGCCACCATACTATGGCAGCGGCAGTGCCTCTCAGTTGAGCGATGGAACATCGTAGACTGCTCCGAGTTTTATGGTTGGCTAATGAGAGACGGAAGTTGATTTTGAGAATCGAAGGACGGCTTGACGACGACGTTACGAGTTCCTTTTTCTTTTCAAGGTCTGGTGAGGGAACGACGAGAGACGAACGACGAATTTTATAGCATGCATCGAACTTTGACTATACAACAGCAGCAAAGGGCTTCAATAGAATATCGCGAACGATTCCATGATATCGGCGGAAGAGAAATGACAACAGCGTCTGACGGCTAGGAGGCAATCGTACAGTGTTCGCCTCAATATACAACTCACAGCATCATCACGCCAATGCGTCTTCATTCAAAACTTACGCAGACCTCAATATCACCTCTGACCAAGCACAGCACAACGAAGCAGCTGACCACGACTGCATTGAAATGCTCGCGAGCCTCGACCTATGTAGATGTCTCCGTCAAGCCATGACCGCAGCCCAGTCCAGCAAAGTCTCAGTGCAGAACATGTCACACACCAGCTCAAGTGTTTCCCTGACAGCAGGCCCGTGAATTTACCCAGCCACTGGGTCCAAGCAATGTCTAGCATTGGCGACGGCCCGATAGGTGAGGCGCTAATCCTTGCTAGATCAGCCTTGGCGTCGGCTGTCTAAACAGTGCCTACATTCAGCTTCGCTCTCCTCTTCTCTTCTCTTACCAACACAGGAGTCGGACTGTGCTCGCGCTTGATCAACACCTGTCCCCTCCACTGCAGTCGCGTTCAAGAAGACCTGCTCAACGGTCCCCGCTTGCACAATTCCAGTCAGCAAAACAAGCCCCTGGTACCGACATGGACACCCCCTCAGGTAAGCCGCGACATTGGCATCTCAATTCATGCGCGCATACTGATCTCAGCACCTAGGTATCGCACCCGCGGCAGCCACAGCGGCAATGTCAACCCGCCAGATCACCATGACGGAGTTGAGGCAAATCCGCGACAACTTCGGATTCGTCAAAGTGGGGGATATCGTCGCTGCCATTCAGGATATGGGGTCTGATCATGACGCACTTCGACTGCGTGATGTCGACATGGACGAGGTTCTTGCCCGTCTCAACTAGGAGTTGAGAGAAGTAAGAGCCCGTGCATTAGGTCAAACACATCAGCCAGAGGCTGGGGCGTCAGTCGCAACATCAAGCTTGGCGGCAAGCAATTTCCCGACAGCCAACATGGGCGGCCAGCGTGTGGACGAGGGAAATGCGCTGTCTTACCCACCCATTGAAGGTGCAGATGTTCAGCCTGCGTCGGTATCCGCTCCGTCTATGGCCACATCGCCGCAGTATTCTCAGCAACCACTGAGCCATGATCATCAAGGCCAGCTCACTGCCACGGTCAACAGCACAGCGTCTAGGAAGCAACGCAAGGGCGGAAACAGACGCCATATCAAGAGCACAGTCAACATCGTTGCCGAACCCCACCACACAAAGTTGGGGTTCTTCGCTGGAATGACCATCGCGCAAATATTCAGGCCTGGAAACGGCATCGATATCGATACCTTCTTCGGCGCTAAGGCGTTGTACATCGCAGCGCATATCCCCTCACCGAAGAGAGTTGAGGCAATGATCAACGAGAAGCATCAGGCGGAGAACAGCACGGATGAGGATCTGGTCAAAGAAAAGCTTTTCGACAAGCGGCTCGCGGGTGCTCTCAACCACAAGTTCGGCCCGGACAACCTCCAGCGCTCGAAAGACGCACTGAAGCTTGCTCAGAAGACCGATCAAGCTCGTCAAAACTATATTGCCATGCTGGTAGCCGATGACAGCTCTGAGCTCAACCCGATAAGCATCTGCACATATGCCGGCTGCCCCGCAAAACACGCGCGAGCACAAGCATCCCAGAGTCGTTCGAGTGCCTCAACTCCTGCCGCATCATCGTCCGCCATTGCCTCTGCCACCGGTGTCGGTCCTGGGCCAGCCTCTATGGGCGAGACAAGCAGCGAGGAACAGATGATTACGTCTTACGCGGCGGCCGCCGAGACAGTTGGTGGCGCATCGTCACGCCTCCACAAGCGTGCTCACGATACACAAGGCTCTGATACGAGCTGCGAGACATTGAGCAGAGCTGTTTCGAAGCGTCGCAAGTTGAGTGATGAGAATGCTGCACATCGCGAGCAGCAGCAAGGAGAGTTTCGCGCTCAGCCTGATAGGCTGACGACGCTCGCTGCTAGCAACCACAACAACGAGAGCTCATTTGTTCCCAACCATCATTCGGAGGACCAAGAGGAGGTTGCTGGTATTCAGAGCCAGCATTTGCTGGGCAACTCTCACCTTGACCACGCCGAGGGTGCAGAGAGTCTATCGGTGCATCAAGGAATTTCCGCAGCTGTCAGTCATCATTCAGCTCCATCGACTCTTGCACAGCCAATCGATGCCGCAAGTGGAATGGGTGTTGGAATAGCCGAAGCATCGAAGGGCCCTGATCACGGGCAGCAAGACATCGAGGACACCATCACGCAAATGGGTAGTGGGCTATATCCGAGCATGGAGCCACCAACATCGACAACTCCTTACTATCATGAGGGCCCAGCCGCCCTGAATGAGTTTGCGCAAGATGTCGACAGCAGTCTAGAATTTGAGCAACAAGACAGCTTTGATGCTGGCAAAAGCGGCCTGACACTAGGCGAGGAGCATCTGCTGGGCAACAATGGAACTACTACCCACCAGATGGTTGACAGTGAGGGCAATCGGGAGAGCTACATGAGAGGCAACAAGTTCCAGCTGGATCCAGAGCTCGACACGCTTGGGCATTCTGAAGAGGGAGGCGATTCCATTACCCTCTGAGGTATTGTACACAGATCTTCAGCATTTCGCGAGCACTGAAGGGAATATGAGATGAGACTGAGCGATTGAAGTTCAGAAGACTTGGCAAGTGGCAGGCCAAGGATCACTTTCACTTTTTCAAAGTGCAAGTAGCTGGCTGCAGATCATCCTGGAGAGTGTTTCCCAAATTTTTGGTTCAGCAAGCATGTCCAGAGAGACATGGAACGAAAGGGAGAGACTGAGATACGAGTTACGAGGATTAGATCGGGCAGGCTTTGTCGTGCAGCCATGAAAGATGCGATCCTAATTGTAACAGCAAACACAGAGGAAGGAATGATTTGCCTGTCAGCCCGAATATCTCATCAGTAATGCTCATCGTTTGCAGCGACAGCAGTCCCTAGTGCCCCATGACTCCTGGTAAGAGCAAAGAACTGTGTTTGCTCAATCAAGTCATTGACACTACATAGAAATTAACCATGATTCGAAATGATCTCCTTACCAGCTACAACCATCGGGAACGCCCACTTACCAGCTCCCTAGGCCTGAGAGGCCGCAGTACTTGGACTCCCAGGTAACCACTTTCATGCCATCATCAACCAACGACTCCAATATATCTATGCAAAACTCACATAGATGTACATCCTGTCCCCAAATCTGGCCGCTACTGGTGGCAGAGCGACATTGGTCGTGGCTGATTGCCGCTCTCATCTTCGCTGCCATTCGTAGGCGATAACTTTCAGCAACGAGCGGTCCTCGACAGTTGATCAAGGAGATTCAAGCACGCGACCTTTGCCTCAAATCACCCATCCACGAAGCCCATCATCGCAACACTCTAGCCACTTTCAGCTACATGCTGCATTGACGAACGTCATCTTTTCCGCCCTGATTAGCACGTGGCTCCGCGCTGTTCACTATTCCAACAATGACTTTGTTCTTAAGCGGCCCACGGGACAAAGTGACTGGACAAGGGCCGTGGGGGAGCATCAGCCCAGCTGCGGGAGCGTCACTAGCGCGTATGCGAGTGAAGTGCCGCAACACGACGGAGCACTGCACGCTGCTTTCAAAACATCAGTAGGATCCTTTCTCTCCCTTCTATCAATGTACTCCCCAAAGCTTGACAGCCCCAACTTCGAAACACCAGCATCGACACCTCTTATTCCAGCAGGGCATCGAAAAGTTCTGTTTCAACAGCACTACGATATCACAAGGCCACCACGAGAGCTTTTCCTACAGCCCACAGGTATTCGAACTCCCACTTACTGCCTTCGATCCTGACTGACACCGTAAAGAAACAGTTATCGATCATCATGTCGAAACCAAAGCTCCTCTGGGGGCTGTCCATCCAGCAGCTCGAGTCTATCGCCGACTCAACGCCATACATGACCGTTGCGGAGCTTGTGGAAAAAGTCCACCAAGTCGCCGGGGATGATGATAGCAACGATGAGACTTCAAACCGCGAAATCTTTCAGATTGTCAGCGTCTCAGAGATACAGGACGCAGAGAGTGTCCTTCAGCCGAAGGTGCCATCTCAGCAGCCAACGCAGCCTTCTCGTGCTGCTAAATCTGCGGCTCAGGACCCGTCATCGAACAACGTCAAAGACATCCCAGTTCCCACCCCTGGTTCATATTCAGCCTACGCAGCAGCGGAGCTCTCTGAGGCAAGCGCTATTACTCCGTCAGGGCAAGATCATCTTCAGTCCCTCTATCCACCAATGACCACAATTGGCACAAGCTCTCAATCCGCCGCAGCTACGTCTGCTGCCAACAGCGGAGACTTTCTTCCCAATTCAGTCGCGCCCACCTACGGGGTATCTTCTTTCACGAACAGTACGCCGGGTGTCTCTCAATATTTCCCACAGCAGCCAGTTCTGGCATCTGGACCGCATACAGGCGCCCGTCAATCGCTCTTCCCTCAAGACCACCACGCCAGTCTGGAGTCCTACGGCCACATGAATGCCGAGAATCTACTCGCACAAGGTAACGGCATTGACATCAGCCAGATCTTCGGCGGCCTCATCCTCCGAATCGCTCTTGAAAAGATGCCAGAGAGCAAGGTCACCAAGATGTTGAATGATAAACGAGCAGTAGATCGCCCTTCAGCTCGCGAGATTCGTTCAACCAAGACTTTTCGCAAACGTGTGGAGAATGCCATTAGGCACATATTCGGAGCTTTTGACGATGCTAGCTACAAGGCACATCGCAGCACCTTTAACGCAGCGCAAAACGACCCAGTGCTGCGTACCGAGTACATCGCCATGCTACAAGACCGGAAGACATTCCTCATCAACCCACGCAGCCGGTGTGAACGTTGCACCAAGAACAAGGACATGACAGAGAGCAAGTCGAACCAGAGTGTGACAGGACAACTGCAGCAGAGCTCACCACAGTTGTATGGAGGTGTGCACACGGGTAGCTCATTTCCAGCTCTGAGTGCTGTACCCAGCAGCTGGACAATCGAGAGCATGTTGAACCCACCAACTCCTGCAGCTCCTGCTCAGTCAATGCCTGCTCCACGCCGCAAGCGTCCTGCTACGGCATCAAACACACAAGCTATCCACCCTGCTTCCAAGCGACGACAAGGAGCAGGTTACGGCGCAGATCAAACATCACAATTGCCGCAGCCAGATTCCACGAGTGAGACATACGCTATGCCGCCTCAGCATTCATACCAGAGCGAGGCAAACGAACGCAATGAGACGAGTGAACGCACTCAGTCACAATACCCGGCTGATGAATCTACTCTCGCGAATGGTTTGCTAGACTTTCTGCATCCACCATCACAGTCAACATTCGAAGTTGGCTCATGGATGCAAGAAAGCACTGTTCCGGCCTCCAGTCCACCAGTGCCACGCTACACATCCTACCACAATGACAGAAGCAATGTGGACATCCCGCCCTCCAGCCCGCCGGTACCTCGCTACACGTACTACCATGAAAACGCAGGCAACATGGGTAGCGCTATCAACAGTGATGCAGCGGCCGCTATGGGAGTCACTACTTCGGCTTATGGCCGATCAGATGGTTATCTCATCAGCGACGCTCCTGGCGATGCGGTTCAACAACTCGGCTCGGATGGAACATTTTCACAATGGCAGCCACCACAGCAGAGTACTCTCGGCTCGGATTTCTGGGGCAACGAAATGCCAGCTGACGAAGGAGCTGAAAGGCGCCTGGAGAGGAGCCACAGGAAACCCAATAGAGGCCAACAGAAAGAACAAGAGGCAGGCGGCCGACGATGAGTAGGGATACTCGGAGCATGAATGCAGGCAGGTCCAGAATTTAAGAGGTTCAATCGTGGCCCGCGGTGTTCGGTTCACAGCAAACCATGCTCAATATATGGATTTGATTCTTTCGGAGCTGTGTCAGTAATTTCTCAACAATTGCAGGATCGAACGACATTGCAGCGGATCAGACAGAGCTGACTGGAGAATTTGGGAGGCATTGGCACTCTCCTTCAGACTTTATCGAACAGGCCAGGTGGAACTGCAGTACAATTCACGACTACGAACACGATGACTGGAGCGAGAGGACTCATTGGAAAGCTTCCACTTTTGATGAAGCGATGCAGCTACCCGCAACGAAACTCTTCACCTACTTTTTTGCATGCACTTACCTTCTATTATACGCGTTCCTCACGGATTTTCCGGGTCCTGCTTCCCATTGTCTGTACCGCCGTCACCGCCGCTAGACCTGGTTAGAGTGTTGCAAGTCACATGGATCAAGGGCCAAGACGCTCCTTAGCAAGCGAGTGAATCTCGTTCACTGTGAAGGTGATGGAGGCCTGGGCCGGAGTTTCTCGTGCCAGCGTCGAGATGTTCGCTTGCCTTCCCCTTCCCGCTACCGATCTCGGGCTCATAGTCAGCTTGAACAGCGTGGTAGAGTCTCAGCATCGCCGAAACAGGAACACTGTCGTGTATCGGTCAAGCGATGAGCGCGTGAAAAGACTCTGCATGTGACTGCAAGCAGCCAATGAGCTCTTCGGAACAGCTGCGGGAGCATCACTAGCGTGTTTTCGAGTGAATAGCCGCAACGCGGCAGTCAACCGCACGCTGCCTTCATGACAGGAGTTGTGCAGCACTGACACCTGCACATTCTCTCATCACTCCACGCCCAAGGATCCGAAAAATATCTGTACTGTAGCAGAAGTTGTACAGCACCCTCCACGAACGGTAGGTCGGCAAAACCATCGCAAGTCCATACGAAGCCTTCAACTGACATGAAGTAGCAACAGACGCCTGCAGCAGTCATGGCGGGGCAGGAGACGCAGTCGGGGATCTCCATGCACTATCTGGAGTCCATCGCCCGCGTGTCGCCCTACATGACTATTGCAGAACTGGTTGCATTACTTCATGAGAACGACGCCGCCGATCCTCACAACGGCGCCACATCAAGCACAGAGTCGCTCAGCTTGACGAGAGCCTCCGATGGTCCACATGGAGAGGCTCTTGACGTTCGGTCGGCGGCCGTGGACTCGAGTGCTGCATCGGTTCAGAGCGCTCCCCCAACGTCTCAACCTCCAACAGATGCCCCAGCGGCCAACACCCAGGGTCTTTCGCAATTAGTTCCCCAAGGCGTCTCGTCATTCGAGGCGCAAGATACCTCAATATTGAGTGCCACGCAGCAATTCGATCAGCAAACCGACAGTGGCCATCAAGACAGTGTGCAGTCCGTTTCGATTCCACCGTCATCAACCACGACACCACAGTTGGCTCTCGATGATGCGAATGGCGGCACCGATGTCTCAAACCCCGGGTTCCAAGCAGGATTGACAAACAACCTCACGCCAACTGCATCTCAGCCAACGCCTCTGAACCAGGCACTGGGTCTCAATGCAACACCAGGGGTCACGACAACGTCTGTCAGAGTGGGTCGCAACCACGCAACTCTCGAGATATGCGGCGATAAGACTGGAAAGCAGCTCCTTGAGGCCAACAGCGGTATCGACACGAAGCAGATTTGCGGTGCTCGAGCTCTTCTCGTTGGGCTCGCCGGTATTCCCTTCACCAAAGTCGCAGGAATGCTTAATGCAAAACGTGAAGGCGAGCAACTACAAGATGGAAAGCTCATGTCCACGAAGGCTTTCGATAAACGCGTCGAACATGCCATCAGGCACATCTTCGGCGTGCCCAAGGGAGCTGCTTACAAAGCGCGCCGCAACGAGTACTCAGACGCTCAAAAGGACCCTGTCCTTCGACAGAAGTACATCGACATGCTGAAGGATCCGGCAACCTACCAAATCAATCCGACTGAGCAGTGTGAAGGCTGCAACAAGAATCAGGCGACCCAAGATGCAACACAAGACCCACAACATGTCTCTCAGGCGGCTGCAGCCGGTCTCACGCCTGTTTCCAACCCGTCTATGGCACCAAATGTCCCAAATACCAATGCGGCAGGTCTCAACACCATTTCGAGCGTGCCTGGTCAGAGTGGCCCCGCGGCGAAAGCTCCGCGTCGCAAGCGAAAAGCAGCTGCCTCTGATTTGCACAATGGCGAAGACAGCACCAAGAGATGGCAAGGCGAGCCTCAAACAGGATACCCGCAAGCACAATCCACTTACGGGCACTCGTTCTTTCAAGATGCTACTACATCATCTCAACCAGCTTACCCTCAAGCACCATTAACTCAAGGGTATTCGTTCATTCAAGGTGATCAATCAACTTACCAGAGTGCCACAACTGGTCCTTCCAATCTCCCGGCATTCCCAGCACACCAGGCCCAAGTCATGGCGCCCATCGCCCAATTCAACGCCGAGCACAGCGACAGAGCATCACGCTACGGCAACGCACCTCAGCAGAGCACATACATCCCTTCAAGTCCGCCGTTAGGACCATACACGCCCCAGGACAACGTGGGAAGCTTCGATAGCGAGGGCAACTTCGATCTGAACCTGTTTACCAACGCACCAAACAGCGACATGGGCTTCGCCACATCTGAGTTCGGCAATCTGAGCAACGTGAACTTGAGCGGATTCACTTCTGACGCTTTTAACGGCTTTGACCAAGACCGATTTTTCTTCAGTGAGGCCAACCCAACTTTTGGCGGCGTTCAACAGCCCAACATGAGTGACTTCTTCCCGCAGTACAACGAGCCGAGCTCAGCTGTTGGACAGTACAATCCACCAGCTAGTCACCTGTACAACGAGCGAAGCTCAGCTCTTGGGCAGCACGATCCACCAGCTGATGAGCAGGCCAATGCGCCGAGCTCAGCTCACGGGCAGTACGACGCGTCAGCTGATGACCAGGGCAGTGATGGAGGAGACCAAGACTCTTCTGAGCACGGTCACGAGCAGAATTAGTAGCTGGAGTGCCAGGATTAAAAGGAGCTTCGTGATGTTTCCGAACAGCTTCGACGAGGCCAGAGAGAGAGGTACGAAGGATTATCGCAACGCATGGAGGTTTCTGAAGCGGCTTGGAAGCAGTCATGGACGTTCAAAGCAATTTTCCATTTTATGAGAGCTGTAATTTTACATTAATAGACATTATCAACGCAATAAGAAACTTCGCTGAGCTTTGCGTCTTGTTCCACTGCCAATTGCCAAAGTCGTTGTACTTACCTCTCTCAGTCTTTCCGAGCCGCGCATATGCTGTCTGCATTACTGTTGCCAAAGCACGTTTCTGCCTAGTGTCCGTCACCATCTGCACACATACTGTCTGCTGGGCATAAGTTGAAAAAGAAGGCGTTGCCGTCGATCCCGGAGAAGTGACTGACGCCACAGGTCTGGGATCAGCAGCCGTACTGTATACGGTCCCGGACACTATGTGTATACGCTGTCGATCTGCAGAGGAAACCGAAGTGCGAGGCGAGTATTGCTGCCAACTCCCAACAAGTGCTGGTCACAAAATTTGGTCGGCCTAGCGTGACCAAACACAATTTAGAACAGCGTACCACTCCCGCACAAGGTCTTTTCCAGTGAATCTGTGCGTGAGAATCTTTCTTGAATGGTGAGCGGGAGTGTGAGACAAGTACCAATGTCGATTTTGACTCCTTGCTGGGTCTGAGAACGAATTGTGCTCCCAGGCGCCGAACCCAAGCGCCGCATGTCAGGAACGTATTTCGTGGGATCTGGAAGCACTCAAACTCTCATGTTAGGATGGGACCTGGAGCGCGAGACGACTGTTGATGGTCCTTGAAGTGGCCGGTGTGGAATTAGAAGAACAGGAAACGATTCTAGGCACCAACGACGAGTGTGTGACCTCCGCCGGAAAGCGTTCCATTCGATGGAAATACACTCAAATACGCATCTTGAGTCGGGAGCCGAAGTGCGGAACGAGTGCTGGTGCCCCTTCCACTGGGTGCTTGGTATCAGGACGGATTTAGTTTCCAGGCACTCAACACAAACATGCCATCTCCGGACCGCGTCTTGTTCGATGGAATACCACTCAAATACTTGATCCCAATTGGAAGCGGGAGTGCGAGACGACTTTCCGTGCTCGCTCGATGGACTGCTGGCCATGAGAACGAATTCTCTTTCAAGTCAACAAACCTGCGAAAGGCATCCCCGCAACACGTCTCATTCAAGATTAACGCGTTCAAAGACTTATTTCAAGCCACGACCTGGAGTCGGTAACATGTGTTGTTGCTGCCCGTCCATCTGCGAGCTGGGCTTCGAAACGGCTCGAGCACTCCGGCATCAAACCCACGCGTCTCAATCCCCGGAACGCGTCTCATTCGATGGAAAACCAGTCAAAACCTTGATTCCAATTGGAAGCGGGAGTGCGAGACGACTTTCCGTGTTCGTTCAATAGGATGACAAGCAGGAGACCGGATCGCAACGCAACGCACCGAACCTCAGCATACCATCTCCGCACCACATCTTATGGGATGTTAACACGCTCAAAGACTTCTTCCAGGGCGCGACCGGGAGTCGGGAACATGTGTTGTCGTTGCCCGTCCATCTGCGAGCTGGGCTTCGAGACGGATCGAGCAATTCTGCATCAAATCCACGCGTCACAATCCCCGGAACGCGTCTTGATCGGCTTAGAAAGACTCAAATAATTGGTCCAAGTCGTGACCGGAGGTAAGAGTCGCGTGGTGTTGTTTGTTGAAGTAGCTGCTGGCCACGGGAGTGAAGCGAGTGACCGTTTCCGGAGAACCCAAGAGCGCTGACTCCCGCATCGCATCTTATTGGATTCTTACGCGCTCAATAACTTATTTCAAGTTAGGACCGGGGATCGGTGACATGTATTGCTGCTGCCCCTCGACCGGAGTGCTGTGCTTAGAAACGGGTCGAGCAACCACGCACCAGATGTACGCGTCTTAACTCCCGCAACGCGTCTCATTTGACGAAGAGGTGTCCAGAAATTCCGTCCAAGTCATGACCGGAGATCGGGAGACGCGTTATGTTGTCTGTTCAGCTCGCTCCCGGATGTCAGAACGGGCTGGACGGCCAGATATGAAACCTGATACTGCTGACCTCGGCATCGCGTCTCATTCAAATTGTACGCCTTCAAAAAGAATATCCAGCTCGTGACCGGAGATGAGAGACGAGTGGTGTCGCGAAAACACGCGGTTGGGGGAATTTGGGCTGGAAATCGAATCAGTTGACCAAATGCTGAAAGACCGCGTGCAAACTCCCGGACGCGATCTTGCTCGATGAATTCATGCCTCAGAACCTCTTTCAGATGGTGACCGGCGATCCGTCACGAAGAGTGCCGGGCGAATGGTCGCTGGTTGAGAAAATGGATTTGGTGACGCCGCACGTCAAAGGACACCACGACAACAATCCTCCCGCACTCCCGCATGTCATTTTGCTGGACAGAGGCGATATCAAACACTTCACGGAGATGACGACCCGAGGTGGACGTGATGATTCTCCGCCATTGGAGGCATTTCGGCACCAGACGTCAAATTCGCCTAGGCAGCAATTTTCGAAGCCACCAAAATGGTGCAGCACTCCAGCAAGGCACTTTATTCGACAGAAGGCTCCGTCAGCGGTTCCCTGAAATGACGACCCGAGATCATCGCTATCATCTTCCACAATTACAGCTGGTTGGACACGAAGCGCAAAATTGAGCTAGGAAGGAGCTCAGGAGGTCGCAACAAGAGTATGCCACTCCCGCATGGCATCTCACTGGAGAGATACACCCGTCAACACTTCAACGAGACGACGACCCCAAGTGGCCATGATGTTTCTTGGCCATTTTAGCCGGTTGGGCAAAAAGCGTGAAATCGGCCTGAGTAGGCCATCTCCAAGTCGCCGTATTGGCATAGCACTCCAGCATGGCATTCTGGATGATAGATACGTTCGTGAAAGACACACCGAGATGACGACCCGAGGTGGAGGAGATAATTCTGGACTATTTCGGCAGTTTGGTGAAAAGCGTAAAATCGGCCTTGAATGACCATTTGCAGGTCGCAACAAACGTTCAGCATTCCCGCATGGCATCTTGGCTGATAGATACATCCATAAACACTCTGCTGAGAATGCTACCCGAGATCAATACGATGGTGCTTCTCTATTTGGGTCAGTAGAGCACCTCGGGCACGGACGACTGAGATATGATGTCTGAGAGCATCAACAATCGCATAGCACTCCCGGAGCGAACTTTGCCGCCTGTATTATAGCGCAAAAAATGGATCCTGGTGGTGACCTGGCGTCGTGAGCAGGTCCTGCCACATGGTCGGGCCGTAGGAGGAGAACGTGGTCCCAATGACTGAGAATGCGGTAACAAAGGTGCAACACTCCCGCACCACAGCTCTTCCGAGGTTTTCGTACGTAGCAATGTTTTCTACGTGCCGTCCTGGAGACCGGGATGACTGTTGGATTGCGAAGGAGCGAAAGCGGCCGAAAAGGGGATCGATCATAATCTATAGCAGTAACGACGTACCGACTCCCGCATGGCGTCTCACCCGGCATGACTGTGCTAGAAATTGTGAGCCGCATAACGACTTTGAGTGAAGCTCAACTTCTGAAGGCTATTATACTTCATTACAGAAAAGACCAGAATCGAAGAAGCCGGATATGCAGTGGCGGCAACTTAGCAACTCCCGCTCATCGTCTTAGTCGAGTGAGAGATACTTGAACTTCTTTCTAAGATGTGGACCTGGAGTCGCATACACCTGGTACAGCCTGGCTGTAAGCCGATGGCGAACTTTCGATGCGGCACTTCAGTGACGGCGGCAGCTTTTAGGTGGACCCAGAGACTTTATTCTGACAAGTTGAGGAGCATGTGAAGACTTATTTGCAACCGCTTGCGAGAATCCGAAACCATGGTCAAAGCTACTACTCTGCTCCAGTCTCCATGGAGGTAATAACGGGCGAGCCATCCCTTTCTGCGGCGAAGAAATCTGGAGCATCCCCACAACACTCTTTAAAACACTCTTCTCACTGCTATCACTGTTCTCAAATTGCTACCTGACATTGGAGATATAAACTAGAAGCTAGGCGTGGCATTTTTGTCCCCTCTGGGCATGACAAGGAAACGATGCCACAACGGCAACGTGGTATTGTGCTCTGGACGCAATCTGCCTGGCTTCATCGTTATCAACCAGATGTTTCGAAACAGGTTACTGGTATCGCCTACAAGACAATGCATATTTCGTTCACTCAGCCTGCAAAAGCGCCGAGAGACATTCGATTGCAATGAGGGCGTGAAATCAAAGCTCAAACTCACACTATATCATTCGGGATTATTAGGAAGCTTGTTTCGTGATGATATCTGGACTCTCAGCCGAACACCCAAAATAGCTTGGCTATATAGCTTCGACCTCGCCAGCGCATGTGAACTGAGCAGCTCACCCTTTTGCACGAGAAAGTCAAGAACGACTACGAGATCCTAGAGGGATGGGAAATTTTGCACAGCAAGGGTCAATTTAGCCAGTATAAAAAGTAGTTTCGTGCCTTGTTCAAGCAAAAGCCAATGCTCAAAACTGCGGACAATTGCGTGTCAGCACAACTGCTCGTTGTCTGGTCGGAGAATATTCTCTGTGTCGGGTCTCAGAAGAGATGAGGATTGCTTTACGAGCTCTCATAACATCTTAATGGTTTTATCACTCCTTCTGCTGCATTTGAGTACTGATAATAGAGATACCTGTGGAGTTCGCTCCTACTCAGGTGCTGCTCGCCACAAGAGCAAAAGCCAAATTGCCTCACATTTCGTATTTACATGGCCATGGCTGGTACTCGGTGCGATCGATCGTAGGTAAGCCAAGAAAGGGCAATTTCTTTCATCTCAGCCCAGGTGCATGCACGCCTTTGAGAATTTGTTTGTACAAACAAAATGAATAGTAGAAGGTAGAATCCGGCACGATGCCCACTTGTGTGAGCTCAACCTGTTCGCAGACCCACTCCATTGAATACTCCGCATATCTCTCCTCCGAATGCACCCATTCCTTCCTGCTCAAGATGTATATATCTATTTCGAAATCTATACACTCACGAATCGACTTGCCGGAACCTACCATCGTCCGGCGATCCTCGTTGTGTCGTAATCTTGCAGATTCGATGCATGGCTCTAGGTACAGATCTCCTATCTATGACAAAGGAAAACCAACAACAAAGAAAGTGTCCCCAAGACCAGTAAGCGTCATGCTTTCGACCCAGAGTTTTCTTGACTTTTCAAGGGCTGAAGACATCACACACATGCCCTTTCTCCTACAGAACGACGCGCGAGACCATTGCAACAACAAGATTGAATTATGTGTATCGTTGCGAAGATGCAGAGGAATAGCAGTATGCCAGTAGAACAAAGGCCTTGTCTGGGGGCAACAAATCTATTATATCACTTGCTTTGAGCAAGCTACTGTCTTCAAGATGCTTCACGCGCTTGACCTACCCGTCTCCTACTGATATCTTCTGCCTCTCTCCTTCGATCGATCATCATACACATTTGAGCTCAGTAAACATACCTGCTGTTTTCAACGATAACATCGACGACACATCAATCAACCGCTAACACTTCGACCGAGCTGGACTCGGACCTACCAACAGCCACGATGGCATTAGCACCAGCAAATGGTGCACAAAAGCAACTCTACCACGGCATCCCAATCTACGGACCGTCCAATCCATCGCGTGAGACTGTCCTGGCCCACGAAAAACCCCTGGACGAACTCACAACGACTCTCATCGTCAACAAGCTGCGGCTAAGAGCCATCAACGCCGCAACTACTGACGTCCAAGATGCTGTAGACCAAGCCAAGTTCGCTGCAGCAGAGCATTTCGTTGCTCAATCAGCGTTTCCATCGGCCCAACTGCGCAATGGCATCCACAATATGCAGCCTCCGTACTCCCTTCCGCCCCCAGGCTTCACTATCGGCCTCAGCACGCCCTACTTCGACATGGGCCAGTTCTTGTACGACCTTCGCCAATACTCGGCATTCTACGGAGGCAGGTATGTCTACGATGTAGCAGTTCTTGCCAAATCACAAGATCCCGCTCAGCCAGTCGTGCTTGACATCTACCGATCGCAGCCGGGGAGACAGGGCACCCACACTTTGTGGTACATTCAGCAGAGGTGTTGGATCCCTGGCGCAGGTCAAAGTATCGAGATGCTGCAAGCATTGGCGCCTTCTACGCCTCCTCCTGCCCCGGCCGTACCCGCAGCCATGCCAGTACTGCCACCAGCACCAGCACCAGCTGCACTCCCAGCTCCACCTCCGCCAGCACATCGTGCGATCCAGCCAAGGAAACCACACCATCATAGCGCGGTGCCTTACGCTGGATTGACAGCTGATCAAATATTGGCTCAAGTCCACACCGAGCACATGTTCGGCGGAGTGATCCTCGTGCTATACCTGACATACGGCAAGGGTGAGCTGATGAAAAAATTGAGCGACAGACGACAGCAGCTTGAGGGCATGACCGCATTCGGCCCGAAGTCCCAGCAAGTCGTCCACTATCGGGTCAAGAATGCGATCGAGCACATCTTCGGGAAAGCCAATTATCAAGCCAATGCTAAAGCACTCAAGGACGCGAGTAAGGATAGGACGCAAGCTGCTTTGTGGCGTACCAGATTGAACAACCCGGCGACTTACGCCGCTGCAACCTGCTGCCGCTCTGATGACGATGATGCAGCTCCATCAAGTGGAGCAACTCTTCCAGCACAAAATCCGGCTGCATCAATTCCAGCCCTCCAAGCCCCACCCACGAACAATGCTGCAGCCTCCTCATCTACACCCTCTCGTGCATACGGCAGCAGTAGTCAGGTCCAGCACACGCCAGCACGACCATTGATGGCACCAGAGTCTAGGGGGCAGCAGAACCTCGACCATTCTACGTCGGCAACCGCATCCGATGCTGTGCGGCCCTCCTCCCCACCAGTGCTGCTAGATCCTGCTCTTCGGGACGATGCAGTTCCCACCTCTCCAACGATACAAGCTCCTGCTACGTCAGACGATATGGCACCAACTGCTTCAGCAATGCCAGCTTCCGCCTTCCAAGGAAATGTCGCGAGGACCTTCTCACAGCCAATGGAAGGTGTGCAGACTGGTGCTATCGTTGCACCAGCGAGCGAAGGACCCTCAGACAACGTCTTGCGTCCCGTACTGGGTCAGAGTGAGACTTGGTTCCTTCAATGGGCCACCCAGCAGCCTGCAAACGAGGCATCGGCCACGCCAATGGAGGTCGATGAGCCCCAGGAGTCCAACGACGAGGTTTCACAGAGTAACGATGCTGCAGTATCGCCACAGGAGAGCCAGCAGCCGACTGGAATGGAGATCGAAAACGCTGCAGTATCTCCAAGCCAGAGTGCACCGCAGGCTCAGGAGCAGATCGTGGATACTGCGATGTCCCCAGACAAGGATGACCAGCAGACACAGGGTCAGATTGATGATACTGCAGTCGCTCCACACGAGAGTCAGCAACTGGTTCAAGAGCAAATCGAGGACGCCGCAGTATCGGCGGGCGACAGTCCACAGGAGACTCAAGAGCCGATTGAAGGTCCTGCGGTATCACCAAACGAGATTGCGCCGCAGACCTCGGACCATTTGGCGGATAGTGCAGCATCGCCAGACGAGCCCCAGCAACAGACTCAGGAACAGACTGAGGTTGCAGTATCGTCCAGCGAAGATCAGGAGCAAGCCCAGGAGCAACTCGATGACACTCCAATCTCTTCAGGCGAGCTGCAACAGCAAACCCAAGACCACAGCGAGGAAATCGCAGCTTCTCCAGCTGATCCTTCCCCACAGACGCAGCCACAGAGCAACGATACCGCGATGGTATCAGGCGAAACCCAGCAGCAGGCCCAGGAACAGGAGCCACAAGACCACTCACTCGACGATGCACAAGACGTCGTACAGGCCCAGCCACAAGTACATCCTCAAGACGATCAGCAAGAGGATGAACAACCTATCCCAGAGACTGAGCAACCAGATGAATCGCATGATCTAGAGCCTGACTGGGACTACTTTTGGGACTGGCCTGGCAATGTCTTCTGCTGGGGGTGCAATGGTGCCGGGCGACACTTCGACGACCACGAAAAGGACTGTTTTTCAAGGTTCGATCCTGATAACAAGTGAGCGTGGGATCGTGACATAGCTCGGTGGGAAAACCTCAGTCAAGTAAGGAAAAAATGACTTTCACCTGGTCTGGCTGGATAAAATAGGAAGAGCCATGTCCCTTAGTGACAGCGAACGATTATGGAGGCGTGAAAGAAATGTAGACTGTAGAATTAGATCATCCAAGTTCTTTGTGTTCGACATCCAAAAATGTGTAATTTTTCGAATTTCTCAAAGTGCATTATCATTCCAATTTTGCTTCTTGCCATTCTAAACGGGATATAACTTCCAGCGTTCATTAAAGAATATTTGCCAGGTGACGATCGAACACTGTCGCTCCGTCAGCCAGCAAAAGTGAACACCTCGTGCCGTGCATTCCCTCTCGATACTGCCAGCTCAAAGTCCTCTACTTCTGAACACAGACCGTGCCATCGAAGCTGAAGTCTGGAACGACTGACTATTGGGGCTAGGATCGAGAGAATCGTTTGGATATCTCGATTCTGCACTGGTTATCATCCTGGGATCCGTACAAACTCTGCATTTTCTCAATGCGTACTGGGTTCAATCTTTCAGGCTGCTCGAAGACTTCCAAAACGTTTTGAATAACCTGAGAACCATTTGCGTGCACACCAGCGTATAAAATGACAGCATCCACGCGGCTTTGCAAGTTGTCAAGCTTACGAGCATTCCATTCTGGCCAGCCTTCCTCTTTCGAACACGCGGAGCCAGACGACCACGAGCCGGTGACATCTGTATTCGGACACCCAACGCTTCGCCTGGGATGTCGTCTAGAACCGTCTCACTAATTTGCATGGGCCCGCGGCTTTGTTTTCTCCAGCTCAATTGCTACAAACAAAGGAGTCATTAGTTCTTTGTGAAGATGCTTATAGCGCGAGGCTGCTACCGCTTCCGTACATTTGGGGAACAGACTTGTTTAGATACTCTTCACCTTACCATTCTATAGTTATTCGTCCTCGCGCTGGCGCCGTCAGCAATCATGCATCTATACTGCTCCGGCCCTTCGGCAATATGGCATGTGCTCTCCTCTCCAAATGTGCGATCCATTAACCTAGTCGAAGTGCGGCACACATCACAATATGAACGTATTTGACCACCACGATACCTGTCGCGCTGTTGGATGATCTTCTGGTGTCGTTTGTTCTCTGTACGAATATGTCGTCAAATCGAGTGCCCCTATGGGCCAGCCAGGGAAATGTTGCCGACATTGACCTCGGGGAAGGACGTCGAAATGCGGCGGGATAGCTGCTCCAACCGATAGCGAGCTATTAGCGACGCTTTCGACGTAAGCTCCTGAAGCTGTGGCGTCAATACGACTCGATTGGAACGAAAATATCGCGTGGCTGGGGAGGATGCCAAGGCCGACGCTGTCTAGGAAACAGACGCTTCGGACGCTAAGCTTCCTCTTTGGTTTCAACCCCATTCAGCCCAGAACCAGCGCAACCTGCTTAACGACTGCAGTCGGCCTTCCCACTCTTGCGTGCAGTTCAAAGCAACCCGCCGTGCCCACTGCTTCAACAGTGCGCGACGTCGCGGCTGAATTTCACTCAAAGGGCGGCGATAAAATCGAACATCTTGATCCGCTGCCATCATGCACCACCGATCGTCAGCTCGCTCGCAGGCGTCTTCTGAGAAGGCGCAAACCCTCAGTACGCAGATGCTGAATGAGACGGCCGAGGCGAAGTTGCCTGAGCTTCGTGAGTCCCTCCAGCTACCACTTACCGCGCACAACCGCTTACTGACTATGCCAGGCGCACCCAACCACGCTAAGTCTGCTCGCTCATTCAGCCCGCACGATGAGCCCCCGCCAGCTGTCGGCCGCATGGTGCAGCCATCGCACGGTCACCCGGACCCCACGGACATGGAGTCGAGAAGCCCAGCTGGCGACCACTCAGCGACCCCACCGACCACGCTGCCCGCAACACTGGATGCGGTGAACACCCAACAGCAGCAGTCGATGGGAGCCGGCCACGCGCAAGACACGACGGTCTTTGTGCCCTATTCCAACCCCGCCGCCGGCGAGGGAAATTCGGTACGTAATGCCGGGGTTTGGCGACTCCATTCACCTCCTGACAATCTTCAGAACGCGAGTGCAGACCACGATAACGATCGTGATGGGGCAAGCTCCGAGCCATCAGCTACTGCTGTGCACAACGGAGTCCCGCCCCCGACGAGCATCCCGGCCACCACGAGCGCGTCCTTGCCGTCATCAGCGCCATATGCCACGGTCCTCCCAAAGAACGTCCACGACGTAACCGAAGACTTTAACGGGTATGGAAGCTTGAGCGCGGAAGATATCCTTTACGACACGGATGCTTCGGGGAACCACACCGTACCAGAAGACCACATCTATGGTGGCATCTTCCTGAAGGTGTTGGCGGAATACGACCTGTCCGAGATCACGGAGGCGATTAATATGAAGAAGGTCGCCGTTGGCAAGCGCAAAATTCAGAAGAACTCGATTACGAAGCGCAAGTCTGCCGCTCTGGCTGCTAAGGCCGCGGCGGACGCCGCTCGTGACGGCACCCAGCTCAATGTATACGATGCCCTCGTGGCTTCGGACGTCGCCGCTGGGAAGAGCTTGGAAGTTGCGCAAGCTTCCCGCAAGCAGAAATCGACGGAGAATCGAAATGGGACTTACGGCACCGGGAAGCGCCCAGTCTCAAGTTCGGGAGCCTGGAGTCGGCCCAAGCGAAAGCAACCCACTCAAGACACGCCCGATGACCAGGAGGAAGAGGATGTCGGCATGCCAGCGAAGAAGAGAGTCAAGCGCACGCGTCTCGCGACCAACGAACCCGCCACCCAAATCCTGCCAACCGGTGATTCGGATGTTCTCAGATTCGAGCTTGGCTACGGCGTACCAGTCAACCCAGCGAGCATGAGCGACACGTTCACGGAGATCTTCAACAGCTCGGCCATGGTCAGTGTTGCGCAAGGTACTACCCCATTCGACATCGAGCAAGATGAGGAAGAATCGCCGGACCTGCGCATCGATCCCATTGCTCAGGAGCTCGCATCAAGCGACTTCGAATCCCTTGATGGACTGCCTTCGTTCATCCCATCATCAGAAGATTTCGCATTCCAGCCAGGTGAGACAGAGGCGTGGCTGTGGGTCCCATCAGTCTGGGGAAACCCCTATGCAGCACTCTATTGAGGCACGCATGATGGTGACACCACGCTTCGGTTCCACTACCAGCTGCCTGCTTTGAGTTCTCAAGAGGCACTTACCGGTATGGAGGGAGGTTGGGCATATCCGATCCATGGAAGGACATTCATCACAGGCGTTATGTGGATGAGATGTCAAGGTGGTTGGTCTTGATCGCTCGAGGCCATTGAGCGACTGCCGAGCTCAGGAAGGGCCTGATGCACGCGGCACAGTCAGTCGCCTACGCCCTGAGACGCATTGACGCTGGCATGGGGAGGTTGATTTCCGCAGTTGCATCTGCCGTCCAGCATCCTCGGTTTCGTAATTCGTTTTCGCTTTTTCTCCTTCGCAGGGCAGCTTGTGCATCTCTGGAAAGGACATTTGGGCAACCGCAGCCGACGCGCGATCCCCAAAACTGCATCGCAGTATCCAGAATCCAGAGAAAAAGATCAAATAAAATAAATCAAGCCTCGAGAGGGCAACATATCGACGCTAGGTGAATAAATGTGCGATGTCAGTGAACAGCTGAGGTCAAAAGGTAGTGGAACGCCAAGACCACGCCATCTTGCCCCACTGATCCTATCCTGATCCATGCATTAGCGTCAGCACATCATCAATATGTGCAGTGGAAAGCCCAGTAAATTCTACACAAGGCAGCGGAGGTGAATTCTTTGTCGATTTTGCAGTGACAATTCGAGATACCATGACAAGAAAAGCACTAAATCAGCCGGCAGAAGTGATTTATTCCTGGCTAACTAATTCGAACTCACAATGGTGGTATCCCATCGTTCCTATGTTCCTCCATTCGTCTCGTATCTGTTGTCATACATCGCTCATTATCATCTTCCTTGCAATTCAAATTTCTCGGCTAACTATTTACATGACAGCCACGAGCGCAGCAGCAGCAATAGCACCCAGTCCAACGACCGGAGCAGAAGCAGCACCAGTATAGGTCTCGACAGGAGGAGCAGTACCAGTAGGAGTCATCTGCGAATCGTCGTCGTTGTCGTCATCAGTCTCAGTTGGCGCAGCCGCAGACGTCTCAGCTGCAGACTCAGTTGGAGTGGCAGCAGATTCAGTGGGGGTAGCACCTCCCTCATCGTCATCCGCGGCATCAGCGAAGGCGTCAAGAGCAGATTGAATAAGATCGGCAGCAGGCTGCGAAGTCTCAGCACCGATTTGTTGAAGAGCTTCTGGAAGCTTGGAGACGACAGCGTCAGTCAGGGCTTGTTGAGATGCTTGTTGCGACTGAAGCCCAGCGAGGACATCGTCATCGTCATCATTCTCGGCAAAGATGGGTTGCTTCTCAATGAGAGAGCCGATGGTTGCCTCAGCAGCTGTCTGAAGTTCTCCGAGAGGTTCAGTCAACCCCAAAGCCTGCTCTTGAGTGATCTCGGAAAGGCCGTTGGCGGTCTCAGTGGCAGAGTCGATTGCAGAGCGAACGGCCTCACTGGCGGTCTGCACAGCGTCGAACTCAGAGTCTTCGCCGTTGTATGCAGCAATGGCCTCGCCGCTGGACTCAGCTGGAAATTCAATGTTAGCAGTCGACAGTGACAGTGGCCGCTCATGCACTTACTTGCAGCCTGGATGGCCTGGATGGCACTGACCAGACTCTCCTGGCGGCGAACAGTCGAGGCGAGCGCACCAGTGACAAAAAGGGCAGTAAAAATCTTCATGTTGTGCAAGTTTGAATTGACTCAGCGAGTGTAGTTTCGTTCAAGGTTGTTCTTTGCGATGTTACAGGTGCGAATCCTGGACCGACTGCTGCGGGCCATGTATTACAATATATGTATTGCTCCGCGGGAGCCTCATCGCAAATAGAAATGGATGCGCGGCGCTTCGCAAGCCAGATCTAGGCATTTCATCTTGCCTCGGACGGGAACGGCAAGGCCATTGGGCGTCTCGATGCGAAGCGTTAGACGAGAAACTCATGCCGTGCTGCATGTGTCTTGTGTGTCGAGCGTTTTCAGACTTTCCCCGCATTGGTGTTAGCTGTGAAGAAGCGCGCCGAGCATTTGGCATGAGGAGAGCGAGCTTGTATGTGGTATTGGCGCGACTCTTTGACCTCGAGGGTGCGGCAACTTCCTTGCGCCGCGGAACGACAACAAGTTCAACCAAAGAGATCAATATGCTGCAGCGGCTGAAAATCCACGCACTGGAATGCGGTGCGAACGTAGAACGTAATCACGATCGATCATTCTGCAGGAACAAACAGCTGCTGCGAGCCGAGTCATGAGGCGCCTTTGCAGTACTCTTTCACAGCCATCACGAGCCGCATGCGCTTCTTTTTGGAATCAAACACCTGAGCATGGTCGCAATCTTCATTCCAGATCACTTCGAATCCTTTGCCTTTCCATGCAGTGTGTCTCCAGTCTCCTTCGAAGGTACCGTAGTTCGCAGAAGTCGCACCAGAAATGTACTTGCCCACGGCCTCTGTATTTACAATCAGATCGCGTTCCGCCAAGCTGACAGTCATCCTGAGTCCAGTGCTCTCCATGAGCGGCAGCAAATCGTCCAGCCACAGCACATTCTCCGACCAGAAGAACCGTCGACCAAGAGTATGAGCAACTCCGGGATCTTGAGAAGCAAAGTACCACAGCTGCCACTCGTTGGCAAAAGTGGGCTTCCGAACAGTAAAATTGTATGCGACATCGGGAGTGTGCAAAAGGAAGCACACAGGATCGATGAGTAACGTTGAAGATATCTTGGGCCGCAGAGCTTCACTGTGCAAGACGTGCGTCGCGATGACTGTGCCATAGGAATGGCCGATCAAGACGCACTTGTCCCACCCGTGGTGTGCCAAAATCGCGTTGATCTCTTCGCACATCGCATCCTTGCTAAGGGCTGAATGTGTGACTCGAAATGCGACTGGCATGATCTCCAACGCGATCACGCCGACCTGCCCTGGATTTTGCTTGTCATTGACTTCGTCCTTGAGCTCGTGCAGAAAATCGACGTATGGATAGAGCCCAATGCCAATGCCATGTATGAACAACACTGGCAGACGGTCTTTGGCTGTGTGAGGGCGATGCCAGTAGGAAAGATGCTTCACCGGCGATCTTTTCCGCGCAGTAAGAGCGACAGGTCGGAAAGGGAACAAGCCACAGAGTTGCTTCACAGATACTCGACAATGCTGGAATCCGTACCAACAGAGGCGGACGTACGTCAAGAAGTCCACAAAGCCAACCATAAAATACCAGGTCAAGCTCCTGTAACCATGCATTTCAACTTTATCCAGAGTCAGTCGAATGGGTCTGGCTGTGCCATGGCCTTTCGCGAAGTCCTGCCCAAGTAGTGATTCAAATTGTCTTGTGTACTCTTCCAGCTCATCTGCAGCGCCAGCTTCGTCTATTCGGCCTTCAAAGAATGCCCAGGCTAGCCAATGCTTGAAACCTTCACGGCCGATTGCTGAGAGAGGTGCTCCTCTGAACCACCAGCGGATATGATGCTCGAGATCAGCCGCTTCCACATCTCTTGTCACTCGTGCAAACAGCGTGCGGCGCTCTTTCTCAGACAACAGCGGCGGATGTCGTGCTTCTTTCTGGATGCTGTGGTACAGAGGGAGCTGAAAGCCTAGCCAGAATATCGTCTCAATAGCAAAGTAGAGTTGGAGTGGAAGTGGAATCGTGGGCAGCGACGCCAGGCTGTAGGCAAAAGCAGAATAGATTGTGCCTAGGATGCTGACTGGCACGATGGCGCCGAGCAGCCAGATGCAGATGCGTATGAAGATATAATCTGCCGGCGTGGAGTTGATCATCGTGGGCAATAGAGACTGAAACCCATCAGTTGCAAATGGCAGCAGGTTCACCTACATGTAGAATTAATTATCAGGCAGCACTTCAGCGCTGATACGTCATGGGCTATCGTACGAGAACGAGCCCACCATTGATAGTGTTGCAGAGCCCACATCTCGCTGCTTGCAACGGAGCGTTGGGCAAGATGATAGCATGTGAAAGTGAAGCTGGAGGCATGTCCGAAGGTCGTTTTCGGGTTCGTCGGTGTTTCCGCAATCTGCCGCGTTCCTGGCGTCTGGCCAGATGAGGAAGGCTCCTACCTCACCCCTGCCATATCAATGTAGCTCGTTATCGTTCCACAAGTCAGACTTATGTGAACGTTACGCCTACCTGCTTTGGTAAGCTGATGCCGAGGTGACGGAGTTGGGATTTTCTATGAATGCGTGCTGCATTTCATTTCCTTGTGCAAGAACACTCTCCACATCTACTTCTATGGCTGCAAGCGAAAATAATACTGGGACGTCCAGTCGCTAAGCGCAACGACTTTCGGCATTGACATCTTGAACGTCGCCCTTACCATTTCCATTTCTACAGTCAAACTCTTTCCTGTCATGTGATACATCAATCCCTATTGTTTATCATGATCTCTCCGCTCTTGCGCCATCTGACGCCGTAGGTTCACACCAGGATGTATCGACACTTGTTCAGCGTGCCCATACCGAGCAAATTCTCCATACAACGAACAAACAAGGACCATACCGTGTGGATGTTTTGCGAGATCTGAATAGCAATCCAGATCATGTTAGAAGTTTCTCAGGGCATATGGTCAGACCAAATATTACACGCCTGAAGTTATCCAGACGCGCTGCAGCGCGAATTGGATATTTACGATTATGGTATGTGTGCCAAATTCGGGCAAGACACTGACGATCTGTCTGGTCTCGTGGTGATCGCCTCGCCGCATATCACTGCCAAACATCCTGCCATGTGGCGCAGCTATGTAAGAGGTTGGGAAAACATTTAGCAGAGGAAGCTGTTTCAATTTCGTATGATTGCCTGCAAGCACGAAACTACTACTCACACTTCAATTATACTACTGTGCCATCATGGCGGAGAGCGCCCGATGCGATGGAGCTTCTGGTCCTGCACTCATTCCTGACAGTACCCTCGGACGTGTCTGCGGTGTCCGGAATCGTATCTACGAACCTGCGGTCCGGACTTGCTGCCCAGGAAGCCTTGTGCGGTCTTTCGAATGCGTACAATACTGCGATTCCATCACATACTTAGACCAGTTCGCAACGTGTATCGCTACAGCATCTAGCGAAGGCAATGTTCTTGGACTTGGAATTTTCTGTCAGGATGAAACGAGAGGCAGCATCACGCAAAAGCTTCCCTCAAAATCAGGAAGCGCCTGTCTCCGGAGCAGTCCAGTCGGACTCCGGATTCTTTTCTGGATGGTGATCTTGAGCCTCGTCTGGTCTGCCCATGCTGTCGATCTGCCTTTTCCGGCCACCCATCTCGCATCAAGACAAGCATCTTCTTCTCCGTCCTGTTCAGTGGAACTCCCATGGAAGTACACATCGACAGGCAAGTCGACCGAGTTCGCCGGGAGAAACTTTTGCGGAGCGGAGCCAGGAAGATACTGTCTGCTAGGAGAATCAGTCAACGTCGAACCCTTCAGCAACAACCGGACCGTAAACGGAACAACAGCAGCGGATCCTCAATATGATGCCCTCTTTGACCAGCTGGAGCAGTTCACTGGACGCAGATTTCCCGCCGCGAGCGGGGTATCGTTCTATCATCAGTTTCTCGGTGCACCTGGGACGTTTACATTGGCCTTCACTCCGTTTCAAGTAAGTCAGGGAACTCAAGACTGAGGTCTTCCAAGTCGCTAAGATGTAGCAGTGGTGCGCTGGGATTCGCACAAATTGCTTGAATACAGACGCAGACTCTGAAGAGAGTCGAGTCATAGAGGCCTGCGGTCCGTTGTTCCTTTCCGACTCTCGCGATGCAGGCACATTGAGTCCGGAGGGTGACGTAGTCCAAGGTTCAGTATCGCAGGCTTTTTTGGATGAAAAGTGATGCCACGATGCGAGCGAGCTGCTAAAAGGGCGTAAATCTCCCAGAATAGCGGCACCAATTTCTCGCAACAGTCCAACGTGTCAAGACGAGAGCAGTATCAGTTCCAAAAGAGACATCGATCTACTTTCAAAGTTCAAACAAGAACATATCTTCCTTCCTTCCTTCCGTGGCTGTCTTGCAGCCCCAACTTTGCGAAGTGAAAGGCAAGATCTTTCGGTTCTTTATACGGAGACGGAGGCTCAGTTGAGAGCAGTCGAGATGCTTGTCAGAGATGCCTGCCCATAAATGATCCATCTTTAGTTCCTGCTCCAAGTTGAAGAATCAAATTGAGAACGAAACCTCATCACTTCAATCCAATCACATCCCACCCTCACCCCAACAATCCAAATTCCAATCATGAAGTAAGCCCAACACGACCTCACAAACAACAAACATCCCACCCTCTCCCCTCCTCCCCTTCGAGTCATCCTCCTTGCTCCCCTCCCGAACCCCACTCTCATTCACTCCCTCACTCCTACCGACCAAGCATCATATAATCCTCTCAACCCATCACCCTCAACGTTCCAGCTTAGCCTAGTGGTATAATCCATAAGTCGCCAACCTCGATTCCCAATCGGTAAGGCGCCGGAAAACCCAGCAACTGTGCCCTACGAATAGCTTCAAAGTGAACCTCGAAAGAAACCCACTTTAAGCTCCTCGTCGTCACAGTTCGCCACGAGGCTGAGTTGGAATGTTTTTGCTTTTTCGGTCTCACTTTAATGTGTTTAGTTGTGTTTTTCAAAGTTCACTTTACCTGCCAACCGTGCTATAGCCTCATACTGGCTAGGGACTCGAGAGACTCGAGCCTCTCCTTCCTCGAGGTCTTGAGATGGGACACCGAGATATTGAAGGAGGGTAGGACCGGTATCGAGCAAACCTTTCTGATTGCTGGTTCCAACGATCACCATATCTGGATGACAGCGCTCTATCCTCATCACACACACGGGACACTAGTAACAACTCGTGCTCTGCTCAGAAATTCCCCTCTAACGCACCAATACGCCAGACAGGCACGGACGAAGATGGCCATATAGATTGCCGCATCACCCAACAACGCAAGGTGATCAAGCTACACTCGCAGATGACTCCATCTGCTACCGATTCAGCACACTCAAGCCCACGCACTAAGGAGGCAAATGGCCTGCACTACAATAACTTCGTCGAAGCAGAAGCAGCCGCCTCCAGCAGAGCGACGAAGGAAGTATATACTGTTTGTACAAGAAGTCGTCTCTCTTTCCTATCCACAAACAGAGTCTAGTAGTAGCAACAGAGACCAGCAGCTTTCTTCTCGCCCAAATGCCATGCCATGCCTCAAATACACATACACGCGTCCATTCCTTGTTTCGTTTCCCTCGCCATGTCGAGAAACCTACGCCACGATCTCCCCAGGATCCACATATTGGGGAATCCACTTCTTTTTCTTCCCGGCCTGGCTGCCTTCCACCTCACTCGGGAAACAGATTTGGCTTTCCATGGGGCTGTACAGATACCAGCTGCGCAAAGCGTTCGCCGCGGCCCTTGTTCGTCCCTCGTTCAGACTGGCGCCAACACCCTCGCCGAGTTTATCGTCGCCGCTGAACACGCCCACCACGAAGACAGGCGTTCGCGAAAGTCGTCCAGTTTCGGAGATCAATCTTGCGACCGGCGGTTCCCAGCCTTGAAGGTTGCAGAGCTTGGACAGATCCTGCGTGGGACGTGTGAAGTTGAACATGTTGTGCAGCGGCAAATGGCGAGAGAGAATGTGTGCGTTGTGGAAATCCCTGACGGCAGAGCTTCCAGCGTGAAGATATAGTGCTCCGGCTAGTGCGCGGACGAAGCCAGCACTGGCGTCTTCAAGGGTCACAGGCTGTGTGTCCAAGTCTTCATTTGTGGGCTCCTCGACGGGCACAGATTCGAAGGAAGCTTCTTCTCCGCCTTCTGCTTCGGGCTCAGAGGCTGCGGCCCCCGACGCTACAGATGTGGAAGAGGGAGCCCCGGGGTAGGGCTTGGTATCGAAGGCGGGAAACTCATTTGTGCCGCCGAACATGTCGTTGTAAACGATCCTGCCACTGAGTGACTTGTGTGGGTATCGCTTGCCAGACTCCTCTTGCTCAACGTCTTTGACTCTCCTCATGCCATCCTCTGCCATGGCGTTACCAGGAGTCATCCTCTTCAACTGCAGCAATCCCGCATCGACTTCGGGACCCGGCGCGGCCACAGCTTCCACACCCCATTCCAGTCGGATGCTGTTCAGCGTCGCATTGCCCACATATCCGTACGCCGCAGCCATGATGATGGACATGGGCAGTCGCGGGTATTTGCAGACCAGCCACTCCGTCGTATGGTATCCCAACAGCTCTTGCCCTAGTATCGCCAAGGGAGCATTATTGTATCCGGATCGCGGGTCCACGCTCGGATCGATGAGACACCTCGCGAGTGTCTGAAGTGGGAATTTTGCAGGAAGTGATAGTCGAGCATGCAATGCAGCCAGCTTCGCACTCTTAATGGCTTTGCGATGTGATGGAAAGTTCAGCTCCGCCCTACTCTCATATTCGCTGCCAACTCCTGCACCCACTGCTCCAGCCTGCCCGTCAGCCCGGAATGGCTCATATAGCGCCTCCTCTTGTTGCACCTGCTCTGCTGCTGCCGATGTGCTCGCTTTCCGCCTCGTTGTTTCGCCTCGTCGCTGATTCTGCCATTGCGTCTGCAGATGCTGATACCGCGCTTGCAATTCCCTCCTCGGTACTCGTACTGCTGATGCTGATGAATAGGAACAGGTTTGTACGCATCGTAACCGCGGATTCCTAGGGGCGTGTTGCAATTGGCTTGCCCATCGTTCCAGGCGTAGCGACTTCATCAATCCTTCTCTGCGTCAGCTCGTTTATCCGCAACAGCAAGGTCCAGCAGAGAGGATAGAAGGTGGTATTGTCGTGTGATGTCGTTGTCGTCAACTTTTCTCGCGACAGCCCAGACGTTGCGCTTCTCCAGAAGTCTTGGCAGAATCTCGCGACGGACTGGGAACTCACCTCCGCCTTGCCGCACCTCACCAACCCACCTCACCTCATCCGCACCACATCCCACATCACCACTATGAGAGTCACACAGATATTGCGAGGCGGCGGGGCCAAGGTTCCGTATGTACTGACACTAATGAGCTGCTCTGGACCCCTCAATGGCTGACAGATGCGATGTAAACAGCTACCCGAAGCACGTCTGGTCGCCCGCCGGTGGTTGGTACTCGCAACCCTCGAACTGGAAGACCAACACAGCCATCATGGGTGGCGTAATTGTGGGGATTGTCGCCATGACATGGAATTTGAGCGCGAACCGGGAGTTCAGGAATGAGATGCCACAGGTAGGTGCAGCGGGACAAGCAGGAGCTGTGGAGAGAAGGCGCACTAACACGCAAGTCACAGCCCGACCGATTCTTCCCATCGCGATTTTGGACAAAGCAAATCAGAGAGTATGAAGCCGAGCAAAGAGAAAAGGGCACACCGGGCTACGAGAAGCGGTAGTGGGTATGGGGGCGGAAGAAGGAGGAACGAGCTGCGGGGAGGTGCAGCAACGTGTCACAGTACGAGCAGGAAGAGACACTGTATATATGCCTCAACAAGGCATCGAGAAATGAAGCTCATATGTTCAATCATGGCCCCTTTCAGTCGGAACACGGAAATTCGAAGGCCACAGCTGGAGGCTCACATGGATTCAGGATATCGCAAGTGCATGCGAAGACCTTACGACTTGAGAGGCTGGCACGAAAGAGCGGCGTCAGCAGTGTTACTGACCAAAGTCTGTTTTAACATTCCTCTACTAAGCTAATGCCGCCCTGGCTAGCGGACAGGGCAAACATACGCTCGCCAGCACAGGCATACCAGCGATCATGATTTAGCAGCTACGCCAAGAACTTCATGCTGCTCAACAGTGTCGAGAGCCTGCCGCTTATTCGCGACTCAATACAACAATTGATTCGGCACGTCGCTACCATTCTAGAGCCGACATCTCTGCACCAGCTCATATCTTTACAAATGGCCTTCCTGGCCGCATCATCGCATTTATCGCCAGCGAAACTCGGCACCGGGCCAGCAATCACAAAATTGGCAAGAGTAGCGTTTCGCAGGGCCAATCGCCACATGTGCGTGCGGCTTTCCATGTCCTTCCAGAGTGGGCACTCCAAGAGCTGATACAGCAACGATGGGAAACATCGCGAGTCGCAGAATTGAGATATGCATTGCCGTGGTTTCGATCGCAGGGTCGCGATCGTAGCACTTGCTACGACAACTCGAATATATACTCGAATGCTTCGACTGTTGCGAAAATGCCGTAAGCGCCTGGTTCGAAGTCTACTTGGAGATCAGTTGCCATGGAAAAGGAATCTCAGTCGAAACCCATCCTGGAGCCAATCATCCTCTTGCAGCCAGTTACTTTACATTCGCCAACAGCTGCGCCCATTGATGATGTGCGGCATTAAGTAAGCCCATGTTACTCAAGCATATTCGCATTTGACAGCGGACGGCTGCTGCGCCTTGGCAGGAACGCATGTTCGAACTTCATCCTTCAGCTCGCGTCACACAGCTGTTCTGCATCAAATTTTCGGACTTGTCAGCTGCGTGAGACCTGCATCAAGTCTCGTATATCCTCAGACTGAAGAGTGCTACCGGACAGACCGTGTCGCCTCGCGTGCATAGGTTTTCTTGGCGTTGCTGTGCAGGGCCAGGGCGGTATTCAGCAAGTGTGGTATGGAGCATGGAAACTTCAGCTGGAATGACTGCCTTACACCACTAGGATGTCAACAAGCTCGAAATCTTCCTCTTGGTCCTGTTCTCATCTCGCACCAGCAATCAGATTGGCTTTCGCTGCAATTGCGACTTCTTGATTGTATTACTTCCGTGATTGCCCAAGGTGGTCAGCAGGTCTGCTTTCTTCACAGTCTGCGAAGAGGACCCGCTAGGCCTGACAGGCAGTGCTAGTAGAGGCTGAGAGCTCGCGGGTCTGTTCGGCGGAGACTTGACAGGTTCTTGTTTATCTGCGCTGAAGGCGAGCCTGTACATGTCTGAGATATTGAGGCGAAGGTCGTAGCTTGGCAAATCTCGCTTGCGGGATCCCAAGGATTCAGCCTTCAGGATTGCATCCCATGGCCCTTGTTCTTCTGCACGGGGATCGTAGTCGAACAGATAGCACCTTCCGACGATTTTCATATAACTTGCCGGATCACCAGGCTCCCAGTGAGGTCGTGCCACAAAAGCGTATTTTGTATCGACAAACTGCCAGATGCGGTCGCCATCTTCGATATGTCCAGCGGCTAGCCCTCGAAGGAAGGGCGCCTTAGAGATTGTAAAGTAGCTAAGAACTCTTTTGCTAACACGATGAAGAGTATCGTCTCCATCTTTTTTAGCAATGTACAAGCAGTGACCGGTCTCCTTTAAGGTCCATCGGATCCCAGGATGAAGGCTGTCCGTACGACCGCGAAGAAAGAGGCTATGGGCACAGTCTTCGAGTTTCTGAAGACCACCTCGGTCGAACGCTTTGACGCCAATCTGTGCAGCCGAAAAAGGTTGACAAGAAATATCACGCTGCCCTGATAGGCGAGATAACGCCAAAGCCAGGCGTATCATCTTAGCCCTACACGATGGCTCATGAACGTCCAGAAATGTGAGCACTTGTTCACACCAATCATGTGCCTTTAACGTGTAATCAACCTGAAGATGCGTCCTATGCTCACCCACTAGATTGTACAGAGCATAGACATGATCCTGGTAGACAGCGCATTTATTGTTTTCGTAGATCAATAACAAGTCACTGAGCTGCTGCGTAATGGGCGCGGCTATTGATCTGTCTCGTCTGTATGTGGCAAGGTTGGCAACCGTCAGAGACAAAATATCGCGTATCAGAGGAGATGACCTTGCAGGATCGCGGTCATGTATCTGTTTAAGGCTTCCAAGTGTGTTGGCAAGATCCTGCATTGCAAATTCTCGACAACCGAGCAATATGACAAGTGTACGGGCCAGGATAACCTCTTGTATTATCCATTTTCTCGTCCAGTAGTCCGCTCGGAGAACATTGTCCAGCGCATTCAGGGTTTGATTGAGTGTCACGGCGTCAGAGGTAACCGAAGGCACTAGCTTCAGAGCTGCAATGGAGGCTTCAGAGTTTTTCACAGGAACCCACGCCAGCACTTTGTCCGCCTTGGTGTAGACGGTACCCATCATCTTGACTTGATGACCACGCTCCTGAGGTGAGCTCTGATTGATACATACGGCATCAGCCCAGACCCAGATCTCCTCCTCGTAGAGTTGGACAATCTTTAGCAAATCGTACAGGTTTCGGCCAATCTTCATCATGCGATAACCACCCCTGGCCCCTGCTCAAGGGCGATCAACTGCTGACCGCCACTTCCTTTTCGGTTCCATTCACAAGAGAGCGCTTCGAAATGCGGACAGTCTGGATCATCGATATTGAATGCATGTAATGATCCAACGATTGCGTCTCTACGCCATTTCTGTAGCGCGGCATCCTCTTTGTCAAGTTTTCTGAGCCATTGTGTCAGGCTTTCGTTCAACTCGGCGCATTTCCTATCCAGATCTTTCTCGTCCCCTTCTGAGCGTGGCCCCTCGGGGTTGGCCTCGAGTGCTTTGGCGTAGCTCTCGTGTACCAGTTTGCTCTGTTCAAGCTAGTACATGAACCAACTCAGCTGCCTTTCCCATTCGGGTCGAGGATCATGAAACTTCTTGAAAGACTTCCTGTGGCCGTATCGGTCCTTATACCTGCACCACCAGATTGGTCCGTCTCCAAAGTTCCTCGTACTGTATTTGCTGGCATAAGTAACCGTTACGAAAGCGTGCGGCTTGAGCATGTAGTCTGGCGGATCAGGCACGTATGGCGGAGGGGGAAACGTCATCTCTTTTGGTTCCGAGATGACAGGCCTAGAGACAACATCATTCGTCATGCTGAAGATTTGAACTTCAGGACCTGGTTGATTACCGGCAGATAGTCTGAGTAGACGGAAGCGGCCCGGGGAGTGAGAGATGTCTTCGTACGAATATTCGGACAGCTTTGTCAGACGGACGCGCTCCGCTTCTCTGCGCAGCTTGTCCTCATCTTTGAGCTGCGAGCACTGTGCTTCCATATGGGCTTCTGCTTTTTGCTTCCTGTTAGCTCTCTCAGCGAGCCACGAGGCTCGCCATTCGCGCTCCTGACGCGTCACGTTATGATGCAATATCAGGAGGGAGTTTCGTTGTGCGATGGCGCATTCCTCGAGGTTCATTCGTTCCTCATCAGGCACCTGGTGCAGCTGCCGGTACAACCCTGGCTCTGGGATTGTTCCCGCGATCCCGAGAATTTCGTTCCATTTGGTCAGCCCTTTGGCAATCTTACCATTATCTGGTGAGCCAGATAGATCACCGTAACCCGGGTAACTAAGGTTATAAAACTCCCGGATCTCGCGATAACTGATCCCAAATTAGTGTCCGCGCGTGTCGACGTCTTGAGACCTTACCGATCTTCCTGATAGCCGCTCATGGTCGCTCCTCGGTCGGCATTGATGCGGACAGACTTCGTACTCCAAAGAAAAACGTCGCGGGAGCAGGTGACTGTAGACACATCAAAGCAAATGAGCTTGTACATGCAACGCCGCCTTCGTCTCTTGCTTTATGATGCTGTAGAGTTGTTCCGCAAGGTCAAACGCTCGCAAGGCTAGGTTTCCGGGTCATTCGCGAGCGACAGCCTCATGCGTGAAGGCAACGACGCTAATGCACAGCGCCACCTTCTTATAGCCACTCATGTACTCCCGGGATCAGCGTCGAATGAGGGAAGCCACGTCCACGGATCTGATCTGGCGCTCATCGTCCGGTGGCACAATTTTCCTGAGGTCTGGCTTTGGGAGCCTCACAGACCTGACTGCAGCCTCGTTGCTGACATAATCTCGAAAGGCTGAAAGAAGGTCCGATCTGTCGTTCGTGGCAGGAGGCCGCCTTCTTTCCTCCGCCCGAGGTATCGGGGGAAGTCGTGGTGTGATATTGCAGGTTCAGGCTGTGGAAAATTTGAAGAGTCTTCAATCGGACGAAACTTTGCTTACCACAAAGTGCAAGTGACGCGTACTTTCTTCTTCATGCCCTTCCCCATGCCGAAAGCCTACTTGCGACTTGCAACCAACATCAACACCTCACACCTCATAAAAAGCCTACTGCAAAATCAAAAGAACCGAATCGGAAGCAAAACATTCGCTCATGGCTAACCGTACGCGGATACGTCGTTGCAGCCTGAGCCCGCTTTAGACTCAGTGTACAAACAGATACTCAGCGCCTGCACCAGCATCGAGAAACTCCCAACGACTTGCAGTACATACCACTAAGCCATGAACGACCACTGAGAAGTTGGATCCTAAAGGGAAATTTGAAGGGTATGAGTCTGTGTATGCGGGAATGAGAGTGTGGTGTGATGTGACTTACTGAAAAAAGAACCTTACAGAACTAACAAGGCGTCATCCCAAGTTGCTGAGTGGGAGCAAAAAGGAGATTGCAAAAGTGCAAAACAATCGGACTTGGTTTGGAACAGTGCCTTCTGATCAGAGCTGACCACCTGAGTAGACATTCACTCCAAGCGGTGCCTCCTGAACGGCAATCTCAGGCGCAGATCCAGGGACTGCGACTTACAAATTATTCCATTGAACCACGAGCGATCGTTGAAGAACAACGACTGGGAACTGCTATATGCACCTCAAATTGTAGCACATGGAAACTGCAAGATCTTGGAATTTTGTCAGTCATATATGTACATCGCACGAGATTCTTCGGCGTTGGATGTGCAGATATTGGCTCAAGAACATACCAAACAAAACCTGTCTAGCTCAAATACTAACATCACCTCATCTCCCTCCTTCTAAACTCCACCCAAGGCCCCTCATTCCGACTCATAAACCAATCCTGCAACTGATACTCAAACCTCTGCCTCTTCCCGGACTGAATCTCCCTCTCAATAAATCCAGAAACATGCTGTTCCGACGACAATCTCATCTCGAACTCAAAAACCATTCTCGCAACAGCAATACACAATTCCATATAGACCAGCGGTTTTCCCAAACAAGCTCGATGACCAATGGAGAAAGGGTTGAAGACCGAGTTGAGAGCGTCGCGGTTCTGCGGATGAGGTTCAGCGCCTGTGGCTGCGGGGAGCCATCGTTCTGGATCGAAGACGAAAGGCCGTACGACAAAGTCTGCGTGATGGTGGATCGCGTAGATGGGAACGGCGACGTCGATGCCGGCGGGAAATTCCAGGCCCATCTGCTCGATTTTCAAGCCTCCAGTCAAGACCTCTCGTGGAAGTGCGCCTCCGACAGCAGGGGTCATTCTCATTGTCTCGTCAATGACCGCTCTCAGATATGCACAACTCTGCATCTTGGCACCCATTCGAATCTCGTCCCTGTCGTCGAAAGTAGCCAGGATTTCCGCTTCCAACTTCCGCAACGCATGTGTGTTATGCAACAGATAATACAAGGTCGCAGACAACGTCGTCGAAGTAGTATCACTCCCCGCAACAATCAATGTATTCCCTTCCATCCACAGTTCAGGCATGGGCATTCCTTCGCCCGTTTCAGGGTCCTTCGCAGTAAGTAGAAAGGAGAAAATGTCTTTGCGGCCTTTGCCTTCGCCGCGTTTCTGTCGTTCCATGACGTCCATGACTTGTTTCTTGCCGAACGCAAGATATTGGCACCGATCAAGATACAGTCCTCGAAGAATTGGTAGGACTTTCTCCAAACCAGTGTAGAGCAGAGCAGGCATAGCAGCCACGACGTAGTTACGACGAGCCGCGCGGCCGAGTAAGAAAATTCCTCTACGATTCTCCACTCGCTCTCCAAGGGTTCCAAACGACTTTCCAAAAACCAGATCGCCCATTATGTCGAATACGAGCCAGTTGCACCAGGCGGCCATATCGAGTGGTTTGCTCCAGTCGCCTTTGCCATTCTTCTCACCCTCTCCAGCATTTTCTTTCTCTACAACTTCTCCAACACGATTGACCAAGTCCTCCACATGCCCCAAGACGTACTGCTCCATGCCCTTCATGGCGCCATCGGAAAAAGCCTGCCCCATGACTCTGCGCTTCCTCGCATGGTGCGCCTTCTCGGTGGCCAGAAGCGTACTGATAGCCTGCGGCGCAGCACGAAAACATTTGTAGAACTCAGCTTTCTGCACATTCGCCCCATGCGAGTAGATGGCTTTCAGTGCGGCCGGGTCATTGATGCTGAGGGAGTTGGGCGCAAAGCGGACCACAGGACCATATTTGGCGTGCAGGTGGTAGAACAAGATGTGCTTGTCTCCGATGTAAGCATGGTAGACATCGTAGGCTTGCGTGATTTTCCCGAGGAAGGGTCCAGGGTATTTGGCGAGTGGATGGAAATGTAGCTGGTAGACGATGTAGCCAGTGAAGAGTGTGAAGATGAGACCGAGAATGGCAAGGCCGGAGACACAGCGTATAGAGCTGATGCAGTCTTGTGCAAGAGCGGAAACCCGGACGTCAGAAGAGAAAGGTCGCCATTCTAGGGCCCTTTGCACGAGGTTGCTGCCAGCAGCACTCATGCTGGGCGTCTGTTTTTCAATCCAGCTCCGATACGAGCCGTGCAGTTTGAAGAGTAGTGTACCGAGATGAGAGAACAAAGTAGAATATCAGAACACGACGCAAAGGAGAGATGCAAGCCGAGTGTGAAGAAGGAACACAGCTCCCACTTACCAGAAAGCGAAGTCGCGTTCAAGAAAGAAGACCCTCGGGTGGAACAGATGGTCGCCTCGTGGCGTCGGCGTCGAGGTTGGTCGTCCGTGCTGGCCAATAGCAAGACATTGAGGGGCAGTGGCTTCTCTCTGGTGTCTGGCGATCCTGTGCCACGAGCAAAGCTCGACGAGCTGTGCTGCTGCTGTTTCGTGCTTGCTTTCTCTCTTCAGGCCAGCAACTGCAGCTGCTGCTCGGTCCCGCCACGGTGCCGATGAGACTGACAAACGTATCTCACGCTCCTTTGTTTGCTGCTGGTGTAACGAGCAACATCGTGTCCTTGGTGATGCGACAAGAAGACTGCAACAGCCTCGTGGGAAGCTGAAGTGGGATGGCCGACATGGGTCGGTAACTAGTCCAGGCCTTCCGGTTGCTGGGATCGAAGTTTGGTACGCGTCGACCAGCATGACCACTTCATGTCTCAAGTTCAGGCCGAGTCCTGCTCCGAGAAACGGGTGCATTGTCTTCTCTCGACCTCCGCTGATTGCGACCTTCGCACGTCGCCCGGCTCGGAGGACATGCGTTCTCAGCGCGCCGCTTCCAAGATGCGTTCGTCGCGATTTCAGTCCTCAGCGTACGGAGTCGATATGACCAACGCCTCGGTGGGAGAAACGCGCAGTTGCATGACCGGAGCGCGTTGCTGTGGGAAAAGAGATGGCAGAGGGTGATGAAGAGAAAGAGATGGGAGGTTGGGCAATATATGCACAATCGCTTATATTCGGCCGCTCCTGCCGTACCAGGTCTCCGGTAACGACAACATGGGCTGAGCGTGGATAAAGCGAAGCGAAGCAACGCGTTCATGCGGTCAAGAAGACCCGACTGAGGGCCAACAGTGCATACTACGCTTCTAGTTACTGGTAGGTACATCACCAGATTGGGCATGCACCATCTGGGAAGCTCTTCTGGGTCCGCCTGTCAAACCTCTCCTACGCACCTTTCCCTCTCTCCAGCAGCCATCTCATCCCATCTATCGTCCCCTCCTTCAATCCCGGTGGATTGTGCTCGCCATTTCCCTGCGCCCATATGGTATACCCAGCATGCCCCATCTGAGAATAAACATCCAGCTTCACCGGCCCATCCACCTCCTTCAACGCCGCCTCAAACACCACCGCATCCCGACACAAAATATCCTTCCCCCCAGCCTGCATATACACAGCCGGAAACCCCTTCAGCCCATCTTCACAATTAAAAGGCGAAAACCACTCCGACCTCACATCAGCCCCCAAATACCCCAACATCTCATCCAAAACAACCTTCATCTGCGCCTCCTCCTCCCCCATCAACTCTGCCTCATCCCAAACCCCCTTCAACCCCTCCGGAACAATCTCCTCCCCCAAAACCAACGGAATCCCCAAAAAGCACCCCGTAACAACATTCTCCAACCCCAATTCCCTCCTCTTCCCAGCAACCACAGCCGCAATCTGTGCCCCAGCCGAATACCCCCCAATCACAAACCCACCACCATTTTCAACATCAGCTCCAAAAGAACAACTCTTCTCTACAGCCCATTGCGCCACATATGCCCCATCTTGAAACGGTATCGGAAAACGAAACTCCGGCGCTTTACGTACAGTAGCTAGCAGCACAACTGCATCAAGCTCTAATGCAAATTCTCGTCCAGGACGGAGAAGCATATTAGGTGTTCCGGCTAAGTAGCAGGCGCCGTGGAATAAGAGGATGAGGGGACGAGGGTTTTCTTTGCGCTGAGATGATGTTGTGTTGTTGTTGTTGTTGTTGTTGTTGTCATCCTCATTATTCTTCCGCCGTATGATTTTAAGCGGGAGACCGTCACCTCCCTTCTCATCGGATCCATTCAAAGGTAGCTCTACTGTAGTATCGAATTCTTCTAATTCAGTATCATACGTGGGTAAAGTTGCGATTTGTTCTTGTTCTGCGCGGAGGACTGCTTCGCGCATGGCGAGGACTTTTTCGTTTGTCATTGTGAAGGGGAATTAACTGTGTGTGAGAGCTGAGATTGAGAGCTGTGCTGTTGTGAAAATAGTACGTCGACGGTATGTGGTTTTCCTGATCTATGTGCGGCTGATCGTGTTCGTATCAAAGGATTGGAGGAGCTAGCTCCGCGATGACTGCGGTCTGCATGGAGGATCGCACACTGCATTGCCCAGAAAGGGCCAAGGTCTTACCAGTAGGACTCGGGTCAAGGGTCTTGCAGCAGTGTATGATTCGAGGAACAAACACAGAACGAACACCATTGATCCTGTGCGGGTCTCGATGATGATGCTTCTGCAAGATGCACAGTCGATTTGAAGAACATGGTGCAAAAGACACACAGTCCCAGCACGCTCAATTAGCATACTACAGGATCTACGCCTGCTTTCTCTTCTTATACTTCCCTCCACCACCACCTCCTCCGCCCTCTCCATTCGTCTCCCAGTTCTTCCTCTTCTTGCCCTCACGTTTCCAAAAGTCATCTCTCTCCCTCTTCTCCCTCTCTTTCCTCTTTTCTTCACTCTCTGCAACCTTCTTCCTATAACCCTCTTTTCTCTCTTCCTGCTTCGCACGTCGCTTCTCCACTTTCTCGTTCCTCAAAGTCATGACTTGCTGCATCAGTCTCCTTGCAACCTTCTCCTCGCCACCAAGAACAACAGCGCGTTTCTGCGTGTACGTCTGCTTCTTCTGCGGCTTCATCTGCGTAATCTGAGACTTGTATGGAAGGTCTGCTTGGAGCTTTCTCGGAACTCGCAGAGGGTTGAAGTGTCGCTCCTGGCGTTCGATCGGAACGTATTTACTGTTCTTTTGTTGGGGAGTGGGTAAGCTCTGAGCAGCTCGGACTTGACCTGTCAGACGCATGCCTTCCCACTCGCCAGGATCGCCACCTTCGAGCAGGTTCGTCACTGGATTGTAGAAGCGATGTGGTCGCACAGGGTACCACGCTCGCAAAAAGATGATGTCCGACATGAGCACCTTGTCCTCGAACGTGGCACGGAAACATCCTTCGGGTTTGGAAAGAGCCTTCTTGATCTGTCCTCGAATGCCAGATACAGTTTTGATACCTGCACCTTCAAACTTGGCAATCTCGAGTGCACTAGAGAACATGTCCTTGACGAAGGCGGTGTTCTTGAAGATCTTGTATGGATGCCCAGTCAGCTTCAGCTTCTTCACAATCTCAGTGCTCTCGTCGACATTGAGCACGACACCAGTGGCTGCTATCCGGAAGCCGGGATTCTTGTTTGAGAAGGATTGCACACAACAGAAACCAGTGTTCGGTGCAGCCAGTGGTCCATAGAATGTCCCGAAGCAGTGCATGTGCTCAGGAGTGTATTTGAGCATGCGATTGCGTGTTCGCGAGTCTGATATGCTGTAGACCGGAGTGGTCTGAAACCGGCGCCATCCGAGGGAGAAAATCAGAGGATCGTTCGTCTTGAGAATCTTCTTATGCCATCTGTGGCGCTTGATGCGGACTTGCACGAAGCCCATGCGCTCTTCGGTAGGCTGTAGGCCTCCGACCAATAGAGGGAAGCGAGCATCAAAGTTCTCGACGAACTCGACAGGTACGTCTGCCAGGATGAGGCGGGCGTATGTGCCAGCTCGATAGCCTTCTGCACGCACTCGTGTTGCTTCGTCCAGGTCTTCGAACTCTTTGCGGTTCAGATCTTGCTGCTTCTTCAGCATTGCCTTTTGTGCATCGTACCACTCATCTTCGCCGAACTCATCGCCTTCGGCATCTCCGTTCGCCTCTCGATTCGTGTTCTTGGGGTTGAGGAACCCCTCGCGATCCTCTTCTTCGAAGCGCATTTTCAGCTCTTCCTTCTTGCGAGCGTTCTTTGCTCGCTCATCTTCAATGCTTTCCGGCGCCTCCGCAGCTTCTTCAGCATCACCAGCTTCAAGGTCCTCAAATTCTCCGTCGCCTTCGCTTCCATCATCGAGACCTTCGAAATCATCGTCGCCATCTTCCCCTGCATCTTTCCCATTGTTGCCGCCCAGGCCAACAGCCGTGAAACGCTGGCGAAGTGCTTCCATGTTGTCTTCATCTGTCCACTTCTCTTCGAGGTCCTCATAGTCGTATTTCGGAATCATGCGGTCTTCTTGTTCATCGTCGGCACTTGGCTTCCGCCTGTTGAAGAAGCCATCCTCCTGCTCATCGTCCGCATCTTCCTCCTCGTCATCCTCACTTCGCCATTTCTTCACGAGCTCTGCTGTGCTCAGCATATCGTCGTACAGCATCTTGGCCAGATATGCGATCCTGTAAGGCTGCTTCTTGCCCGACATTGCCTTGGCACGCTCTGCCATGTTGCCCTTCCACTGGACCTCGCCGTCCTCGTCCTCCGAGTCCATATCACAGTCGTCAACGTCTGGGTCATCTTCAAGATCTTGATCGGACACTTCTGACAACGAACCGAGATCGCTGTCTGAATCTGCAAACGCAATATCGCCCTCCACCTCGGTGTCCTTGTCCTTTTTCGAGCGGCCAGTCTTCTCAGGCGCTTCTTGCAGCGCCTCAAAGTCTGCTTCATCGTCCGTCTCGCCACTCTCAAATCCTTCATCCTCAAGGTCGTCGTCCTCATCTACCCTGTCGTATAGAGTGGCTTTTCGTGCGCTCTTGCGGCCAGTGTCCTTGACGTCGTCATCATCCAAGCTCTTTATCCGCTGCCCATCATCGAACAGTGCGATTCCGTCATCTTCACTTCTTCTCTTCTCGCCCTGCAGGCCGACAACCAGCTGCTCGCCCAGCCCTCGCTCTTCCTCGTTCTCATTCGCATCGAATGTATTGCTCTTGACATCGATGTACACGGCATCCTTGTCTACCAACACACCGCCTACATCGCTCATTGGCGCATAGATGACCTTCTGCTTTTCGCCCAGTCTTTTCCTCTTCTTGGTCCCATCCGCCTTCTCTTTCACTTGCTCAAAGTACGGAGTAGGACATGGGTCAGGTAGTGACTCCACGCGTTCAACATTGATGTCGCCGACTCCAGGAATGTGCACTCGAGCATCGTGCGCAGGGAAGTTTGTGCCTCGCAAGTAGCCATACAATGCTATCGTACGATCGCACTTCGGATCCTCTTCCTTCTTGGTCTCAGGAGTGATGTCCAGCATTCGATCGGCAAGTGCGTAGGGATGCGAGTTCCTCCAAACCAGCGGTCTAGGATTCTTCATCACGCTCAGAAAGCGCGACAGGTTCAGAACCTCTCGATCAGGATATCGTCCATTGATCACACCAGACAGGTAGAAGAGCTTTGCACCCTGGTACAGTTCCGACCAGAATCGGTGTTTCAGTCGCTTTTTCTGCGCTTTCAGTGTGTCCTGCTTCCGGAACAAGTCCAGATGTGTGAGGATGCCGAACACATTACCCGGCATACCAGTACTGCTCAACACAGACAAGAACTCCATGGTTTCCATCTCGAATCCATAGTTGCCATCGATCATGAGCAGAACGATATCCACCACTTTCGCCATGTCTATCGCCGATGCAAGACTGTCACTTGGACTCTCCATGAATGTGAGTCTCCGCCTCTTGCTGGTGACAACTGTGATCGGCCCCGTAGGCTGAGAGACTGCCTGCTTTGTGTACCGCCTGACCAAGCTCTTGATCAATGTCGTCTTGCCGACACCGGGCGGGCCAACGACTCCAACAACCAGCGGAGGCGCCTCCTCTGGAAGCCTGTCCACGAGCGGGACATGCAGCCGCTTCTCCTTGACATCGTGACTTCTCGCCGCCTGTTTTTGCAGTCGTCCTGGAGCGGCGAAGGCGAAAGCTTTCGGGTTCGGCTGGGACGTATCGTGCTTCTTCTTCGCTTTGCTCGCGCGATGCGCCGTATGCGTCTGCTCCTCGCCACCCATCGCGTCGACACCAGCGCTCCGCCGTAAGGTAGTTCAGATGGATCGAGGCAAGAAGAGAACGCCAAGATTTCGCGTCTGCCAAAAAGTTCGATGAAGCTCGGGTCACTGTGCATGGCGCTAGCAGGGGTTCGTTATCGACAAGGACCACCGGGTAAAAGCGGTCCAGACCATGTGGCTCGCAACGTCACCGGCCAGGCTACACCATTTGGACTTTCCTTGATGCCATTCCTACTTTCTCAGCTCTGACTCTTTTCCAATACATTCAGATTCACAATCAAACTGTATACCAAAATTCGCACATTTACCACCTTCAGACAGCTCAAAATGCCTTACAAGATCAACGTAGGACATACAACAACACAGCTGCGGGGAGCATGTGAGAGCTGACACTGTATCAGGTCTCACTTCAGAAGGGTGCCGACGCCCAGCACTACGATGCGTATGTCAAGTCATATACCATCTCCTCCTCTCCCAAGTACTAATCAAGCTCTTCAGGGCCAAGAAGAACGTCGAAGACCAAGGCGGCAAGATCGTGAACGAGTTCAAGCTTATCAAGGGCTTCACGTGCGTACCCCAACATCTTCCGTGATCTTATCAAGCTCACGCGATGTGCAGTGCCGAGTTCCCAGACGACAAAGTCCACTCCCTGTCCTCGAACGAGCACATCAATGTCGAGAAGGATGGCGTGGTGACAACGCAATAGATGATGATTGAACACTGGTTACGCAGGACACGAGGTCATGATATGATGCTACGCGAGATGGCTATAGATGGACAATAGCATATGAGAATATTTCGACGGGCTGACAGCCACGCCTTCGATTCCCATTTGGATTTTCTCCGTTTCACTTGAGCCGATTGCTGTGACCATTCACAATGCACACACAAATGAAACTAGTCTGAAATTGGCGACTGGACGACAGTCACAGCGAACACGATCATGAGCGCGGGAGAGACACCTTTGAAGTGATCGTTACAATGCAGGGCATGCTTTGAATTGCTATTAGAGCACTTTCCGCCACTACTGTAGCTATTGTCTACGACTAATATACGCACGCCACTACTGCAAGTCAGCCAAATATGCACCCAATCTTGCTCCAAAAGCCAAGCTTACCTTCGGATTGAAGAAATACACCGGAATGCCTAGCAGGAAAATTCCCACAAACAAACCAAAGAGCTATAATCACACACTCGTCAGCAAAATTCTCTTCTCCCTGACAACCCAGTCAAAAGTCCAGTACTCACAATCATATAAGCCGTCAAATAATCAAACTTATGCACCATCGGCACAATCCCATACGAAGCCCCAAAAGACACAACATTCTTCATCCCGACAACCATCACCAACGCACTCCCAGGATTAGCCGGAAACGCCTCAGCCGCAAAATGCGTCGAACTAATCAATAGTACAATAAACCCAAACTGCTGTAACGTCCACCCCATAATAACACCCCAAGCACTCCCCACACGTTCCGGAGACTGCGCCGTAAAAGCATAAACCGCAATCCCAATCGCCGAGACGATACTCGGGAAAATGAGGATGACGAGGGTATCTTCGGGGATATGTTTTCCGTTGCGACGGCGAGCGAGGAAGAGGTTGATGCGGTCGCCGATGTAGCCGGCGTAGAACATTGCGAGGAGGGAGGCGGGGAAGATGCCGGCGTTGACGAGGCCGGTGGAGGATGGGGACCAGTGGAAAGAGGTGATGAGAACGGAGGCGTAGGTGAGGGAGATTGCGATTCCGGAGCCGAGGGAGATGGAGGAGGCGAGGATGGCCCAGAGGACGGCGGGGGAGGTGAGGGATTGGAGCATTTTGGTGAGGGCGCCGAGCCCGAGGTGGAGGGCGTTGGGGGCGGGACTGGAGCATGGTGAGAGTTGAGAGATGTAGGACGTTTTCCGTGGGACGATTGACGCAGAGGTGGTTTGGTTGCGAGTGCCGTAGCGGGCTTCGGCTTCTTCGTCGCTGAGGATTGTGGTGACGCCAAATTCGTCTGTGTGTACGACTTGGCCGTTGTAAGATGTAGGTGGACGATCGTAGCGGGTCTCGGGGAGGAGGAAGATAGAGAGGAGCAGACCGAAGGCGTTGATGATGGCGAAGGTGAAGTAGAACCAGCGCCACGAGCTGGATGCTACGAGGTATGATCCGCTGATGATGAAGACAGCGTTGATGAGGTTCTGTGTGCCCCAATAGGCGCCAAACAAGAGGCCACGCTCGTCAAGGAATGAGATGTCGGTGATTATGAGTGGAAGCACGGATTCTGTCGCTCCTGTAGCGAAACCTTGGAGGATGCGCATCGCCATATGTGTTTCGAAGGTCTGGCTGTATCCAGCGCCAATGGTTGTTCCAAGTAGAAGGGTACTGCAGACTAGAAAGACTGGCCTTCTGCCAAACATCATCGATAATGGAAGCATGAGAAAGGCACCTGCGTGACAGAATCGTAAGCACATTTGAACTGGACTTCGAGCAGGACAGACACTGCTCTTAATTCATCCAACACTGAACAGGACTCACCACAAGCCATGACTAAGCTTGGATACGTAGTCAAATTGATGATCTCAGTCGATGAGTACCCTTGCGGCATGTAGAGGTCCATGAACACCGGGATGATTGGCCCCAGCCCAGCGACCAGCACCAAGGAGAAGACCGAGAACCAACAGCAGCATACCATGATCCCAAGTTTCCTCCATTTACTAAAGTTTAGAGGGTCGTTTGGATCTGCAGATGGGATCGGAATACGTCGCACTTGTCCATTCTGGTCGATAAGGTTGACATCGCCTCCTGTGCGGTTCTCTGCCAGTACGTCTTTGCCATCTTTGCCAGCATATTCGATCTCTACAACGCTATCCTTCTCTGGCGTTGTCATTTTGAGAGCTGAGTAGCAGGATGCCCACTTGCAGAGAAGAGTAATGGTGCCAGAAGTCTCGCCATGATCGGCACCAACGTGGTCTGATATACTAAGGTCATCAATGGAACAACAGATCTTTCAGAGAGTTGCTGCGCTGTAGAATGGGGTTTGTGGAGCCTGGGCGACGCCACAAAGTACGGTACATGGAAGTGCGGCTGGAGCGGGGGTGGATGTGATATACGAGAGATGTGCCAAGACTTTGTGGTCGACAATGAGATAGGACCTAATAAGACTCACTTACCTCTCGGCACCGCAAGACGGCAGCACACATATGTTCTTGATTGGCTCGTGCTTGCGGTTACATTCATCGACCACCGGAAGGCTTCTGAGAAAGATATATGGCAATTGCAGCCAGCGCCCACTTTCCGATGGTTGTTGGCGTCGGGTTCGGAAGGCCTGGGGAATCAAGGCACCAAGTCAGATGCGCTTCGTCCAATGCGAGGATCAGTGCTGCCACAGCTCCCTCGCAGTATGATCTGTCTGAGAGGTTCTCTTGCTCACTTCCCCTTCCCTCAGCGAAGAGAGTTTTGGAAAGCAAGCCTTCTATTCCCAGAAATGCCTTGCGGCATTTGAATTCATTCTACCAACTCTCCGTTCCAAACGATCTCATGAGAGAAAGCTCGGGCAGTTGCCAAGCATCTGCATAGCTGGGTATCGTAGTCGATGACTTGTGAAGATGAAAGAAATGGTACCTGCGTGTGACGTTTTGTCATGTTATTATGCCGCTTGTGGAGAACACAAGCAAAAACCTCTCAAAGGCTTGATAATGGAGCTATATGAGCTCGTGTGTCGTACGGTCATACTTCTACAAGTGAGGAATAGCCTCGATACCAGTCCGCGAGAGCATTTTTCAACTCGTAACGCCAAAGCCTAGACGCCGTGTGTATGCATCGTGTCGAGAGATTGCTCGCTGCTCTTACTCGTTCATAAGGTAGTAGAGCTGGCTGATGCTCTCGCCGTGGTGATTACGGCGAATAGCCTCGGCCAGGAGCGAGCTGACGTCCAGAACAACTAGTTTCTTCGAGTTCAGTCTCTTCTCTTCCGGGATTGGGAAAGCGTTTGTGACGATCACGGCCTCGATTTCTCGACATTGTTCGAGTTGCTCGAGACAATCACCGCCGAAGAGCCCATGCGTAGCCATGCAGTAGACCTTGCTAGCGCTGCCACGCTTGACAACTGTCTCGGCTGCTGCAATCCACGAACCGGCCTTGTCGATCATGTCGTCCACAATTACTACCGGCTTATTGCGTACACTGCCGACCAGCGTGACGTGAGTTTCAATTTCTGGGTTGGCAAGTGCCTCTTCTTCCTCTTCGTCAGAGTGCGTTGCGTCGCCGGTGCCACCCAGTCCGCCATCACCTCCATGACCACCGACCCAGCGAGAAGATGCCGCCGAAAGGATCGATTGTGTCATATGATCGGGCACACCATCGTCTTCACTAGAAGACCGATGGCCACGGTGTTCCGAGTATTGCGATGCACTTGGTGAGGGTACATCATCGTCAACGATGTGGCCATGGATAAGACGACCTGTGATGACATCCCGAGCGTGGTCGTCGGCCTCGTCATCACCCTCTGGCTCTTCGTACCCATCATCGTCGCGATAGACCGGCTCGACTGTAGGCAAGGTACGAGCTGGTCTCAAGATGAGCTCTTCTTCGCCTGCAGTTTGTTTCGCTTCTGTCTCCTTGGCTGGCTGGTCGTCTCCCGCACTGTCAGGACGATGTGAGTTAGCAAGAGGGCTAGGATCGCCATTGGTAGCACCCCGCGCTCGCCCAGTCATGGGCGCAGAGGTCACAGCTCGTTGGATGTGCTGTCCGGGCCTGGGAGGCTGTCGGATACTGTTGCCGCGCGACCGCGCATTTGGACTCGTTGGCGCCCAGTCCCGCTCTTTTGGCGTAGCATCGTCTCGCTCCGAGGCTTTGCGAAGCTCCTCTGCCTCCTTCTTCAGAGCGTTGTGCTCATCTGTGCCGTCGTTGCCGAGGGTGTCCAGAATGGCAGAATTGTACATGCTCATAGACATTTGCGTCCTCTTTCTGCGATCTGTGGTCACAATGCCGAAACTCAGGCCAAGCTTGTCCGCAAGACTGGTCACCCGCTTTGTGCCGCCTGGGTTCTTGCTGACCACGACCGTTTCCCACCAGTCTGGAATATGCATGCGGATCCATTTGCCCAGCAGTGGCTCTGCGAAAAGATTGTCCACAGGACATTTGAAGAAACCCTGCATCTGTGTAGCGTGTAGGTCAATGGTAATGACATGGTCCACGCCGGCGACCTTCATCAGGTTGGCGAGCATGCGTGCCGTGATGGCGCCACGGTGCGACTTCTTCTTGGACTGGCGGGAGTAGGGAAAATACGGCATGACCGCTGGGGCTTGCATTAGAGACTCGAAGCTCCATCTCGCGGCTCTGGAGCATGTGGTGCTCACCTGTGATGGACCGTGCCGAGCCACCTTTGCAGGCATTGATCATGATGAGCATCTCCATGACATTGTCGTTGATCCTGCTCCGTCAGCGCAAGCCGTGCTACTCAGGACGGACTGAGATCTCATACTGGCTACTGCCGCTCTGCACGATGAAGACATCTTGGTCACGGACCGACGTCTCTGCCAGATGAGTCAGTATTGCGAGCGCGTTGCCGCCGCGTGTTCGGTGGGTGCGTACTGATCTCGACAGAAGTCTCGCCATTGGCAAACTTCTTCAAGTCGACCTTGGACGGCTTCTGACCCAGTCGTTCGCAGATGGCCTCCACCAGGTGCGGGTGGGAGGAGCCGGAGAAGATGCATGCACCTCGCATTTTGGCTGCAGGTCGACGGGAGGAGGTGTCTGGGCGAAGTGTTAGAAGTTGCGGGTCGATAACCTCCACAGAGGCATCACCGAATGTGAGACTCGGAGGACGTGGTCGCTGGTTACATGGTGGATAAGAGAGAAGCAACTAGCTCCCGAGTGCAGAGGAAAAAAGCTGTGACGAAGCTCTTCGCTCGGCGCAACCCTAAAAATTGCCGACCGTGCACGTGCTCACTTTCCATTCACGCTCGGAGATCCACTATGTTCTGCATGCTGTGTGGTTGATGAACTGAGGTGATTAGTTGGACTGGTGTCCTCGATGCATCGCCCTTCGTACACATACATTGGAGCGATGCTCTCTATCCTCTCTCTTCACTGCCCAAGCCGTGGGCAACTTTGTTGGGACGATGACATGGACTCCCAGGCAGCAACGACCAACATGAGGCATGCATGCTGACCATTGGAGTGAGCACGTGTGGTGTGCCTGAACGTTGTTTTGTATAGTCCTTTATATGAAGGAGAGTAGGATCTAAAATGACAGGACAGGAGAGCAATTGTACTTTGTGTGAGTGCATTCTCTATCCTGCTTCTGGATGTCGACTCTCCAGCTTCCGACAGAATAAAGCAACCTCGTAATCCTTCTGCGGTACAATCTGCACAAAGTCAAAGCCAACACGTTTGTAGAAAGCCTTCAGCTTATCGTTCCCAGCCCAGCAGTCCAAGAAGATTGTGCCTCGGGTGTGCTTCGCTTCGATGGACTCCACGGCGCCATCTATCAGTATTCTACCCAGTCCACGCCCTTGAAGATCAGGCCGAAGCATAATAGAATGCATGTACAGCCAGGGCTCCACATGATGCGAGATATCGAGAGACTGGTCTTCGTATTCCTCTGCAATGACTGATGGGGTCATTGGTATGACAAAGGCACAGCCAACAAGGCGTGCATTGTTTTTGATCGCGTAGCAATGTCCTGCTGCTATTGCCTTCTTCACATCTTGAAGATCGAGAGGCCCTATCTGCTGCAGGCTTCCTGATGCTGTGAGTGCGTTCTGCACCTCGGAAGACAGGTCGACAATTGTCTGAGCATCCTCAGTGCCTGCTTTGCTGATGACAGTGTCCGTGCTATCCATGCGGTCGGTGGGTCTGCCTGTCAAGCTGTCGTCGTTTGGAAGATAGAAGACCGAGTTTCCAGGTCCAGTAAGTTACTAGGTCAGCATCATGTTTCGTTTGCTTACTTCACCAAGCTCATTACCAGGTCATGTCGGCAGCCACCGTGCGTGTGAGCCAGCACAGTTATACCAGTCCCTGTGGCGTAGTACAGATTTATGTCCCTGCACTTGTGCAGATCTGCTAGCTTGGCAGGAGATACGAGTCATTTGAGGAGAAACATGAATAGCACAGCTGGGAGTTCGCAGCTGGCACAATCACATGCTCGGCGGTGTGACGGATGAACGAGGCGGCGATGGAGCAACTGAAAGTGGAAAGAGAATCCAGTTTTCTGGTAGAGATCAGGTCGCGTGTGTTTCTGAATGACGATGGCCGCGTGATGACGTTCGCACTCGCCCAGAATTCGATTGCCTGCCCCACTGCTACGGACGGATCTTGAGAGTTGAAGGGTTGAGAGGCCAGTTTGCTCCTGCAACCACTTGCCTGCATCTCTGCCTCCAAACCATCCACAAACACCGCCGACGTCCTGCCTGCGTCGTCGACTACCACATCACCAGCAGACACTATCAGCGTCTATCACTGCGACACCGCTCCGCGCCCCGCCGATTACCGCCGTCAGCTTCAGCTGAACAGACACCATGGCGCCTCCAGCCACGTCCGCGAACGAGCCTCTGCAAGAGCGCTTGTTGAAGCTTGCTCAGGTATGGCGAAGATAAAGGAAGAGAAAGAGCGCGTGCTAAGATCTACCAGACGCTCCAATTCGCATGGTTCGTCGGCCACGTCACCCTCCTGTTGACCACGCTCCGATACTCGTTGAGCTATATCTTCTTCAACTACTACAGCCGCTGGGCGCAGTTCAGCTACCGCACTGCCTTCATTGCCGCTGCCGCGACATACGGTATTGTTGTATTCAAGGGCTACCGCGCCCGCGCAAAGGCTGGCAAGCAGCCAAGCAGCCCATTGGCTCTGGCTGGCGATGAAAATGTGCAATACCTTGGTGAGTTCTTTATGATATGCGTCAATGCGACTTCTAGCTAACGCATCCCAGCTATGGCCTTGATCTGGCTCTTCTCCAGGCAATACCCGCTCGCACTTCTCCCATACGCCGTGTACAGCGTCTTCCACGTCCTTACCTACACTCGCGGAATTCTTCTTCCAGTCTTGCAGCCACAGCCAGCTGCTGCCGCAGGCCAGAAGCCAGCTGGTGGCCTCGCAGACACCATTGGCGGGTTTGTTAAGAACTACTACGACGCCAGCATGTCCATTGTGGCCGCTCTTGAGCTTGCTCTTTGGTTCCGCATTTTCGGCTCCGCTCTCATCTTTGTCAAGGGAAGCTGGATCATCCTCCTCGCATACACCATCTTCCTCCGCGCACGCATCAGCCAAAGCACCTTCGTCCAAGGCATGATCAGACAGCTTGGTGCTCGTGGTGACGCTCTTACTCAGCGCCAGGATGTTCCACCTGCCGCTCGCCAGGCCTGGGAGACCGCCAAGAATGTGCTCAAGACCATTCACGACCAGACTGACGTGTCTGGGTACATTCAGGGTGGTGCCCAGCCAGCTAAGAAGGCTCAGTAGATGCAACGGACAAGTGGTATCACGAGCAATCACGAGTCACGCCGAAACGGCCGAAACACACAACGATGGCGTCAAACTTGAGGTGGAGATAAGCATGAAAAGAAGATGTCGAGAGCAGAGACACTAAAGCGGAGGCCGAAGCGCAATGGAGGCGCTCAGAATGAGACGGTGGATGCGAGATAGTGAGGATTACGGTTGTCACAACAGTATGCTTCTGCAACTGGCTGCAGGGCACTGAGAGAAGCATTCTTGGCTTGTGCTATTGTGTAGCAGTTCAGCGATAGACGCCAGACATGATCTGATATGGTTCTTTGCATAACTTACATTCTTCACCGCATCTATTCAAGCATTACAATGAGCTTTCCCGGCACTGACAAACCGATAGTAGAAGGTAGGCATGTTGGTCGACTTGCTGAAGTTGTGCAATTTATGCTTTGTGCCAAGACTTGTGCCAATGGTCGACAGGCAAGAGCATCCAGCATCACTTCCATCATCTTACTTCCGTCTCCCCTCGCTCGATCCTCCTCGCTATAGAAAATCAAGAGCCTCACGAGATGGCGCCCATTCCATAAGCACCACAAAAACCCGACGCGATGTCACCCACCTACATACTTCTCTAATGCACCCCGCATTAAATGCTGATGTGACTGCAGCTGCTGATCTCCACGACCTGAGAAAGTAAGCGGCTACCACATTCGCAAAGAGCTCAGCTCTCATGCATAGCAAGCACCAGACTTCCGGAAAAGGCGCGGAGCTGATCCCTAGCTGGGACAGCACAGAAAGAAGAAGAGCCAAAATGGTCCTCTCGTCCGCTTCCATCCAAAAATTCGTTTCGATTTCAATTTTCACTATGGTTGCTTTGTCGTTGATATATTTGCATTCGTGGCTTGTGGCTTGGAGTCATGGGGAAGGTAATGCAGTTGGTGGAGGGTTTGATATGGGGAAAGCTGGTGGTGGAGGTATGGAGTGGGAGAATCGGCGTCAGAATTGGCATCGAAATGATGGAGTGCTGAAGTATGTGAATCCGAAAATTGGAACTTATGGAGTTACGCCGAATGGAAATGGGGGAATGATTCCTAGTGTGGGAATGCCGTTTGGGATGACGAGGTGGACGGCGCAGACGAGGGAGGTGAGTTTGATTTTCGAGCTATCGGACTGTTTGACGTCGTCCTTTGGGCTTGAGTTTTGGTTTCGAGTTGAAAAGGAACTGATGAAGCTATGCGAGAAGGATGGCCGAGGGTCCCTAAGAGATCAAGTTTCTTTGCTGACATTGACAGAACTTCATCTCACAATGTCCGTACAACGATCTGGATGAGTATATCCATGGATTCCAAGCTACGCATCAGCCGGCCATCTGGATGGGGGAGAGTGGACAGGTCGTGCTGAGTCCTGGACTGGGAAGTCCACAACCACTGTTTGAAAAGAGAGCGAGAAAGTTCAACAAGGCAGACGAGGTTTCTACTCCTTACGTCTACGAGGTGTCGATGGATGCTGCGGCTGTAGAGCAAGGGCAAAATTTGACTGAGAGTATTTACAGCCCTGTGCCGGGAGGTGCTCAGCCTGTACCGGATGATGTCAAGGAGGGTACGAATGGAAGAGTCAGGAGAAGCGAAGGCGATCTGCAAGTTGCGCGTGCGGCACAAAATAGCATTCCCTCTGCGCAGTCTGAGGCTGCGGGCAAGATCAAAGTGGCCATTACTGCTACTGATCACGTGGGACGAATGCTCATTGATTTCGGGGATCCGGAAGGACGAAGTGCTTTTCCTCATGTCTTTGTGCAAGCTACTCGCAAGAACTGGACCGGAGAGATCACACTCGATCGGAAACGACAAGAGGTCTATGGACGAAATCCTCAGCGGCAGGATTATGCCCTTGGGCCGCTGCCGGCAACGAACTTCAGTGGCTATTTTGTCTCTCGATTCTCGGAACCGTTCGTTTCGGGTACTGTCTATGTTGGTGATAAGAAGCAGTCCGGAATCATGGACGCTGAGGGCCGCTTGTTGAAGCAAGCAGAGCATGTTGGTGCTTATCTTCGATTCAGCAATCGGCAACGAGTGGTTGAAGTCCGTACAGGCGTTTCATTCGTTAGTGTCGAGCAAGCGAGATACAATCTGGACCTGGAAGCACCATACACGATATCTTTCGACCAGGCTGTTGAGAATTTGAAACATGCATGGCTCGCAAAGCTGGGGAGAGTGACCATTGAAGGAGTCAACACAACCGACAGCGAGCACGATCAACGCACGATCTGGTACACGGGTCTCTTTCACGCGTTGCAGTATCCTTCTGACTTTGCGGAAAAGGCGAGGGGCTGGACGAGTGGGTTGCGGAAGTTTTACAGTGGCTATACTGATAGCATGCATTCAGCCAAGGACTCCTACTACCAGTCGTGGTCCATCTGGGATACATTCAGAGCAGAACACAGTCTGCTCACGATGTTCGCGCCGGAGAGGGTCAATTCCATGATGCGATCGCTGGTCAGGATTTATGAATGGGCAGGTCGTTTGCCGATGTGGGCGAATGTCGTCGAGACGAACATTATGATTGGCACGCACGTGGATGCTGTAATTGCTAATGCGTTGGCCCGAGGCTTCAAGGATTTCGATATCAAAACGGCCTGGGAAGCTGTGAAGAAGAATGCTTATGAGCCGCCGATAAATGACACAGAGCTGTTGTACTACGACCGAGAAGCCAATACTCCGGACGAAGTCAGAGCAGGCCTTACAGCCTACATGGAGAAAGGCTATGTTTCAAACGACCGCTGGGCGGAAAGTGCTTCACGAACTCTCGATTACGCATTCGATGACTATGCAGCTGCAATCGTCGCTGAACATGCAGGCGACCAGAAAACTGCCAGAGCCCTCCATGAACGAAGCATGAACTACCGCAACGTCTACAATTCGGCAACGGGCTTCATGGAAGCCAAGAATGACAACGGCACCTGGGCTGGCCGCGACCAAGGTTGGACAGAAGGAGACGACTGGATCTACACCTTCAACGTCATGCACGATCCTCTTGGTCTCGCAGACCTCATGGGCGGACGCGACAAATTAAAGACTAAGCTTGACGAGTATTTCAACGACGGTCACAACGATCACACGAATGAGCCTTCGCATCATGCATCTTACCTGTATGCTGCAATCGGATACCCGGATACGACGCAAACCCTCGTACGAGACATCGCTACACAGAATTACAATGCTACGTCCGCTGGACTGAGCGGCAATGAAGATCTGGGGCAAATGAGCGCGTGGTATGTTTTCACTGCGTTAGGCTTTTATCCTCTGAATCCGGCGAGCGACGAGTACGTTGTCGGGGCACCATTCTTTGAGAATGTGACGATCAGGATCCCTGCAGGTGCAACAACAGGAGGGAGAGGTGGGAAAGAGCACGCTTTGTCAATTCTGGCGCCTGGAGCGACGAAGATGCCATTTGTCAGAGGTCTGAAGGTCGATGGACGAGTCGTGGAGAAGCCGTTGCTAAGACATGGGGAGATTGTGGGCGCGAGTAAGATAGAGTTTGATATGGCTGATAGTCCGCAGGGATGGGGTCGATGGTAACAGGATAATCTTGCATTTTCGGAGGTACGTCCTTCTATGTATAGCTTGACGTTCTCAGTTGGCTACTGATCTAGGCATCAGTATTCCAGCGCAGGAGTTGTGAATGCGGGCAGACTGCTTCACTGGAGGTATGTCATTGGTATTGCTCCACGGCACCGGTTTAGCTCATGCCAAGGAGCATGTGAGACCTCTGACGATAGGCCGTCAAATGCCGACAATGGCTTTCACTTGTGCCTGGTATTTCGCGTGACACGACAGGACGCCGATGATGCCAGTCACCATATCTTTTGTGCTCCTCACGCCATATTACCAGCCACAACTCCATCGCAACAAAACATGCGATTCGCCACTCTTTGTCCGCTCGGAAGCGAACGAGCCTGATCGCGCGAACACACGTTCACTCGGGGACCCCCAATGACGTAGCCATCAAGAGCCCCGCTCATCCTTGCAGTTATTTTCGTCCCCGCTGCACGTACATACGCAACCACGACCGGACAAACGAGCAGAAACTGTGAAATTCAAGGAACAGGAAGCACGCTAGCACGCGCGTTCCCCATTGTCCCTGTGTGTGATACAAGCTTTGCCATGTCGTGCTCGGACGATCTCATTCTGCATGAGCAATGATGCACCATACTTTCTGAAGCTCTCTTTGCGCGCCCGAGCTTTGCCAGTAAAGAAACTGGTCCAATTTTCCGCCACGAGCTACGCCTGCTACTTGCTGTGTTTCTTGCTTGTGTACCACACGAATGCTCTTACTCGCAACACCGCCACAATGGTTGGTAAGACCTCTGATGTGGGCAGTGCTGAGCAGCAGGAAAGGCATCTGAACAGCGAGAATCATGACGATGATGGCGTGTTTGGGAAGTTGAGGACGAAGTTGAAGGATACCAAGTTGCATGATGTCAAGGTATCTTGGCCATTTCCACGTCTCGGAAAACAGTGACTCTAACGAGAGTTGTAGATTGGCGCTGTGCATCTCAAGCATCGAATCGGCAAGTTCCAAAACCTGGTTAATACGAACCATCGACACGACGAGGAACACGAACAGAGAACAGATGCGAAACGAACGAGGATCGCGGAACAGCATAGATTCCAAAGCTTTGCGCCGGAGCGGGATGGAAACCTGATCAAATGGTACATCGATGGAAGAGACTACTTTCATGCTGTTTCTGTCGCATTGGAACGCGCGAAGGAGACGATTTATATCGCAGACTGGTGGCTGAGCCCGGAGCTCTTTTTACGACGACCACCTTACCACCACCAACAATGGCGACTCGATGCTGTTCTCAAGCGTGCGGCAGAGCGTGGCGTGAAGATCTACATCATTGTCTACAAAGAGGTCGAGCATGCTTTGACGTGCAACTCTCAGCACACTAAAAAGGCACTGGCTTCGCTCTGTCCTGAAGGAAGCCCAGGCTATGGCAATATCAATGTCATGCGCCATCCGGACCACAATGTGCTGGAAAATGCTTCGGATATGACATTCTACTGGGCACATCACGAAAAGTTCATCGTCATCGACTACGACCTCGCCTTCATTGGAGGTCTCGATCTCTGCTTTGGTCGCTGGGATAACAGACAACACGTCCTTGCCGATGCTCACCCAGCAGGTGTGCAAAACGAGCTGTTCCCGGGCCAGGACTTCAACAACAACAGAATCATGGACTTCCAGTCTGTGCAAGATTGGAAGAGCAATGAAGTGTCAAAGGCAGAATATGGACGCATGCCGTGGCACGATGTCGCAATGGGCCTCATTGGACCTTGTATTTACGATATCGCGGAACACTTCGTGCTGAGGTGGAATTTCTGCAAACGTGACAAGTATAAGCGCGATGATCGATATGACTGGCTTACATTGACTGGCCGAACTGGTGAAGACGAAGATCTTATCGGTGTCCAGAGGCCTAAGCACCCGGTGGGCGACTATCTCCACCATCCACTTTCACCATTGCACACGAAGCGGGGGAACCCCAGGCAGGGCAGAACGGTACAGCATCGAGACACGGAAGGAGGTGCGGCACAAGAGCTGGAACCTATCAACGATGGATCTGAGCAGTTCCTTGACGAGGCTGAAGACGTGGACGAGCATGGCTATACGCGACACCAGCATAGACATGGGCACGGATTGCAGAAAGAGCTGAAGCAGCGCGGAATCCATGGGCCAGGACATGACAAACAGAGACTTGTGGATGACCACTTGAAACCACAAGCGCAGGAGAATGCTCATGTCACCGGAAACGATCCCAAAAACGAAGGCACTGTCTCGGCCTCGGGTGGTATCGAGGAGAAGAGCAAGGGCTACGAATCGAATAAGGTCGATGATGGCATAATTGTCTCTCAAGGCACGGTTCACGCGCAACTAGTGCGCTCCTCTGCAGACTGGTCTTCTGGTATTCTGGCCGAGCAAAGCATTCAAACAGCGTATTGCCAGGTCATTAGAGCCGCGAAGCACTTCGTCTACATCGAGAACCAATTCTTCATAACGGCTACGGGAGACAAGCAATCACCAGTCCATAACCTCATCGGAGCCGCCATCGTGGATGCAGTCCTCGCTGCAGCGAAAGAGAATCGCAAGTTCAGAGTCATCATCATGATGCCTGCAATCCCAGGCTTCGCGGGAGACCTGCGGGACAGTGCAGCCGCCGGGACACGCGCGATCATGGATTACCAATATAAGTCCATCTGCAGAGGCGACGAGAGTATATTTGGCAAGATTAAAGCGGCCGGTGTGGATCCGACACAATACGTATTCTGCTTCAATCTGCGTTCGTACGATCGTCTTAACAAGACTCCCGAATTGAAGAAGCAAGAGGAGCAGAGTGGTGTCACGTATCAGGAAGTCCAGCGTGCTGAAGCTGAGGAGGTCATGGGAGATGCTGTGCATGCTAGTGAGGAAGTTGAGGGTGGTGGCAAAGCTGGAGTGCGAGAAACTGCAAAGGAGGGCAAGTTCAAAGGTCTTTTCAACAAGGCTCGCAGAACTAGCGTCGACATTGATGAGGAGGACAAAGTCCATCCTGAAGACGATAATGAGAATGCAGGGGTGCTTGCTGAGAAGAGGAGAAAGTTTGAGGAGAATGCTCATCCTAATGCTGAGGGCCATGCCAAGAGTGCTGACACTATCGCTAAGGATGCGATGTTGGGTGAGAAGAAGCCAAGTGAAGAAGGGTATCCAGGCCGCAAGGACGATGGTACGAAGGATGGAGATGATGAAGAGAGCGAGGATGCGAGACAACAAGAGTTGGAGAACTTCGTTCAAGAGGAGCTCTACATTCACGGAAAGGTGAGTTCCTCCCTTTGCATTCATCAAGTGACAAGCTGACATTGCCTACAGGTCCTCATCGTTGACGACAGAGTCGTGTTGTGCGGATCCTCCAACATCAACGACCGAAGTCAGCTGGGCTTCCATGATTCTGAGCTTACCATCGTAATGGAAGACACACGACCATTGCCATCCAAAATGGACGGCCAAGAGTATCACGCAGGGCATCACGCCGCGACACTGCGTCGCATGCTCTGGCGAGAACATCTCGGTCTTCTCCGTGCTCAAGACCTGGACGCCGAGAACGACCCAAACGCCCAGCCACCCGGAGACGCAGAGAACGACTGGTGCCAAGGAGATGAATGGGATCAATTCGTCGAAGATCCTCTATCAGACGAGCTCTGGGCAATGTGGACGAAACGCGCCACGACCAATACCAAGATTTTCAGACACTTATTCCACGCGGATCCAGATGACAACGTCAAGAATTTTGAGGATTATGACAGATTCTTAGGAGCCAAGGGCTCAAGGAAGGCAGGCCATATCTACGATCAATTCCAGCCCGTTGAAGTCGCGAGACAGGAACTGGACAAAATCAAGGGGCATATTGTGTGGATGCCATTGAGATTCTTGGAGGAAGCTGAATTGGCGGAGCGTGGGTTGCAGGTCAACTCTATGACTGAGAGTATTTATACTTAGTTCTTCGTTGGGTGTACAGTATCGGCATTTCGCATGGAGCTTGGGAGGCTTTCTCGAGGCGTTTTGGTCATATTCTGCACGCGATGCGCGCATGTAGTAGATACAAGCATTCGAATGGAAATCTTACTTCCTTCTGCCCTAATTCACACATGTTGTTTAGCTTTTGCACTTCCTTGTACCACTGTATAGGGCGTATACTGTGTTTCTCAAAACATAGCGAAATCTCAGAAACCGAACATGGACAGCCAAAACGCTGTTTACTAGTAAAATCACCTGCCGCAATCCCTGGCCTCGTGTAGGGTTAGGCTTGAGTCCGATATTTCCTCGAGGTACGAATGTTTAAATTCGATTTATATACATGTTGCTCGTTGCAGACTGCTTCTCTCGCTACAATCTGTCTCTGTTTACGTATTGGTCTGTTACTGCGCTTTGTTTTCGTATTTTTACTGCGTTGTTCAGGATATTAGGCGCGCATTGCTTCTTGAATTTGTTTCTTGGCGATTCCGCTATGTTTTGAGAAACACAGTAGCCCCACTTCCATTACTAATAATGCCACTTCTTCCGACATCGGTCTGACGCACTCGGCCCTGGTGCACACACCCACCGTTCACAACAACCACGCCACGACTCCAGATTCCCTCACTTTCCCCACACTCATCTATCAATTCAACCCACACCCGATCGAACCGCAGAAATGGGCGCCTTCTACGAAACCATCCCCGAAAACATCTACGCATGGATCCTCCAACAAAAAATGCTCTGGGTCGCAACCGCCCCGCTCTCGAAATCCGGCCACATCAACGTCTCGCCCAAAGGCGGGGAATATTTTGGACTCATTGATCATAAGACTTTTTGGTATATGGATTTATCTGGATCGGGCTGTGAGACTATAGCGCATTTGAGGGAGAATGGGAGGATTACGGTTATGTTTCAGGCTTTTGAGGGGAGTCCGAGGATTGTGAGGTTGTGGGGGAGAGGTGAGTTATGGAGATGAAGATGGAGGGGATGGGAGTTGGGGGTGAGGATGGGGAGATGGTTTGGGGTTTTTGGATTGTGGTTGCTGATGTGTGTGTCTTTATGTTAGGTCGTATTCTGGAACGCGAATCTCCGGCTTTCAACGATTTTATTCAGAAGAACTCCGTCGAGATTATCCCTGCGACGAGGTCGATTATTATTGTTGATGTTCATCAAGTTGGAAGTTCGTGTGGGTATAGTGTTCCGATGTATGAGTTTAAGAGTTTTCGGCAGACTCTTAATCAGGTTTTTGAGAAGAGGAAGGAGAAGTTTGATGCTGGGAAGGAGGATGAGTCGATGGATCATTATGTGAGTGGTGCATTGATTTTCTGGGTACTGGTATTATCGGTGCTGACGGGTGTGAAGTGGACATATAAGTCTCAATGGTCGATTGACGGGCTTCCTGGGATGCAAAGAGGACTTGATGCTTCGGCGAAGTATGGCGTGGAGCCGCTCGTGAAGATGGTAAGTCCACTTGGAGCCGTGACCGGATTTCCCTAATGCATGGCACAGACTGGACCTTATGCACCAGCAGCACCCTTTGGCCCAAAGTCCTTCAAGCTCGGCCATTATTTGAATTATCAGATTGCAAAGGCCAAGACGACTCAAGTACCGCTTCTGGATGTACTTATTCTGCTTTTCGTTGCTCTGATCGCTGGCTTCGCAATTGCTACGTATGCGCCGGAACTCACGCAGACATATCGAGCGAATATTGCGAAGCTCTTGAAGGTTTGAATCTACCGAGAAATGCTTCACGATTTTACGATTTTTTTCAGCACAGCGACCTTCACTCTCTTTATCCTGCACTCTGCGAGACAACAAATCGCACCATGCTGTCTTAGCATCATTGCAGTGAGACAACGATTCATGTTACAGGTATTGCAGTTTCATCGACAGCTTTGAACAGCATATAGGTCCTGGTACCTGTGGATGTACACTGTTGGTACTGGCAGTGCTCAAAGCCTTATAACACTAATCGCGAAAGCGTCCTCTAGGTCATTATAAATCATCACCCTAAACCGCGAAGGAGTGCAAAGCATTATCGATCACAAGTCTCATATCAGAAGGACAACTCGAAATTCTGCCGACCAATCACGTTGACATTCACCAAGTGAGCTGCACCTGATGCGAGCGACTTTCACTGGTTGAGGCCACAAACTCCCGTCGCATCCTTGAACCTTTCACCCCGCTGCTCTTCACCTACATTATTTACTACAGGCCCTGCCTTGCAGCCCTGACTTCGCACTTCTCACCCATTAGTCAAGTCAAGATACGCCAACGAAGGCAAACCCACCACGTCAGAAGCAAGCATGGCTTCTACCTCCCAGTCCTCCAAGCTCGAAGGCGATATCGAGTCCGTAACTGTCGAATCGGCCACTGTCGGCGAAGACAAGCAGCGAGACCACTTCAACTTCCTCGAACTGCCACCGGAACTGCGCCTCATCGTCTACGAGTTGGTACTGTTCAGCGACTTCGACGAACGAGACTTCCCTCCACCGAAGACAGTAGCACAACCCGTCTACTATGTCTCTCGAGGCCTGCAGGCTGAATCAGAGTGGACTTATATTAAGGCAATCCAGCGCTACCACAGCAGCCTTTCCGATCACGTCTGCGAAGCCTTCGATAAAGCTTCGGCTGCATGCCAGGAAGAGATGAATCATGTCCACTTCATGCTGGCGTCTTTCGCCACCATGTCCGAGGAGGAGTACCGGGTTGCAGATGATCACATGGAAGAACTCGTGGTGAAGACCGATGAGTCGAAAGCTGAGTGCGAGAGAATCAAGAAGGTGGTCGTGGAGTGTCAGGAGAGAGTTGAAGGAGAGCTGATCAAAGTGCTCAACAAGAGGGTGGCAGCGGCCAAGGCCATGATGGCTGAGGCGGCCAAGTTGAAGGAGGCAGTCTCTTTCTTGTCGGCTGCCAAGGAGGTGAGGGAGGCTTGGTCAGAGTCCACTGCAGGCCAGTGAGTCTGCAGGTCGGCAGAATTACACCAGCGCAGGATGCTACGAACCACAAACACGAGTATTTATATGGACGAGCCTGATTCATAGACCATCAAATCCATGAAATGCTATGTTGAGTTCCCACCATGGCCGTCGTAGCTGTACAACATAGAGGTAGACAGATCCTGTGCGTCTGTCTCGTTCTGCTTCACGGCCGGAAAGATGCAGATTTGTCCGATCACTCCTCCAAGTTTTGTCACGGGGATGTTCACCAAGAGGATCGCGCTTCACTGTGACGCCGTTCACTTGTCGCGGCCACTCCTATAGTTCATAGTCACAGCTGATCTTGTCATTACCCTCCTCTGCTCCATACCTCCGGAAGCTCACGGCACTGAACAACATAAATCATCAAAGACAACACCAAGCCATCAAAGTACAACATGTCTTCCCAATCTGGAGCCTCCCATCGCGATGACGGTCTCGAGTCCCCTGTCCCTCATCCTACCACTCCATCCGAGAATCGGACATCTCACTTCAGACTGCTCGATCTCCCCCCAGAGCTGCGTTTGATTATCAACGAGTTCGTGCTATTCAGCGACTTCGAAGAGTGTGCACCATTCTCACGCGGTTCTCTTGTACACCCTCTCTATTACGTCTCTCGTGAGATGCAAGCCGAAGTTGAGCCCACGTACATCAAAGCGCTCGACAACTACGAGGATCGAGTCAGGGACACAGTTCACGTGGCACTTAAGAGAATGGCTTCTACATGTCAGGCAACTGTGGATCACTCAGAAGCGATGCGCCAAGCTGAGGAAGCGGGCAACATGACCCGCGAGGATTGGCGCAAGGGGAGGGTTGTCTCCCGAGAATTGGAAGCGGAGAGACGCGAGGCGATGAATGAATGGTTGCTCCTGGACAAGAAAGGTGCCAGACGTAAGCTTGAGATCGAGCTGCAGACTACGAGGATCAATCTGGCGAGGGCTAGGGAGGAGGAGGACGAGGCGGAGGAGGCAGAAGTCGACGAGGCAAGCGACTCAGACTGAGAAGTTAGAACCAGTTGTTTGCGAGAAGCCTGCTGTTGGAGGGTGATGTTGCTACCGCAGCGAATGCTATGGGAATCAGGAGAAGCGCTACATGATGATCAATTCAAGAGCGGAGAGGTACGCAATCGCCTACTCGAGCAGACGGAGGGAATTCTTGATGTATGACCCGCTCGGAGGCGCAATGGGCGTTACTGGTTGAAGAGCTCAGACTGTCGAGATATTCTTAAAGAACATAGATTATCACGTCGGCTGATCCACGTTGTCGTTCATGATAGTTTTAATCGAGCATCATGACTTGTGATCGTAAAGTTTTGATAGTCTTGAAGCTTGTTGTACCACGCTCAGAGAGATCCGTGGTCATTATGCCATCTGGTGGCGGCAGTTCCGTTTTTTGTCGAGCAGGAGCCAGGTCATATGGTACATCTTGGGTACTGAAGACTCAAAGTTGTAGTGAACATGGACTACCACCTTCCACCTTCCACCTTCCATCGACCGCAAAGCAGTTGCGAACGCAGCGCGCCAAGAGTTTGGGGGAGGTGGGTCGAATACACAGTTTCCGTTAGAAGATCAGATGGTTGGCGATGCACTCATGATGATCCTACGTGACATGTCCATTCCAAACCTTGCATGGAAATTAAGGCAGCAATGGCTTTTCGCACCGACCTAGAACGATACCTGGGGACGAAGTCTCTAGATTTTGCCGCAGAAAAACGTCGGTACAATGCATCGAAAGGTGCACTCTTTGGACGTTTACCTGGACGAGCAGGAAGTTGAAGGGGGTATATCGGAGAATGTATTTTGAGGCGCATCTTTTGCCGCGAAAATAGGTTGCTAGTGGGTATAAGCCGGATGGTGTAGCGAGTTGCTCTAAATGCAAGTCCCGATCCTAAGTGGTATACGGCGAATACACGGTTCCAGTCGCACTCGCAACCTCTCTCAGTTTCTTATTCGTCCGCTTCAAGAACATTTTCGTGCTGAAGGCAAAACCAAAAGCCAGTCCGCCAAATACGAGCATCAAAATAAACGCCAGTCTGTAAGTCGGTCTCTCCTCGTCTCGGAAAAAGTATGGACTGATGATATTTCCAACATGGCCGATGATATTGACGATCGCTCCACCAGCTGCTCGTTTCTCAGGTGTAGCGGAAAGTGTACTGACGGCCCAGCTATAGACGAGCGCATTTGCGGCGAAAGATCCGGGAGCATACAGGAAAGATGCCACGTAGCGCGGGATGGTAGCGGAGCCGTCCGTGGCTACCGTGATGATGAAGCCGATGGCTGCGGCAAGGAGGCCACCGCTGATATGCCAGCCGCGTTCTTTGATGCGGTCTGAGTTCCATGCCAGGACGAAGGAGACGATCGCGCCGGTGACATAAGGTGGCGCCGTGAGCAGGAGGGATACTGTGTTTGATCCAATGTTGAAGCCCCGCAGGAGAGTTGGGAAAAAGAAGTTGAAGCTTTCCGATTGTTAGCATGTCATCATTTGCTTTGTGCTGATGGGATACGTACCCATATGATGCTGTCATTGTGAGGTTCAACAGAGTCTGGCAAATTTGTCAGAATGAATCTACATCTTTCATGATCTGGTCGGCTTACGAATAGGTATAGTTTAGGATCAACAAGACACAGCTTAACACCATGCCATATACCTGCTGTGCCGGAAGCTCCAGTGACACGATCGGCCTCCATGCGAGCTTCGGCAAGGCGACGCATATCTTCGTTCATTGACCACGTCTGGCTTCCAGTTTTTGAGTGCGGGTAGTCTGGCAGTGTCCAGAACGCAGCAACTCCGCAGACGACGGACATGAGAGCTTCGAGGATGAATAGCCTGCGTTGATGAATTAGCTTCTGTGGACACCAAACTCATGGCTGAATATACCATTGCCAGCCGGCGAGACCGCTCACACCGTCCATTTGGAAGATCCCGGCTGCGAGCACTCCGGACAGGGCCTGAGCGAGGACCAGGCCGCTGTACAGAATGGCGGTTCTGAGAGCAAGCTCTTTTCTTGTGTACCAACAGGTCATCAAATACACAGCCTGGCACAGATCAGCACGGGTTCGATTAATCTTGAAGGAAGAGAGTAACCCACTCCAGGAAATAGCGGCGCCTCAGTAATTCCGAGGAAGAATCGAATGACGAACAATGTCTCTGGACTTGAAGCCGCTGCTGTCGAAGCCGAAACAGCAGACCAGATCATGACAGTAGCAGGAAGGTAGATTCCAGGTCGAACACGCGTCAATAGCATATTGCTTGGGAGTTGAGCAAGCATGTAACCGACAGTCAGTACAGAGACTGCAATATTGTAATCTTCTGGTCCCATGTTGAGATCCTCCTCAATGGTGTTGAGTCGCGCTTGAGCGATGTTGGTCCGATCCAGGTAGTTGTTCAGGTAGAGAACCCATAGTGTCGGCAGCAAAGTGAAGTCCAGCTTGCGTACAAGTGCTCTTTCTGTGACTCTCCAGTCTGGTAGATTGAGGGCGGCGATGGGCTCGAAGTTGTAGTATCCTTCTGAGCTTTTGACTTCGCTGACTTTGTTCGCCGAATTGACGCTCTCGAGCTTGAGATCGGTCGAATTGTCGTCCGCAACGATCTTGTCGTCCAATCGAGTCGGGCTCTCGCCGCCATTTGGTCTGGTCGTCATGTTGGGCTTCGAGCAGTACTGACGCTGTCACTGCAACAGCACGTTCGAGCTGCTTCATATTTTGTGACCGTCATGATCCCAACTTATAAGATGCAACTTCCGGATAAAACATTCGTCGGTCCAGGTGCCAAGTCGAAGGTCTTGGAATGCCGAGTCTTGAATGTGGGCGCCACGCGAGCTGCCGTGGCGTTGTGGAGCACGTTTGGTAGGCGAATAACGCAATTGAGGCGCGAATGGGTGACGTTCGGTGTTCGTTCCGCGGAACAATGGAGTTATTGACTATGCCAACGCTTGGTCAACTGGAGAAGATGAAGTGCTTGTCGCAGGGGTGACGTTGATAAACGAGCGGATTGCATCCAGCGTGAGCTTAAGGGTCCTCTCCGAGATGTTTCGGACTTCCAAGATGCCTCACCCGCATGATGGTTTATGTATGGTAGATCTTGCGATATTGAACCCAGGCTTGGAACATGACTGAGCGAGTGCGAGGCAGAGTTCCGGCTTCCAAGTCGCCAACACTATGGGATTACTTTGGTTCAAACGGCAGTCCGTAGCAATTGTTCGAAACATCTTCGTCGCAGATGTGCTTTTGTAAATGTGATTCTTCAATAAGTGTTTCGTGGGCGGCCATATCGGAACCGACGCGGCATAATACATGTGCGTCTCACGTGTTGAGGGCGGAACCGTGCAGCGGAGTCTTGCACAAGACTAGGACGTAGGCCAATGCTTCCAGAAGGCCACACCTAAGCAATCGACAAGACAAAGAGAATCCCTGGGAGAGATGTCGTCTCCATAGAGTAGAGTAGCGGCGCTTGACACTTCTTCCGGTCACGTGGGATGCGGAACAAATAGGCTGAACATTTGTTCGGGTATCGACCAGCTCTGTGGTGACTGATCTGCAGCTCCCCGCCTTACTCCTCTTCTCGCACGGTAACGGCGTACGGCATAGGACAGACAGTGTAGGTGCTCTTGAATCCTCAGCTGGTCAACTACTGTCTGCTCAGCATTGCGTGCAAGTCTTGAAGTGACAATGTTCACATACGTTTCCAAAGCATCGCGCCTTGCCATACGCGGTCATAGCAAGGATTTTGTAAGAAGCTTCAGTGCATCGGGTCGAAGTTATGGAGGGACGAGCGACCTGTCTGTGGCAGACCGATTGAGCATGAAAGGCAAGACGGTCCTCGTCACAGGTGGTGGCCGTGGCATTGGATTTGCCGTCTGCAAGGCTGTCGCCCAAATGGGTGCCAACGTCGCGATAATTGACACTCTAGAAAAACCGGTGGATGAGTTTTCAGGGCTCGAAGAAAGCTTCGGCAGCAAAACGATGTATCAGCAAGCCGATGTGACAAAGCAAGACTCTCTTGAAGCAGCGTTCCGCAACGTCGTTGATAATCTTGGCGAAATCCATGGCTGTGTGCCAGCAGCAGGGATAGCCATAGACAAACCGTTCTTCGATCACCAGTGGGAAGAGTGCCAGCGAGTCCTAGCGGTAAACACGCTCGGAACCTTTTGGACGGCCAAGCTTGCGAGCCAGCATATGGCCCAGCATAAAAAAGGCGGATCCATAGTGATGATCGCTAGCATTGCTGCACAGGGAGTCAGGGTTCCTCTTCAGAATATCTCGATCTACAACATGTCGAAGGCTGCCGTCAAAGGCCTGGCCGGACCTCTTGCTGTTGAGATGGGTCCACACAAGATTCGTGTCAACACGATCAGCCCGGGTATCATTCTGTCGCCCATGACGAGTGCTCTGAAGACGCAATATCCAAAGCTGTTGAATATGTTCGAACATGCAGCACCTGCAGATCGGATAGGAGTTCCAGAGGTAAGCCGACGGGGTGGGTGCCTTATTGATTCCAGCTCACAGTTGCATCCAGGACCTTACGCCAGCTGTTGTTTATCTTCTCAGCGATGCCGCGTCGTTCACGACTGGCACCGACATCGTCATTTCTGGTGGTATCCACGCTGGAACCTCGATGGCATGGACGGAGCGATCGCTGGGGTAAGCTCGTAAGCTCTTGTCACTTGCCCGAAATAGCAACGAGATCCAGGCTTGTGGCCGGTGTCTCAGTCACCGTTCTTGTCCTACGGTAGCACAATTCCAGTGTCCCTTTCGATTTTGACGTGCCTCTGTATTGCTTTTACAAGAACGCCTGGGTGGGCACACGCCTCTCATATGCGGCATTGGAGCGTGACAGAGACCAGCAAAAACATCTGAAGCATCTGTTATGCGAAGTAAGTATACAGACGTGGATCATGAGATGTCGAACTGGTGGATGTTCAGAGTGCAGTAGAGCAGGACGCGATCAGAGGGTGAGCTGTCCCACAAATTTCGTGCTGAGTCATTCCGAGATCGGGACGACCTTGGGTTCAACAACAACAACACAGCTGTTGTATCCTTCTAGAGCACAGACAAAGCTCCGTGTACATACTTTGAGTAGCCGCAAATGCGCAAGGCCAATCTCGAGGACAACATGGTGTATGTGGCTGCTTCGCACTTCATACTCTGACATGCCGCCAAACCCGAGCATGAAGCAATTCGCTGGAAAGACGACCCAGCTCACAGTCCATCCTCACTTTACAATACGGAGAATCACGATAGCAGCACATCAAATGAGTCAGGAGTCTAAGAATTGGGACGTTGAAGTGGAGTCTCAGACCCCGATATCCGCTCTGTTGCAGGAAAGAAGACGCCGAGGACGGCAGAGAGGTCGTCCTCTCGGATGCTGACTATTCCTTTGCTAGCCACGAGCCTTCCTATAGCTAATTGTACAGTAATACATGCTGCAAAGATCAGCCTTTCGATGATTCATCCTCAAGAACCCTCCAAAATCCCGACGACACACAAGCTACCATTTACTTCTCATCCACGCAAATATATCCCTTCGTCGCAGTACCACAAACAACGTTGTTCGGATCAATACCATCCTGCTTAGCGCAACAGTTCTGGAATTTTGAAGGTGCATTTCGCGCCCACTTGACAGGGTCCCAAATGCAAGCTGGACCTTCCGTGTTGTCGAAGTTTGCGCCTTCAAATTTTCCGCAGCAAGTGCTGGTTGCGTCGATGCCAAATTGGTCGAGCGGGTCGACGGCGTTGCAAGAGCAAGTCGAATCTGAGACTGCCTTGGGGCGTTGACCGGAGGGACAGTCTGGCTTTTCGGGGAAGATGGTTGGTTCGTCGTGGTGGTCGTGTGGCTGTGGAAGGGCGGCGACGGAGACCAGGAGGCTTTGGGTTGTTGTTAGGAAATCCAATGTTTGCAAGTTGGGCATGATTGATACTTACAGCGCCAGGGCTCCGGTGATGCCTGTGAGTTGCATGGTGAATAATTGGTTGTAACGAGCGTGGTTGAGTTGGTTTTCTCGGAAGGAAAAGTGATGGCAGAACTTATTGCGAAGAGGCGCTATCAAGCAGTATATCTGCTCACACCGTGAACTTCAGTGGCCCAGCAAGCTATGATTTATCCCATGGCAACCGGACAGGAGACCCGACATTTCTTCCTTGACCACGACTGCATCCGAAACAACTGACAGTGAGACATGTCATCTTCGTGTTCTGGATGCTCATACCATGGCAGTCATGTTCCGTACAGTAACTGCCGCATGGCAGAATGTCCTTCGATATACCGGAGTGAGGACGAAAGAAGGGTCATCCTCGGAACATACCTGACAACTTCATCGAGCTAGCAGCTTACCCATTGAAGCATCAAGCTAACCGATAGCAGTAAGACAAGACTGTTTCTGGAAGTCCCCTCCCCAATGTCTCACTCCAAGCGTTCTTGGGCATTCCGACTACCTGGAAGAACATAAATTGCTTCCTGTGATAAGAAGGCCTGTACAACCTCGTATTCGATGAATGATCTATACTAAATGCTTACCCGACAGAACCGTGATGTGCAGGCTTCTAGTGCAACGACAATTTGGCCTGGAACTGTTTCAGTCGAGGTCTGGATTCCTCAGATGAAGGTGACTGAAGAGTCGAATGTATATAGCAGCAATGGGAACGAAAAGTCACATGCCTAGTATCCCATCTTTCGATCCTTTGTCTTGAGAAACACACGCTCCTTTGAAGTTCATACACTCTTTCAAACAACCCAACAAGAAAATGCAATTCTCACTCTTCATTTACAGCCTCACGGCTCTTTCTCTCGGCGCGTAAGTGATCAACTCATCCAGCTTTCATAGCCAACCGAGCTAACCTTCACCAGCCTCGCCGTTCCCACACAAGACCCAAAGACCAAGGACTTGATAAAAGATAAGAACACGACTTGCTTCAAGGACCTGGACGCAGTCAACGCTGGAACAGGCGATGACACGGCTACTGCGGCCGCATGCGATAGCGCAATGGCTGAATGTGGCGCCGGCCTCGACTACATCGGATACGCATATACCAACTCTGGCTCTCTGACCGTACAGTGTCCCTTCTTGTGCTCCACGAGGCGATGGCTGACTGGGGATCATCAGTGTTCATATGACCCGAAGACTTGCAAGCATGCTCAGAAGCATATTGAGAATATCTGTAAAAAGGAATACGACATGTAAGTCTTTTGAAGCAGGTGATGCGATGAGCCTGGGTCGCTGACGCTGACTGTCTGTAGGGTTGGATACACTTCGCACAATCTCATTACTCCTGATCCCAAGGAGGGAGGGGAAGAAAGCAACTGATCCGCTTGTATGAGAGCTTGTTGGACCGTGGAAAACACGTGGAAACGTGCAATTTAATAGACGGATCCATCTTGTCCGGTTGTATATTGTCTCTGTCATCGAATGCGGCCTTTGAATACTGTGCTTGAGCAATACAATGAGAAGTCTGCTAAGAAGGAGACTTTGGCTGTCCGAGTTTAGCTTTGGTAGCGTCCGTGGAGACGGATTCGTGCAAGAGTGTATGCTGTATCCGAGCGAGCTAGTCCTCTGTCGACAAAGTGTTTCGATCCTGTGGCAAGTCTGCCGTTCTTGAGACGAGGGGAATCACCAGCTGTACACTCATATTTCGTATGGATACAAGCGGTTCCAAGCACGTTGGCGCCCATGGCTGCGTGCATGGCGCTCTCTGCGGTTTCGACTGGACAGACATGGCTCTTCCGGTCTGAACGGATCCCACGTGGCCTGCCATGTGTCGATTGAATCTGAGCCAGTCTGTCTCTGAAAGGACCCTTCGTGCTGCGACTGATCTTCTGGGCAGGTTTAGAACGGATGGGTCGGTTCGGCAATGGCTAGACTCGCGGTACAAAGGCATGGTGAGACGTATCGATCCTGCTCAAGTATCGACTGATGTGAGACAGCGAGTTCCAGGATCATCAAAGAGAGTTTTGAATTGAATAGTTCTGACGATGTCTGCCCTACCTGAACCGCATGAGCTAGTTGTGTGCACTATACTTCTGATGAAGCTGGGCCTCATTGAAGCGTCCTTCGGTCAAAGTCACGCTCAGTCGACTTTGTGAGCTTCATAACGAGTGGTTTGACGATTTGAGGCCTCGCACACCTCGCACGAATTTTCAGGACTCTGGGTCGCTGAGGATTTTTTGCTCCGGAGACTTGGTCATGGATGAAGTTGTCGGGACTTGCTTCGTGCCAGGGAAGCGCAACAGAGCGAGAAGACATCGCGATTGGGCAATTATTGAGAAGTTCCTACACCCGCAAAGTCGTGGAGTTGTGCTGCAGAGTTGTTGTCAGGCGTGATTGTGATTGTGAAGAGATGTCCTTCCCAGAACTGAACCTCAACCCTCGTGCCAAGCCAGCCATGATGCATCGTTGTTGCCTGAGGCCAAAACCGTCACCAAAATCGACACATTCTTCAAGGAGCTGCTCCTCCAAACTTCAGCCAGCGTCTGGAGCATAGCAACAGCTACCTAATTGCAGTGTCCCAAATGCGGACACCGCGTCACAGTCACATTACCTTCGACGCTTGAAGCGCGTCTCCATGCTCCCGAAGCAGACCAAGCGGAGGATGCGAATACGGTGCATAGCCACCACAATGCAGCCTAGATCAGCGTGAGTCAACATTGACACAAGACACTCTACTGAGTAAGGTGGCCAGCGCTTTGCAATTGTGTATTTCTTACAATACGGTGCCAGAAATGCCTACTGATCAACAGACTCACAACACCTCATCTCGAATCTGCCATAGCCAATGGCGCCCACCTCACGTCTTCTCGCTCTTCCAGCTGAGCTGCGACAAGAAATACTCATTCACGTCTTAGCATGGCCATCTACCGATATCGAAAGTACCCATCTCTCACAAGCCGTAGATCAGAACTTGCACTGCGGTGTTTGTCGTCTTGGATTCCGCAAAGATCGATACACCGGCAGCAAAGACTCAAACGATGTTGTACTTCATCGTCCCGCTTTCCCCACACCTCGCTCGATTGCCATCCTTCAAACATGCCGCCAGATCTATTTTGAAGCCATGGACCTCATCTACAACAAAACACTTTTTCTCATCACAAATCAACACACATCGAGACAAAAGTCTGGGATCTACTATAACCTCTGGAGTTTTCCCGGCATCCCTTGGAAACCCTTGGGATCAACGGCGGATTGCCGAAATCTCCTAAACCGCGTCAGGAACGTGCAAATCGAGGAATCCATAGGCTGTGGAGCGCAGGGGCGTGCGGCGGCGGGTCAAATGAGGCTACTGAGAGACTTGATTGGGAAGCTCGGCTCGCCCGAGTTGTCGCTGCGCTTGCTCATGCACTTTGAAACATGCCGAGAGTTGGGACCCATATCAAATCGGTCCTGCGAAGAGCTGGCTTATGCATTGAAGGGTATCAATCGTGCTGGCTGTCGGCCGACAATCACGATGCTGCAGAGGTTCAGGAGTTTTCGCCCAGGAGATGGTGTTGAGCAAGACGCGAGGTCTGTGGAGATGGTGAAATGGGCCTTCGAGGCTGCCGGCGTGCCCTTCATTCTTGTCGACAAATGATGGATGATCTCATGAGAGTGTCGACGGCAGATTACGTCTGCGTGGCCTGAGGTGCGCTCAAGCATACTGCGAGGTAAACCATAAGCTGCGACAGACGAAAGAGGGCGTTTGCACTTCCGTCTCAATCACATGTCATCGGCATCTCTTTGTTCCGTTGACGCGAACACCCTGTTCCAAGCTGCCGGGATTCTTGGTTGCTGCGTCATCATTCGGCATCCGCGGGGCTCAGCAGTGAGCATTTGACCATCTTCAACCTGCAGTGGCGTAAACTATTCTTTCCTGTCTTCGCATAATAAATACCTAATCTCACCTCATCACGAAAACCATCTCGCCAGTCCCCAACAGCATGGCAGATTTCGCCCCTCCTCCAGGCCCTCCGCCACCAAAAGTGCCAGAAGTGAGTTCATACAATCCAAAGCCGACTGAACAGGCAGAGATCGCTAACAGTACAACCCCAGGGCTGGAAAGCAATCTGGAACACCCAATACAACGAATGGTTCTACGTCAACACCCACACCAAACAATCCCAATGGGAGAAACCCACCGAACCCGTCTACCCTCCACCTTCGGGCTCTGCACCCCCACTAGCAGACGGTCCCCCAGCATACGATCACTCCTCGAGTCAAAACGTCGGACCCGAAAAAGGTGGCCAGTTAGGAACCAATAATCCTTATAACAACAATGCCGGTAACACTTCCAACATGACCGAAGACGAACGTCTCGCGCGACAATTACAAGAAGAAGAGAATGCGCGGAATAATGGACCAAGAGCCGGTGCAGCAGATGGCTATTATCAAGGTGCTCCACAATCACAAGTCGGACAACCTTATGGTTCACCTTATGGCTCTTCGAGTAGTCCATTACCCGATCAAGAACAGAACCGTGGGAAGAAATCCGGTGGCCTCCTAGGGAAAATCACATCGAAACTCTCTGGAGGAGCGAAACCTCATCAGTCACCATACGGCGGTGGTGGGTATCCTCAGCAAGGTTATGGAGGATATCCTCAGCAAGGTTATGGCGGGTATCCGCAACAAGGCTATGGAGGTTATCCTCAGCAGCAAATGATGGGCGGAGGAATGTATGGACGGCCGCCGCCTAGACGTGGAGGCGGAGGGATGGGAATGGCGGGTGGAGCTGCGTTGGGTGCGGGAGCGGGTCTACTCGGTGGTGCGATGTTGATGAATGCTATGGATAATGATGAGCAGGATGCGTATCAGGATGGATTTGAGGATGGAGCGGATTTTGGAGGGGATGATGGTGGTGGTGGAGAGTAAGCGGAATGAGAAAAATGATGTTCGGATGAGTTGATTTGAGCACACGAGTCTTTTTGTGAAGCGTCTTCTTCCTGTGTTTTTTTTTGTAATGTATACTGGTACATGCACACCATCGAGATAACACTGTTTCAATAAATCTGTCTTCTGCTACTGCTTAATGTCAACTTCGTCGACCCATCTGCTTACTTCATGATTGCTTCCACAACCATCCCAGCACCTCCATAGCAACCCTCTCAGGCTGATCCACCATCAGCAAGTGTCCCGCTTCAGGCACAACCACAAATTCCTCCAATCTTCCTCCCTGTCTCAACATGTCACCCAACTTTTCCATTTTCTCCCTCGGAATCCACTGATCCTGCTCTCCCCAGAGAATCTTCACTGGACATCGCACATTCTTGTAAAGGTCGCCGTCCTGCATCTCAGCGACATCCTGATCATTCGCTTGAGCAATCTGTCGGACAAAAGACGATTGCGGTTCCGAAGGAGAAGTGTCCTTTGTATCGGACGATGTGGAAGAGCTTGAAGTTGGCAGCCAGGGCGCTGCCAACTTGTCCTCCCACCCACCGCCTCTCAGTTTCTCCGAATCGTGACATGCACTTTCTATTGTAGCTCGGAGCATGGCTTCGAAAGTGTGAGGTGGTAGATTCTGGAAAACTTCTGGTTGAGAGCGAACGAGTTTGTAGAAGCCGTCGCCCCGCGGTAGGACGCAATTGGTGTCCATCAGCAGTAGGCTTTGAAATTCGCAGTCGAGAAGGAGGTGCGCGCGAAGCACGATTGATCCAGCAATATCGTGTGCGATCATGTGAGGCCTGGAGTTGGAGCTCTTGCCGTCGAGATGAAGGTGGTCGAGGAGAGCGTTGAGTGCTTCGGCTTGAAAGCGGACTGAGGTATCTCCTTTGAACAAGGCGTCCTTTGAATCATTTTCTTATACTTGGTAGGCCTGAGATTTGCCGTAGCCGGGCATGTCGTATAGAAGAATTTGTGATGACCAGATACCTACTGCAGCGAAGATGGCCCCAGCTACATGCGATAGTGCTGTAAGCACGAGCCCAAATAAAAAGGGAGGGCTGACAGAGGCGAAGGACATGCCCAGAGCGAGTAATAACAAATTATTCGTGCATATCGCCCTCGCACAATCAACTTGATCCGATGGCTCTTGTCGCCACAATGGCCGCAGCAAAGGTAGGATGCGGCAAGTTGCTATAATGAATCCGGCCCAAATTCCAGGTTGCACCTCGCACAACAAGCTATGTGTGACGAGCCGGTGAGCGCTCCAGCTGACAGCAAAAGCAGCAGTTGCTATGAGTGCGGTGTATATGACCGGCGTAAAGCTCCTTCGCAGTGGCGTCTCCGAGCGCAATTGGCTCCGATTTGTGACGGGAAGCAACGGCTGAGACTCGAGAGCCCGCGCCACGTCTGGCTCGTTTTCAAGTCTCGCCGACGATATTCCTGAGGGTGTCTCGGTGACTAAAGCATTCGTCCCAAGCGGGCTGACATTATGATCCGGCTCGTCTGCAGAAATGCTAGGCTCGATGCTAGTCGCGACCTCTCCAGTCGCTCCCGAACATAGATTTCTTGTGCGGCACTCGGCCAGTCCTTTCGTGGTTCGCCAGAGCGGTAATGTGACCGTGTAAGTCAGTATCAAAAACAGCACCAGATTGTCCATTATCAGCACATAGATGTTGGCCCGCCCAGTTACTGAAGCGAGGAAGCCAAGTCCTAGAGCGAGGAGACAGAGTGCTGAAGCGATGCAAAGGGGAAAGGTGGCGTAAGTCGCTGTCTTCGCCCGGGACATTGCCAGCACGCTCGTCGTGACCATGTTACTCATCATAAGGCCAAGTGTAAAACCGAACGCATATGTCGGCACGGCTCCCATCAGTAGTCCAGCAAGAATAACAGACACCTCAGCCAAGGGTACGCGCTTTGACAATAGGGATGTCCAAGGCTGTAACATCTGGATTGAGGCATTGCCAGCTTCATGAGAACTCCATGCTAGCGCAACTAATGCGGAGGCCAGACAGAGAGTGTCCAGTATGACGGGAGTGCCTCCTCCAGACATGTTTCCCAGGTATAGAGTTGTATGCTCGTCGAAAGGGGCATGCAGTGGAGTTATGCTGGTTCGGAAGAGATGATCTTCAGCATTCGTCGTGGGTTGAGGATAAAAGCTCTAAGAACTTTCGGCCTCGCGAGGTATTTGGCTGCCTGGAGCATTGCGGCACAGAAGCTGCAGGGCAACAGCTCAAGGCTTGGCTAAACTGTGTTGTAGGAATGGTCTCATCGGAGCATATTTGGGTCCATACCAGGCATAGATCGGTGTGCAACATGATACCACTATTCGTTTATCAGTACTCAAAGACACCTTCCACGGCTTTAAAACATGTCAGGAGAAGCTTACCTTCCCGTCGATCAGGTGATACTCGCACAGCGTCACATTGGGAACCACGACGCCGTCCCAGCCACCACTGACTTCCATGTTAGCAAAAATCTCAGCGCGACCGTTCTTGGTGTCGACAGTGGTCGTGAAATCTATCGCTCTCAGTCTGTAGCCAGGATTTGTCGCAGTGCGGGCTTTGACTGCCTGAACAAATTCATCACAAGTAAGAGTCTTGGAGGCGAGCCCTGCAGTCACTTCTGCAATCCAGTATGAGGCTTTTCGTCGATACAGGGGTCCGTCTCGTCCGAAGTTCCGCTTGTTCACGGCTTCAACATCGTCGTGAATGCTCTGTTCGAGCTGCTTGGCGATATCTGCTTCTGACAACGAATCATTTGGAGACGATATACCGGAGTCGCACGAAGCGTTCGAGTCACTTGGACTTGGCAACATGTAGACTGCTGGATCTGAGCCATTGTCAGCGGTGCTCTGAAATGCTGTACGACGAGTCAATGGCGAATGGGCACCTTGTTGCTTGCTGCCAGACTGATGTAAGCGAAGGAAGGTTTGACTTTCGCATCCTACCGAGGCTGATTATCCGGAGGCCAGTACGGCACCAGGTGCCGAATGAAGGTGCTGGCGAAAGGTCTTGGGAGAGCCTTGTGTCTTGTATGAGGCCAAGTTGCAGACAGACATAGATTGGGCGACATCAGGCGGCCTACCTCCTCTGCCTCCACATTTGAATTGTGAGGCGCATGGCGAGGCAAGCCACTGAAAGTCTGGGTCTCTTGGGCGGCGAGCTGAGCTGATTTGGGGAGAAGAGTGGCAGCTGCCAGATGAAGCTGTTCTTGCCGCGACTTTGGCCTACGAAGCTTCCATCGATCGATCTTCCTCCAGCACTCCAACTGCATCCTTTCCGCCAACATGGAACTTGATATGTATGCACGTCTGCGTATTGGCGGCCGCTAGCAGCACTTCAGTTGTCAGGTAAGTGTGGTCGTCCGCTTCCTTCTTGATTCTTGATGCTTCTCCCGCAACGAGGAGCGTGATGATGGAAGGCACTTCATTCTGTTCGCCGCAGACAGGCCGTGATAGCCTGTCCGCAAACACAATTGATTCTTTCATGCTGTCTCTCGTCCCGTCAGATGGGTATATGCAACCGGAGACGACGCCGGAAATCTACAGCCAAGCCATGCGCTTGCTCTTGGATCTCCGGCAACAAGTGCAGCAGACCATGGACGATGCCCTCGTCAATGGTTACATCAGTATTGACGCTGCCGCCACATTGGGTCACGAGATTGCAGGACATTTTACGACGGCCATACGCAAGACTACACTTACAACGACGCTTGTTTCAACAGAGATCAACTCACAGCCCACCGATTTCCATGGCGCGTGGGCCACGGCCAACTTCGCCGCACCAATAGAGCCGCCATCGCTTGAAGGCACAGATATAGTAGCTGCAGTGGCTTCAACACCAGCGCCGCTTGCTAGCATTCCTTCGAGCAATATTTGCAGGGCCGATGTTCTCCCTGCAAAAAGCTCTGCCACGAACAGCGTCACCAGAGTCACGGGAGCGCGGCTCTCCACGACAACTTCAACGCGGAGGAAGCGGATGCCCAAAATCCAGGGTGCATATCCCTGCACGCCCTGCAACAGGGTGTACGATCGCTTTGGGGACTTGACCAAACATGCCGCCGTTCACGAACCTGGGAAGCGGACAAGCTATCGATGTCATCTCTGTGGTAAGGGCTTTGCCTACCCTGAAGACCTCCGACGGCATTCCTCACGACCCAATTCTGCATGCCAGACGCTCCCTTCGACGCCGAGCACCTTATCTCCGACGGAGGTCGCCAATCTGACCATGGTAGACCACGGCTACTTTCCACCTGTGGAAGAATATCAAGCGAGGACTTCGAAGCCAAGATGCGCGCCAGCTCCTCTGCTGCCTACGCCAGGAACGCACGATAGCGACTTGCCCATCTTTGGAACCGATACCCTGGCGACTATACCAGACATGAGCGAGCCGATGCCTCTGCAGACATGTTCATGTCCAATCTCAGATGCGTGCATACTGGAAACACTGGCACTGCTGCAAGGCTCGCTCAGCCTGCTGCGGCAAGCTTGCCTGTTACAGGATTTTGTGGACGCGAGACTATCAGCACTTCTTGCCGAGCCATGTCAACTCAAGACATGCATCATCGACCTTTTGCCAGACCTCGACAGTTTTGAAACTCCAAAAACTGGATCCGAGACTTCTGTGCTCTTGAGACGCGACTCGTTCCTCCCGACTCCGGAAAATTCGGATATTTGCTCTTTCGTCAGACAGCGCCTCAACGACTTGCTACTGGATCCCGTCGACGCCTTTGCGCCTATTCAGCACTGTCTACACGCACTCCTCACGATGTTTGGATTCGAGAGTGTGGAATTTCGCGCTCATCTACGCCACCTCAAGGCGACAAAAGCAGACGACGAAATCGATCTCATGTGCCAGGCATATGACCATTTGGCACGTTCGACTCTCAAAGTCTACAGCTCACAGCTTGACGAGAAAGTCGATACTCTTCAGTCGGCGATAGAAGGAGTTGCAGCGCAAATCAACATGGGGAATGAGATCAAAAGTGCTTCGACTGGCGAGATTGTGGAATTCGTGGCAGCTGAGAAGCGCTTCTCGTTCACGACTGCGAAGCTGATATCTATCCCGGGCAATGATGCTTGCGCATGAGCATACTTCGTTCAAAATCTGGTATGCGAGACGTTGATGGCGCCATCCACTTGGTCTCGTGAACATATCTTCTTACCAGTAAGCACTTTCTACATACGATTGCGCAAAAGACCACGGCTGCGACTTAATGGCAATGTCGGCTACGAGAAAGGCAAGTCTTACAGCACTTCGCAGCCAGCCAGCAAGCCAGGTTCCATTTCAACTGGGACCATAAATCTATTGCGCATTCGACGCCGGACTTCGAGGGGCACATCGTCCTCCACCTGGCGAGGACCACTATTGACATCTTGCACAATCGAGGTATTGATGAGGCAAGGGCCTCTGTATGGGTGCGCCTACGCAATCGCTTATGGTCTGTCCCTATGGAAAGTCGAGCCTGCTCCGCCGCTATCATGTTCATACTATGTCGGCCGAGAGCCACGCCGCTTGTGCTCATCCAACATGATGTTCGAGCAGGGGTTTGCCTAAAGTTCAGAGTTGAAATGGGGAGTGCTCCGGGCCCAGACGACTCGGATCCTGTAGAGATAGAGGGACTGCGCCAATTTCCACAGGGGCTGTCATACCAACGCTCAAAAGGGGATCTGCATTGGCGTTTCTGGCTGCTTGCGAGCTTGCCTTGCCGCCTTCCCCTGGTATTGGCTTCGGCCTGGGTGGTTAGATTAGTGAACGTACAGTACAAGAACATATTCAAATGGCCATAAAGCACCATTGATGAGTTGGATTCATACAGCTCGGAGTTCCTCGCTAGCCACTATTGCTCTAGGTGAAAGGCCTTGGTATGCGGCAGTAATGTGGACCATGGCCCTGTGTGGACTGCCGACCTTGCGGCCAATTGCTCGTCTAACATTCTTCAGTCGTGTCTCCGAGTATGGCAATTCGGCGAACGCGACCGGGCGTTGTCTCGTCGATTGTGTACTCGAAGATTCCTTCTGCTAATGATGTCGTTCGCCGATCGTGCGTCGCTGCTGGCCCATCGAATCGCACCCAGAACGAACCCAGCGCGAGACATGGTCGTCGTGGTTCATAAGGCGTCCATTGCCTCTTTTCAATCGCCTCCACGCCCCCTTCCTCTTGGCCCACCACGACCACGTCCTCGCCCGCGATCCCCACGACCTCCACCCTGTCCTCCCCTCTGTCCACCACCTCTCCCACCGCGCTGTGACTGCTGATTCGCCTGCTGGTCCTTGACCAAATCTACCACCTCATCCGGCACGCGCAAATATTTGATCTGTAAGTCCAATCATCAGCATTTCACTCCTCGTTCCAAAGCACTTTTCACGAAAGTGTAGGATAGCTGTCGCAAACGCACATTATTCCCGCGCACATAACACTCTGGTAACCGAAAGAATTTGTCTCCGTCTGGACTCGTTTGCACGACCTCTTTCAATGTGATGTTCATGTATGTGTCGCAGCTGACGAGGTGGCCGTTGAGTGTTTCGCCGGTTTTGAGCTCGACGAGCATTGGGTGGCCTTGCGCCGCGGTGAGGAGGCCGAGGGGGAGCTGGGGTTTGTAGTTGTTAGTGCCTGCTTTGTGAGCTGCAGTTCGAGGTTTTGAGTGGTGCTGGCCTTACCATTTCGTGGGATGTTGGCGTGGTGTTGTTGTGGAGAGAATCGCGATGCTGTCACCAGTGCTGAAGATGTGGTTGCTTGAGGTTTGGGTCGGATATGTTGTAGCCGGGTGGTCGGATAAGTTGATCAGTTCGGATAATTTAAGCGAGTGTCAAAAGTTGCAGTCTCAATTGGCCTCAGGCTTCAGCCACGTCCAAGTGCGATCATGTCTACCGACTCTACAGCATTCTGAACAGTCTACTGTATGATGTGACCTATCAGTGATTCTCCATGATCCGGCGACCCGATACGGGATCGGTGCCAGGAGGATGGCAGGCGAAAAACGAAAAACGCCTTGACCCATTGCTCACTCACCGGACTGCGCCTCCTCAGGCAGCAGGATTACAATCACGCGAACAGCTGTTCAAGTTCTTCTGTGCTCCACCGACACCACCTGGTCGTTTTAGCCATTTGGACTACTCGCTCGGCCGCCAGGCACTTCATCGTTTGAACACACGACTTCAAGGTGGGAATGTGAGCGCAACCACCGAGCATCAGCGGCAGCGATGCGCTCGGTCTGGTTCTTCCTTGTTCAGCTTGCGGCGGCGCTACCGATTCAGCCGCACAGTATGCCAATAGTATCACGAACCATTCGCGACGTGGAGATACTCGAGTCTGGTGAGTCTGCCTAATGCTTTCCATTGCGCTAAGGCACACACTTATGAACCATTGCGCCTACAGATTTAGAAAATGCCTCGACGAGGTTCGCCTTCACTCCAGGCTACAAGGATGCACGGGTTCAGCTTACGACGTCTCCCTTGGTAAGTGCTGCACACTCGCGTCACAAGGACTTCCTTGATCCAATGCTCCGTCCAGACCAGTTTCATTTCTGACTCCGCTCCTCTCCTCGGGACTAACGCTCGCTTCAGGTCGTCGAGCTCAATGTCCACCGCGCCACCGACCTCCTCGCCACCAACATCACCATCAATGACCAGCAATTGGACGTGAAATGGAACACGGCCGTAGCTGACGGGACTTTCTTCGCGACCGTGTCTTCGCCCTCGACTCAGATCCTGACCATTCCGGATGAGCGTGGAAGTCCCCACTTCGTTGACGTATCGTTGTCTGGTTATATTCCAGTAGACGACACCCAACGACCACTCCGCGAACCAGCAGACACACAGCATCTCAGCCTGCTTGTACTGTCCGTGGATGAGTTCGCTACGTCACACTTTGAGCTGGACATCGTCTCGCAACCGACTGCTTCCGAACGGCGACTGCGGAAGCTCTACCGGGTCACTGACATGCAATCAGCTGTGTCAGAACGCAAGGTCCAACTCCTGTCGGTGGATACGGTCCTCGATGCAGACCCATTTGCGGACCAGCATGGACAAGAGCATGTAGACGAGCTCGATATCGAGGCTGAAATTGAGTCTCTTCTCCAACTTGAGGCACAAGCCAGCGCACTTTCAACTCAGATTGCTGCCAAGAAGCACGGAATCTCAAAGTGTCTCAAAGATCACCGACAGAATGTCCCACTCGGGCAGCTACTTCACGAGTGTGATGGCGTCGTCTGTGCGGCGAAGGTCATTGCACAACGCATTTGTGACAAGATGGGAGTAGAGACGGCCTCGAACTTCGACTACGTACAAGTGCAAGATCCGAGCGCACAGCCACTCATCCATCTCGATGAAGAGAACCGGGAAGAAGCCGCAGAGATGGCCACTCCCAAACCTATGAGTGTCAAGTCTGCAACTCTGGCTGCAACCGGGCATATTAACCTGCACTCAAGCGGTGCAGCCGTTCGACAATCCATGGAGATCATTTACCCTCAAAGCATGCTCTATCGCGTTCTTGGCGTGATTGCTTGTGCATGCGGCTTGACAGCACTGTACAGTTTCATAAGACGGAAGTGCATGTCTGCCCGGCGAAAGGTTGACCAGTTGGCAGAGCGGGAGGAGAGACGCAACGCGAGGGCGTATCGACGTGCTGCTCGCCGCGCTGACATACGCAAGAGGTGGGAGGCATTTCTTCGCAGCGTCAATTGCTTCAGCATGCAGAATGAAGAGCCCAGAATGGAAGGCTACGAGGAGAAGCGGGCACTGATCCTCCAAGACGCTTTCATGGAACAAGAAATCGAGGCAGCCGAGAAGGGCGAGGTCATGGAAGCCGAAATCCGTGAGCTGAGACACGCTCACGACATCGTTTCCAGCCTTGTGCGCGTAGACGAACACAGATACGACTTGGCGGCGATTCACGGCCCGCCGCGACCGCGAATACCACGTCCGGCGCGGAGGTCGAGAGCCAGCACCACTACTTTGCCTTCATATCATTCCGAGGTCCTTCCCGATTACAGCTCACGGGTATCTGCCGTGTCTACGACCATTGCGAGTAGTGGCAACAGTCTCGACGGCACGATAGACTTCTCCACAACAGCCAGCTCTGGAGAAGGGGAGGAGGTTTTCACAGCTACCGAAGCTGCTAGCACTCCACGATCGTCCAGTGTGGACGGAAGCACAGGCACTCGACGCTCACGCATGACCGAGTTCAGCTCGATTATCGAAATTTCGCCGCGTGCTAGCGAGGAGACGCTTCGGACTTGTCAGCGCTCTTCCATGGCGTGGAGCCGGCGGTCTTGGGATACTAACGACCTTTAAACGTTTTGATGTCTTCTTTTGAGCGAGTTTCTAATGTTGTTATCGTAAGTGATGGAACCACGGAAAGCGGACCACCGCATGGCTGACTCCATTTTCATTGTTGCATTCGTGGCGCTACTTAACATGGGCGTGGGAATGAGGATCTCGCAAAGTGCACGCGATCGTGTAGACAGTACTAGAAACCAGAGGCAATTACATCTCAGCCGCCACATGGCGTGTTCCGGTTCATATTCGTTCAGCTCGTCTGCTGGGTGTGCTGCACGACATGATGCATGTCAGCGGCAGCCGGCGAATCGCATTGTTGACATGCAAGCATTGCGGATTGGCAAGAAGGCTTCTATCCTATGCCAATGAACGATGAGAGCGCGCGGTCGCTGGATCAGAGTCTCATCAAGATCTATACAAAAGAATGCAACACAATGACAGTGGCCCAGCGCTGCAGAGCAATGTGGGTAGCACGGTGTCTAATGACTACACCTCGCAGAGCAAGCTGCATGGCTGCTTATCAAGTGGCACTGCAGCTACTCTCAGCTCCTGTTATGCATCGCGAAGAGCATCCAGAGCTGTGCAGATATGCACTTGTACTCATACCTCACGCTCGCTCAAGCTATGAAAGCGCCATGGTGCGAGCAGCGAGTTCATGGTATCGCTCTTGCCTTACGTGCAAAACACTAAGACCATGAGCATCAAACACTCCTTTCCCACAGCGCAATCGCATGCGCAGATGTTCGTCGCTTCAAAGGCACAACCCTCTTCGCAGCACAAGACGCCACCAACCTACCGTGCACTTCGAGACCTCCACCAGGTCGGTTACCTGAAGCCCATTACGTCTGAACGCCGACCGTATCAGGAAGCAGCTATACAACGGATGCAATCCGAAGAAGCACTGCGCAAGGTGTATGAGCAGCAGCTTCTGCTATACCTGAATTCTTGTTATGACGATCTTGAGGATGTTCAGGATGCCTCGGATGACGGAGAAAAGTGATTGACAGCCATGATCTGCAGTAAGGCGAACATGCGAATAAGATCTCCGTCGAATGCCGAATGCTGAAACGACACAGTTTGCAGGGTCCGCGGGTTGGGCAATAATACGAAGATCATGCTCTTCAGTGAAGCGGTTTCTATTGCTGATGTCTAGAAGTGCACAGCGACTGAGAGCAACAATGAAAGTGTCGCAATTGTACGGCGGGCGTAATGCAGCCCATGACACTCAAAGCACAACTCCGCATCATCATACAATTGTTTACAGTGGCAGTGTACGCTTTACTTTGGTCTTTGCGCAGGCATCCTGGCTATATGCGATTCTGACCTCTAGCGCCAAAGTTGCTTGGCATCTGTCAGTTCCGCCCTCGCAGACATTTCACAACACCTTCTCGAGACCTCGCTTGCAATGACAGAGTACTCTACGCCAGGATGAGGCTGGTAATGCAATATATGTCGAAGTCAAAAGATGACTTTCTCTTGCACTGACGGTGCTGGGCAACCGCCCAGGTACGTCACGATCTGCATGTCCACGACTCATGTCTACCGACCTCACCTGCAAACCGACTCGTCCGCTACGAACATCCTGCCTCGTCTGAGAGCTTGCGATTGCAATTGCGACGATCGAGCGCGGCAGAACTTGTTTCAGCCTTTGAGACGGCGTCATATGGCCTGCTTCCAGAAGCATTGGGTTGCGGAGCGTGACGCCGGTGACGATGCTCTGCAGTCTGTGTGGCTGTTTGCCTGACACGATGCAGTTCTTCTCGGAGTATTGCCTTGTCACGCCCGTGATACATTTGCGACCGCACAGCCACCTTGTGCGGAATAGTTTCACCTTTTCATCCGTACACTAATCTTCGTCTCTCAGACATCTACCAAACAGAAAGCGCTGGTCGCTCTTGATTTGTTAGATAACCTTCATCAGTATGCGTTTATTTGATAACTCTGCGATACGGATAGATCTATTTCCAGGAAGGAAAGACAAGAAAGATGGCAAGAACAAGAATGCGAACAAGACGAATGAGCCTCGGGCTACAGGCTCCCGTGGGACTAAACTTGAGAAGGATGAGCCAAGTTCGACGGTAAAGGCTGCGAAAAGCATGCAGAATATGGAGCGAAAGACCCCGCAACGGCCTGATGCCTCACGAGCATACAATAGTTATGACACGGAAAGGTCTGGCAACGATTACTCCAAAGCAGGGACTGGCTATACTCATCAACGACCTTCGATGGAACGTACCAACGACAATGCCAATTCTCGGCCATTTGAGCTGAAGGGATCATCCTCCTGGCGGCGCGACGACCCTCCAACTTCAAGTCAGAGCGAAACAAACAGCAATGTCCAAGTAGATCAGAGGCCGAATGCGAGCGCACACCAAAACTACAATGCCCAACGACGAATGAATAGCGAACCTGAGAATTCAAGCCGTGATCAACGAAGATCTCGAGCAGATATTCAGGACGAGTTCGAAGCGCAACAAAGCCTTCGGACTAACATACCCATGGGTGCTCCTCATTCAACCGGGCATGCTTTGAAACAAAAGCGAAGCAAAGCAGACATGATCAGAGCGACCGAGAACATGGCAAGGACACTCTCCAGAAGCCCACATCGAAGTCCGGCCAACAGGAGGCAACGCGACATCGCTGACGATTCCCGCCCGGGAACATCATCCAGCAATGGCAGTTTCCAGCACACGCAGTTCGCACGCAGCAACAGCAGCCGAGCAAACAATGGCATTGGAAGATCGACCTCTCGTGAAACTGGTCCTGCCCACTCGCATAGCCGACAGCGGTCTGCTGATACGAATGGACAGACCGCATACCGTCCACAGACCGCAGATAGCTCGAGGTCGAACAATAGTGTTGACAAAGCGCCCCAATACGATGGGCTCAGTCCTACTAAAGTCTCGGGCGTGGCCAAGAAGCAGGGTAGCGCTTTCAGTTCTACGATCAGGACTTCGCCGCCTTTGCCTATGGAGCCGAACAAGACTACATGGTCGCCAACTTCTAGTGTTGCAAGGAATAAGAGTAGTGAGCGACAAAACAAGCAGGGGCAGAAGGATGCTTCGACTGCGAGTGCTGGTACGCAAGCTATGCATGGCGATCAGCCTGTTGCCAACAACAACAATGCAGCTCGAAGCAACGCCCAAGAGCAGGAGTCGCTCTACAATGCCAGCAAGAAATCTGATAACCGTCGATTCAGCGTGGCACCCAACGACAACGGCAACAATCCCAATTCGTCAACCCGCCCCTACATGAATTTCTCTCGCCCCAGCAACAGCGATCTGAAATCCGAAAATGCCAATAACACGAATACTGGACCTACTAAAGCCAACACCGCCGCTTCTACAGCTGCCGGTCAAGGGAGAGTTGAACCAACGCCTCCTGCAACCAAAGCTGTCGACTTCGCCGCCATGAGCCAGTCCAGCAAACAGCAACAGTCAAACAACAACACCACAACAACAAATGCCTCTAACTCAAAGTCCAAGAAGAACAACTACGTCGACGCAGGCAACAGCACAACATCTCCATGGCAAAGCAAATTCGGCAGTGGAAGCAAAGACCCCAGAAAAGTCCCAAACCACATCGTCGGACAACAAGTCAACAAGAAATCTTCTACTTCTTCTTCAACCAACCCAAACAGATTCAGCAACACAAATTCCATCGTAAACAATTTCAAAAACAGCAGTCACCCCGCCGCAACTCAAAAGAATAAACCAGTCCCTCAACCACTCTCCCTCAGCAAAAGCGAGACTTCCGGTTCTCGCGCCAAAGTCGTTACAATCGATAATAATGGTGGAGACAATACTGTTGTTCCTACACCGGCTAGTAGTCGATTTTCAGCGGATCCGCAGTCTGCGGGACAGCGTGATGCGAAGGTTGTGGCGATTAATAATGGGGGAGGGGCAGGGAAGGTTGAGAGGAGTTCGCCGAGAGAAAACAATCTCGTTTCTTTGCAAGGCGGATTGAATGGATGGGATGCCGTTGATCAGAAGAGAAAGGATAGCGGACAGAGTGATAGTATGGATTTTGGAGGGAAGAGTACTTATTCGAGTAATGGGAAGGTGCAGAGTGGGTTTGAGAGGGATGTGGTGAGTATGAGGGGGTGAATGGGATTTGTGAGAGGATTGTAGCTGATATGTAGTGACAGGGAGAGAGGATCAGTGGTGGAGGTTGGAATGCGGCGCAGACTGTAGGAGGACGTTAGAGGACAGAGGTTTCTTTTGAGTGGGAACGGAGTCGGGCGACTGTCGTTACGGGATTTGAACTTGCGGCGAGGATGTGTGCGAGGAATCGTTATGTTGGTGACTTGTGGTATGCGCTGAGGATATGTTTCTGGTGAATGTATTATAAGATACGATTTTTGCTGGTATTGATTGAGTCCACTTGATACGAACTGCTACTCGTCGTGTGCAGACTGCAGTCCTTGAAAAATTGTCGCAAGTGTGTACCGTTGCGTCTCTGCGATGAATGTGGTCCCAAGACATGGCATTTTGGTTCATTGGCATTCAGATATACGAGCGTGAATGGTCTCGGCTTGAGCGCTTTAAAGCTTGGAGTTCTCTTTCGTGCTGGAATAAATCCTGCCTTTCAGTGACAGATCTGATGCTGCTTCTGCCCGTCATTTGACTTTGCATGATGATAGCTCTGGTTTTCAAGTTGTGAATGATGTCGGGTTTATTATGTCTTGGCTGGACGTCTCTGCTTCAAACACCAGGGACATCAGCCATAGCAACTGCTGCCTATTGTGCTCCACTCCGCATATGGGTTACTCAGTGACGATGTACTCCGAACGCCGCTCAATTATGTAACAAATGTTGGGTGTCGGTGTGACCTTGCGATTCCGACAATGGTGGAGTTGCGGGTTAGCAGCGGCGTTGGCAGCTAGCAGGGAAGCTGAGACCCTCGATCATCTCGGCCACGTTTCTGCCGATGCAGCGTGACGAAGGCGATTGCTAAGTGAAGACTCGGCTACGTCGCGTGCCCACGGCCTCGTGGAGCAATGCGGAGAGGGAAGAGACATTGTGGAGAGCGCGCGGGTTGGCGTGACATTGACTTATTGATTCTCTGGAGTATTGACGAGAGGAAACAGGCAACAAAGAAATTGAAGGGAATTTGATGAGACGCGCGGTGCAGAGGATCCTCAACTCCGCCGCATAGGGACGAATAGGGATAGGGGCGCGGTGGATCTTCACGCCAGCAGCCTCCAAGCAGCAGCGGCAGCGGATTGGCAGCAGAGATGGGCGCATAGAGTTCTGCCATTGCTGAGAGGCTTCATTTTATTCCCATCACCTCCACCAGTATCCTGTATACGTACTCTCGCTCTTTCAGCCATCATCGTCGAACACAGTCAGCAGCGCGATCCTATAGCTGTCCACCTGCACGCGCGCACCAGCATCCAGCGCGCGGAAACGAGTCTCGTGCTCCCCCAAAGCGTGACATCCGGCCGGCGAAGTAGACTAGCGGCAACCTTTCGCTTGAACACCATACGACACCTTGCAGCTCCGCTGGCAAGCAAGTCAAAGCAGCACACGCCTACATTCCGGGACCTTGCATTTCCTACTCCCCTATCGCACCCAACCGATAGTCGGTCTGGAGGGCTGCCGAACAGCCTCTATCTTCGAAAATTCCTCTCAACGCTCAGAACTCTGTTCGCAGTAGCAGCACACACCACCACCAACCCACCATCCCCCTGCACACCTTCTCCTCTTCCTCTGGCCGGCGACAGAGCAGGGATTCCTACAGCTACGACGAAGACGACGACGACGACGAGAAGGCGGATCGTCAACGCCTGACCCGCCGCTCTGACGACCTCGACGATTCCTTCGATTCCGATCACGACTCCGACTTCTCGCTCTGGAGCGACACAGGAGACCTCGTCGACCAGCTCGCGGACGAGGAAGACCCTCTCGCAGCTCGTCTCCAAGAGAGCTTGAGCCCCAACAACACCAGCAATAGCAGTCCCCGCCGGACTCGAAAACACAAATCCTCCACCAAACACGTCCGCTACGCTTCCTCTCCCCACGACGAAAAACACCGTCGCTCCCGCCATCCTGGCTCCTCCGTCCCAAAACGAATAGAGGACATCGTAGTCCCCTCCCCACCACGCCGACCCGCGAATTGGGGCGTCCGCCTTCTAGCCCGCATCATGGCTCCCACCGATGGTCCTGCCAGAATGCATGGCCTGCACGGAAAGAAGCTTATCTATTTCCTCTCCATATTCGTCTCACTCGGCGTGTTCCTCTTCGGCTACGACCAAGGTGTCATGTCTGGTATTATCACAGGCCCGTATTTCAAGGATTACTTCCACCAGCCTAGTCCTGCAGAGATTGGAACTATGGTTGCGATTCTCGAGGTCGGAGCGTTTATTTCTTCATTACTAGTCGGAAGAGTCGGAGATATGTTAGGGAGAAAGAAGACAATTCTATACGGAGCGCTGGTTTTCGTCGTAGGAGGTGGAATTCAAACATTTGCTACTGGAATGCCGATGATGATGTTGGGGAGATTTATCGCTGGTTTGGGCGTGGGTGCGCTGAGTACCATTGTGCCTGTATACCAAAGTGAAATCAGTCCGCCGCACAATCGAGGCAAATTGGCGTGTATTGAGTTCTCGGGCAATATTTTTGGCTACATGTGCAGTGTGTGGGTGGACTACTTTTGTAGTTACATCGAGTCGCATTGGGCGTGGAGGTTGCCATTGTTGTTGCAGGTGGTGATGGGTGCATTGTTAGCTGTGGGGAGTTTCTTGATTGTGGAGTCGCCGAGGTGGCTGCTGGATAACGATCATGATGAGGAGGGAATTGTGGTGATTGCCAACCTCTATGGGAAAGGCGATATTCACAATTCGAAGGCCAGAGACGAGTACCGGGAGATCAAGATGAATGTCTTGCTGCAACGGCAGGAAGGAGAACGCTCGTACGCGGACATGTTCAAGCGGTACTACAAGCGGGTGTTCATCGCCATGTCTGCGCAAGCTCTGGCGCAGCTGAATGGCATCAATGTCATTTCCTACTATGCTCCGCTCGTGTTTGAGCAAGCTGGTTGGGTTGGCAGAGATGCGATTCTCATGACGGGAATCAACGGCTTGACCTATCTGGCTTCGACAATTCCTCCCTGGTACGTGGTCGATCGCCTGGGACGAAGATTCATCCTCTTATCTGGAGCCGTGGCCATGGTGATATCTCTCTCGGCCATTTCTTACTTCATCTACATTGACATTCATCTTACACCGACGATGGTTGTCATCTTTGTCATGATTTACAACGCCGCTTTTGGATATTCTTGGGGACCAATTCCATGGCTGTACCCTCCAGAGATCTTGCCATTGAGCATTCGTGCCAAGGGTGCTTCGCTATCGACTGCAACGAACTGGGCTTTCAATTGGCTTGTGGGCGAGATGACGCCGATACTGCAGCAGGCTATCAAGTGGAGGCTATATTTGGTTCATGCTTTCTTCTGCGCTGTCAGTTTTGTTGTTGGTAAGTACCGCATCGCCCCTTTGTCATATTTGCTTTACTAACACTTCGACAGTCTGGTTCATATACCCCGAGACGGCGAACGTGCGACTCGAAGACATGAACTCCATCTTCGGAGACGCATCGACAATGGCTCCTACTCCGGAGACTCTGGCGCAGGCCGAATCGATCTTTAGTGGAAATCGATCTCCTGTGTCCTTCCGCCTCGGTGATCAAGAGGGCGAACAGATTCCGGACATGGATCTGCAACCACCGGAAGTCGATGTCAAGGATGGCAAGCCTGTGCTCCACGACGGCCGGTCCGGCGAAGGCATCGCCGGATGGATCACCAATGTTGCTGATAGAATAAAGCGGGGCGGCGATGATGCGAGTGGTGGCGGTAGCGGCCGATACAAGCGAGTTGGACAAGACGATGAGCAATAACAGCGTTGCATGTTGTTGCTCGATGTGTGTGTATGTGTGTGCAGAGTGTGTTGCAAGCGTTCTGGCGAAGACGATAGAGACATCAGAGCATATATGGCTGCGCGGCTCGCAGCCGGGTATTATCGCATTAGACGTGTGGATGGAGAGTACAAAGCAAATGCATACATTGCATACTTTTTCGCAAACAGGAGTAATCCAGGAAAAGGCTGCTGAGTGAGCACAACCAGTTGGCTGGCTTCGATCCTGGCAGAGTTTGGACCTGCGACATGATCATATAGATTCGCTGTAAGCATATAAGAGCTCAGTCCGACCTCGCGCGAAGGGCAGTATCGTGCGTATTGATATATTTCGACGTCGCGCATTCGTTGTCAGATCTAAATCTGGGCCTCTATCAACGCAATGCCAAGAGCCGGCGTTAGGGACCCTGCAGGTGCTGCGTGGCGGCGCTTCACTGCGGCCATGCCGGGACGGCTGTGTTCGTGTCCTCCGCTCACTACATCTTGTCGCTTCTGCGCGTTCTGATGTGCTGCTAGCCACCATCCCCGAAGCCAGAATGTCGCAGACCGAAGTCGTGCACAATAACGACCCCGACGCGAGCAGCTCGCGCGGGAGCACCGAGGAGAAGAAGAGCGAGACCAAGAGCAGGAGGCCGCCGAGTGAGTTGATACCGGATTGCGCGGATACCACTGCGCTGCATCTTGGACGGCACTGACAACAATACGACAGATAACGCCTTTCGCCAGCAGCGATTAAAGGCGTGGCAGCCCATCCTCACTCCCAAAACCGTCCTCCCGCTCTTCTTCGCCGTCGGTATCATCTTCGCGCCCATCGGCGGCCTCCTCCTCTGGGCCAGCGCGTCGGTGCAAGAGCTCACCATCGATTACTCCGACTGCAATCGTGCAGAGACACCCACCTGCCCCGACTTCGCGACCATCCCCAGCGACAAAGTCAGCTCGCATTTCAAAAACTCGACCGACCCCGCGAATGCGCCGCAATGGTGTGTTGAACGCGATGTGCCCGTCGGCTTCCCGCTCAACAGCTCCATCACAAATAAAGGCCACGAGGTACCGACCACGCAATGCCATTTGCAATTCTACATTCCCGACCGACTCTCCGGGCCTGTGTTACTCTACTACCAGCTCACCAATTTCTATCAAAACCACAGACGATATGTGCAGTCATTCGATCAGGACCAATTGAAGGGCACCTTTAGGAGTAATAGCTCTATCGGAGGCAGTGATTGCGATCCGTTGAAGACGGGAAGACTCAATGGGACTGTGGGAGAAGAGAAGGCGTACTATCCTTGCGGCTTGATTGCGAACTCGCTGTTCAATGATACCTTTGCGAATCCTGTGCTGCTGAATGCGGCTGGGTCGAGTGCGGGAAATGTTACCTACAACATGACGAACCAGGGCATCGCGTGGTCGTCTGATCGGGAGTTGTATGGCTACGCACCATATAATGCTGCGGATGTCATTCCACCTCCGAACTGGCAGGTTGCATATCCCGAAGGCTACAACGAACAATACCCGATCCCCAACCTCAAGGAATGGGAGGAGTTTCAGGTCTGGATGCGTACGGCTGGTCTACCGACTTTCAGCAAATTGGCATTGCGCAATGACATCGAGGCGATGGAGATTGGACGATATGAGATGATCATCAATGATTGTAAGTGAGCTGGGATGGCGAATCCTGAGACATGCCACCGGAGTCATGCACTAACACAAATCCTCGCAGACTTCCCAGTGCGGGTCTACGATGGCACCAAGTCAATTCTCATCTCAACGAGAACTGTCATGGGTGGCCGCAACCCCTTTCTCGGCATTGCATACATTGTCGTTGGCGGACTATGCATTGTGCTTGGCGGTGTGTTCACTGTCACACAATTGATAAGGCCCAGGTGAGTCGAGATGCGACATGATTCGAGAAACGAATGGAATCGGCTTACGGACATCGACAATGCAGGAAACTCGGCGACCACAGTTACCTGACGTGGAACACCGACCAACCCTCAACGGCAACTACTACCGGGCGAGCACCTAGAACTAACGAGGCAGCATAGAATGAAGAAACGACTATTGTTCATTGTTTTTCAAAGCACGCGAATTTGATACAGGGCGTTTGTGGTGTTCTGCGGCGCGGCATCGGGACTATACACGGATATCTGGATATTCGATCGCCGGTGAGACCGAAGCATCACGGAGGGAGAATGTATGTTTGCCTGATACCAATCGATTCATTTTGAATTTGCTTACTTGTGCGCATGCGCATGTTTTGTGGGTGCAGTTCTTCGCGACTGTCCCTTTATCTTTTCCTTTCGCCGTCCTCCGAGCATGTCCGGCCTGCAAATACTTACGAACAGGAATCATGCCGAGAAACACGCTCTGCACTGAGTCTAGCGACTGGTTGTTTTAAGGCTGACTGCTCTAGATTCGTCCTTCGGACTCGCCTTGTCGATGTTGAGGCTGCTAACCAGGTCTCCGGGTCGTCTTTGTCTACCCCGACTAGCCTTTTTCATGTAACGCGCAGAGCCGCAAACGTCGAAGCCTCGACACCAAGAACTAATCTCGAGGGACGATCTAGGTGCCGCGATAGCCTGGTTAAATATCAAGAGACATGTTGCTCTCCGGATCGACGATTAGTCCTCTACTGGCCTGTGAACGCAGCGTGTAGGAGCGACCCAGCACATATATCTTAGCAATTGATCACATTCCAGAGCATCAGCATTGACTCAAGATATTCTTACATTCCTCGGACACGGCACCGCTACAGAGCAGCATTACTGAATACGGAACTTCTCTTCTGCAGAAGGATGAGGGGCTTCACTTTCGCCTCCTTGGCGACACTGTTGTCCCTGGCTTTCGCAGCCAACAAGCCCGATGCCAATGGCATATCAACTTTCGTTGACCCTGTCACGAATCAAACAATCCGCCGTTTCGACTGCGGGACCACACGTGCCAAAGCTTCTACGCACTTCAACGAAACCATCCGCTTCCTCGCCCGCAATGGCCGTCGTCCAACCGGTGTTTCGCGCCTTTTCAAACGCGCAGCCGTAACACCCGCCATAACAGTAAACACCTACCTCCACCTCCTCACCACAACCGCCAACGCCGGAACCCTCACAACCGAAATGGCGAACGCCCAAGTCGCCGCCTTAAACAAAGCCTACAACCCCATCGGAATCACCTTCAACCTCATCAACGTCTCCACAACCGTCAACGACGCCTGGGCCATCGCCGACGGAAACGACATGGACGACGCGAAAAAAGCCCTCCGGAGTGGCAAATACCGTGACCTCAACCTCTACTTCCACTCCGATTTCGCCGGCGGCATCCTCGGAACATGTACCCTCCCCTCCCTCGTCACAGCCCAAACCCAGGTCTCGCAATACTACTCCGACGGCTGCAACATCAACGCCGCCACAATGCCCGGCGGTTCCATGGACGGGTATAATATGGGTATGACAGCTGTTCACGAAACGGGACATTGGTTGGGATTACTTCATACGTTTGAAGGGTATAGTTGTGAAGGTGAGGGGGATTTGATCAGTGATACTCCGGCGCAGAGTACGAGTACGGATGGGTGTCCGGTTAAGCCGCCGAAGGATAGTTGTCCGACGAAGACGGGGGTGGATGCGATTCATAATTATATGGATTATTCGAGTGATGAGTGTTATAGTCAGTTTACCCCCGGGCAGGTTTCGAGGATTCAGACGCTTTGGCAGACTTATAGGGAGGGGTTCTGAAGAGGTGGAAGGAAGGGAATGGGTGTAAGGGAAGAGGATTATTAGTGATGATTGATTGATGTAGATGGTTGTGCATAATGTTTGTATATATTTCATGTGAATATATGATGAGGATAGAATCAATCACTGAGGCTGTCATTCATTGTTGACCATGTTGTAATTCTTCTCATGATCTGCGTCTTGTTCATCAACGGAGTCGTGCAACACATGTTGTCATCCTCGTCATGACGAACGCAGCATGCAAGACGTCAATCCCCACGCACGCTCGGATCATACTGCAGTTGCAGCGCCACGGTCCTTCGACGCAGTTCGCAGAACGGCACACGCGACACTCAACATCACCTCCTCCCTGTTCACACTTCATCTCGTCAAAATTCCAGCCCTACCATCCAACCATGCAAGCATTGCTTATCCCAAACAAGACTCCAGCACAAAAGATAACGATAAGCTCCTTCGCATGGCATCGGAGCAGCTGGACTAGCTCGCCAAGGCCGCCCGACCAGCCCACCCCATAACCCCCGCCCGCTTGGACTTTCTGCTTCCCGACAATGCGCCACCAAATGTCATTCGCGTTGGTCAGAGACGGACCCGGACCGATGCACAGAAACAGCGTCAAGTCCTATCAGTCATCAGCCCCTCCTTCTGATTGTGAAGTGGAACGATCAGATACTGTACAGGATAAGGATGATGATGACTGTGACTAGGTGTGTACGTACTGTACTGGCGAGAAAGTGAAAGTATCGTGCCACGCGAGCGAGGGAGGGAACTACTGCGATTCGGCAAGTCTACTGCTAGCTTCGTCTACTGATAGCGAACTCTCGGAACTTTGGGTTGGTACCTTCTCTTGCCTTGCTTGCTTGCTCACTCGCTACTGCTGCACCTTTTCGACTTCACTTCATCTTTCGTCTCTCTTTCCCGCTCTCTGCTCTGCTCGCGTCGCATACAGCGCACGCCTCTTATGCAGTAGCTATCTGCACGACAAGACGCGCAGTGGACAGCCGCCTTCCTCATCCACAAAAGAAAAGAAACAAGACACACCTTCCTCCAATCCAGCCTGCCAGCTTCCACAACAATACAGCGCTCTCAGAATGTCTAGCGAACCCAAACGCCGCATCTCCGCCCTCAGCGGCAGCGGAGGCGCAGCAGGACGAAACAACTCCCTCTCAGCCCAAAATGCAGACGCAGATCTCGCGCGCATGGGCTACAAGTCCGAATTGCCGCGATCACTGAGCATGCTGTCCATTCTCGGTTTATCCTTCGCCATCATGGCCGTACCATTCGGTCTGTCCACGACGTTATACATTACGTTGACAGATGGGCAGTCTGTGACGATTATTTGGGGCTGGGTACTAGTCAGTTTGATCTCACTGTCGATCGCGGCGAGTTTGGCGGAGATTTGTGCTGTGTATCCGACCGCTGGTGGGGTGTATTATTGTGAGTATTCGAAGCCTACATCCTTCTGAGATGGCATTCCTCTCTCTTGAGCGCAAAACCCTTTGCCCGGAGTGATTCGCCTATTGAGAGCATCGAGCGGAAATACTGATTTAAATCTCAGGGAGTGCCATGATGTCCACAAAGAAATACGCCCCCATCGCCTCCTGGATAACAGGCTGGCTCAACCTCGTCGGAAACTGGACCGTAACCCTCTCCATCAACTTCTCCGGCGCCCAACTAATCCTCAGCGCCATAAGCCTCTACCACGAAGACTTTGTCGCAAACGCCTGGCAAACCATCCTCATGTTCTGGGCCTGGATGCTCATCTGTTTCCTCGTCAACGCCTTCGGATCGAAATACTTGGACCTCATCAATAAGATTTGCATTTACTGGACTGCGGCGAGTGTCGTGGTGATTATGATTGTTTTGTTGACTACGACGGATAATTATCGTTCGGGAGAATTTGTTTTTACGCATTATGATGCTAGTGCGAGTGGCTGGCCGGATGGGTGGGCGTTTTTTGTCGGGTTGTTGCAGGCGGCTTATACTTTGACGGGGTATGGTTTGGTGGCGAGTATGTGTGAGGAGGTGCAGAATCCGGCGAGAGAGGTGCCGAAGGCTATGGTTTTGTCGGTTGCGGCGGCTGGTGTGACGGGTGTCATTTATTTGATTCCGATTTTGTTCGTTTTGCCGGATGTGCAGATGTTGTTGGATGTGGCGAGTGGACAGCCGATTGGGACGCTTTTCAAGACTGTGACGGGTTCGACAGGAGGAGGGTTTGGCCTATTGTTCTTGATTCTAGGCATCCTTTTCTTCGCTGGAGTTGGTGCTCTAACAGCTGCGAGTCGTTGCACTTACGCTTTCGCTCGCGATGGAGCGATTCCAGGATATCGATGGCTGGGAAGCATCAACTCCAAATTGGAGATCCCACTCTGGGGACTGGTCTTGTCCACAGTGGTCGACTGTCTTCTCGGTCTGATTTACTTTGGTTCGACGGCGGCTTTCAACAGCTTCACTGGAGTGGCAACGATCTGCCTTTCCTGCGGCTACGGTCTGCCCATCCTGGTCAGCGTCCTTCGTGGCCGCAAAATGGTCAAGCACTCGACCTTCTCGCTTGGAAAATTCGGATTCGCGATCAATATCCTCTGCCTTTGCTGGATTGGGCTGGCTATCGTGCTGTTCTGCATGCCAGTCAGCTTACCCGTGAGTCTTAGACAAACCAATCAACACATTAGTATTGGAAACCCAGCTAACCCTGCCTAGGTCACCGCCTCATCCATGAACTACGCATCAGTCGTCTTCGTCGCCTTCGCCACGATCAGTTTAGTATGGTACCTCATCCACGGCAGAAAGCACTTCACAGGACCGCCAGTTGTAGCAGACGACGAGCCCACATTAGAAGGTAAACCGCATCCAGCAGACGGCGATGGAGAGCTTGGAGTTGAAGTTGAGAAACAGACATCATATAAACTCTAAGCACAGTAGAGAAGTACATATGGTACAGAACAGAACGCTTCAAGTTCGTCATTTCAAAACTCGCTCATGATGCTCATTCATGCATGCTCATTCGTCGTCGTCCCAAAGTCCTGCTAAACGCTCCCTCTCGGCCGTACCAAAATCATCATATTGCTCATGCGATTCAATGCTCGCTTGTGTCGTCTTGCTTTTAGCAAGTTTCGTCTTCACCAACTCGTAGCCAAGGACGCCTGCTTCCCAAGAAAGATCGCAATCCTTGCACTCAAGCCGAGTGAAGTCGCTCGACATCTCAGCCGATCTGCTGCAGCGGAAACAAGCGAATGAACAAGCTTCGCAAACAGGCTGCTTCGCTTGATCGGTCTCCACTCGAGCAGGAGCTGAGCATTTGTTGCATTTTGTCGTCAACCTCAATCCGTTCAACTTGCACGTGAGGCAGAGCTCACGCTTCGCCCCATTCGGTCGTGCTTGGAACGGAAAGCATCTGAAACAGCTTTCAGACGCTTCATCTTCGGCCCTCAGCCTTGAAGCTGCGATTGCCTGGTTACCCACGGATCTCAGAGCCCCAGGTATTCGGAGCTCAGACCGTCCATCATCCTCTAATGCCTCCGATGTAGGCAGATAGGAACAATCGTGCTGACATGCATTAGACTCATCGCCAAAGCAGATCTGGGCCAGTATTTCAATATTGCGGCGTTCGCCTCTCGACTTCGCAAGTTCTCGCTGAAAAGCCTCTGCCTTCGGGCGAGATGATTCAGCGAACTGTGAGCGGTCCCGCAAGTCTTCGATAGCAGCTTGTGCATCGCGAACCCGCATCTGCGCCTTTTCGAGAGCAGCTTCGTGCTGATTAGCATCGTCTTGTCGAGCATTTCGTGCAGCAAGCTTCCCTTGTGCAGTCAAAGCTTCTTGGAGGTTTCGTTCTGCCCTTGCAATGTCCGATTGCTTTGGTGCCTGGAAAGGCCCATCGTACATGTCACCCTGCACCGCCTGTCTTATTGGCATTGCGCCACATGGTCGTGTCACAATCTTCCCCATGTTCAAGAGCGTCTCGGCTACTTCTAACGGCGAATCTTCAGCTGCTGGCTCCGGTGCTGTATGGAGCGTGAATTGTTCAGGTTTCCGCAGTACCGCACATCCCGTCGTGAACAAATTGATCCGGCCATTCTCAGTGCCGATTAGCAGTTCGCGATGGTCTGGACTGAATACTCCAGACATGATCGCGGATCTGTGCTGGCGAGGCGTGTCCAGGTCTTGCACGTGAGCATTGTCTGCAGAACGATAGGGGTTCCATACTTTCACTATACCATCTGAAGAGCCAGAGTACAGACGAGAGCTGGTTGCACCCCATGAGAGAAATCGCACTCCAGTGTCTGTCAATTCTCTATCGTAGCCGTGAGGCAGAATGTTGAGCGAAACGCCATGGGACAGTACGTGAAGAGGCGCTTGACTTCGTCCAGCCCAACGCTGGTCCCACACGTAGACTTTGCCATCTGTAGCGCCTGCGGCAATGAGGTTGTTATCGTAAGGGCATATCGAGACATCGTTGATGTCCAGAGCCGGACACTGCCATGTGATGACTGCCGATAGTGGTTGCGTTGGGGCAAAACAGCTTACCGCACTTCGGGCGCCGCGCCCACCAAGTTTGATACCGGTACTGTTCGACGCCACTGCGAAGACTACAGACGCAGAACTTGGCCTTGGGTTCCAGCAGACATCAAACACATTTCTGGTCTCGCCCTTGAGCTCGATCTGAGTTTGGTGTTGAACGTCCCACAGCGCTGTCTCTCCTGCGAGTAGTTTGTCCTCATCGCCGCTGAACCCAGCAAGCAGGTAGTTGCGGTGGGCATAAGCTGCGCCCCATTTCAAGGTTGATGGGTAAATGAGAGCCGTGGTGTGCAAGTCCTGGCGTTGCGGTGACCCCTTCCAGGCGCAGTCAATGGATGCACCCTGCGAGTCAAAAACCGCAATACTATCAGATGCAGAGTGGGTTCCTGTTGCAATGTATCCCTCCTGGTGCACGGCAAGGAGATCCACTGAAGCTTTGTGTTGGAAAGACGCTTCAACCCTCGTGCTTCGGACGTCTGGGGAGACAGTATACTTCCGAAGCATTTTGTCTGTACCAGTGGTGAAAAGTGTGCCCTCATGTTCCGCAACAGGCGAGAAAGCAGTCGCCGTGACAGTCTGAAACAGGCGAGGATCCTGTGTCTGTCGCATTGCGCTCAAAGCATTTGGATTGTCTGATTCAGTAACCTCAGGTCGCTCGACATGATGTTCGATAAGCTCTTGCAACTCTCCGTGCTCGTGGTTTCCAACGAGCAGATTGCGACTCATGTTGTACTGCATAGACCGATTGTCCGTAATTGCGATTGATCCCGCAGCGAAGTAAGCGCCAGTCGAGGACCACGAGAGGCCCACTACGTCCCCAGATGTTCCATGATAGTACTTCCGCAGGTGGTAGTCTTTGTGAACGTGGTTCTTAAGCTCTTCAGGAATCGAGAAGCGCGAGGTCGTCCATGCCCGTGAACCCGTGCCGGTTTCCCGCTGGTGTAGAATCCGGTTCACGGTCCGCGGAAATACAGAGTCCTGCAATGCGAGTGGGCCATGGCTGGCCGTGGAGCTTCTGTCGTCAGCAGAGTCTTCAACGTCCTCAATATCTTCAGCGTCACCGCTGTTCCTCATAATAGCCCTGGCATCTGTCCACGACACAAAGCCGTCAACAGCAGCTGGAGCACTTTTTCTCATTCGTTTGGCACGGGGCGCGAGCAGTTCTGCAGAGTCATGGCGCTGGACGTCTGGAGCGTGACGTGCTGTGCCTCCGTTTCGAATCTTTGTGTACCAGTACACCTGCAAGGAGCCTGCGGTCCTTCCATTGAAGTAAGGCATCATAGCCTTCCAGTCGAGGCCGACTTCTTCCTTGAGCTGCTTCAGCAACGCGACTTCTTCTGCCGTGTATTGACTGCCAAAGTTGCTAGCCTTAGCCGTCGAGCTCGATGCATTAGTGCTTGTAGGCTGAGCCTGTGGGATAGCTGCAGAGGCCCGCGCGGGTACAACCACGTTGGATGTGTTGATCTTCATGTTCTTCACCTTGGTAGAGTAGTGGACTTGCAAGCTCGGCAATGTGCGTTGTGGGAAGTAAGGGTGGATCTCGGACCAGGCCATGTTCATAACTCCTTTCAACTTCTTGAGCAATGCGTTATCTTGTGCCGTGAATGGCTGCCATGATCTCTTAGATCCAGAGCTCGAGGGCGTTCGCGTGGCGAGATCTGATTTAGAGTACGATTGCCCGTTATCGTTGGTGTTCACCGATGTAGCGGTACGCTGAGCTGTCAGCAACTGGGATTGCGAAGCTCCGAGGGACGGGGAACGCTGCTGCGTCTCAGCAGATAAAGCTGAGCCCGCTTGTGTTCGCGGGCGATCAGGTTCACCAGGCTGAGCAGGAAACCGCTTGCCCTTGACTTTGGTGTAGTAGCGGACTTTGAGAGTGCCTTTAGTCCGTCCTGGAAAGCGAAGCTCAATCTCATCCCAGCTCAGACCTTCCACCTCCTTAAGTCTCTTGAGCGACATCTCTTCTTGCACAGTCCATGGCCTTCCCGCCTGACTACTACTAGCCGAGCTTGTAGTCGCTGGAGGAGAAGACGAGGGCAGGGTGTGCTGTGGGGCTCGTTCTGTAGAAATCGCGGAACTGCACAGTGCAAAGTCCGGTTCAGAACTGGTAGTCAGGCGTTCCATCTTAGGGTCCGTGGCATCCAGGGTCTGTGTACGTCGTTGCAAGGCATCGATCCTATGGTCTTCCGTCCTGCGCCGCTTGACAAAGTCTTTTGTAGGTCCATCAGAGGAACGTTTTGCGAGGCGATCCATGCTGTTTTCGGGACCATTGCCTTCAAGAATGGCCTCCGGTGGTATGTTCGCCTCGACAGGTTGTTTCGCTAGCAACAGGCCGCTTTCCAGCCGTGAGCTGGACGGAATTGAAGTTCGTGCAGCGTAGTCACTTGTTGTACCTGCTTTCGAGGCAGACAGTCGTCTTTGCTGCTGGTACAAGTCTGCCTTCTGAACCCTTTCCAGTCTCTTTGCTTCAAGCTGCATTTTTGACTGCTCCAAATCTCGCCGAATACGTGCAAAATCTTCCTGCAGCTTTCGGCCTGGCGAGCCTAGTGCTTTCCATGCATCGTTCGAAAGGATTGGTTGTGTGAATGACTGTGTCTTGTCCCTTCCGCTTGCATCTTCTTCTCTTGCTGGATCCGAGGACTGTTTGTATAGCGAAAAGGACTTGAAGCCGGTTGGCGACACATGTTCGCGCATCTGAACCGACGTTGTTCGACCAGACGGTGGTGCAGGCCTATCCGGCGCATTTGTTCCATTCCCAACCTCATTTCGCCGCTCTTCCGCATCGCTACTGGTGATTGAGTCTGTGTAGCCGTGCTGGCTGTTGTGCGATTTATCTTTCTTTGGGCGAGTCTTAAACGATTGGAGCAGTTTGCTAGGCGACTCGTCCTCCGAAGAGAGCAGGTCAATCACCTCAACAGCCATGGTGTGTCGCTTGTGAGCTGTGCTCCATTGTGTCGCTTGCACAGGAAGATGGCGTGCGTTCAAAGAGGAAGATCTACCAAGCCAAGTGCGTATTCAAGTGAGGCATTGAAGGAGCGTTGTTCGTTGCAAGTGAAGTCCGAAGGTGGAAGCTGTTGGAAGACGCGTTTGCGCGTTGTTCTCGTGGCACAGAGCCCCACCACGGCAACCTCACCCTCACACATACATAAGGCGCTTTGTATAGGCACATGTGCATCCACTGAGTGCACTGAAAAGAAGACATCACTGGAACCTCTCTGCTTTGCGTTGACTCGTATCGCATTCGAACGCTATCACATCAGATTACACTCATACAGACGTGCCACCTAGCGCCAATGCCTGCAGAACCAACCCAAAGAAGCGTCAATCCGTTGTTGTACATTGCGTCGTTCCCGTGCTCCTGTGCCTGTACCCTATGCAGATGCTTGAACGCATATCATGTTGTGCCGGCCCACACGAAAGTAGTTCGAGGCCTCAAACAAATGCGGGCTCACGAAACATCGGAGATGCAGCCGGAGCTTCCACCCAAGACTCTCCCTAAGAGCTTGGAGCCGCAGCTGGAGCACCTCCTCGTGGGCCGCGACCGCGGCCTCTAAATTCTCCACCTTCTCCACGGCCACGGTAACCACCACGGCCACGGCCTCTGTTCTCACCATCGCCACGTCCACGATAGCCGCCACGGTGACCACCACGACCACGGAATTCGCCATCTCCGCGCGCACGGCCATTGCCGCGACCTCCACGCCGACCTGCCACGGGACTGAAACCATCGTCCGCCGGTGCGGCGGCGTCAGTAGCGGGAGCGTCACCCCAGCCGTTGGCGCTGGCCACTGGTTCGGCGCCCCAGCTGCCATTGCTTTCTCCAGGTGCCTTGGTGTCCCAACTCTCGCCAGCTTTGTTGCCCGTTGCAGCTTCGTGCGACTCCTCTGCCCAGCTGCTGCCTTGCTGTGCTTGGGTAGATGCCGCTGCTGGCACGTCCACCTCTTCGCTCGGGCGAGGCACGATCTCGTAGCTCTCCTCCAGCCCACTCTTCTCGGCACCAGCTGATGTTCCAGCGGCATCGGTGTTCCAACGCTCGCCAGCGACGTTGCCACTATCTCCTGCTGTGCCCTGAACGGAGGTAGGCTCGGGTTGCACTTCGGCAGCGGTGCTGTTGGGAGCCTCGAGTTCAGTCAGGCCGGCGTTAGCGATCGTAGGGTCAGAGCCAGACTCGCCGGCAGTCTCTCGTGCGACACCTTCGGCCCACTCCTCGGTTGCTTGGAATGGAGTGTGCTTGACAGCGGTCTGCTTCACCTGAGCGTCTGTGACGATGATTAGTACAAAAGGAATGAATTCAGGCATTGGAATGAGTGGACGAGGAACTTACAAGTGGTTTCGGTAAGGGTGCCATCGATACTGGGCACCTGCTCCTCTGCACCTTCGATGATGTTCACCGCAGCATCGACAGCAGAGTCGTCGCCGCCATAGACCAGAAGCAAAGCGCCCTCGAAGGCTCTGTTCTCCTCGGTATCTTCTTCGACCTCAGCTGCTCGCTTGGCAGCTGCAGCACGAAGGAATCGAGAGAACACAAGGAGGTTCTTGCGCAGATCGTTTTGAGATGCGTTCTCGCGCTCCGCTGCGAGCTCCTCCCGCAACTTCGTTACCTCTTGCTTGTGCTTAGTCTCTAGCTCTTCACGCAATTTGTTGAACTTCTCCTGGTATCTCGCGTCCACCGCGCGGTAAGCCTCTGCTTGCTCTTCCAGCTGAGCGAGGTGTGCCTGAAGCTCTGGCTTCTTCTGTGCCTGCGCCTTCTGGTCTTGGTTGATCTTACGCTGCGCAAGGAGTTCGTCAAGAGAGACACCAGGATTTGCCTCCAAGATCGCGTCGAGCTTCTGCATGCCTTGAAGCTTCTTGTTGGTGTTGCGGATCTGCTTGTTCAGGTCTTTGAGATGCTCATCTTGCTCAGTCGTGCTGTGAGCGGCCACTGAGTTCTCCTGGGAAGACGGCTTTGGGACTGCCGTGGCAGCTGAGGGAGTGGTGTTGCTAGCAGCCGCGGCTTCTGCCTTTGCCTTCTTCTTGCGTGCAGACTTGGACTCGCCTGACGAGCCGTTCGACAGGCCGATTGCTTCTTTGGCAGACTGCGCCGCGTCCTTTATCGAGTCGGCGACAGTCATTGCGAAATGTGATTTTGGTACTGCGAATGTGTTGGATCTGAGTTGGGTGCGTTCGTCGGGCGCGAGATTGCTTAACGTGCGAAAAAGCGAGTTGGTCGTGTGTTCGTGTGCGAACGAAGCTGGAGCTTCACAACCATGGGGCGGTTGAAGTTCGGCGAGCTTAAGTGATCGGCTAGATCATGCTTGCACGTCCTCCCAATTTCATCATCACGTCTATACTTGCATTGTCTTGAACCGCGTGCATGATACGAATTATGCCCTCACAACGCCACGGCGACGTTTCGGACTACGACGACAAGTATGGAGAGCTCAAATTCTCAAGCGCTTACGAAGCGAAGCGCAGACATGTCCTTAATGCCTCCTCCGCCGCCGCCAAAGCGACAAAAGCGACCATCGCAGGTCCTCGATGAGGACGTCTACTCAGATGCCCTGTCCCACATCATCGCACGAGACTTCTTCCCTGGGCTGCTAGAGACGGAAGCACAACAGGACTACCTTCAAGCGCTGGAGAGCAACAACAAAGACTGGATACGCGAATCAGGCAGGAAATTGACACAAGTGATGACTCCGCTGCCTGAGGGACGAAGAAGGGTCGGAGCAGGGACAAATTTCACTCCTCGAAGAAGTACAGCTCTGGGCGAGACGCCACGTACATACGTGGGCGGGACGCCAGGTCAGACGCCTGTCGATGGCAATCATTTCGCGCCCGAAGAGGAGAAGCCAGAGGTGGACCTCAACATGTCATTGGGCGCTTTTCAAGCGAAATACACCTCAGAAGATAACGAGAGCTTCAACGCGCTTCTCGACAAGCAGAACGAGAAAAGGGCTTCGAAATATGGGTTCTTCCACCAGGGCAATAAGATACCGACAGCCCGACAAATCGCGTACCGCGACAAGCAGCAGCAGCTTTTGGAGAATGAGCAGAGCTCGACTGCTCTGATCACGACAAATTCTGCTGGTGAAGAGCGCATTGCACTGGCTGCGTCGCGGCCTTCCCAGGATCTCGATGCACGACCGGCTTCTGTTGACACTTTCACCAACAGGCAAGGGCCGCGGAATTCTTTCATGTTCGGTCCGGACGGCGTAGAAGACCAAGTCGTCACTAGAGCTCAAGATGCCGAACTGAGATCTAATGCTCCTCCGAAAGCGATCAACTATGGGGGCACGCGTATTTCAGACGTTCGCGCAGAGGCTGAGAATAACGTGCCTCCGAGTCCGTCTATGAGTGCGATCGATGCTGCCATCGCTGGACGGCCCAGAGCTACTGGATCTGAGACTGGCTATACCGGCGCAGATACGCCTCGTGTGAATGGGTATGCGTTCGTCGATGCAGAGCCGACACCTAGCGAGCTGGGTATACCAGTTACAGATGAGGAGGCGGATGCCGCTGAACAAAAAGCTGCTGCACACTTGCTGCCCAAAGTTGATGAAGACGGCCCTAACCCGTTTCACATTAAGGAACGCAGTAGACGAGAAGATGTTCACCATAGACTTGTGGAAAAGGCCGATGCTTCCAGAAGGAAAGGCGGAAGAATGGAACAACTCCGAAACCTCGGCATCACACCTGGAAGAACTCCAACGCCTAGATTTGCGAGCGGTGCGAACATTCGCAAAGGTGGTATGACTCCGGCAGCACAAGCCTTGGCGAATAGGATTGGCACACCACGCCGTGATGCTGGGTTCTCGTCGAGTGGCGTTAGTAAGTCCAGTTGGACTCCCACGCCGCGAATGAAACCAAAGCAATGAGACACGAAGTTTGGATAACGCGTGAGCAGGACACGAATGTAGGATGATGAGATCTGCCTTCTGCAGAACAAGTGCAAATACCCCGCTGTGCCACTCGCAAGGTGCAGAGCTGAACCAGGGACACACACTTCTCGCTGACCACCTTAACTACCAGGCAAGTGCAGGTCCGCGAAATATTCTTAGTCAAAGCAACGTCTCAGTCAGAGTCGTTCGCGCGGCACACTAGGAAATGCCTTCAACCGTGAACGATTGCAGCGCCCACATCTCAGGTGCGCGTCTTCAGTACCGGTAATACCAAGCAGCTAGTGAAGTGGCCATCGCCATTAAATCGAACATGTTACAACCACATTCTACGGACGGCTCATCAGGTGCAAGCGAATTTCACAACCCTACAAGGTCTCTTCCACCGGAGGGCGGCTTCGACGCTTTACAGGCATCCAAGAACAAATGGAAGCGATGTGAATGCTGGGCGCTGGCTGGAGTGAACACTAGGCGCGCCCGGGCTGTGTTCAACAGTCAGGATCCTCGGCGGTGACCCGGTGAACGGTACTTGACGCACGAGCTATCGCGTGGGTAGATCCGTGGGCACTGGTAGATCCGGGGTGTGGTCATCGTGTCGTGCAGCTCTAGCTCCGCTGCAAGGTACCGATCAAACTTGCCAGACACCCTTTATCCCAGATGCGCGACATCACACTGAGGCTCTGTGTATAGGCGTAGATGCGTCGCAAGCGAGAGCAACGGTGAGGTTATGCTGGTGAAATTCCGAGGCTCGGGACGAAGGAGGAATCAGAGCCTTGCAATACAGCCCGCGGGCTCGACCGCGAACAAAATTGATTGATCTACCTCCGCCTCCGCAGAACCCTCAAACTTCGCCACGATGCATAGCACAGATAGTATCAGCAATTCTATAATTACCTATTTCGCTTTTGGTGCGTACAGCAAAAGCAGGACGTTGTTGAGCTGCGCACCACAACGGGACAGTTTCCATGAGATATGTAAGCGATATGTAAGCGATATGCAAGCTGCGCAAAACAACTTGCCCGCAAATGTGATTGACTAGTAGTAGATCGTGCAAGTTGGTTGTTCTGCCCTCCGTGCTGTGGTGCTGTCTCGCCATGACCCGCGAGAGAAATGGTCTGATTGATAAGATAAGCGAGGTCTTGGCGGGCTCTGCACCTTCCATCACACCCCATCTCCATTCCTGCTTGTCTTCGAGCTTCGCATCATCTTCGACTACTTACTGGTGCGCACTCCACGTTTCTCACTGGAATCTCGATCTTCCATGCCGTGCATTGCATTGGTGGTATTCCTCTGATCGGCGCGTGTTTGACGCGCCTGTCAGCTGTCTCACACCTTTTTGCGCCGACTCCGGTCGGCTCGAGCGCACCTCGATCCCTTGAACTGGGCGCACCCCAAGTGAAGCAGAGTGACGGCAGCACAGCACCAGAATCGCGAACTCCACCACGGGAGTTGCTGGCGCGCCAGCAATCTCTTCCGCCATGGCGACCGTCGCAGTCACCCCCGAACCGCACGAGCAGGTCAAACCTACGACAGAGCGCGCCGACCAACCTCCGGCGGCACTGACGCCACCGACCAGCGATGGAGAGATGAACGAGAACCAACAGAAAGAGAATGAAGACTCTGAGCTTTCGGATTTGGAGTTTGAGGATGAAGACGAGGAGATATTCCCCGATCATTACTGGGATGAGGCAAATGGCGGCAAGATTCCTGTGTTCAAGCCGACCATGGAGCAATTTCGCGATTTCCAGAAGTTCATTGACAAGATCGACAAGTATGGCATGAAATCTGGTATCGTGAAGGTGATACCGCCAAAGGAATGGTATGTTGAGCATTGCGCGCGTACATGTGGGGCAACGCGCGGGTACTAACAGCCCTGCAGGCGCGATTCCCTGCCCGAGTTAAAAGAGAAGGTCAAGAGCATCCGTATTAAGAATCCCATCACACAAGAGTTCAACGGCACATTCGGCACATACACACAACAGAATGTGGAGAAACAGCGTTCCTACAACCTGCCGGAATGGAAGGCTCTGACCGAAGAGTCGCAGCATCAGCCACCTGCGAAGCGAGGAGAACGACGAAAGAATCAGAAGGAAGTCGTGCGAGGAAATGGTAGCACGCGCAGCCGTGCTGTAAAGACAGAAGAAGATGATGAAGGCTCCGCGAAGTCTAGGAGGAAGTCTGGCCGAGCTCGACGCGGTGCAACCGCAGACGTGTCCGACGAAGAGTCAGCACCTGCCACGCCCATTGCTGAACCTCCAGCAAAGAAAGCTCGCGGCCGGCAGCCCAGACCCAAAGGTGGCAATCAAAACAAGTCTGTCACTTCTCGACGACTGAACAATACCGCTCAGACCGAGACACATATTGATGAGAAAGCATTCAAGAACTTCGATCACCGTCTGGAAGATGTGGACGAGTTCACTCCGGAACGATGCGCCGAGCTCGAAACGCTTTACTGGAAGACCATGAGCTTTAACCAGCCTATGTATGCTGCTGATATGCCTGGCTCGCTGTTCGACGACACGGTCACTAGCTGGAATGTTGCGCATCTGCCAAATGTTCTGGATGTTCTGGGAACCAAAGTACCAGGTGTGAACACTGCATACCTATATATGGGTATGTGGAAGGCTACATTCGCATGGCACCTTGAAGATGTGGACCTTTACAGCATCAACTACATTCACTTTGGTGCGCCCAAGCAATGGTACAGCATATCCCAGGAAGACGCCCGAAAATTTGAACGTGCAATGCGTCAAGCTTGGCCGGTGGACTCGAAGAATTGTGATCAGTTCCTTCGCCACAAGACGTACCTCATCTCTCCAGACGTGCTCCAGAAGCAGTACGGCGTCAAGGTGAACAAGCTGGTACACTACGAAGGTGAATTCGTTATCACTTACCCATATGGATACCACTCTGGCTACAACATTGGGTACAACTGTGCCGAATCTGTCAACTTCGCTACCGAAAACTGGCTGGAGTTCGGTCGGATTGCCAAGAAGTGCAACTGTGAACCAGACAATGTGTGGGTTGATGTTGGCGAGATCGAGCGCAAGCTACGTGGCGAGCCAACTCCTGAGTACTACGAAGAGACTGACAGCGAGGGCGAATTGGAAGAAGAGGACAGCAAGCTACCCACTCCACCAGCTAGCGTCAAAGGCGCTGCTAAATCACGAAAGCGCAAGCGCGACACGAAGAAGGAGGAGCCCAAGAAGAAAAAGAAGATTAAGATTCGCATCAGGATCCCAGGCAAGGAGCCCTGCTGCATGTGTCCTAATGAGAACCCATGGGAGACGCTTCTGCCAACAGACAACGGCAAAAAGGCACACAAATCATGCGCGCTTTATACGCCGGAGACCTATATGGATGACGAGGATGGCACGGAGCTGGTGCGCGGCGTCGCTAACATCGACAAGGCCCGTCTCGAGCTCAAGTGCAATTTCTGCCGATCCAAGAAGGGCGCGTGCTTCCAATGCTCGGCCAAGAAGTGCACTCGCGCATTCCATGCTAGTTGCGCGGTTGCTGCAGGCGTGCTTGTGGACGCTGGACTGGTGCCGACCTTTGACGCTGAAGGCAATGAATACTATGAACAAGGCTTTGACTTTCGTTGCCGATACCACCGACCCAAGATGCCGAAGGTTCTGGACATGGATGCACTGGAGAGCACCAAGCGTGTTTACACCGAAGCAAAGAACCTCAAGCCACAGGATACGATGCAAGCACAGTATCACGGTGGAGAAGTGTTTGGTGGTCTCGTCGTTGAGAATCGTCCAGCTGAACAGACTCTTGTCGTGGATGTGCTACCCGATGGCGACCGGGTCGAGGTAGAATACAAGTGGCTCTGCGTCCTGAATCCTGATGATTCGGTGCGGCCGAAGCCATCGGCAGCGGCCAAGCCTGTTCCGAAGGACATGAATAAGAACAGCCTGGCATTGTCGAATCGTCAAGATGGTGTTCCGGCTCAAGACGACGTTTTCCACTCGGACCAACAGTACAAGTGGCACGACTTCTACAATTACCACACTCCACCTCCTGGATTTCAAACAGTGCTCTGGAAAGCTCCGAGCAAATACAAGATTGATATCAACGGCCCTGACACACTGTACTACTACATTCCTGAGATCTCGACGGACGCCAAGGTCTTCTTCGCAGACAAGCCAGGAAGCAAGCAGGTGGCAACCAGAGGCAATTTCATGGACCGCGTGCAGCCCAAACAGACGGCGTATCAATACCCAGCTGCCAGGCAAGCGATTGCTCCCGCGCACGCTTCGGCGCCAATTTGGCGTACGCATCAACCAGCTATCAGTGCCGCCGCCCTTCCTGCGCGCAGCACCAGTATCCATGAGAAGCCATACGTGTACAAGCCTAAGGAGCCCGCAAAGCCGAACAATGTTCACTGCACCGTCGACTATCAAGCTCTGGCGAACCAGCGTAATTTCACTGCGGATCCTCTCCGGCGCCACTCTTCGGTCTTCAGCCAACAACCGCCGCCTCTTCAGCCCGCTCCTTCTCACCAACAGCCGCCGGTGCAATACACGCCACAGTACAACTATCAAGGCGGAGAAGTTACGCGTACTCCTTCAGGCAGTGTTCGACCTTTTCCTCCTGATCAGTATTACTCTTCTAAAACGCTGCCGGCAGCATATCAAGGCGAGTATTCGAGATTCCGACGCGAGTCGCAAGGCGCGCAGACGTTGCAACGTCCTAACTTCGAGCCAGCCGGGTACACGCCCAACTATCAGTCGGTCAAGCAGCAGAAATCGATGCTCAAGCAAGGCCAGTCAGGCGTACCCGGCACCGGCTCGCCGTTCGCGTCGAACCCATACACACCAGCAGCTGAGTCACGCCCTTCGTCTTCGGCGATCAGTGCTCACTCGCCCTCGAACGGCGCACCGACACCCGCGCCTCCGAGTGCACCGATGGCCAAGCCTGAAGGATCACAGTCAGATGCAGCATACTTGCAAGACCTGCAGAAGTATCCGTATCTGCTCAACAGCTTCTGTCGCAAGCCCAAGGTATACGAGTCTCCTTACGCAATTGGTGGTGGTTACACGCCAAAGTACCAGCCACTCGAGCTGCAGAAGCAGACTGATGGCTATGACAGCAGAACGGTCGCCCGTCATACGCCTAGCAACTCGATTTCGGCACAGTCGCAACAGCAAAGTCAACAGTGGACGCCGCCATCACAAGTTTGGGATCGTGCGGGACTTGCAAATCAGGTCCAGACTCCGCCACCCGCGGAGCAGAACCAGCAGCATTATCAACAGGCTCAGCTCTTACAGAGATACGTACCTGTGTCGCACAGCACGCCGCAAGAATTCCAGCGTCAGATCCAGGGAAGCATGGCGAGCACTGCCAGCCGCGATGGCGCACAGGCTCGGTTGATGAGAGACCAAGGTTATGCGCCTTTCAACAGCCCCTACGCATCGGCGCCGATTTATCAGCAGCGCAGCAGTTCTGGACAAGATCCAGCCAAGTCTTACAACAGTCCAAAGGCGCCTACACCCAGCCCGCTGTCAGATGCTCAGGGATCCGGACGGAGCCATACACCGACCCATGGCGCGCCCGGACATGGTCCAGGTGCCTGGAATACCTTGCCGCCACCAAATCCATTACACCCGAATGTGCAGCAGCAACAGAACGAGCGACCGCCTGGTGCGAGCCATGGATATAACAATCCTACTCTACCGCAGATGGGAGGTGGAAACGAGACTTGGCGGTATAATTGAAAGGAGATGGGTTTATGAGAAAACAATGTGCACATATCCAAAGCGACAGCTGAAAGAGACCTGAGACGAAGGCATGTACGATTTATCGACCGATCACGACGAGAAAAGGAGGGGCGGCTTTTTGGGTTTTCTTTACTTTTTCAATTCGTTCTTCTCGCTGCTGGGTATACATTTACCTTGCTCATTAGCTTTTGGGGGTGGCAAGACCACTTTTCGCTCATGGCATGAGGAGACCGTCCTCGAGGTCCGAGGGATGAGCCTCGAATTTGGTAGCGGGGTTTGCTGTAACGATAGTCACTACTCACCAGTATTACCACAATGAAAACCGTGATGTTGGAGACACTGTTCTCACTTTGGTACATTTTTTCAGCGCTCGATGTTTTTGTCAATGGTTAACCATGGAGCAAGAAGAGCTCTGGGAGGTTGAGTAGATTTGTGGGAGCTAGGTGAAGAACTGATTGGACACGCAGATAGCAAGTCTGGCTGGGCCTTCATATGTGCGCCATTCACATACATATACAAGTCCCGTCTACAACGCAATCGGCTTTCCCTCACCCTGCGGTCCCTCTTCAGTTTTCCCACTGGGCCCATCCTCCTGCTGTCGCCCCCGATACTCATCAGTCTCATACCTCTTCCCTCTGAAGCCCCAAATTCCCCAGTTCCCGCAACTCACATCCCCAGGATCCAAGTCATTCAGATCCCATCTCAGACTCCTGAAGCGGTTCTCTCCTGGCTGCAACAAAATGTCCATCTCGCCCTTCGCTTGATCCGTCACCCAGGAAATATCCCTTTGCATGTCGTATTCGGTATATCCGGTACAGATGATGGGGACCTTAGTCTCGAGAAGCTGTGGGAGAGTTTGCGACCATTCGTGCGAGGAAGCTGGATGTCCGAAACCTGGATGGAAGCAAACAAAGCAGTCGAAGTAAGGGTCGTAAGGGGTGAAGTGTTGGGCTTCGTGGAGGGTGTGGAAGTATTCGACGTATGTTGAGATTTTCATTTGTCCGCCCAGACGGTCTTCGACGATGGCGCCGAAGGGGTTTTGCGATGTGCGTGGTGGAAGCGGGAATTCGTCGTCGCGGTTGGACATGCTTTCGGGTCCGATGAAGATTAAGTGAAATGTTGCGCGGGGGAAGAGGTATGAGAGTTGGAGCCAGACTTGGCGGGGAAGAGAGGATTCCGCGCGGGCGCCGAGGATGAAGAGGCGGACTGGGGGTGCTTGGGTTCGCAGGCCCTTGATATCAACACCGCCTCCGGATCGAGGTGGGTGGAGGGTATAGCGGAGGGCTGGAAGTGATGGGTTAGAGGAGGCGGATTGAGTAGTTCATGGGACAAATGCTTACCAGATAATGATCTCAGTCCCTCGGGAGTCAGTTTTTGTGACAGGCTGTATGGACTGAGTTCGTGCAGCACGCTCCCGACTGTGATGGGATATGTCAACAATCGCGTGACTTGTCGTAGCGGCCTCTCCTCGTTGATTGCTTCAAATTCTCGGCTATACAACAGAGTGTCCCAATTCTGTAGGTTAACCTGTGCCTCCTCTAGTTGTGCGCCCGGATACTCGAATTCGGGGAAGAACCGCCCGCTGTTCAAATCGTGATCATCCTCATTGATCTCTCGCAGCAGGTCACAGATTTCCAAATGGCTCTCGTAGTCGCTAGCGAAATGCTGCTCGCTGCACGATACTGGGATGCCACAGTCTGGGCACTCGTATCGTACATGTGCAGGGGGCATTGCGCCCGTCTTTCTCGACTCTAGATCATGAGGAGATGTAGGTGCTCTCGTTGCTTGATGTTCGGGGTGTGGACAGTAGGCATTCTGCTTCATAAAAGCCGCTCGTTTCCGTATCGCCGGCGATGGAGAATTGGTGAAGGAGTGGAAGAGATTGTTGGGTTGCAGCAACACTTTTCGTTCTGCATCTTGGGGTGTATATGGTTCTTGAGACCGTGCTGTCGCTGGTGCAGCTCGCTGTTTCGTCGACGAATGGATCTTTCGTGGTTGTGAGGGCTGTTTCGCTGCCGCCGTGGTAAATGCCCGTCTGGAGGTGGATGGTAATGATCGCGCGGGAGTGTTTCTGATGGCCAGGCGCAGACACCTGCTGCACATGGACTTGGCGGCCATTGTCGTGCTGTCGGGCGCGATATTGTGATGTTGCTCCAGTCAATGACCTCTGCTGGCGATGATGCTGTCGGGAGTGCTGCCTCGCCTCAACTTGCCGTTTGTGGCGCGAGCTTCGCGACTTTCTCTCTCGAATCGATAACACCGCAGCTCTTCTTCCCACCTCGCACTGGTCGCAACACCAACACCCACCGGCCACCATGGCCAACGTCCAGCAGACTCAGGCGTTCTATGCGCTCACACTGGAAGCGCCTTCCGCGCCGACTGCCGCCGTGCTCTGCAATGTCATTCCGGGACTCAAAACTGGCGACCAGCAAATCTTCGAAGCGCGAGGCCAGCGCGTTTTACTGCACCGCATCACCGAGAGCGCCGACCGGACAGAACGCAAAATCACGACAGTATGCGATCAGGATGCCTTCGGGATCATTCGCGGCGTCGCCGCATTTCGAATCCCTGCAACCGCCACAGGTAAGCATCTTCAGATCCACAGACTAGAGTTCGCATAGTGATGGCTGTCAGTCACAGCACCTGGATGAGACCTAGCGCTGCACGATCTGGCAAACACCATCCCTTTGTAACGAGTGGAATGTTGACAGTGAGTAGACCAGCTTGTGATTTCCTCCGACTCTGGACGAGTAGCGATGCTACAGTATGACCACGAAAAGAACCGCTTCAAGCGCCTCCACTTGGAAACATACGGTAAGTCAGGTGTGCGACGGACCATTCCAGGTCAATATTTGGCGAGCGATCCTCGAGGGCGATGTATCATGATGGCGAGTGTGGAGAAGAACAAAGTAGTCTACATGTTGAATCGACATGCCGACGGGAATATTCTGATATCGAGCCCACACGAGGCCAATCAGTGGGGCAGCTTGTGCTTTGCGCTGTGCGCTTTGGATACGGGATGGGAACCTCCCATTTTCGCGACTCTCGAAGTCGAGTACACCGAAGCGGAGAGTGATCCCACGGGAGAGGCGTATCAGCGGAGAGAAAAGCAGTTGGTGTACTACACGGTGGATATGGGTCTGAACCATGTCGTCAAGACGTGGAGCGAGCCAGTGGACTACACGGCAAACATGCTTTTCGGAGTACCTGGAGGACAAGACGGCCCATCCGGCGTGCTCGTGTGTTGTGAAGACCGCATCTACTACAAGCACGACAAGGCAGCCAATCTTTCGATTGCCATTCCACGAAGAGAAGGTGCAACCGAAGACAAGGAGCGGAAGCGACAAATTGTGGCGGGCTGCCTGCATCTAGCAAAGACCAGACATGAATTCTTCTTCTTCTTGCAGACCGAAGATGGCGATGTCTTCAAGCTCAACATCAACATGGCTACGGACGAGCAGGGACGACAAACAGCAGACCCTGAACAGATCGTGCTGAAGTACTACGACACATTCCCGGTGGCTAAGCAAATGCTGCTGCACAAAAAGGGGTTCTTGTACATTGCCGCCGAAGACGGAAACACACAGCTATTCCACATCGATGACCTTGCGGACGATCCTGAGTTCGAGCCACACAACACCTTCACCTCCGACGGCGTCTCGACGGATCCCAGCGAGCCCATTGAGCCAACATACTTCAAGCCACGCGAGCTCACGATGACACATCTGGCTGTTGATGTGCCAGGCTTGCATCCATTGATGAAGACTAGAGTGGACAATTTGACTCACGAAGATGCCCCTCAGATCTACGGAATTCAGGGCAAGGGCAACCGAAGTCAGTTCAAGACTATCAGGCACGGTCTAGATGTCGAAATCCTCATTAACAATAGCATGGGAAATGTGCCTTACGACAATATCTGGACCTTCAAACACCGAGCGACGGACGAGCACCACAGATATCTTTTGTTGAGCAGCAACTACGGCGATCTCACAATCGCGTGCTCGATTGGCGACTCCGTGGAGCAGATCGAGAACTCGAATTTCTTGGAAAATCGAGCTACGGTGCACGCAGAACAAATGGGAGATGCTGTACTCGTGCAAGTGCATGCCAGAGGTATCCGATCTATATACCAGGATGGCAAGCTGAATGAGTGGAACACTCCATCACATCGCACATGTGTCGTGGCTTCAGCGAATCAGTACCAGCTCTTGCTGGGCCTGAGTTCAGCAGAGCTCTGTTTCTTCTTCATGGGCGAAGACGGCGTTCTCGTCCAACTGGATGAGATGCCCGAGATGAGCGGTAAAATTACAGCAATGTCGGTAGGGCAAACACCAAAGGGACGACAACAATCGAAATATGCAGTGGTAGGCTGCGACGACTGTACCATTCGTGTCCTCAGTATCGAGCTCGATACTCCACTCGAGGCGCGAAGTGTGCAGGCTCTGTCTGCAGTCCCTACTTCTCTCGAAATCGTGGAGATGCTTGATCCTGCTTCCGGTACTACCATCAATGTCGTCCACATCGGTCTGCAGTCAGGCCTATATCTCCGTGCAGTCATCGACGAAACAACTGGAGAACTTGGAGACGTCCGAACCAAATTCCTCGGCACGAAAGCCCCTCGCTTGTGTCCAGTGCAAGTCGAGGACGAAGATTGCGTGCTCGCATGCTCAAGTAGACCATGGCTCGGCTACAACCATCCCCAATCGCATCTCTACACGGTTACGCCTTTGATCGCAGAGCAAATGGAAGCCGCACGAGCCTTCATCAGTCCCGACCTCAGTGGACTTTGCGCCATCCAGGGATCTTCACTTCTCATCTTTCAGCTGCCATCAGTAGAGGGCAGACTTTCACACAGCGCAATACCGCTGAACAACACTCCTCGTGGCATGACTCGGAATCCGTACTTCCCGATCTGGTATACTGTCCAAGCTGATGGCAACACCCTTTCCAAAGCCACTCGTGACCAGCTCCGCGGTAAGGTCATCGACGATGATGAAGAAGCCACGGCGCTCGAGCGCCATCTTGGACTGCCACGCGGTACTTCGCATTGGGCATCCTGCATCCAAGCCATCGACCCACTCAACCGACAAGGCGTTGTGTCCACAGTTGAGCTGGGCGAGAACGAGGCTGCTTTGTGCTGCACGTGTGTCGCTTTCGAGTCACGAAACTATGAGTTGTACTTAGCAGTCGGCACCGGACAGCACATGTCGCCAGGCACTGCACAGCAGGCTGCCGGTTACGTGCACATCTACAAGCTTGAGGAGGACGGCACAAAGATGACATTCGTTCACAAGACCAAGTTCGCACAGCCGATCTACGCCCTACTACCTTTCCACGGGCGACTGGCGTTGGGCGTGGGCAACGAGCTGTTAATTTACGACATGGGTATGAAGGCTCTGCTGCGAAAAGCGCGTGGGACAGCAACGCCCAACCAGATCGTCTCGCTCGAGGCGCATGGTAATCGCATCATCTGCGGTGATGTCAGCGAGAGTGTCACATACCTCGTCTATAAGCCCGGGTTCAATAGGCTGATCCCATTTGTGGACGATGTCATCCAGCGATGGACGACAGGCACAACAATGATCGACTACGAGACCGTTGCAGGAGGCGACAAGTTTGGCAATCTGTGGGTTGTGCGGTGTCCGGAACAACCCAGTCAAGAGGCCGATGAAGAAGGTGCCGGTGGTTTCATCATGAATGAGCGAAGCTACCTGAATGGTGCACCATACCGACTCGATCTGCGTGCACACTACTACTGCCAAGACATCCCCATGAGCTTGCAGCGTACCGCACTTGTGGCTGGAGGTCAAGAAGTGTTGTTCTGGTCTGGTCTGCAAGGTACACTCGGCATGCTCGTGCCATTCGTCACTCGCGAGGATGTCGAATTCTTCACTTCGCTTGAGCAGCAATTGCGTGCGGAGGATCCTCCCCTTGCAGGACGAGACCATCTCATGTATCGATCGTACTACGTCCCTGTCAAGGGCGTCATTGATGGCGATCTCTGCGAACGTTTCATGGCGCTCAGCTATGACAGCAAGCAGAAGGTTGCGGCAGAAGTGGATCGCAGTGTGAAGGAGATTGAGAAGAAGGTGCAGGAGATGAGGACGAGAGTGGCGTTTTAAATGACTGCTGTCGCTCAGCATTGCTTCGAGATCGCTGGCATAAGCAGGAAGGCGTCCTTCGAAGCGTACTTTGGAAAAAGCCTCGCTGGGTGTAACATAGATGAAACTCAAAAAGCTGGAGAAGGGACGACCGGAATGATACCAGCTGAGCGTACTCAATTGAATAAGAAAAAGCATCTTGACACTTCTTCGACCACTCCAGCCATTCCATGTTCTATTCGTGTGCGCTCGGGTACTCTTTCCCTTCACTACTGATATCTGATAGCGATTGCGGCTGGACGATTCCCACATTGATTTCTTCTTCGTTCTCTCCGCTGCATGCTTCCTGAATCTCTTCCTTCGCTTCCTTGCTCAAAACTTCTGCTTGCTGGGCAGTGGTCTCGCTCTCCGCGATGAGCGAGGGAATCTGCTGCTCTAATTCCAAAGTCTCCAAGTTCTGAAAGAATTCGCAGAATCGACACCGCCCTGTCGCTGCATGTTTTTGTGATACTGCAGGCTGGCTTTGCGTGGCTTGATGGCTGTTTACTTGCGGACTTTGTCCCTCTCGATCTGCATCATTATGCGAAAATCCAGCTTCATCATCGGCTCCGATTTGTGTTTGTCGCATTTCTCTCGTTATTTTTAGCAATTCATCTTCGTCATGGCCATGCCTTGTTGCGTGTTGCTCTCTTGCATTTACTTTCCTCCCACTTCTCTTCCTCTTTCTCTTCTTGTTGTCGTTTCTTTTCACGACTTTCAGCGTCAACATCAGACTCTGCTTCTCCCTGTTCAACGCCTCGTCTCATAACACTTCTTCCCGAGCCCAAGCTCTTGTGTACGCCATGGTCGTACATCGAAAGTCTCCGATATTTATGTGAAGGATTGGCAGGGCATGATTGTGATGTATGTTTTCCCAAATCTTCTCGTGGCGAGCGACGGCTTGGTTGAGCTGTTGAAGTTTGGTCAAATTTCTCGGGTGAGTGGGTATGGACTTTGGCATCTTGTAGGTTGTGGATGCGTTCATGAGAATCATATGAGGTCGACTGGGGAGGAACTATCGAAACAATGAGGTCGGGAAGAGAAAGAACGGAGCGAGCTGTTGTGATTGTCATTCTAGGGGTGGAGCTGGAAGTTTCGAGATCTGGAAAATTCAGACAGTCAGTGCAAGATGGGGCGAGATTTTTTGCTGATGTCAATGTACTCATAATCTCACGAAGCTGTGGTCGATCAGTGGTTCGAAAAAGGAGAGCAATCACTCTCACGGTATGGTGAGATCATTGGGGAAAGAGGTTTAAGAAAAGTCATTAAGGCTTGCTGTCTCCATCTATCATGATATCTTTGTCGATATTGCCGTGCCTCGATTTTATGTCAAATGTTAGAGAAAAGTGGTGATGTTTGATCCAGTCTTAGGCTTTTAGTTCTTGGTATACAAATTAGGTCTCCGAGCTTGAAGTGAGAATGAGTCTGTTGTGGTGTGTTGTGTCGTTCTGGTGTACCGCGCGTCGTGCTGGTTTCGATCGCGCCATGCCAAACGTGAATATGAGAAGCAGAAGACTCTGCCGTCTTAGGGTCCGAATAGTGATCCTGATGTTGTGGTCAATCGGGTCATTGCCTCAAGGCATCGTCCTCAAATTGTGATGCTTGTGTCGTGAGCTAGATGGCCACCGAAGATTCAGTCGTCTCCGGTCAAGTCCTCATCGTCGGATTCATCAGCAGCGGCCGCATTTGGCTCTTCTGGTCCAGCTGGAGGTTCTTGCACTTCGGGCTGTGCTGCTTCGGCTTCATTGTCGCCAGCAGGCGGATTTTGATTGGGTTGCTGCTGATCAGCTTCGCGCTCCGTTTGCTGTGCTGCCTCGGGTTGGCTACTGCCAACAGTTGGTTCTTGGCCGGGTGGCTGTGACTCAGCTTCGCGCTCTGGGTGCGATACTGCCTCTTGAGCTTGATGTTCGTCAAGAGGCGGATCCTGGTTGGCTGTCTGTTGCTGCTCGGCTCGTGCAAGGCTCTCAAGTCTTTGGCGACGGATCAACTCGTCGTGATCCTTGGAAGCTTTCACTGCACGTTCCATCGCATCAGCATCCGTCATGCCACAATTTCTGCGATCAACGTCGCTCATCATTGAGCCTGCACGCTGGAAGTGGCGAGCGGGAGACTGCAAGTGGCCGTTGGGCCTGTTTTTGTTGCTGGGACTGCTTCGCGAGGCTGTTCCCTGAGGGTTTAGGCGAGCTCCATAGCCAGAAAGACCGTTGCTATGGTTGGAGTGGGAACTAATCGTAGACCGTGGGCCCCGAGAGGGCGATGCACTCTGATGGCCGGACGTCCCAAGCGTCTGGATAGGCGTCACGAACAGCTTACTGCCAGTGTTGCCCGATGGAGTATGGGCGCGGCTCTGAGGAGCCTCCGGAGTAGAGAAGTCCATGAAGTTAGTCAGATCATTGAAGTCGAACTCTACATCTGGAGTGGGCTGTCCAGACGATTGCCACGACCGCAATCCAACTCCGTTGTTTGAATGCTCGCCAGATGCGGAGCTAAATTCCTCTACTCCTTCCATCATGAAATCGCGGCCAGTGTTCGCGAAGTGATGAATCCCTGGCGGCAGTCCTCCAGAAACGAGAGGTTCGTTGTCGTCGCCACCATCGTGGCCTGCAGGGTTCTTGCCCTTTTTCGGCTTCGGCTTGGGCTTAGCACGCTTCTTTGCTGGCCCACTTGAATCATCTCCGCCGCCTCTGCGTCCGTTGGAGAGAGATGGTGGTGGCATATCCGCACTCACTCCCCGCGTGCGTTTCTTCCTCGCACGCACAGGTGCCGTGTCATCCCCGAAAGTAGAGTCTACGCCAGAGCTGTCAGAATTGACCTCGATCTCGTCCGCCCCTCCGCCAACCACTTGTGCAATATCTTGAGCTTGTTGAACGCGTCTGTTCCTCCTGCCCTGTCTGTTCCTCAGTTGCCTTCGCTTGAAGACCTTTGCCTCATCAAACCAAGTCTGCCACTTGCGATATTCAGGCTGCTCCAGCTCCTGCTCCATCCGACGAACCTCCTCTGGATCATTCTCATCGAGATACTTCCATGCATCCCCGATGAATTGCATTTGCTTCTTTTCTCTTGACTTCTTGTCGTCCGCATCGAAGTAGAGAGGATTGAAGTGAGGAAGCCAGATGACCTCTGACAGCATGGGCTCACGGCGTTGCCCCTCCAGCACCTTGAACTTGAAGAGGTCTGGTACAATGGTGTCGTCGTCGTCCTGAACGATTGCGCCACCGTCCTCAAACTGCGGCTTGGCCCAAACTCTGAGGGAGTCGGCTCTGCGTATGCCCACGCAGAGCTTGCCACGGTGGAACTCAATAAAGCCCATGATCCAATGTTGGAAAGGATTTGGTGCTGAACTGTAAGCCGCGAGGTCGCCGCGCGGGTGACACACCCAGCGTGTGAAAGCAAGTGTTGGTCGGGACCTGAGATGATTGATATCAATGGATGATGTAGCTGTCGTGGATGTGTTGGGTGAGAGTGGGAAGTTTGAAGATATCAAACACGGGGGAAATGGTTCGGTTTTGTGCTCTTCGTCTGCGCAACAAGTGAAGTTGCAAGCTTGTGCAACGTCGAATTTGCATGTGCTTCATCCTTACCAGCATGCAACTGAGTGTCTCGCACAAGCTCGTCCTAGCTTGAGTGTCACCAAAAGTCCTTCCGCAAGCTGAAGTGAGGTGGGGTTGAGTGAATAAGATCTCCAAGCTGGCGGAGCTAGCTTGTCTCATATGAGCGCCGCTTGAACAGTGGGGAAGCGATGTGCTGGCCAGCCGCATTGAGGGCAATCCTCTCGATAACATGACCCTGGGTTCTCAATGTAAGAAAATTTTAGTGCGCTCACTTCAGCGTGTCATGCAAGAGGCCGGAACGCGGCGACCAGACGGACAATTGGGGTGCGATTCAGTAAAAAGCAGACACTTTTTCGAAGACCGCTCGTTACGTCCTCAAGACTCCGGAGTGTTTCCAGAAAGCCCAAAGGCCTTTTCAAAGTTCCTCCTGATCTCCGTCGCGTTCTGCCATTCCTTTTCCCAGCCATAGTCGGGCCAGCCATCAGGCAATGTCGAATACGACGGCATAGTGAAAACCCCTTTGCACTGGCCAAACACATCACAGGGCACTCCGCAGATACCATAGAGCTTACAGTAGCACTCCTCGGGATCGGGACAGTGAACTGCTTCTTGGCCAAAGATGACTACGAACATATCAGCTCAAACAGGATCGTATGAGGCAATAAGCGCAACGTCAGACTTACTATGCCACATATATTCCAGTATCCTCCCACTCAAATTATCATTCAAAGGCGTCTCCAACAACCAATCCCGAATCCGCTCATAGTCGGCCTTAGGCCTTTCCTGAATCTTCGCAGCAGTCACTGCAAACTGCGCACAGCAAGGTGCTCCCACGGTTTCCGGAACAGTAGTATCCGGGAAAATCTGCTGGAAAGCGGCCTTGTAGAACGATCCCGCGCGGGCACTGTTGGATTCCGGATCAGACTCCGGAGGTGGCGCTTCAGCTTCTACCCAAGGATGAATCTCACTCGGGCAGCCTAACGACCACACGCAACGAAGGTTGGTGTAGCCTTGTGCCTCGACGTGGGAAAGATTCAGCCGAGATAGGACAGAAAGACCATCGTATAGAGGATCATCGTTGTGCCATTGGTAGCGCTTCGAGTGAGAGAAGATGGCGACAGTTGGCAATTCGTCGTAGTGGTCGATGATATAGCTGCAAACAATTAGCTCTGGAACTTATTGAAAATCCCTGCACGCACCTCAAATATACCATCCCCTCTCGACCTTTGTTGATGGGCACCTTTAGTGCCGCTTGAGGGTCATCAGTTACGTATATCGCTCTCGGCCAGTCTGCGAATGCATCGAGCCAGGTAGTGTTGTCGTCTTTCTGGCTTGCAACTACCACCTCTACTGCTTTCTTCAATGGCTTTGCCGTATCGACCAAAGGAGTTTGCTGTGTTGAAATTGTCCAGGGCTCGGATGATATCGCATAGCGATCAGTCATCACTGTCATGAGTAGGACAGCGGCGGAGAAGCAGCTAACGGTGGCCCAAAGTATGCGAAAGAGCCCATTGAAGCTCCCAAACAGAGCTGATGAAAACTGCATAACGCATACACAGCAGAACTTGTCGAGAACTCCATGAACTCGTGCTGATGCACCAAGACTTTCTTCAAAAGTGACGCTCGCATTATGTGGTCGCGTTCCGGCATCCATGTCATGTCTTGGGCTGCCTTTCCTCATACAGTATAGTGCAGTAGGCGTGACCAGGTCTCTTGTTCGCAGCTGCCGATCGGATTCCGCTATTGCTGCAGCGATCAGGCATTCGCGGGGAAATTGTCGTTGTGAAAATGAGGCCCGATGCTCTACCGATGAATGCTGGACATGGGATTTGGCGGTGATACGAGTCGTCAGATTTTGGCTATTGGCGCTCGTTGCTGGTTATGCTGGGCAGATCAGACTGATGCTTGCCCTTGTAGCACATCCGCTTGATAACTGAAGCTCGGCTCCTGCAATGGACACCTAGATCTCAAATCAGTGTCCAATGTCAAACCGCTGCTTTGGACTGTCAAGAGGTAGCGTGGAACGTTCGATTAAAATTTGAGAGAATGTTTGTTTGCTCGCGAAGAGGCGAGGTTAAATCAAGCTCTGTGGTCCAAGTCGATACTGTAAATCTGTTCGACGGTAGCTCGTCAACAAACGCTTCATATAACCAGATCGTGACAATATCGGTGTAGTGCATTAGTTGACGTGTGATGGCGCTTATATGCTCTTCGCTCAGCGCGCGGTTCATCTCCAGCTGGATGATCTGGAGTCGCTAATTATTGTGGAGCGTTGCTGTGCCCCTTGAAGACATATCCGATGACGACCATCTACCCACCGCGCTAATGATCATGTGCTGTTGCATCGTCGTGGCTTCATTCGAGCCCCATTATTGAGCGTTCAGATATCCCGCTTCGGTCCACGTATCTTTGAGCCTGCTGCAATGCTCTGGCGCCAGGTACCCAGCTTGTGGATATGTTCGCTGACGCACAACCTACCCTTAGTCACTCGGAGAATCTTGACAGGTAACTACTGCTGGTGTGCTATAGGCATTGCTAACAGGCGGAAACTCAGCTCCATCGCCGCTGTCAGAAGAGAAATGTAAACGAACCGCCCCAGCATGATAACTAGCTCATCTGCTTCCACGGCCTCGGCTCGAGCACGCGCACGATTGTAACGCTGTGCCGGTGACAAGACCAGTGATCGAGAAGGCTGTAGCTACTGGATTGGAGGGTTCAACTCAGTCGCCATGACTGGAAGTAGTGGTCGCTGCGACTCAACGTAGGAGCGAAGGTGGGGTGCGGAACCGAAAGAGAAGTCCGCTGCGTGCTGCGTCCACGATACAGAGGTGGCATGGCTACTGTGCCAGCGGACGCCCACGTAGCCGAACACGTCGAGAAGCTCTGCATGCTCTGCGCCGGCGGGGCGGGAGCTGTAGGCATCGAAAACGCCTGCCGGAGTATTCGAGGAAGACGTGGGCGGAGAAATGCCTAGGGACTGGGCGAGTCTGAAGATGCGCGGCGGAGAGTCGAGGTCGGTGGGGCTATCCACTCATCGCTGAATGTAGCTGCGCCATGAGGCGATACAGGTGTGCAGCAGCAAGCGCACGACATCCTAATGTGCGTAGAAGAATATCAACGTTGTCAAAGTCGGTGTCGTAGCACACCTGCCTCTCTGTCGATCAACCACGCAGCCAACACGGCAACTGCCTCCACCCGCCACGCTTCCTTCCTTCCCGTCCGCAGAAGCCCAAAAACCCTCCCTCTCTCCTTCCCACGAGCGCACCAACGTTCACCCATCCCATGGTCCACCTGAAATAGCTTCATCCCCACCAACCAAAAACAACACCAGAGAAAAAAACTCTCCATGCCATCAAACACCCATCGCCAGGCCAGCAGTGGTCCAACCCAACGCTGACGCTAATGGCAGTACCCTCTAGCAAGAGACCGTCAAAGTCACATACCTTGATTCAGTGAAGACAAGAGGGCATGACCCTGCTAATACTGCCGTAAATTCCATGCTATGCTGCCAACTGTCACTTATTAACTCAACGGGGCGACAGGACAGACTTTGGCGCTATGCTTCAGAATAGTTTAGAACGGAGGTGTGTTGGTTGATGACGGAGACTCCGGGAGCGCGTTCGTGTCTGCTCGTGCGGTACCTGTTTTGGGATGGTGGACGACAGATGGAGAAAGAAGCTAAGCAAGGTGCGTTACGTGAGATTCTTTGGTGATGCGCCTGTGCTGTACAATGTACATTCAGCGCTGTGGGAGTAGCAGTGTTACTTCGCAGTACACGATGCGATGCGATACGACGTGAGATGTGATCAATGTGCTTGGCCGTATCATGGAGATGAAGTCCTACGCGATGATGCAAAAATGCCTTGCATCAAAAACATTCCACAATCTAAATGCGCAAACACGAATATCTAGGTAAGAAGTGACACCATGCGCAAGCCGCGATGAACGAAGCCAGCGAGACAAGGCACCAAACATGATCGACTACAGCGGAGCAGTCGCTCAGGCTCTGCGTGTCCTGCTCGACGACCCTGTCTTCAGGACCGGATCTGCCAATTGGGATTCCTTCCTCACTCTTGCACTCTACTCACTCCTCTTAGCCAGCGGTTGGAAAGTCGCTGGTACCTTCATCCACTTCTATCGTCAAGCACGGCGCGGACGTGGACTTCGGCGTTGGGGCGTGATCCACGGACTGCTCGCCTTCTCGATCGCCAGCTTCGTCATTGTCAACATCCTTCGCTGGGAGTATCGCCGTCTGAAGCTTGTGGAGCTGGCAGTCACACAGGCATGGCACGAGGCAACGGACACGTTCCGAGAGAACGGCATATTGGATTCCCTTCCAGTGGATGAGACATCTTGGAGATATCGCATCTACAAGTCGACTTATGGACAACTGCCGGACTCTGTGGTCGATAGTGTATCCTGGATCTCGCCAGACTGGAAGTCCAATGCGTCAGTCTTCGACTACTTCAAGCTGCTGATCGATGAAGGCCGAAGGAGCTACTGGACCCGGCAGTGGTATATGGGCTTTTTGGCCTGGTCGCTGTACGCTTCTGCCAAATGTAAGAATGCCGCGCCTGATGCATGTATACGGTAAGCTGACAGTTTCAGGTGCTGGTCTTGACCTTGGCGCCAGCTTTGCTGCGTCTTGCATCTTGCTAGCGTACCACTTCAGCTTGGCTGCTGTTCAGGCCCTTTTCATGGCGCTCATCCTACTGGTACCTTCGAGCAGAGGGGAAACAAAGCCAAGACGCTTTGTGAAACCAGTCTTGATCGTAGCAGTCGCTCTCCTCCAGTCAACAGCCCTCGTGGCCCTGCCATGGATACTCACGAAGCTCGAGAATTCTGGATCCTCCACTCGGGAAGCATGGCAGAGCACATTCGCACTCGGCCGAAGTTTGCTGTTAGTCGTCTCCCTGGTATCGCCAGTGGTTCTCAATTTTGATCTGGCTCTGGAGATGCATCCTCTTTCAGAAGACCACATCGAGACCAAACGTCGGGCGAGAGTGGTCGGGTGGTCCTGGGCTATTGTTGGTATTTTATCCTTGCTGCTACATCTCCACTCCTGGTGGCAGTGCTTTCAAGAGGCGAGTCCAGGCAATTTGTGGCGGTGGACACACTTAGCTCTGTTGCAGCCGTGGCACGATGCAAAGTACAACGTGTTCAAGGATTCGACATTCCGTGTGTTTGGTATACTGGGCGACCATCCGTGGATCAACGCATTGGGCTGGGATGTCATTTTCTCCACGGCTGGTGTGTGTATGTTCTCGGTGATCTGTGATACCAATGCGCGGAGCATGTTGCAGTGCAGTCTCATGCCCTGGCTGGACGATGCTCTTGTGGTGGCAGAGCATGTAGCCGAGGTTGTACGAGATGCTGCAGACGAAGGATTTACGAAAGGCATGGAAGTAATGAATCAAGCTCAGGCTTCTGTTACATCTGGCCTTGTCACAGCTACGCGGAGAGGACTTGACAAAGCCCAGCGGCTGGCCAGTGACTCGAATCTTGACATTGCTGAGAGCATCGAAGGCAAGATCCGTCGCGTGAAGGATCTAGTCGATGCTCAGGGGAGGACTGCCAACGACGACGGGGAAACGCTTCGAAAGTCTCGGGTCCAGCGTGGAAATGACCGAAGAATAACTCGAAGCTTTGGAGCTGAGGCCGACGCTGGCCTGAGCCCGAGGCGTAATTTGCGGTCCACTTCCGCACGTTCGTCGTCGAGGACTCGCGCACGCTCTTCTTCGAGGAAAGGTTCTAAAAGACGGACACGACGAGCGGCTTCGCTCATGCCTGATGAGGCAAGCGGAATTGCAGAGCAAGGAGGTCTGGCGTATGCCCTTTTCCTTGCGGGTGGCTTAGGGCTCGCCAGTGCCGGATCGTTCGGTGCCGACCTCATGTAGAAGAACGTCAGCTATGCTTTGGAGTTGACTCAGTTCCAGGTGATAAATGTTCTCCCGGCATGCTCCTCGCGCTGCCGGCTGTCAGCTGTCTGCAACAATGTCAATTCACTGTATCACCGCTCCCGTTGCGAACAACGTTGATCAGTCTAGCGCCTCGTCGCGAATGATAGTGATGATGATGTTCAGGGAGGTATGGAGTCGTGCAATGACAAGCCCTGCCTAGGCCAACGCCATGCAGAGCTCAAGCTCCAGCAGTGGCAGAGCACGTTCCAAGACTTTCAGACTTCTGTTGCAGTGTGGCTTGAGCCATTCGGGCCACACGGCATGGTGGAAGTTCCGCGGCCGGTGGTCGAGCTGTTGATGGCAGTCACAACCTAGGTGGGCGGAATTGGTGCGAAAGTTGACGCTGGCCATGCCTATGGAGGACGTCGGGTCCAGTGGTCCCACCCGTGCCGATGTCAGATTTTGCTGATGATGTCGGCGTTCGAGACGTCTGAGAGGGAGCAGCTGAAACTGCGGCCGCCCACGTCACAGGAGTGTCCAGACAGGCTGGTTTTGTGAGAATTTGAAGTGCACAGCGCTGCGACGACAGGGCTCGCAGTGGGGGTTGTTGGCGTGCAGTGCGACAAGAAAAATGCGCATTGGCTGACGCTGCCATGTGCTCTTGACGAGCGCGAAATAGCAACCGTTTGGTGAGACGGCGGCGCCTTCCCGGGCGGGAGCTGCCCTGCAATTGGCCGTCGTCACGGAGGATCGGCACTCCTCAGCACTCTCCGGCACGCCAGGCCGCATACGAAGGGGCGCAGCAAGTCGCAGAACAGGAGCCTTGCCCACCCAACAAACACCCTCTGTCTGTCCTCTCACCACTCTCACATACCACCAACCCGCTGAAACGCCCTCGAAACCACCATCGCAATCATCCAGTCGCTCGTAACGACCCATTCGACCCACCGTCTGCGCCTGCCCGCCGCTGATAAGGCACCACAACAAGCATTACCTGAGGCCACCGAAGCACCATCTGCCATGACGAGCAGGCCTCAATTGAAGACCGAACAACTCGACATGGACAGCTTCTTCGACTTCAGCGGCACAAACGGCGCTTCGCCCACCACTGCCTCGACGTCGCGCGCCGATGTCATGTCGCCGTTCGACAAGGAGGAACAGCAGCAATTCAATGGACCCAGTCACGACTATGGCCAATTCAAACAGCAAGTTGGCCTCCCTGTAGGCAGCCTTGCGAACATGCCGCAACCTGGCATGTTCGACGGCTTCAACTCAGGAATCGACACCGACTTCAACTCCGGCTTTGGCTGGAACTCCGGCCTCGACATGGACTCCGAGATGACAATGGACTTCAACTCACAGCAATCCATGTTCTACCCGACCGATTCACCATCCGCAAACTTTGTTGATCCAAACAGCATTGGAGGCCAGGAGCCAGCGAGCAATGTTGGCCGTTTGTGGCCTGGCATGCACTCGCAGCAAGCGCAACAGGCCGCCATGCAGAAAGCTGCCCAGGCTCAAGCTCTCCAGCAGAGACAGATGAAACTGCAAGCGCAGCAGGCCCAATACCGCCAAGCTGCCAACACTGCACAGCCCAGCCAAGGCTCTTCGCAACATGGCAAGCGCGCTTCTCATGTCACCGAGCCTCACGTGGAGGAGTCGATTTCCCGACTTCTCAACCAAATGCGTCAGAACAACAATGCTGGCACCTCCGAGGACGGTGGCTCGCCTTCTGATGTGCTTCCCCACATTGCCCGCATGAAGAAGGATGAGGAGGAGATGGACGAGGATGAGCGTCTTCTCGCATCGGATGAAGGCAAGAAGCTTTCGAGTAAGGAGCGCCGACAGCTGAGGAACAAAGTGTCCGCTCGTGCATTCCGGTCACGCAGAAAGGGTAAGACTTACAGACACTCGAAAACCCGTACTCCCGCTAATATTGTCACAGAATACATCGGTCAACTCGAAGGCGAAGTTGCCATGAAGACTCAGGAGAGCAACACTCTCCGTCAAGAAAACCAGGCTTTGATGCAGGAGAACGAGCGCTATCGTGGCCTCATCGAGACTTTGCTCCGTCACCCTGCTTTCACACCATTCATCAACGACATCAGCAATGATCCGTCGTCCTTGATCAACTCACAAATCAAGTCCCGAGCACAGCAACAGCAGCAGGCTCAGCAACAACCACCTGTCCCGACTCCTCAGCCAAATCAAGCGCCTCAACCACAACCACAGCCTCAGCAGGATATGAAGCCGGACTTTCTGAACTTCGACGCATCGCAACTTCAGATTCCGCAGCCTCAACCCGAGCAGCAGCAGGTCAATCTCGCTGCTATTCCCGAGGAGAACTTCAGCAAGCTGAACATCAATGGCTACCGTCAGCCAGTCAACTTCAACTTCAACCAGGTCAATGCCTATCCAGTCACAAGTCTGCCGAGGCGTGACCCGATTGAATTACTCGCCACGTCACCAACTTTCTTCTCTTGCTCTGCCTCCGCCTCCGCCTCTTCGACCTCTGACTCTGGACTTGCTGTACTACTCGCCAAACTTGACAATGCGGCAAACAGTATAGCTATCTAGCGTAGGACGATAGCTCCCTCACTACCTTGGACTCTTGGTCAACTTGACGGCACTTGTACCGTCACTCGATACCCATCACAAAATACTTGTGACACCACCAGCAGGACTTTACTGAAAAGTACCTCTTTTACTTGGCTTGCGGGCCTTGACTTTCATCGGCGTGTTTGCATGGAATGGAATGGAAGCGTTCATGTTTCAATTGCCTTTTACTGCGTGTGAGATAGAAAGATGAAATGCCATTTGCTCTATATGAGACCCCAATCATCTCTACAATTTCAGTTCATCGCCTCTCCCACCCGCTTCACGACTCTGACTTCCCAATTGAACGGGTTGTTGCCCCACTGTCGCTCACTCGCACAGCATCATGTGCAAAGATGCATGGCATCTTGCTGACTCTGACCGCTCTCTGCAAGGCAACCCGCAGCTTTGCTCCAACACTCCGACGCCCGGCGATTTGAGTCGGTGGTACGGCGTGCTTCACCGTACAGGTGCGGCTACGGATACGGCCATCTGTTGCTGTTCAGGTCAGGCACAACAGGGAATGTCAGCAATACGTACTCGTGCCCCTTGTATCTGCTTATTATTATAAAATCGAAGTGCGCGGCTTCGGCTCTCCGCGTTCCTGGATTCTTGGGTCTTCTTGGCTGTGATTTTTTGTTTCTCCTTCGGCATAATCCTTGTGGATGTGAGATGGAGGGAGAACACTGAGAGGTACAGCGTGGTGTTGTGACTTGACCCTTGGCACCGAAAGAGCCGAGCGGGAAGGAGAGGGTTGGGATTCTCCGTACGGGGTTCGGGTGAATACACGTATGTAGTAGACAAAAAGTGAGCTGCTGGGATAATCTGATGTCAATTCTACCAGGCTCGAGATAGATACAGTCCACTATGAGGACCTCCAAACATCTGAGAGATCTCGTTGAAGTTTTGTCTAGACCGGACAAACAGTGTACAAAATAGTAGTTCCACACACTTTCGTACATTGCACCCACATTTTGACACGTCCCAACAACGCCCGCAAATCTCGAGACGACGCCCACAGCCAGCAAATTGCGCGTACTCACTCCATCCTACAAAGCAATTTCTTATACCACCACCTAAACAACCACACGCGAAGATACCTCCAAAAAGTCCAGAACCGAGTGTGCAAATACCGACTTCCAAATGCGACTGAATCCACCCGGACGACTTCATTGGTTGCGAGAACGGTTCGTTCCCATTTTGCAATTTTCCCTGCATCGACAAATGGCGAAGCTTGGCCTTTCTTGCTTGCAACTGGTGCAGGATCACCTACTTTGCCGATAGCTTCTGCCAAACCTTTCGCCGCAAACGCCGCGAGATTCGCTCCTTGGCCATTGTTCGGCTGAGCTTGAGTGAGAGCATCGCCGATGAGGAAGACTTTGTTGTCGAAATATGCTGCTTTGGGGGCGCACATTGATGTGACTTTGGTGACGAAGGGGGTCTCGATGAGACAGACGAGTTCGTAGAGTTTTGTCGGGAGGACATTTTTGGCGATTTCGACTTGGGCTTTCCAGATCTCGGGACGTAATTTGCCTTTCGGGACTGTGCTGCGGTGGCGGTGACCCGTGGTGTCGGTTAAGATGTCGTCTGCGCTGGAGTGCGTAGGCCAAGTGTACCAGACGAAGTTGATATGGCCGTGGCCGGGCTCGAGAGATCCGTCATCACCAGGAATCGTGTAGGTGATGGCGTAAGTGTATGTGCCTGCCCAGACGAGAGCGCGATTCTCGAACGCGGCGCGGGTGTCAGAGGGGAGGTCGCCCGTTCTGACTGTGCCGCGCCAGAGCACGTAGCCTGGTTCTTCGCGTGCAAGATTGGGATTTAGTTGCCGTCGGATGCTGCTGTTCGCGCCATCGGCTGCGATGATTATATCGCTATAATAGCGCTGCGACTTTCCCGTGGCGATGTCCTCGACAACGGTCGCCATGCCGTTCCCCTCTGGCTCGACTTTGAGAACTTTCTTGCCTACTTCGTATATTGCTGTGCCTTTGGTCACGATCATTTCTGCATCTTTGACATAACTGCTTTTGAGTCCATCGAACTTGGCTCGCAGCTGATAGTAGGCACAATCCCAGCTTGTGACACGAGTTGGCTTAGGGATGAAGGCTTTGACATTGAGGTTCTGGTCCAGCACTTCGAAGCCCTTGTGCAGGATTCCTAGAGCGTTTCCGTCGATTCCGAGCTCATCCTCGAAAAAAGTCCTGACGTGCAATGCAAGACCCACGCCGGCTGCTGTGCCTTCTCGTACGGAAGTGGTTGACTGCTCCAAAATTGTAATGTTGTGTCCTTTCTTCTTCAGCAGGAAGGCGACCATAAGGCTGGCAATGCTTCCTCCAATCTAAGGTGCCGTCAGCTTCCGCTGCTCGTGGTCTAGTCTTATGCCTCACAATCACAACGTTGAGCGGGCCACGGCGCTCCGCCAAGGATGATGCAGCTGCCGATTTTTCTGCCATTCTCGCTGATAATGTCGTGTCCAGAGGATTTTCTGATGAAGTGAAGTCTTGATAGGAAAGCGGTCCATACCACATCCTTCCGATGATCGATTGCCATGGCCCCTTGTCAACGTTGTAGCTCGGTCCTTGCCACGGCCGCTTTTGCACAGACTCGGCAGTTGCATGATCTTGCAAGGCAAGAGACATTCACAGCCAATAGAACCTCCATGGAATGTGGCATTAGAGATGTCTGCATGAGAGAGTAACAGTTGGTGCAAAGGCAAATTCGCTGCAGCAGAGTTTCAGCAGATCTCATCGCTGCGGTTCGCGAAGCGACATTCATATCGCTGCTCCGGTGATTCCAGCTCCCAGTACCACCGCAATATCACGCTGCTGTTCATACTGTGCTTCTTGTCATTGTAGTGACGGCACTATATCTTAATGCATGAGTGTTGGAAGGCCACTCGTCGTTCACGGTGTGACAGGCGAGATCTGCACTTCAAACTCGCTGAGCCTCATGCGAGACTGTAGAAGACCCATTCTTACGCCGCGGACTCTTTCGCAATGATTGCAGGATGACTGTGACGTCCTCGCGGGATCTGAATTCGTGGACGTGAGTGTGACTTTCCGGAGTTGCGAAGTGCCGGTCACGTGCAGTTCCAGTTTGTGCGGCTTGGCGCGAACACTCAATTCGACAAGACCACACTTCCGATTACTGCTACTGTTCACCCGACGAGAAGGCATCCAACACCCAGCGCACTCTCTGCCGGTGAGCACACAGCGCAATCCCCGACACGACAGCGACCACACATACTAATACGACAGTCTCGCAGACGTTCCTTCTCGCAGCATCACGCCCCCCGGAGCAGTCGAATACCGCAAAGATGTCTGACGGCGAGGTTGAGGTCGAGCAGTCGCCAAACTACAATGTCCTCCCCAAGGATGTTGTCGAGAACATCGGGCAGACCAAGCTCTTCAACAAGTGGAGCTACGAGGATGTCGAGATCCGCGACATCTCCCTCACGTACGTCGGACAAACACCTCCGCACACGCACACGCACACGCCATGCGGAATGGGTGATGCGATGGGGCAATGGGCAACAGCAGAAGAGAAGCTGACAGGGACATCACAGCGATTACATTCAGATCAGACAGCCAGTCTACATCTCCCACTCGGCTGGCCGATACGCTGTGAAGCGCTTCCGCAAGGCACAATGCCCCATCATTGAGCGCCTCACCAACTCGCTCATGATGAACGGCCGCAACAACGGAAAGAAGCTCATGGCTGTGCGCATCGTTGCTCACGCTTTCGAAATCGTACGTCATACCACACATCTGCGAACATGCGGTGCATCGCGCACGGAGTTCACGAAATACCTCCGAGAACGGGATCACTAACGGATTATATCTAGATCCACATCATGACCGACCAGAACCCAATCCAGATCGCCGTTGACGCCATTGTCAACTGCGGTCCTCGCGAAGACTCGACCCGTATTGGAAGCGCTGGTACCGTCCGTCGTCAAGCCGTCGATGTGTCTCCTCTCCGCCGTGTCAACCAGGCCATCGCCCTCCTCACCATCGGTGCCCGCGAGGCTGCTTTCCGCAACATCAAGTCCATTGCTGAGTGCTTGGCGGAAGAGCTCATCAACGCTGCCAAGGGTAGCAGCAACAGCTACGCCATCAAGAAGAAGGATGAGTTGGAGCGTGTGGCCAAGTCCAACCGATAGATGGAGAGAATTGGAATGTACCGTCTTACGATATCGACCTGGTCTGTGGTTTTGCATCGGAGGTGTTTGGGTGGCCTGCTAGACATGACTTGGCTCTGCGGTGCTCGCTGGCTACGGTCTGGCGCAGGTGGATGGACACAGTGAACAGAAATGGTAGTCGCTGCTGTTCCCTTTTTCGCACAGATGTGAAGCGAATGGAGCCGTAGACTTCAATCAAAACCTCGAAAGCGACTACCTTGACTTGATGTTACGGGAAATGCACATGATTGCCCACAGACGAAGGAATAATGTGACAAAGCGTTGTATGAATGAGTACCACAAAAGAGATGGCATGCACCACAGTTGTTACTACTGACACTACTCCGACATAAATTGATCAGTGCTCATGCTCTAGGGATATCCCAGATGCCATTCGCCTCCGAACACGAAAGCTAGAACTATTCCATCCACGCAACTACACATCCAAGCACATGACCCGACTCATCTCCAGTCTCATCACGCAGCTCGTCTTCCAGAAATTGCCAATGACACCTAACCTTCATACCGAAGTTTAAGTTATGGCTCATGTCGCACATTAAGCTTCACCACACAATTACCTCCAACCCAGTCCCAAAACAGAGAATTTGATGAAGTCAATCAAACAACCAGACATGTGCAATTATCGCCATGTCCTGCTGCTTTCTCTCTACATTGTTGACAATCTTTCTCTCATATTGCCTGGCCGTGCACCAGATTACCACTCATCACTGCCACCACGACCCCAAATTGAACGATCATGCAGGACAACGATGTACCGTATCTCGCTACCCGGGAGAAGTCGACTGCGAACCAGGCTCAGTCGACGACGCAAGCTGAGCAGACATCTCAGGCGCAGCAGACTGCACCTACTTCGAATCAGCAACAGCAACAACAGACTCTTGTCGATGCTGCTGCAACGACACCTCAACCTGCTGCTTCATCGCCGCAAGCTACACAAGCAGAATCAACGCCCAGCTGGTCATCAACACAAACATATGATGACGGCAAATGGACCAGCTCCAATCCCACAGCGTCAGCCACCGAGGCCTCATATACGATAACATCGACCGGCACAGACATCGTGCTTGGGATTTCAACTTCGAGTGACTCTTTGACAACGTTCACGACCAGCACCATGTCGGACAAATCACACTCGCAAAGCATGACTTCTTCAACAACAGGTGCTATGAAGACAGACGATCCGATGGCTCAAGCAGGTCAAAATACAAACACGCGGGCGGGACAAATAGCGGGAATTGTCTCAGGATCGGTTGCTGCTGCGATGCTTGTTGGATTGGTTGTGATGTATTCAATATTCAAGAGGAGGAAGCGACATCCCTTGGCTTGAGAATATTTTAAGAGTGTAGGAGGGCATAGGGCATGCTGTGCTCGGCGGGTTCCGAGTAATGTGTGGTGCTCCACACTTTGGAATGCATTGTTTGATCTATGTGGGCAATTGGGAGAGCGTCTTGCGAGATGGTCCTAGGTCTCGACTAAATTTTCATGTAAAATCAGCATGAGCGAAATGGAAGCATTGCAAAGGAAAGACGTTAGAGGATCGAAGCAGACATAAAAAGAAAAATATAGATACCACCGTGCAAGTAAGAACTGTGTGTAATGTATGTGTTATCGAATCGAGCCGCTCCTGTTTAATTTGTTCTGTTCTGAATGCTCAGTTCCGGCAGCTATTTCCAACCACGCGAATAATCTGCTGGTCTGAGAGGCTGTGTTCGCTGGCAAGTGAACATGTCCGTCTAGGCTGATCGACTGATGTCTGTGGCGTCCAGGACGCTGGAATGGGTTGCAGGACTTGTATCAATTGCTGGGTCGGTTCTTCGCAGATCACGAGGCTGTGCAAACAATCGTGCTCCAACTAGGTCATGGCGCATGGAAGAAAAGTGTAGATTCGAAGTGTAGAGAAGAAGAAATGCGGAGCTTGGCTGGAAGCGAAGTTGCTGCAGCTCGCCGCTCGCCTTCACCGAATTCAACGTCATCGACCAGGGTCCTGGTGTTCCTGCATAGCCTCAGTGCAACTCGACTTTCTTTAAGCCGCTGGAACATGTCGTGCTGACACTGTACTGGACCGCTGTACTACAGTATAGCATGGACCTTCTCCGCCAGATCGTGGCCAGTCCGCGTGCGCGACACGACGAAGCCGGGCTGGATCTGTGCTATGTCACCGACAACATCATTGCAACTTCCGGGCCCTCGGGCACATATCCGCAACTCGCATACCGCAACCCACTCAAGGACCTTGTGAAGTTCTTGGACTCCAAGCACAAGGAGAACTGGTCGATTTGGGAGTTCCGTGCAGAGGGCACTGGCTATCCCGATGAAGAGGTCTATGGCAGAATCCGGCATTACCCATGGCCCGATCACCATCCGCCGCCCTTTGCGCTCGTGCCGCTGATTATGGGGAGCATGAAGCAGTGGCTCAAAGACAAAGAGAAGGAGGGCAGAGTTGCTGTTGTGCATTGCAAGGCTGGAAAGGGTCGCAGTGGTACCATCTCCTGCTCGTACCTGATCAGTGAGGAGGGATGGGCTCGAGAAGATGCAATGAAGAGGTTTACAGATCGACGGATGCGCCCTGGCTTCGGAAATGGAATCAGTATACCCAGTCAGATCAGGACTCTCATGTATGTGGAGCGATGGACGAACAGCGGGAAGAAGCCATACGTCGACCGACCGACTGAGATCGTGGAGCTGCACGTTTGGGGTTTGAGGGATGGCGTCAAAATTGGCATCGAGGGATACGTGGACGAAGGCAAGATTATCAAGTGCTTTCACACCTTCCACAAGGATGAGCGGAAGACAATACGTGGGGAAATCAGAAAGGATACCGGATTCGCAGACGTCGCTATGGAACTCATGGGCAAGAAGAAGGCCGAAACTGCTGCAGACGCTGGCAAACAAGTAAAACAAGCAGAGAAGGCCGAGGAAGTCGTTGAGAGAAAACCTGATGACGACGATCGAAGCGGTGGAGATGTGGTCTTCGTTCCAAAGGAGAGGATCGTCCTGCCTAGCTCCGATGTCAACGTGGACTTCGAAAGACGAAACAAGAGCAAGTATGGTGGATTTACAATGGTCACGTCTGTGGCTCACGTCTGGTTCAACACCTTCTTTGAAGGCAACGGGCCTGAGCAAGATGGCAAGCCTGATGACAGTGGTGTGTTCACCATTGACTTCGACGCCATGGACGGTATCAAAGGTTCCTCACGAAAGGGGACGAAGTGCTTTGACAAAATCCAAGTTGTGTGGAAGGCAGTCGACCTGGAGAATAAACCTGCTGTGACAGTGACAGAGCCATCCGGATCAACGGAAAGCATTCCTCAAGCCCGGCCCGCTGACTGGAAGGGCGGAAATGATAAACACTCAAATGACATTGAGAAGAAGCTAGGCTTGCGAGAAGCAGACTCGGCAAGTGCAGACATCAGCCGCGCTAGCAGTATGAAGACGGATCCAAACAGCGACAAGGATGATGTCAAGGACGAGCGCGAGACAGTTCAAAGTGTTGGTCCTGATGGCAAAGCCTTGCACGAGACTACTGCAGCCGATGTCAGTCAGAGTAAAGATGTTTCGAAGAACCCAAGCACCGCTTCAGCTCATAGCAGCGCGAACAACATTCCTGCAACCTCTTCAACAAACACAAGAAGTGCACCCACCCAAGACAGCGTCCGAAATGAAATCACCTCGTCTGCTACAACGGATGGCACATCCGATAAAAAGCCTCTGTGGGTCGACCAACGACCTCAGGGCAACGAGACAGGCCAGAGTAGCTCCCCAACAGTAGCCTCAGGCGAGCAAACGCACGTCTCCACCGCAGACCTGCCTGGCGGGGTGCCTGAAGAACAACTCGGCAAGCATCATGAACATGGCCCTGGGCATTTATCTCTGAACAGAAACACCAAACCCAGCAGCTCATGAGTGGGACTAAGGGGACTAAGTGTCTGTACATATAGCAGCATTACATTACTGGATGACAATTTTGTTTTTAGCGCGGCGTTGAGGGAAGGAGTGCTTGATGGGTGACGAGGAGGAAGACATGAAGTGATGATACCAGTCAGCATGTGAGTGTGAGTTTCATGATAGAGCAGAAAATAGAAACAGATTCAGCAGAGAAACAGAAGTCAAGATCCTTGGGTGCCAATGTTCTCCTCCGGACATCCAAGAACGTGAATTGAAAAATGATCTGTCAGTTCAAAAGGTAAGATGCGTCCGTTTGTCTATCCACTGTCTGCATGTGTTATTGTAATTGTTGTTGCTTCCATCGTCATCAAAAAGAGGACCACAATCCCTAAGTCGCGAAAGTTACATCGCTAGCAAATGCTACAGCGACCTCACTTCCTCCGCTGCCAGGAGTGCGAACCCTCTCATCTCGTCATCTGCCCAGGAGAAGATGTACCCACCGCGATCGTCATTCCCATCATCTCCCAGACAGAAAGCGAAAACAACAACAACCACCTGAAAAGACAAAAAACTCCTCACCCTCCTTGCCGCCGCCCGCCGAAAAATCAAAACCCATCAGACAACAACACGCAAAGTGGTATATCCTCGCAATTTCTCCTTCATGCCAATCATAGCGACGACGACGACAGCAGCAGCAGCACAGACAAAGATTCCCGACCCGACTTTCATATTTCTTCTTTCGCCTTATCATATCGCTCGCTTGCACAACATACTTTCAACAGCATTCCATATCAAGCATAGCTTTTTTCTTTTCTCCCGTATACGTCGCACATGGGTATTTGGTTGCAAAAACAGAAAAACAACAATATCAAAAAGTTAAAAAGCAGCAGAAAACGCCCCAAACAGCAAGTGTGGTAAGTAGTAGTTCGTGTATTGCTTTCTCAACAACAACTTTGCAAGAATTTCATCGCGGAGGCCCGATAGGGGCCGGGTATCCAGAAGGGGTGGTACTCGCGGTGGCGGTCTTTGTAGCACCAGCACTGGTCGACGCCGGGCGCGAGATCGGTGGTTGCGGAGCATCGGACAACGTTGAGGGACCCTTCCCGCTACTCAAGGCCGAGCCATCGGCTTGAGCATCGTACTTGGGTGTCACGTCGCCGTTACTGGCAGACTTGGTCTCGTGCGCACCGACGGCACTAGAGCTGGGCACCACTCCGAGGCCGGGTATCATGGGTGTGTTAAGTGAACTCGTTGAAGCGTTACCATTAACGCCAAAAGGAAACTTCGTCTCAAATGCACCAGAAAGTGAGTTCGAAGAGGTATTGGGGCGAGAGGAGCCGCCAATAGAGCCCCAGCTGTTAGCGTGGGCGTGTCCATTCTGTTGATCGTGATCGAGGTCGATGCCAGAATCGTTCCAAGGGTTGCGGTAGCCAGATTCGCGGGATTCCATGCTGACGAGTGAAGCCTTGGATGCATTTCCGGAGCCTTGGAGGAACATGGAGGCCGGAGAGTTGGACCCAGTCTTTCTCCGACGATCCATGAAAGAGGTGAAAGATGCCATGCTGCTTGGCTTCCTGAGCTTGTCAAAAATGGAGCGCGACCCACCCTCTTCACCAAATGTGCTCCGGGTGGGGGAGTCCTGGACCGAGGGCTCAGCACGTTGCAGCAGCTTAGACTCGAAATATGGCATATTGTCTTCAAAAGAGTCCGACTTAGGTCGTGGGATCGCGCCCTTCACGGCCTTTTGATCAAGACCGCGACCAATGAGTGGGAGCAAGAGGAAGTCAATGGCATCCTTGAGTCCGCCGGCATTGTTGCGCGTGTAGTTGAGTACCAGGCGCTCGAAGAGGATCTCCTTGTCGCCCTCTTTGCCTTTCTTCGGCTCGTTGACAGAAACCTCTACTACGTATTGGTCCTTCAGCTTCTGCGCAGTATCGTTGCGGAACTCGTTCGAGCTCAGGAAGTCACGCAACTCCTTGGAAGACGGAAACTCGATCTCATGAGTCTCTGGCACCATGCCCTGCAAGAAAGGTTAGCCATTGTCAGTGCATACCTACAGGAACTGGATTCTTACCAAGAACTCATCAACAGCTTGTGGGACCTGCCACTCAGGACCACTGACTGTGATAATGTCGCTAGCAGCTTCAGTGCCTGGAAAGGTGATCTTGCAGTTCCACTTCTTCTCAAGCTCCTCAATCTCCTGCATCCGAGCGACAAGCTCGCGGTGATAGAGGCGGTCCACAGGAACCTGTTCAGACACAAACTCTGCATCAACCTTCTCCACCATATCCATGATCTCTTGCTTGACGAGTTCCAGATTGTCAGCATTGCGTGCAGGGGTTCTGCAGATGACATTGTCGACCTTGATATCGTCATCATCCTTGCCGATGCCTCCACGATCCATGGCATTCGAGAACTTGACGAAGACAGAATACTTCTTCATGATGCGCTGGATGTGCTGACCACCAATGCCAATGATGCGCTTGTGGTACTGGTCTGGAACATGGAATGAGATCGAAGCCGGCATCTCCAGCTCAACGAGGTCCAACCCATTCTTCGTCGCTTCGTACTGTGCTCCGCGGACGTCGATGTAGAAGTTGTACTCGTTGAAGCCATCGAAGACAATCTGAACATTGCTTTGGCTCATGATCTTGTTGATCTTACCATTCTTCTTGCCGCTGACGAACTCCTTGTGCTCGTTGGCAAGCTCTACTTTGACTCGCAGAGTCGATTGAGCCTTCTTGACAAATGGCAGGACATTGATAATGGACATGGCGGCCTTGACAGAGTCATCGCTGCCATTGATGTGGAAGTTGAGCTTCTCGAAGGTGATTTCGGCACCGCTGTTGATGCAGATATCCGGGAGCATGGATCGCACGTCCGAGGGCGTCGGCTGACGCTGGGAAGGATCCGGGTGTGTGACCCACCATGAAGCACTGTAGAACTGTCCAGCCAGGCCCATAATCTCGCGGACGGTGCGCTCCACATTCAAAATGTCCGTGGCCTGCACGCGAAGAAGACCGCTACTGCTCCCAAGCGGTGGCAGCAGAACGTAGGATCCGTTCGCTTCGATGATCTTCCTGATCTTGTCCAAACGCTCCAGGAGAATGCTGTCCACCTTGCTCGTTGTGATCTGTACGTCTTTCACGAAGGTCTTCGTGCCCTGCACCAAGTCATTCAGTCTCTTTTTAGCTTGCAAGATGTTGTCCATGCTATCGCCGGTGATGATGATATCGTCCCGGGTGCGAAGTGGGATGGAACCTGGCGGCGTGTAGCCGAACACTGCTGGGAACATCGGCGGGAAGTAGATCGCAGCGCCCGTAGCTGATTCGATCAGTTTGATGTTTCTCCTCTGCCGGCCTGAGATCAGGTTGTGAAGAGACAATTCCACCCGGAAGACGTCTACTAGACGCTGGAGCATCTGATCAATCATGATCAACAGCCTCGTCTTTGCATTCTCTGAGCTCTCGCTGTCGCCATATATTTGTATCCGCAGCCTGTTGTCCATGCTTTTCTCCATGTTGCCAGTAAAGCTGATCGAGTCCGAGTCCTTGCGCTTTGACTTGGACTCGAGGAGGAAAATGTCTGCTTTCGTCTGATCGGCAATCTGGTCCATGTGCTCCAGGATATCTGCTCGGGCTCCTTCCTGTCCCTTAGGAAACACGATCTCGCGGTCAATATCGACAGTCTCACATCGCTATCTTCCTGTCAGCCACACCACTCGCCCGTGCAAAGTAGTTCCATACTCACCAGTGTGATGGGTGTCTCGTTCAAGATCTTCGCCCGCATCTTGTGCACGACCTCAGCCTCACCGGAAATGCACACATTCGTGACCAGAGCCGAGAGCGGACCCCGCTGCATACCTGGAATCGGCTTGGGTTTGGAGGACGTGACCGTGGCATGTAGTCGCTCGCCGCTCCCCTCGCTTATCTGCTTACACAAGCTGCGCAGAGTTTCCACGTTACGCGTGTGGACCGGCAGGGCGTGGTTGGGCACGTCTCCCGCCGCACCGTCCGGATGTGTCCATCTCTGAAAAGCACCTGTACTGCTGTATAGGACGTCGTCCTTGTCGGGCCCCGGCAGGTTCGCGTTGAAAGGCACGTTGAAGGAGAGGCTCACGAGGTGGCCCGGCATTCCAGGACCTGGGCTCGCGGACATACCGGGCATCGTCCGCTTGCCCATGTTCAGCATGTGTTCCTGCGAGACATGTTGATGCTGCTGTTGCGGGTGCTGAGGCTGCCCTCTCGTGAAGCCCATCCCAGGAAAGCCGCTGCGAGCATGGCCGGTGCTCACGAAGTTGGAGATCTTATGCATGTTCTACGTGCATACACCGCGTCGAGCGGCGGGCGGAGGAACGAATGTCGGTCGGAGAGGCTGGTCGAAACAGGCGCAGGTACACAATATAAGCCCCGGGGGTACGCGCTGAGGGAGGAACCGGCGAGGCAGAAGTGAAGGGAGGACTGGGGGCAGAAAAAGCACAACACGCAACGCTACTGCACCCGATCAAGAGCGAGCAGACATTGCAAAGGGGTATCGGGAGAATGGGCGGTGTGGTGTGGTGGTCGTGGGGTGGTGTTGTGAAAGCTCGAAGTCTGAGACTGAGATGGAAGTCCGGGCACGGTAATCCACACGTGATTGAGGCGTGAAGCCGCGACCCAAGCAATTATCTAGAGCCAAATCCTTGCACTGTGCATGCGCCCCGTAGATGAAGAGACAGGGCGAACAACATTGGCATGCATTGTCAGTTTGGCTAAGCAATCACACAACCGTGGGAGCACGAGCGGAATCGTTGTCGAGTCCAGCTCGCAGCTGTTGGAACCTGTGGAGTAGTTGATCTCCAGCCAGCAATCCGCTCTCGTGCGCACTGTCCTGAAGAGGCCCAAGACCCAGTCTAGAACATGGTACAGACCATGATCCCAGTCACATGTTCATTACACGCTTCCTGACAAGAAACGTAGAAATCAAAGTCTAGATTGACCACGAGCTGCAGGCGATGCGGGCGCCAGCATGGCAACAGACATCATTATTTCTCTCTGCCAACCCACTGGCGGCAGATCGTACACGAATAGCCGAAGTCTATCGCATCGGAGTCGGCGCCGCCTCCAAGGCACATTAGCGAACATGTTCATCATCTGTGGAACCACGACCAGTGTGCAGTACCAAGACTGCTTCATTGCTGCGTGCCGAATTACAAAGTGATAGTACACGGCATCCGGAATTTCGCGGATTCGTGTCTGTGCCTGTTTACACATGCCCATTTGCTCGTACAATTCCCTCTCCAAACTTTATGCTGTGCAATATGCAATGCTTCGCTTTTTTGAACATGATCTCAATACAATGTCCCCCAGTATGCAAACATCAATAGACTGCCAAGAAGCGTGCGGTCTTGCAATTGTCTCCAATCACCCATCCTATACCCTCCTATTGGTATCTGTACTCCGGCGGCGCGGGCGGTCTAGGATCCGTCTGATAGACAATCTCTCGGCCATACTGATCAACGTATCTTACAGGTTGCGGTGCTTGCGCGTACGCACGGGGCTGTTCGTACCCAGGCATGACACTCATCGCTCGTGCTGGTGGGGCAGGCGGTGCGTCGGGCCTGGCGAATTGCTGTGGAGCAACACTGGCCTGGCGAGCATATTGCTGTGGTGCCACGCTGGCGTGACGGGCATATTGCGGCGCAGCGGGTGCTTCTGGTCGTACACTGTAACTCCTTGTCGATGGATACCCTGGCGATGTCGGCTCAGCATACACAGGTGAAGTCTGCTCACGCGCAGGACGAGGTGGCGGAGGCGCCATATCATATCGAGGTTGCGGCGGCTGCTGATATACAGGGGAAGTGGGCGCCTCCATGTACCGCACTTCTGGTCTGTGGTACTGGGGCGCAGGCACAGGATACCCATTAGCATCCACGTACTGCACAGCCGGCTCTTCCGCAGCTCGTCGCTTTGGTGGAGGTGCCATGCTTGCGTCGACTCTTTCATAGGCAGGCTGAGCATAAGATGCCGCAGCACGACTTGGCGCTCGTTCGTAGCCAATGTCCGTAGGCACCGGTCGCCTGTCTGTTGGAGCCACTGACGCTCTGTACGCCGGTGGCGGTGGTGCTGGCGCTGGCTCCGCCTCGGCTGCGTAGTACTGGTTGCCATATTGGTCAACCACAATCCTCGTTGGCGGCGGAGCTGGAATGACCGCCGGGCTTTGAGGGCGCACATTGTAGGGGTCGTGGTAATCTGCACGAGGTGCATCATGGTATCGGACCTCAACAGGTGCTTGGGGCATCCGCGGGTCGCCATAGTTCATGGAAACGGTACGCTGCGGTGCTGGTGAATATGCTCTCTGTGTTGGGGATGGCGGTCGTTGTGCATAATGAATGCTAGCGACCCTTCGAAGATCCTGATTGTCCCTCTGTACTGGTCGGAGCGCAGCAGGAGATGCTACTCTCACGACTGCAGGCGACGCCGGTTGGGCATACTCGTACCGCAGACCTGATGATCGAGGGTCAGGCACATATGATGAAGGCGGGAGCGGTATGTGCCGTGGAGACACGAGATCGACTTCAGCGGGTCTATAATGTGCCGGTCGTTGTGCATACTGGCCATATGGCTGCACGTCTGGGACACTGGCAAATGGCGGCGGAGACACAGGCTCGTCCTTGATGCGAGTCTCTCGATATGCAGGAGACTGGGGCGCAGCGTTTCTATCACGCTTCTTCTTGGCACGCCCGCCAGTGGGCTGGTTCTGCTCCAAGTCTCGCTTCCGCTTCTTGTTCCGGCGTTTTTTATTGTTCACACCGACACCGTTCTGCGGCGAAACAGTACTTGCGCGCGAGACGTTGGGGTTGTGGCGATTATTGGCCTTGTGATTGACGACCTCGGGGCGGCCATTGACCAGTTCCAATTCACCTCCAAGGTTGGGTCCTTTGGCCACGGCCAGCGGGGAGACTCTATTAGGCTGCGGGGCGGCGATGTGAGTGAGATGGTTACGAATGACCTTGGGAGAGTATTGCTGTACCTGTCGTGACGGTTGGGGTGGCGTTGGCACATTGTTGTCCACGGTGACTTCTCCCGGCTCATAGTCGTCGTCATCATCTGATCCAATTTGGCCTTCTTCCATTCCTCCGTCTTCGTCTAGACCGGCAAAGGCAGGGACATCAGGTGGTGTATACTCTTCATCTTCATCATCGTCCACTATCTCGTATGCAGTCCTCAGCTGGGCAGAATACGCATTGATGGTGGTTGGGTCATCACGAGCGCCAGCAGGTTGCTTACCCGAGACAGAAGTCTGAGCATAAGAAGACTGCGCATGAGGTCCTTCGAGGCTCTCGAGGTCTGCTGGGAGGGCACCTGCTGCGCGGTCAGAACCTTTACTTGCGCTTTGAGGCGAGGACCAGTCACTTTCGACCTGGCTCGAGTAGTAGTCGTTCGTGTCAAACGAGCTCGCCTCGCTGCCCACCCTGCCAGAATATTTCAATCCGGACACGTGAGGCTCACGAGCAGCGGCAGCGGCAAGTATGGAGCCCATGTCAAGCGATGGCGCTTCCGCGCCTTCGTCTCGACCTGGTCTCTTGCCCTGCGCAACCTGTGCTTGCAAATCACGCTCGATGTGCTGCCGTTTATGCTGATTTTCAGCTTTTATCAAAACCGCCGACTTCTCCAAGAAGATGGGATCTAGGCCGCTGGAGGTGGCTTTGGTGAGCGATGGCGGCGCGCCATTTACGAAGGGCGTATGCGATGCGTGCAGTCCGGGCAAACCGGGCAGAGAAGGTGCTGCAGGCGTCGAGTATTGCTGTGTGTTAGTGGTCGATGCATTCGCACTGTATGCTATGCCATTGGCAAGACTGCTCTCTGCTGCTATGTGCTGTGCGCCGGGAGCTGGCGCGTGCAGCGACGCGAGGCTGGCTTTGATCTGCTCAACGGCAGCCGGCGGGAGCTTGAAGTGCGCATGCTTGCCTGATACCACAGTGCCAGCAAGGCCGAGCAGCTTGTTGTAGAATGCTTCCTCTTCAGCAGGCGATGGTACAGTGCTGTTCATGCCCTGCGCGACAGCGTCCAACGCCATTTCGCGCTCCACCGCTGCTGCTCCTCGGACGCTCGGGTCTACAAAGGCAACGAAACATCGACTGTGCTGGGATGGTCATCAGAAATCTGTCGCGCGTGGAACGGTAAGGCGACACCCAGCGCGACCGCTGATGTGGTGTCTGGTGTTGTGTCGGGGAAGACGCAAAATACAAAGGAGAAGCGCGATCGAGTGTCCGAGAAAGGCGGTGGCCCGTGCCGGACGACGCTTGCTTCACCAACGAATCATCTGAGGCACGCGCTACCGAGCCATATGTATGTGACTACATACGACACCTTCCACAAAATCTCGCCTTTTTTCTCTTTGGAACAGATCGATACTGACTTTGAAAAAACGCATTCTTTTCCGCAGTGGCCTCATCACTGTATTCGCAGAGCACAATGACTTCCAACGGCATACCAAACGGTGCCACGCAAGATGACTCGCGGGCCGTCTTCTTTTTCGACATAGACAATTGCCTCTATCCAAAATCCTATAAGATTCACGAACACATGTCAGTGCTCATCGATAGCTATTTCCAAACGCACTTGAGTCTATCTCCGGAAGACGCCACCATGCTGCATCAACGATACTACAAAGACTACGGCCTAGCCATCGAGGGTCTTGTACGCCACCACAAAGTAGACCCTCTCGAGTACAACGCGAAAGTCGACGACGCTCTCCCTCTAGACGACATCATCAAGCTCGATCCACATCTCCGAAAACTCCTACAAGACATCGACCGTACCAAGGTGAAGCCCTGGCTCTTCACAAACGCATATATTAATCACGGGAAGAAAGTCGTCAGGCTTCTCGGCATCGAAGATCAATTCGAAGGCATCACATACTGCGACTACGGAGCGGAGAAGTTGCTCTGTAAACCGGATCCCGCCATGTTCGACAAGGCTATGCGGGAAGCAGGCGTGAGAGATCCAACCAAGTGTTACTATGTCGACGACTCAGCAATCAACTGTGTGGGCGGAAAGAAATACGGACTGAAGACAGTGCATCTAGTAGAAGAGGGCACGAAATCGCCTCCGGAGCCGGCTTGCGATCATCAAATTAAGAACTTGGAGGAACTGAGGGGCTTGTTTCCGGAAGTTTTCAACCCAAGCTCATGATTACAGCGATCAGCAAATGGAAGAAATGTGTGTTACGATATCACAAAGCAACGAAGGATGTACACGACGTGGTCGTGGAATTTGAGAATGGGCGAAAAATGTGACTCACGACGAGACGGGCGTGCTCTGGCAACATCAACGCTAGCAGTCACACGGCCAGCGCCCCCCAGGCGCGGAGATGCGCAGCAATGCAGCAAACCAGCCTCGCTCGTCGTGAGTCGCAGGTATCCACCGTTGTTGCTTGGAGTTTCACCTACAGCGACCAAATTTAGCGTGGCGTTGATGAGAAGGCTGATTTGTAGAGTCTAGACATCTGTATATACACAATACATGAGTAGAGCCAATCCTCTCTGGCCTAGAAGCAGTCATACATGTAACTTCGTAAATATGCTGGCTCGCGGAACGTGTTTACAATCAAGAACAACTCTTGATCTCCTCCTTCGCCTTGGACTCGTCATCGTGCTTCTTTTTGTCCTTCTCGAGAGACTGGCCATATTCTTTCCACAACTTCTTCACACTGTGCCCATCACAGCACTCCTTGAACAGATCATCATCGTATTTCCCTTTCCTCAAGCAGCCATTGATCTTCCTGACAGTGCCAGGTCCAAACTTGTGCTCCAGCCAATCCAGAAAGTATCCAGTATGCTGATAGCCGCCATCCCAGTCGCCACTAGCTTCACGCTTCCAATGCTTGGCTGCAAGCCCAGCTCGCAGACGTACCCAGTCAGCAATGCCTTCGATCAATCCACCGTTGCACGTTCCCTCCGCGTTCCATTGAAAGCAATGCACCAGTTCGTGGCAGATAACGCCCAGCAACTCGTGTCTCTGATCCGGTCGGGTTCGATTGATGTAGTTCAAATTGAAGTGGATCTCTTTGTGATCATCATCAAGATCAATGCCAGTGGTGTAAGCAACACCATCCATTTCCCGGAGAATCAAAGTTACGCTTCGTGTGCCTGGTCGATGAGCAGAAGGAACGTCGTACAGCAGATTGAGCACATTTTGAACCTGAGTCTCAAAGTCCTCGGAGGCTTTGATGTTTGATAGGAAGATTGCTGAGCCTTCGTGGTTCACATCATGAAGCTGTAATCGCAGCTTCGGACAGTCGAATTTGTGTTTACGGATGGGAAGTGTCGAAGGCTCGGGAGATGTAGCATTCTCCAGCCTTGGAATCGTAGGCATGCTTGAGTGGTCTTGTGAAGTGCAATAAGGCGGCGAAGATACTCAGATCTTGTCTACGAGCAGATTGGTCGGTGAGTATCTTGATGCGCGACCCTGTGGCTTGATGGCCTTCTTATGCTTCCTCGGCCTGGCGGAGTAGCTACTCGGGATCTGAATCCGACAACAGAGGACAGTGAGTCACTGTATCTCGATGCTGCTCAGATATGTGATGCGTTCAAATGGAAGTGAATGTGTGGTTTCACACTCCGCATCCCTCGCATGGCTTGGTCCAAGACGCCTCTTGGCCTCATCATGCAGGGATGTCTGGCGATTCGCGGAGACCACAAACTTTAACATCAGCGCTATTCGGCAACTTGACGAAATCGTGCAGGAACGACGGCAGTGTGGTGAGCAGGAGCATTCACAAACACATGCACGAACAGCAGGAACGATAGATATGCAAAATACACCGAGTTCATAACTGCATCTGTAACTGACCCGCTGCTGTGCGTCGGAGACAAGACCCGTAAAACCCACGCACGGTTGCCTATGCGACAGTGCGGATCTACGAGAAGTCGCGCGTGTTTGTCGGCGACTCCATCGATAGCTCCCTGCCAGCACACACTACCCACTGATCAGTCACAACAACTCGATCACGGCCTGCACCGCTCACGACGCGCTCGCCATGGATCAGCAAGCAGCGACTCTGTTGAGTACGCTCAAGCGACCCTCGGCGCAGACCGACGTCAAGATCAACCAGCTCAACGCGCTCAAATCCGACATCAAGCACTATCGAGTGCCCGAGAACGCCCAATCCACCATTTTCGACTGCATCAAACTCGCTATTTCACAACAGGCATCCTCGACGCTGCTCAACACTGCATTATCGACCCTTGGACACTTGGTAAAGCGACTCAAAATCCAGGACAACAGCGGCCATGCCATCTCACAACTTGCGCCGAGGCTCCTCCCGGCCCTTCAGGAAAGGCTGGGTGATTTGCGCGAACCAGTGCGCGCGGCTGCGTCGCAAGCAATGGGCGACTTGTACCCCTTTTGCACGAGCGACATCGAAGAGATCATTCGGGATGAGGCCATTGGAGGGTCCAGCGTGCGCGCAAAGGAGACGGGAATGAGGTGGGTGGCTCGGATGCACAAAGACGAAGGCATGCCTTTCAAGTCCTACACACAGAGCATTGTGGCGAGGTTGGAAGACGCGGACGGGACAGTGCGAGAAGCCGCCAAAGCTGTTGTATTGGAATTATTCAGCGACGCGCCGAATGGTGCCAAGCTCGACCTGAAAAAGCAACTGAAAGCATATTCGGTGCGGCATGCTATTGCGACCCAAATTCTGGCCGGTATTGGCGCGGAGGGAACTGCGTCACGGCCACAGACATCGAGCAATCCAGCGCGAACTGCGACACCAGACATGGCTGCCTCGACGCGATCGTTGCCAGCGCACAAGGACCTAGACGAAATCCTGAAGAGCGAGGCTGCGCAGCCGCCACCGCAAGAGACCGTTCCGATGGATCCCATATATCTGCACTCTCAAAGAGAACTCGAAGATATCTTCAACGATATGCTGCCGCACATGGAAGGAAAGGAGACCGAGCACAACTGGGTGCCTCGAGACAAAGCTGTCTTGAAATTGAGGCGAATATTGAAGGGCAATGCGCCGAATGAGTATCATCATGCATTCATGGCTGGAATCAAGAGCGTGATAGAAGGTATTCTGAAGATCGCAAACTCCCTGCGCACAACCATGGCCTCAAACGGCTGTCAATTGATACAAGAGCTTGCGAAGACACTCGGCCCTGCCATGGATCCTCATGTTGAGATTCTGCTTCAGTCGTTCATCAAGATGAGCGCTGCCACAAAACACATTCAAGCGGAGAACGGCAGGATAACAGCAGGTGAGATCTTCCAGAACTGCACATACCACAACCAGATGATGCGACACATCTGGCTGGCTGCGCAGGACAAAAACGCACAAGTAAGGCAATATTCAACAGGCTGGCTCTCGATCATCCTGAAGCGACAAGCGAGCTACAAGAGCAGCTTCGACAGCTCTGGTGGTCTCGAGCTAGCGGAGAAGTGCATCAAGAAAGGGCTGGACGACTCAAACCCCAAATTCAAGGAAAGCACACGAGCCACATACTGGACTTTCGCGAAGACATGGCCAGCTAAGGCAGAGAAGATCATGGGCGCATTAGACCCGAAGGCCAAGGCCGCTCTTGAGAAAGATCCTAACAATCCTAATGCATACTTGCACCAGTCCGTGGCGGCGGCTTCAACATCATCGAGACCTGGAGGCACGGCAAGCAGAACTACCTTGCGTGAACACATGGAGGCGCAGAGGAAAGCAAAGAGTGGTGGCAAGCTGCCGTCACGGCCAAACTCGGCCATGGCTGATCTGTCGCCTGTGAAAAGCCGAGCAACCCCAAATGGCTCGGTTCGTGGACCTTCAAAAATGTCACAGGTCACGAACAGGCAAGTGTCTGGTCAATCAAATGCTTCGACAACAGAAGCGTCCGGTTCCGCAGCAGCTGCGAAGAAGGGTAGTTCCCTCATGTCTGGTCCTGTGCGGCGGCCACGAAGACCGGAGATTGCACGCCCACAAACAGCCGACCCATATGCATCAAGACGCATGCTACGACCAACGACACCAGCAACCGACAGCGATGCTGGAAGCCCAGATAAGAATACTGGCGCGTCAAAGGCATCTGCTGCAGCTTCTGGCACTGCTAGGAACACTGGCAAAACAGCAGGAGTTGCTAACGGCAGCCCTCGAGCGAGCCCATTCCGATACAGTCCCGCTCTGTCAAGGAAGCAGTCACAGCCCGGACTTGACTCAAGACCTAGCAGCAAAGGCAGTGAGACCGCCCGTAGCTTCCGGGAGGACGACCGTCCGACGGGCATGCCGAGAGGCATCACTGATAGAGGGCAATTCTCCCCAGGCCACAAGCGTCCTGGGCTCGGCGAGACTAGGTCCGTGGACAGTGGCATCCCATACTTGGCAGAAGAAGAGAACTTCACTATGGTCATGCCAAGTCTACCAAATCAGCCGCGAGCACCTTCGCCTTTGGCATACAGGAGTCCTATCAGGGCCATGTTTGAGGAAGCGCGCAATGTGGGCAAGCTCTCTCCCGAGGCACAGCGAACCATTAGTGGCTCAGGAGGGCCAATGGACGACGTGGACAGTGTTCATCAAGGCGGACCTGTTCGAGGAGCTGATGAGGTGCAAATATATGAGGACCCATTCGTTGAGAGCACGACACAAGCCGGCGCGCAGGATGACCGAAAGGTTCTAGGCGAACTTCCGTTGAACGAGAATGTCAGAGAGACGAGCCCTACACAAAGCGTTGGCTCGAGTAATGGTCCTAACAGCCCACCTCAAACCAATGGCGTACGACCCCCACCACTCAGTTCGACACCTCAGGATCGGGCAGAGGTAGTCAGAAACCGGCGACTACTAAGTTCTGGTATTGAGCGCATCAGGACCAAGGCACTGGATGCACACGGCTTCCGTCGCGTACAAGATCTCGTCAAATACAAGGGCGACATCTGGGACGGCGGCAAGAAATACGATGAGCTCATGACGGTCCTGCTCGAGTATCTACAAACCATGGACCAAGATTCCAAATTGGCACCACAGCCTTCAAAACTCGCCGGACTAAAAGCGCAAGCACTGAGCGTGCTCCGAGCTCTCGTTGCACTGCACCCCAAAGACGCGACAGCCTGGCACGCCAAAGCACTCGTCACAGTCCTTGCAGTGCGCAGCGCAGTAGACGCAAACAGCCACGTCACATCAGACATCCAACGTACCGCCGATGAAATCATCAAAGATGCCAACTACGAAAACTGCATCGATGCCGTTCTCGACTTCCTTCCTGAAAGCAGCGAAGAATCTCCTCGAATGATCGCCATGGCACTTTCGATTCTCCGCCAACTCGTCACAAAATCGAAGTCTGACAGGGATGCCGATCTAGGCCCAGAACGCAAGTCCCGACTCGCACAGACTACAGCTCGATTTTTGAATGACGCAGATTCGGAAGTGAGGAAAGTCGATGTCGATCTCGCGAGTGAGTTGTTCGATGTCTTTGAGCCGAGTAAGGCGAACTTCTGGCAGGAATTCAAGGGTGTTGATGAGGGTCGTTTGGGCTTGTTGACTTATTATATTGCAAAGAAGGGGAATAGGTTGGCTGGGATTGCGACGCAGTAGGGTTTGAGCTTCGCTGGAGAAGAGAGCGGATAGGGGAGGAAGTGAAGGGACGGATGAGCACTTGATCTCGTATTCTCTTTTGTCCCCTTTGCAGGCACACGTTGTCGTAATACCACTAAGTACAAGCGCAGGCGTTGGGTTCTAGGGATTGCATTGAAATGCTGGGTTGGAAGGGATGGAAAAGATGGGGAGTCTTTTTGGTTTGGAAAGGGTTGGTTGCAATGGGGGAAAAAGCGACCAAAGAGTTCTACCACTACTACTACCACTACTTCCAGCTTCTTTCTAGAATTCCCTCTTACGGTATAGCATTTTTTGGTGTACAAGGGCTGTTTCGGGGCCATGTGTGCTTCACACCTCACTTTTCCTGTCTGTTGTGTTCTATGGGCCCAATGTCGGAGATTCTATCAACGAGCGCAAGACAGTGAATTTTTGTGAGCGGATTTTCTCGTAACTCCGCATAGTCTATAGAATTGCCCGAAGAAGGCAATGAAAAGCTGCACTGGTTGCTGCAGGGGCGGATCAAGCGTTTGTCGATCTTGGTCTCATTCCAGAAGGAGTATAGGTACGAGAAAGGGGGCGAGCACGGTGAAGTTGGAGATGTGGGGTCAACGGCTTGGTCGTGGCGTCACAAATGTGATTGCATCTGCTCTTGTTGCTCCTTGGAAACATAGGTCTATTCGCGAGATCGACGAGCGATTCTCACACTGAGCGTTGTTATCAGTTGGCCGGACATTGGTTGCGTGGAGTGACTCCTGAATTTTTCTTTGGCGATGCGATCGATGTGTGGTGTACGTGCTGTACCTGACAGATAGGAAACGGACGAATCAGAAGTCGAATGTGCCTTGGAGTTGTGCTGGTGCAGGATGTGTTTGTTCATATGACCTTTGCCATCCTGCAGCATATGCAACGGAAGCCACTCCGGATGTAGTTCTGGTGCCCTAGCGGCATGGTGTAGATGAGCATCGACAGGCTGTAAGGCTGCGACGCTACACGTTCCAACGTGTTCGGCGTTTTTTGGCTCAACGCCACTGAGAACGCTCCTCTGTCCGTTGCTTCCTTTGGGCAGTGTCAGCGTTGTCAGCGTTCGACGAGAGACAACAGGTGTGGGAGAATGTATCTGTGTACACTCCTAATCTGGCGAGGGTGAAGTCTGGCCAAGCTCTGATCTTTGTTATGATTCGCCAATCCGAGGTTCTCGATAGCGGCTATGAGGCGCATTAGGTTGATGCGGGCTGCCAGCTGGCGAGAGCGCGAAAAGCGGTCCGCTTGCGCACGATAATTCGCCGACCGAACCACAAAGTGTTCTCGCAACGTGTGGACATTTGGAGATGACGATGTCTGCTGTTGCGCAGCACGAAGAGGGTGTGGTGATCTGCTGACGCTTCCATACCAGAGGCTGTAAGACAGTTTTGCAGCAATTCAGCGGTGAGGCTGGCCCGATGTTGGGTCATCATCCTGGACCTGCCTTGGCCCCTATTCTTGTCTCCTCCATGCTGCATTGCTGCTTCGATGAGGCGCGTCACGTCCGGTACAGCGTACAATTCTGGCAGATGCAGGTGGGCCAGCACCAATTTGCGTGTCGCGCTCAGGGTCTCGCGTGTGCTCGTGTGCTCGAGCTCGGCTTTCACGACAAAGTTGCCTTAGCGAGAGGAAAAGCACCAACAGAGGCGCATGCGGGATAGCCGCGAAGGATTTGGCCTCGAATTCAGGGCGTTTGACAGGCTGCGCGAGAGAATCTGCGACAGCGCGCGTCCACTGGCAACAGGGGTCGTCGAATCTATTTGGGACGGCCAGTGATGGGCCAAACAGACCGCGTCCCAGCGGTCAGGCAGGATGAGGCAGCACACCAGGCAGATCTGCGTGGGTTTGCGGCACAATGCAAGTCTTCATCTCGATGAGAGGCTCGGCCGCCGTGCGTCCAAGTTTCACCTTGGGGCCCCCAGAGCTGAGACGCGCGCCCGGCCAGTAGGCTGATGGCGTGGTTTTCGTCGAGCCAAACACCGCAGCACAGCGAGTGCTCGCCATGAGACGACGTCGCAATGGGTGGCGCATAGCTTCCTGTCTGTCCCACGCGCGTCGCACGGCATACCCGTGCGCCGAGCTGGTGGTGGAGCGCAACGTACAGTACAGACGGCAAGCGGACGCTAGGAAGGCCAGCGGAAAGGCTGTTTCAAGATGCGTCTGTTGCGCGCCGGCCTGTGCAGAGGGAGAGAGCGCGGCGGGCAGGCGAGCCCTGGCCTGCGAGGTGCTTTGAAGTGTCAGCCGTCTCGCGTGTCCGCAATCCCACTGCCTGCCTGCCTGCCTGCGCTCTCTCGTGGCGCCCTGCTGCTGCTGCTGCTGCTGCTCGATCGCTGTGCCTAGCCGAGCCATTATCGCCGTGCTGCACCACCTCCGTCGACCCTCCGAGCGGCGTCGTCGATGTTGGGGAAGTCACTGTTGTAGCTGCGCCCAGCTAGCCCAAATCCGCAAGCGCCATTCGCTCACGCCGCCCGAGCGAGAGTTTGAGCGGTCGAGATCTGAGCTGGTCCCCCCTTCACTTCCAACCTTGGCGCAACTGGACCTCGCTGACTGGGGCGGGACTGGTCTTCTGCCGGCTCTTTGCTGCAACCACGCCTCGTCATCCTCACCACCGACACCTCCTGTCGGGACTCACGGCGGCGGTGCGCGACGGCGCGGCCACACTCGCTTGGACTTGGAGCTGCACTATTGGGAGGAGTATTGTCGCGAATGGTTCATGCTAGCCGGCGGGCAAGGAGACACATAGCAGCACGGGAGCTGCGTGAGAAGAGAAGAAGCAAGCAAGCAAGCAACACCGCAGCGGAAGAGCAGGGCCCACGAATTGGATCGCGATCACGAAGCACGACGAACGAACACATCAGGCTATCAGCGCCAGCGACATCCGAAGGCGTCGCCGCTCCGGCATTACATGAGCCATTGCCCGGGCTGAGCCCACGGCAGTGACAATGGCTACGATGGAGTCTCCTAGCACATACCCCGAATCACCTATGGAGCAGGAGGATGTGGTATACCCGTGCAAGGGCTGTGGAGAGGTATCATCACATCCAATTCCAAGTAGGTTGCGACATGGAAAGTCTAACTAACACGTCGCCGTAGATACTCGAAGAGGGCAAAGCATTTGAACTTGGTACGTGCGATCCTTCTCTGATTCTGCATGAGCGTGTGCGGCGCAGACAACATGATGGAGATATGGCTGCGGGATGGTATTCATGCTGACGATGATGACACAGCGGGCAACCGATGGCACATTGATTGCTTCCGATGTAATACATGTGGCACTCTTCTGGACTCGGACGCCAACTTGCTCCTCCTCGGCGATGGGAGCCTCATCTGCAACAACTGTACATACAGCTGCAGCGCATGCAACAACAAAATCGAGGACCTGGCAATTTTGACGGGCGACCAGGCCTTTTGCTCAGGATGTTTCCGATGTCGAAATTGCAAGAGGAAGATCGAGAATCTGCGATATGCTCGCACATCGCAGGGCATCTTCTGCATGAGCTGTCATGAGAGCCTCATGGCGCGACGGCGGAAAAAAGCGCGAACACCGAAACAGACCGCGGCGGGAGCGCAACCGGGGCACGATAAGGCATTGCCTTCGCTTCCTCCTGGAGTTGCTCCTCAGAGTGCCTTCACACCAGAAAGTGAGGCAGCGCCTGAGACGGACTCGGCCAACCAGACACCGCAATTGGAATCCGCGTCACAGAAGCACACGACTTCACGCACTCGCGGTGCATCTCATTCTAAGAATTACAATCGCGACGTGTCCCCGCTTACTGAAACGACACGGAAAGGTGAGTTGCACGGTATTATTGAGCAGGAACAATGGGAGCTAATTGCAAGCAGATGGGCCCACATTGCCAGCCAGTACATACGGTGAAGGGAGACCCTCCAACGTGTCGAGCTCGAACGACGATGACGATTCCGAAAGGGGCTTTCTCCCAATGGCTTTCGATCCCACGCCGGTACAAGCGCCCCCGCAATCGCAGATGTCAATGCCGCGAAACAGAACTTCGAGAGCACCCGAGGAATTATCACCACCAGCAGCGCAGAAGGAAAATCTGCCGCCCAGAGACTATTTTGGCGCAAACGGGCGGCTGTCGGCAAAGCCGTCCACGAAAGAGCATGCGCAAGATGGGCGCCCAGGCACTGCCAGTGCTTCGTCGAGATCAGTCTCCACTGAACGCGAGCCTGACCGGGATCGCTCGGCGAGCCATTCCAAGCCGAGTCCACACATTTTGTATCAAGACAAGGGCCGTAGCAGGAAGCGGGATACCTCTGGAGGCAATACGCCTGTAAATGGTGCTACGCCTGTGGTCACCTCACCACCAGAGCGGACTGTCAGCAAGCCGCAACCACATCCTCTGGCAACAGACCACAAAGCACTGAGCAATCAAGCTAGCCCCCAGGACCCTTTCCGACTCGGAGAAGTTCCGACCTCGAAACGAGCTGACTCGCGGAAGACCTCGCGCACAGGAGAATCAGATGCGGTATCGCCTATGGAAAGGTTAAGTCGGGATAGCGATTCCAACAAGCCCATTTCCCCAGTGTCCGTAGGCTCGCAGAACTCTGTCAACCCATTTGACGACCCCAGGCGCAAGGATGGTACTACACCAGGAGCTACGCCCGTCCCACCCCGACACGCCGACCGAGGTTTACCATTGCGAGGAGACTCTTTGAATACTGCACCTGCTATTACTATGCAGTCGGCAAGTGAGCAGCTAACTCCAAGCACCAATGCAGCTCACAAAAGGGACGTTTCAGCGTCATCAATGGGCACGTCTTTCGTCGACGCACAGAGCACCATATCTCGGGATACCAGCCGTTCGAGACCCGAACCACAGCAGCGGGTCAGCCTTGATCTCGCTCCGCCGCCGCGGTCTGCCACGCGACCGACTGCACCCAGCAAGTCCGTTGCTAATGATGACTTCATTGCACCTCGACACGCTCCCCCGCCGCCTCCACCAGCGGCAACGGAAAGGCACAGACAGAATGATTCGATCAGCACTCTACAGAGTGAAGATCGCGACGCCCAGCAGCTATCCCCTGGTCTGCGAAGTGCTGGTCTACCGAAGTACAGTCTCGACGGCGGCTTTAGTATGGACGACGAAATGGGACGAATACTTCGTGGAGAGGCTCCTCAAACATCGGGCAACAACGGATCGTCTTCTCCTTCGGTGTTGAGACGTGTGTCGAATGCTGTGAAGCATGGCAGAAGTTTCAGTGATCGCGCGCCCACGCAAGGAGGGCAATCGCCTAGGAATGGATCGCTCGCAAGCGCGACACCGAACATCACCTCGCCCACAAGTGCGGATGGCTTCGAGTCAGTCCGCGCGTCGCTTCGGCGTGCGCAGCAGCATATCGCTGAACTGGAGTCGGAGAAGCTGAAGCTGCAGGAGAAACTCGACAATAGCGGTGACCTCAAGGCGGCCAACAGCGAATTGCGAGAAAAGCGCTCCACGATGGCATTCCTCGACACGCAGCGCGAGATGATTGTACGGGAGCTTGAAACCATGACGGAGCATTTGGCCAAGGTCAAGGATACCAACCAGCCGCTGGACATCTCTGCGCTGAAGTCGAGCATTCTACGTGACTTTGCGGATTCATTACAAAAACTCAAAGACAATATGGGTGCTCAGATTGAAGATTTGATCCGCAAACGCAATGAGCTCACCGACGAGATTGGCAGCTTGATCCAGATGAAAGACAAGGGTTTCCAGGAGTACGAGTCATTGTCAACCAAGAACGCGCAACTGGCCTCTCACAACAACGAGCTCATTCGCAGCATACAGGGCATGTACCAGGACAATCGCGCGCCGAACGGCACACCTGGAGCCAACGGACTTGGAATATACAATGGCAATATGAAGGATGCGTCGTCCGCAGAAGTGCGAAACCTCAACCCGGTCGTCACAGACACTTCAATGCCAAACTTGCTGCAGGATCCAGATTCTGAACAAGCAACAATTCTCACGACGCCGCAAGTGGTGAACATTCGAAAGGGTGCTCAGCCGAAGAAGTTCAACTGGCGGCGAGGTGGTGAGAAGGTGGCCGGGAAGGTGAGCAAGGGCATCAAGGGTGCCTTTGTTGGCAATGAACAGCCACAAAAGGGCCAGTATACTATTGGCATGCCTTACAATTCAAGCCATAACGGACAAGCGATGCCTGGAAGCGATCACAGCAGCGTCAACAGCAAGCAGACCTTAACAGATGAGAAGAATCATGGCTTCTTCAAGAATGCCAATGGTAAAGCTGGCATGCACTTGAAGAACAGCAGCAACGTCAACTTGGCTGCTGCCGATGGATCTGGTAAGTGCATGGCGCATGCCGAGTTCGAGATATTTATGCTAACGTCTGCAGTCCTCTTCGGCTCCGAGCTCTCCTCCCGCTGTGAACACGAAGGTCGCGTCGTGCCCGGTATCGTCTTGACCTGTATCGCCGAAGTAGAGCTGCGCGGTATTGATGTCGAAGGCATCTACCGCAAATCAGGCGGCGCAGGCCAAGTGAAACAAGTCCAACAAGGCTTCGAAAAAGACCCCAGTTTCGACATCTCCGACGAAGACTTGGATATCCACGCCATCACCAGCGCACTGAAGCAATATTTCCGCAAACTGCCTACCCCACTCATCACTTACGACGTCTACGACGCCTTACTCGAAGCCGGCCAAATTCAGGATAAAGAGAAGCAGGCTTCTGCACTGCGCGCCGCAATCGATAGCCTTCCGGACGCGCATCGCGATTGTTTGGGCTTTTTGTTCCAGCATTTGGCGAAAGTCGTCACGTACGAGAGCAAGAATTTGATGACGCCGTTGAATCTCGCAGTCGTTTTTGCGCCGACGATTATGCGGCCGCTATCTATTGAGCGTGAGATGAGTGATATGCAGGTGCAGAGGGCAGCGGTGCAGGCATTGCTGGAGAATCATAGAGGGGTTTTTGGAGAGGAGTGATGGGAAGTGGTTTTTCTAGTTGGATGAGAGAAAGACAATGAAAGAAAGACAATGAAAGAAAGATGTGATCTTCTCTATGGTTTTTGAAATTTCTGCTTTTGCGTACTTGTCTACTACTTCTCTGGACATACTACTGCTTTTATCCTTTTCTGGGAAGTTGATTTTGAGCAAGCGGCCAGTGTCTTCTTTGAAGAGCAGGAGGAGAAGAGAGATTGGCAGGTTAGCCAGGGCTACAAGCCCGATTTGCGCCCGGAACATCCGACAAGGGGTGGGCAGAGAATCAGAGAGAGCAAGGAAGAGAAGCAGCGAATGTGATTGCTACGAGTAGGAAAGGAGAGCAGAGAGGAATTCTTGCACACAAGTCGCGAAACCAGAATGGAAAATTTGCGAATGAAGCGCAATTTTGCAATGTGGCTGAGAAATTGTTGAGTTCCGCTCGAGCTGGAAGGCGGTTTTGATTGAGAGCTCTTTGTTAGCGTGCGATGTGGTTCGAAGTTGATGCTGTTGTTATAGTGATGTTTCAGATATCCTCTTGTTTATTAGCTTTTGGTACGTTGCGAATGGAATGATGTGTGCGAAATGCTCAGATTCGATCTTTTTCTATGGCTGTCGTTGCTAGCGGGCGGGAAAGTGATGGATGACTGCGGTGGATACAGCGAGGTATAGTTGGAGGGACAAGTGCGTGAAATGAAATTGAAGTAAAGTGGTCGCCAGTACGAATTTAGCTTCAAATACGACGAATGTAGGAGGAAAATGCAAAGTTATGCGACGGCCGCATGTGATGCGTCTAACAATGCGCAGTGCAGAATGTACATGTAAGCAAATAGTAAAGAACTGCGAGACTCCGTGAGCAAAAAAAGAAAAGTCGTAAAGCCGGATTCGAACTCGCGACTTTGAAGGAATTGGCAAAAGAAGAAGACAGAGGGAAGGGCTGTGAACAGCCAGTGAAGAGTTCCATTTCTCTGAGTGAGCTACTTCCCTGGAAGTGGTACTAGTTTAACCATATAAAGGTCAACTGGCAGTTCACGGACTTAGAGAAATCCGCAACTTCCGGAGGCAGCGCAGGTTAAGCGGTGTTTGTGGTCCATGGGTGTGGCAAACTTTATATGCGCGCGAAGGTGGTACATGGTGAGGGTCTCTGGGGGTGTTTGAAGGGAGTAGGAGTGAGCGGGTAGGCGCATATGACACGATGGAGGTGTATGGTACTTAGGGAATGGGTTGGGCGTCGCATGGCCTGTGAGCTGTGGGTTTTCATGAAGAAATGCACCGCAACGCGCTCCAGTCTGGCTCCAGGTAGAGCATACTCGAGCTGTTCATACAATCATCATACGTGCCGTCTGAGAGCTATGCTGCGATCGAACCACTCAACCCACGCCAAGATCTCGCGGTCTGGAAGCAGATGGATGCGTCTTGCCGTGTTGCTTGCAACCGGGTAGCAGTGACAAGTCTGCAATGTAATCGGATAGGCACAGTCCCGTCTATCCAGAAGCTCTGATTATTGTAAACCGATCTGAAGTACATAGAATGTATCAAGCTGCTCGTGAAAAGAGAGGTGAAGTGAAGTGGGAACCGATGACGGACTGGAAAGCTCCCCCGAGCAAACAAACCCTGTCAAACTTTCGTGGTTGAGACGCCGACCCAGCTGTCCGAAGATTATTGTTTCCATCTCCATTGCACTCGACACACTCGACACGACATCTTCCACCTTCCGAATCCAGCATCTCGTCCCTCACTGCCATCATGTTCGCCGCACGCAAGGTCTCGCAGTCCGTCCTCGGCGCCGCCGTCCAGCGCCGGGCATTCTCCGCGACTGCTAGCAATGTGAGCTGCTCTCCATCGCATCCCTTCAACCGCGGCGCGACCAGCAGGCATTAAAAGCTAACCATAACGCGTGTCTCCAGGCATCCAAGGTCGTCGTCCTCGGAGCCGCTGGTGGTATCGGCCAGCCTCTGTCTCTCCTCTTGAAGCTCAACCCACGAGTGAGCGAACTCGGACTCTACGATGTGCGCATGGCACCAGGTGTTGCCGCCGATGTTGGACACATCAACACCAAGAGCACAGTATGCATGGGACAAGTCGATACAGAAGAAGTGCGAAAACTGATGATCAATCAAGGTCGTTGGCTACGAGGCCGGTGAGGCCGGTCTGGCTGCTGCCCTCAAGGGCGCCAACATTGTGGTTATCCCAGCTGGTGTGCCACGCAAGCCAGGCATGACCCGTGACGGTACATGGTCTCTAGCTCCAAATGCGCAGTGTGGCATTGACTGATGGAATGATTACAGATCTGTTCAACACCAACGCATCGATCGTCCGCGACCTGGCCAAGGCCGCCGCCAAAAACTGCCCTGACGCTCACATGCTCATCATCTCGAACCCTGTCAACAGCACCGTCCCAATCACCGCCGAGGTGTTCAAGAAGGCGGGCGTCTACAACCCAAAGAAGCTCTTCGGTGTGACCACCCTCGACGTTGTCCGTGCCTCGCGCTTCATCTCCCAGATCAAGAACAACGACCCAGCCAACGAGAACATCACCGTGGTTGGAGGTCACTCCGGCGAGACCATTGTCCCACTCCTCAGCCAAGCTGGCCACAACCTCGAGGGTGCCGAGCGTGATGAGTACGTCAAGCGTGTGCAGTTCGGTGGTGACGAGGTTGTCAAGGCTAAGGATGGTGCTGGCTCTGCCACCCTCTCCATGGCCATGGCTGGTGCCCGCTTCACCGAGTCCCTCCTCAAAGCCGCTCAAGGCGAGAAGGGCGTTGTCGAGCCAACCTACGTCGACTCACCGCTTTACAAGGACCAGGGCGTGAACTACTTCGCGTCTAAGGTCACTCTTGGACCTAACGGTGTTGAGGAGATCCACCCAGTTGGCAAGGTCACCGAGCACGAGCAGAAGCTCCTCGATGTGTGCTTGAAGGACCTCAAGAAGAACATTGAGAAGGGTGAGCAGTGGGTCAAGGAGAACCCTTAGATTCACGATTGTATGAATTGAGGAGGAAGGAGTAAACGAACGATCGAGCAGAGTCCGGTTGTGCGCTGGACGCTGTGACGGAGGCTGCTTCTGCAATGGGGGTTTTGTGGCATAGAGCTTCTGTAACCCAGCTGTAGATTACTGTATCCTGCAAAAGTCGCGTGTACCATTACTCAATGTCTAGTCACCTTTTATCATTGATTCACGTCTGAGCATGACCCAAGCGTACTACTCAGTTGACGCAGCAGCAAATTGCCAGCTCATTGACAAGCATCGTAGCTTCACGGAACTCGCCAACATGCCGTGCCTGCCAAGTATAATGCCCGTCGCCGATATGAGGCGAAAGTAAGACAACAAGCCGTATGCTCCGAGCCAGCTGCATAAAATATTAGAAGATCACTTGACCAGCAACACGACGGCCCTCATGCACTACTCTGCTGAGCCCTCTCCACATGCAGCATCCACCACACGAGCCACGGCATAATCGCACGTAACTCGGAGCGCGTCCCACAAGAGCTCGGTATACCAGGGGGGCCAGACTTGGTTCCGTGAGCGGATCCCATCTCTCGTGGGTTAGCCGTGGGGAAGGACGGGAATCCGAGTCAAGTTGGCGGTACTTCTAGGCGCTGCGTTGTCCTCTAGTGCTGGGCAGGAGACGAGCAGTTTCACTAGACGGGGCACTTCTCACTTGCGCAGTCACAACTACACAGACACATGTCGACCTGCAGCTGATATCACGCGGCTCACTTGTGAAAGACGATCAAAGACCGAGCGACCCCTGTCGCGCCGAAGACAGAATCCGCAGTGTCTGTTCTCTTTTGTGCCGAGGTCCAAGGAACGGGCTGCGTTGTGACGACAGCAGCCGGCAGCACCAACCACGAGACGGCCGCCCGGAGCTACGCAAAAGTGCAGCGCGCGCGACGAGAATTGCCAGCTTCGACCGCGGGAAACGACAGGGTGCTTCGGCTATCACAGCGCTGCGGAAATATTCTTAGTACGAGGCCACACAGAGTCTCGAGTTCCCTTCCTTTCTGCTCGTCCTCCCCTCGTTCCACTGTGCCATGTTCGCGGCGGTTGCCAGAAGGCGAGTCTTCAATTCTGCTGCTCCAGCGACGGCCATTTACCGAGGGACAACTACTCCAGGCCTGCAGGTGCGTGTGCTTCCGATACATATATGGGTACCTCTGCCGAAGTACTCCAGGTGTTTTGTTCTGAATGACGATTGTGAGACTCATTGCTTTGACAGAAATTCACCATGGCACAACAGCAGAAGCGAAAGCAGAGCAGTCTGCCAGCAGGTACGTCGGAGCATGCTATGTCGCGTGATGGGATAGAGAGCTGACGGTTACACTGGGGAAGGCTACAAAGAGGACCACAGCAAAGGTGCCATGCTCAGATTCGAGGAGTCGCTGCCACGGTTACCTGTGCCCACGCTCGAAGAGACGGCGAAGCGCTACCTGAAATCCGTCCACCCACTGCTCACACCAGCCGAATATGACAACACCAAAATGGCCGTGGAGGCATTCGTGAAGCCCGGCGCAGTCGGACATACACTACAGGACAGGCTAAAGGCCAGAGCTGCGGACCCTGGGACCAAGAACTGGTTGTCCGAGTGGTGGAACGAGGCGGCGTATTTGGGATACAGAGACCCCATTGTGCCATACGTTTCATACTTCTACAGTCACCGCGATGACAGGAAACGAAGGGACCCCGCGAAGCGTGCCGCAGCTATTGCATTCGCTACACTCGAGTTCAAGAAGCAGGTGGACACAAACGCACTGGAACCAGAATACATGAAGAAACTCCCCATGGCCATGAACTCGTACATCTGGATGTTCAACGCATGCAGGAGACCAGCGAAGCCATCCGACTACCCTGTCAAGTATGACGCCGAGCAGAACCAGCACATTCTCGTCATTCGCAAGAATGCTTTCTTCAAGGTGCCACACACCCACAATGGCCAGAACCTGAGCGCGAAGGAGCTGGAGTATCAGTTCAGACGCGTGTATGAGATGGCAGAGAAGGCTCCAGCAGTCGGTATCATGACTACAGAAAACCGCGATAACTGGTCAGACATGCGGGAGCGTCTGGTCAAGGCGGACCCAGCCAACCAGGCAGTGCTTGAGGCTATTGAAGGTGCTTCATTCGTTGTCTGTCTCGACGACGCTACTCCTGTGACTCTCCACGAGCGTTCCCGCCAATATTGGCACGGCGACGGCAGCAACAGATGGTTCGACAAGCCTTGCCAATTCATTGTCAACGACAATGGCACTTCTGGATTCAACGGCGAGCACAGCATGATGGACGGCACACCCACTTCACGACTCAACGACACCATCCTGCACTGGATGTTCAACGACAAACTCGACTTCGAGAACCCTCAATTCCGATCTGACATTCCCGACCCAGCACCATTGAAATTCAAGCTCTCCGGCGAGAACTACGCCGACATCGCCCTCGCGCAAACACACCACATCGGGCTCATGAGCCAACACGAGCTCCGCGTCGAAGCCTTCCAAGGCTACGGCAAAGGCCTCATGAAGAAATTCAAGTGCTCGCCCGACGCCTACGTCCAAATGATCATCCAACTCGGCTACCACAAATTCTACGGCAAGAACCGCCCAACCTACGAATCCGCCGCCACGAGACGTTTCCAGGAAGGACGAACGGAAACTTGCCGAACTGTGTCCGACGAAGTAGTTGCTTTCTGCAATGCTATGGCCCATCATCTCAGCACAGACGAGGAGTGCCGCGACCTCTTCCGCAAGGCCATCGGTGCTCACATTGAATACATCACCGCCGCTTCTGACGGAAAGGGCGTGGACAGACATCTCTTCGGTCTGAAGAAACTCCTCAAAGAAGGCGAAGAAGTTCCCCAGATTTTCAAGGATCCGGCGTATACGTACAGCAGCTCGTGGTTCATTTCTTCGAGTCAGTTGTCTTCGGAGTACTGGAATGGATATGGTTGGAGTCAGGTTATTGATGATGGATGGGGGTGAGTTGATCTTCCTAACATCTCAGCACACTTCAATCTTGAAGATGGATGTGATGAGCTAAGCTAACGTGTTTTGTGTCCTACAGAATCGCCTACATGATCAACGAAAACAGCGTCCAATTCAACATCGTCAGCAAGAACCTCGGAGCGGAACGCATGGCTTTCTTTTTGAATGAGGCGGCGCAGGATATTCGAGCGATTTTGGAGAGTGAGAATACTAGTGCTAAGGCGAAGTTGTAAGAGCAAGAGGACATTCATGCGTCAAAGCCCAACTCATATCCGGCCATGCCTAATTCTGAGCTGGGCATGGGGGACGAGTTACTCATGCTAGACATCTACGCGGGGAGAAGAATCTATCTTTGGTGTCATATGTGGTTATGCTGCTCCGCTTGGCTCGAATGTTGGGGCTGAGGAATGAGTCCTTTATTGTTTTATCTTGACATATTAGGAGCAATCATGATGTCCCGAAGTATGGGGCATAAGGAGTGATGAACGTTTTGTATTGCGGTAGAGAGAGAGAAAATCGAGAGAAGTGCGCGACAATGTCAACTGTGCCAATTTTCTCAATCCCTTACTTTCATATCCGCGTGAAATGTACATATAGCCTTGAAGTCGGAAAATGCATCTTGATTGAAGCAGATCAATTGAGAAAAGAGGAACGCGAGATTGATTTTCTGCGTTTCATTAATAGCCAGCTATCGTCTCTATCGTTTCTCCTTCAGCTTCCGTAGGGCTGAATCTCTCTGAGATTTCATCACGACTACCTGCTGCGTCCAAAGAACGCCCACCATTCCCAAGAAAAAAACAATTCCCGCTTTGTGTCTCGAAGCAAATGGGGTATCGTAAGAGACATTGAACTTCCGTCCTTCGCCTTCCTTATGTAGTAAAACTCCATTCCATGCTGTTCGCTTTTCCCTGTCAAATTGAAACTCCTCGCTGTGCTCTGTTTGCTAAAAGATCGTTCAGTGGTACGCGATTTGGGCGTTTTCGTCAGAAGGCGTTGTTGAAGATCAGGTCTGCTGCTTCGTCATCGTAGTCGGAGAAGATCTCGTCCGAAGAATCGACTTCGGATGGTGTCAGCTCTCCTGCCCAGGACGAGCAAGAAATGTCATCGCTAATCTCCGAGTTCGCAGAAATAGAAGCCTCCGTTGGCGATACTTGGTGGTTTAGGTCTTGCTCCGCATTCTCGACTTCGGACTCAATTCTAGGTTCTGCGTTGCTCTCCATAATGCTGTCCGCATCGTCACCGTGCTATTGCGATTGATCGATAAATGGCGCAAAAGTCCGGCCGCCGAAGCGCTCCAGGTCGTCATCATCATCCATGTTTACATCGTCATCTTGAGACCGTTCCAGAACTCTCTTCGTGCGAGGAGCAGATGCTCCATTCGTGAATCCGTTGATTCCATTCGTTCCGTGGCCAGTGCCATTCTCGTGCACCTGCTGCTGCGCCTGCACAGTCCTCTGCGCGCACAGTATGTCCCAGTATCCTTGCAACAGCCTCTTCATAGCATCGTCAAAGTTGACACAAAACCGCTGAGCCTGGCATAGCTGCATCGCCTTGATGTAGTCCACATCCTCGTGCATTTCCATCAAATACGCAGCCACCACGCCAGCGCTGCGCTCATTCCCACTCTCACAGAACACCAACACCTTGCCCAACTGCTGCCCATTGCTCGCTTGATACATGCGAGAAAGGTGCTCGTTGATCATTTGACTTGTCCTCGCGAAGCTCCGGATCAGATCCTGGTGTCCCGTCAAATCTACGCTCTGAGCCTCAATGCCCAGCTTTTCGGCCATGCGGAAGGGTGTTTGCATGAGCCTCGACTCGAATCCCTGTTTCTGCCGCACGCCCAACAGCATGGTGACACCCTGCTCGCGCAACCACTTTTCATCTTTGGCAGCCGTCATAGGACCTAAGCACAGGAAGGGCAGGATGGTTTGAGCTTCGCGGCGCAGTTCGTATGTCCATTCGAGCGGGGCATTAGACTGCACGAGGTTGTCATAGTTGACGCTTTGGAGGAAATCGTAGGTAGACGATTTGATGGCTCGTAGTGTGATTTCAGGGACGGCATCGGCGTTGAGAGTGGGTGGAGGAACTACGATGCGTGGCGGGGTGGGCACGCGGTAGGTGTAGATGTCGGTCTTGTGCGGGTAGGCGAGCACGGCGGGCTCGTGGCTGGCCATGCTGGGCGAGGATGTGTTTGTGTGTACGTAGCCGGGTGCGAGGGCAGTCGGCAAGGTGCAGAAAAGCGGCGGCGGCGTTTCGATGCCGGTGGTGTCGTGGGAGTTTCGCGGGCGACCGATGAATATGCCGTTCGCTTGGTGCGGGTCGTGTCGGTAGAGGGAAGAGTTCAAAGTTGAACGAGAAGCGAAGTTCTTGTCGCCATGCGAGTTAAGTAGCAGGCAGGCACGTGTTATTTGCACGCGCAGAGCGGAAGGTACGCAAGTGAGTGAGGAAGAAGTAGGAATCGAGGAAAGTGACGCTGGATGATCCCTGTCACGTTGCACATGCATGGATTCCCGCGGGGTCACTGAAGACACCCGTGCCGCGCTTTGCCTGAACCAGCCGCGTGCCTGACCATCGCCGACATGTGGACATGCGAGTGAACTCGACAGAACACACGCGTGGGTGCTGGTTTGAAGCGGCTTTTACCGCCAACGTGAATATCCGTATCATGTCAACTGCATGTATGTCTTGTATGCACGCTACAAGTGAAGCATTATCAGATGTCGGGATCATTCACACACAAACAGATCACGATAGCGCGGGGGGAAGAGGTGAACGAACATTGAGGCACGCGAATTGCGACGCCCAAAACCAAGCCAAGCTTGAGTGGTCTTGCGGACCATGTTTTTCGACTGCTCAAAGGCAGGCGAGCTGCTGTACAAACCCATTATCATGCAGGACGCCGTCGACGCCCCAGTCCCTGTTCGAACGCCACACAGTCCGGTTCTAGGCAGAAGACTTGCCCTTCTTCGCCTTCTTCGACTCGCCATTCACGCTCGCCTTGACCTTGCCAGCGGCAGCATCTTTTTGCTTCTTCAATGCCTCCTTTCTCGCCGCCTTCTCGGCCTTCTCCTGCTCTTTGGCCTCAACCTCCTCCTTGCTCTCGCTCTTTCTCTTCTTTGGCAGAGCAGGCTCCTCTTCCACCTCAGCGACATCACTCTTACGCTTCTTCTTTTCCACTTTGCGCATCTTTCCATCTGGACCAGGAATCTCCACGTACTCGTTGCCGTTCGCGTCAGTCAGCGCACTGCGCTTGCGCTTCTTGCCTGGGTTCTCCTTAGAGGGTGCCTCGTCAAGTACATCGTGCTCGTCGGCCCAAAGCTCTTCTGTGAGCCAGATAGGTAGGGCAGCAGTCTCTGGTCCCTTGACATGCACAGCTCGCACGTTGCGCCATTGCTGTGGGACATACTTCTCCACCATTCCAGCGACCACAGCTTCCACGTTCGCTTGCACTTGTTCAGCTGTCATGCTCGCCTTGCCAACCTTGATCGCAGTCGTGGTCGAAGGTGCGAGGTGTACAAGCGCAGCTCCCAATGCCTTTGTGATCTCGTGGGCCACATCCTCAGGTCTGATGTCCTTCTTTTCCACTTTGCTACCTCCTTCAGCGAGCTTCTTCCTCTTCTCGCCATTTTCAAGAACATTCTGCCTCTTGCCCTCCAGCGTAATTGGAATCGGTCTCTTTGAACCGCCCTTGTAGAAAACCTTGCCCAGGGTATTCGGCAAATATGTGATGATGCGATCGTCGGCCAGGAAGATATCATATTCCGAGAAAAGCTGCCTCTTCGACTCGTAGCTCTTGTACTTGGTCTTCAGCTTCTCCATGCCAATGACACGCGCGATCCTCTTCCCCACATCAAGTGGAAACGAAGACTCGGCCACGAGGTCCTTGTACTTCCTCTGTGGATCTGCAGTAATCAGGCAAATTCTCAATCCTTCCTCATCGACACTGCGCAGCGGATTCGGAAGAACGATTTTGCCAGGTTTGAGACGCTTCTTGTCGACGATGTGCTTTTTTGTTGTCAGAATCAGCCAAACCGGGCTGTCTTCCTCGACTTCCTCGCCATCGTCGGCGTCAGCGAGAAGATTTGCTTTCTCGCGCGACGAGGATTTGGTGGAGACATCGGCGTTGATCTTTTTGAGCAGTGCGGTGGTGGCTTTGAGGGTTTGCGATGGGTCAAGTTGGTAAGGGGAGCTGCTCGTGGGGACTGCGACCTCGGTCTTCGTCTTCTTCGTGAGAACTTTAGAAGGCGCCATGTTTGTTGTAGATGTTGGACTTTTCGAGCGTACAAGAGAGGCGCAGATACAAAATTTCTAGAGACGAAGCTGGTCGCGCAAGTTTGGAGGCAGGTGTGGCGAGCTGTCGAAGCTTGGCGTGAACCCGATCTGGTCCACTTCGACCAACTGAGGCAGCAACGAACCTCTGCCAATTTGCTTTGCGTCTGTACCACGACTATGACTGGAAATAGAACGGCCCTTGGTCTATGCAACGAGGATCATTCGAGCGTCTACACACCACTCGAGCGTATCTTACAGCCTCTCGCCGAGAACTACAGCAAATGTTACTGTACTCGGAGTGCCGCATCTGTAGGGGACGAAAAGGAATTGTTTTTGAGACTGATACATATAGTCGCCAGAAATTTTGACTGTTTACGCCAGGAGATACCGTAGGCACGCCAGCTGGACTATGCTTTTATCGAATTGAACTACCCCGCTAAATCTGGATCTTCTTATCCCGTCACACCGTGATACCCGATCCACTTCGTGGCAAAACGATAGATATCACGCCATCTAAGATATACGCATACTTTCTCTCGAGGTAACATGAACGCCTCGAAAATATTTCCAGAACATTGTTCCCTGCGCTTCTGACATTGAGAATCCTCAGACAGCTTCGCCGCTCGTATGCTGCACAATATGGCAGACCAATCCCAACTACAAAAAGACTCCAAAATCGTCATCATAGGAGCGGGCGTCTTCGGCCTCAGCACTACTCTTCACCTTCTCAAGCGAGGCTACACAAACATCCACATATTCGATCGACAACCTTTCGACAAGAACCAGTATGATGAAAGACAAGGCGCACATGGTGCGTCATGCGATCTTAACAAAATCGTTCGAGCATCATATGGAGGTGCAAAGCTGTACCAGGACCTTGCATTTAAGGCGATGCCAGAATGGGAGAGGTGGAACGAGCAGCTTGCCGCTACGCCGAAGAATGAACTACCCTCAAGTATTGACCCGAGTATACCACTTTGGCATAATTGCGGGTTTCTGCGATTGAGTTCTGATGGATTTTGCGAGAAGGAGAAGCAAACTCAGGAGCTCTTTCCCTCGGAGATTAGGCATACGCAATATCGCGTCTCTGATGCAGAGAGGAGAGCTCGGGCGGCGGAAGAGGGCATCCCATTTTCGAAACTGGACCCTTTCGGTCGCATCGAACGAGGCCAACCAGTCGATGGCATCCTCGATACGACAGCAGGGTTTGTTCTCGCTTCTCGTGCCTGCGCTTGGGCATTGCATCTTGTGCTACAATCAGGCAAAGTAACGACACACTTCGGGGCCGATAATGCCCTGCAGTCTTTCATGAAAACCGGAAATCGTATTTCTGGTATCGTGACCTCAGGCTTCGAGCGGCATAGTGCGGATTTTGTAGTTGTTGCCACAGGCGGCTGGACACCATCTCTACTCCCCGAAGTCGACCGTTTACTTGAGACCACATCTGGAAGTGTACTGAGCATTCAGTTACCCGAGAACAGGCCTGATCTCTGGGACAAATACTCAGAGGACAAATTCCCAGTCTGGTCCTGGAATATGGAGTCTTATGATCCTAGCGACAAAGCGAGCATTGGTGGCTTGTACGGTTTACCTCGGACTCCAAAAGGTATCGTCAAGATCGCATTTCGAGGTGCGAAGTGGACATCCTATACAAGACGTTCAAGCGTGGGCGAACAATTATCCTACCCAAAAATTGATGCTGATCGCATACCTGAAGAAGCAATGCGAGTGATTCGGGAGTTTGCGAGAGAAAATCTACCGGATCTGTTGGAGTTGGATTTGAGTAACATTCGACTTTGCTGGTACACTGATAGTGTTGATAATAGCTTTTTGATTGACCATGTTCCGAATGTTGAAGGTTTGGTGGTGGCTTCTGGTGGGAGCGGACATGGGTTTAAGTTCTTGCCTGTGTTGGGTGAGCATATTGTGGACGTTATTGAGAAGCGGGACACGGAGTATACGGAGCTCTTCAAGTGGCGTGATGTGCCCAATGGGAAACGGAATGGGTTGGAAGAAGGCCCGGAAGGATGGAGGCCTTTGGACAAGCAGAGAATGGTTGGAAATAAGGAGTGGCGGAATGGTCTTGGTGTTGACGGGAGGAGCAGACTGTGAGCCTGCAGCGAGAACCTGCCGCAACCAGCTCGGCTCTCGGGTGTGGCGGATTCCCAACGTGGTCTCCGCATTTCCGATTGCTGGACCTGTTTCCTGCCTTCCACTTCCACTCCACAGACCACAGACTGATTTCAACCGCAACATGTACGCCGTATGGAATTCGGCCGAAGAGTATGGCGCCGGAGCAACATCGCCCTCGACGGCCGACACACCGGCGGCGAAGAGACGTCGTGTGTCGGAAAACCTAAATGGTCGCCGGACTGCTAAGGCAACGCGTGCTTGCGACCTGTGCAAGTCGAAGAAAGCCAGATGCTCTGGCTCCAAGCCATGTACGAAGTGTTCAGCCCGAGGTCTAGAGTGCACTTACGAGAGCCAGTATCTTCGTGGCCGACCTCCGACGCCGCCTTCGTCTACTATCGAGGTGAGCACGAGGATTCAAGAACAGCAAGAACAGAACGAGGCTACGAATGCATCACGTCGCTCTCCGTCCGGTGATGCTGATGAGCAGCATCCAGTCAGTCTGTCACGGAGTTCGCCGGAGCTGGAGGCGGCTGAGATCAATGGTCAGTACGTGGATCGTACCTCCGGACTATCGTTCCTGGAGCGTGCCCGATCACGACTAAAGCAACGTCATTCAAGTCGCATCGAAGGCTTTCACCAGCCATTGACTGCAGCTGGGGACAAGCCACTTCTGGACTCAACACTTGACGGTAGTTCTACAAGTCCAGCTGTTCTGCCTAACATCCCAGATCAAGACCGCGCGACTGAACTGCTTGACCTTTACTTCGAAATTTGCGTTGCTTCGTACAAGCCACTTCATAGACCAACAGTCGATGGCTGGTATTCAACTTTGACTCAGAATATTGCCCAAGGAAAGCCAATGACAGAGAGTATCGGCAATGCTAGAGTAGCAGTGTTGTTTGGAGTCTTTGCAGTAGCCACGTACCACGCCCAGAAATCTAGCGGAGTTTCTGATGATGTAGCGTCGTTATCAACCAGCGACTCGTTCTTCAGGTGCTCCACAGCACTTACCGAGACGGAAACAGGTACACCACATCTGGAATCCGCGCAGGCACGCCTTCTACAAGTCTTCTATCTGCTGGCAACTTGCCGCATGAACAGAGCTTGGTACATATTCGGGAACTTGATACAAATCCTCTCAGCCTTAGGGATGCACCGGCGAAGCCGCAGACGTTTACAGCAATCGCGTTCGGCATCGGAGTTTATCTACGCTCAATGTCGGATACGCACCTTTTGGAGCACATACATTCTTGATCGATATATGGGCGTTGTGCTTGGACGGCCTCGGCACTTCCACGACAAAGACATTGATCAAGATTATCCCGCTCGAATTGATGATAACGACCAGGAAACTACCTCCTCAAACTATGAAGAGTTGGACAGCGATAGCGAGTGTCATCTCGATGGATTCATTTGGAACATCAAACTTGCTCAGCTTGTGGACGAGATATCTGACAGCCTGTACGCTATCAAGCCATCCCCTGAAGTATCTCGAATTGAAACTGCTCGCGCCTTCGCAGCAAAATTGGAGATTTGGCACCACTCGCTACCGGCACTATTGAAAGCGAAACCTACCAGTCTGGCACGAGGTTTTCGACGTCAATGCGTTGCAGTGAAGATGGCACATCAGCATGCGATATTGCACCTGTATCGGCCTTTCCTGCTGGGACGTTCACGCGCCGAACATTTGTCAGCCGGCGACACGATGCTTTCCTTTCGAAAAGAAAGCATACGCCACTGCATTCAAGCTGCTCGAACAGTCATGCGCACAACAGATGACTTAGCTCGGGAAGGAAAAATAATACACGCCTACTGGTGGACTCACTACGTGGCGTTCTGTGCGCTGACAGTCACCTACGTATGTTTGCAGTGCGATCGGGACCTTGACAGAAGCGAGCGTGATGCACTCGTAGTGCTCGCTGAACGCTGCCAGAACCATCTTGCTCAGGCGACAGCTACAAACTCTCCGAGTCGCAGGTACAGCATAATTCTTGAGGAGCTCCAGAGCCAGGTTCTCGTCCAGCGGTCCAGCAACACGCGAAGATCGTCCAAAATCGATAACGCGAATGTACCTATTGCTCTTGCCGGCGCCATAGAGAGTGGAGAGACAAACAATGACATGAGGGCATCGACATTGATGGCTGATGTCACGGTCCATGATCTGCCCCAGAGCGGCGACACGGATTTCATGTCTGATGGGCTTCATGATCCCTTCATGGATTGGCAAACGTCTGACTGGCTGGAACTAGATGCATCGGTGAGTATCCACATCTGCTTTTCGCAACAATCCTTGGGCTGACTTCACATATAGGCTTATGGTGTCATCCCAGGTCTGAGCCCAGATTTTCAATGGCTACATTCAGCATGAACCTATCAAAGTGTATACTTGAAAAGTGGACTCTTATCCCCCAGGCGATCCAACTCTTCTCTGGAGAATTGAGCATGAACTTCTGCTTCGGTCATGCCCGCGTTCTTCTTATTGCTCGACCAGAGCAGGAACTCGAGCAACAACGCAGCAATCACTCCAGCCGCAGCGAACCCCAATGAGGCACCGAAGCCGGTCGGGTATTTTGGCAATTCTTTCTCGATGAAGATAAAGCTACCAGTGATGCCACCCATGTTGCCGACTCCGGTCATCCAGCCGATTCCCAGAGCTCGCTTGGTAGGGCCTGCAAGGTTGTTCATGTTCCATGCTTGAACGCCTGGTCCGATAGGGTAGAGGCTATTCTCGTGGTTAGTCGCTGTTATCGCAAAGAAATGATGACCTGGTGGTCTTGTTAGTACTCACCCAAAGCAAGCCAGGCATAGCGCGAAATAACAAGCTGGAATATTGTCCTTGATGTTGTCGGCCATCGCGAAGAGAACAGCGTACGCAGTGACGACGCAGAGCTGCGGCCCGACGATTGTGGGCATCCGCCACTTGAAGCGATCAGATATGACAGAAAAGCCATACGCTGCAACTGCACCAACTGCATAGCAGGGCATGGTGAGAAGCTGAGCATTCGCCGAGGTGTATCCCATATTCTTAATGATCTGAGGCATTGTGAACTTCAAGCCGTAATTCGGGGTGACGTTCGACCAGAACATGATGATCAGGAGGTAGATCTTCCAGTCACAAAGGACGGACCACAGGACTTTCCAATTGATTCCCTTCTCTTTCGGCTGTCCTTGAGGCTTGACTCGGCCTGCTGCGATCTGTCGCAGCTCCAGATATCGGATCTCGTCTGGAGTCAGCCATCGGTGCGAATGTTTGGGAGTGTCGACGAGGATCCAGAAACATGCGACGCCGGCTGCGACGGAGGCAATGCCTTCCAGAATGAAGATCTAAGCCCGTCAGTGGGAGATCCGATCAAGAAGCTCTGCCGTCACTTACCCAGCGCCAGCCTTCATATCCACCAACGCCATCCATCTTCGCGATCGCGAACGCCAGCAAGCCAGAAAAGGCACCTGCAATGGCACTTGCTGTGAAGAATATAGCGATACGCGTCTGACTTTCGTGTGGCATGTACCACTTGCTGATGATAAGAATCGCGCCGGGAAAGAAGCCAGCTCTGACGTTCTCGGTGGTCAGCGGGCTCAACGAGAAGTCGAGGCTTATTCTTCGTCACTTACTCAAACAAGCCGAGCAGAATCCTGACTCCACAGAGCTGCGCAAAGTTTTGAACGAAGCCATGGCATGTCATCACTATACCCCATATCGTCACGATACCGCCCATGAACAACGAAGGTCGGTCGAAGAGGTCGAGTATCGCGTTGCTTGGGAGTTCTGCCGTCTCATCAGTTCCAACTCTTGTCAAGGCTGCGCTGAGGACATTGACGTACCTGCGAGCGTGTAAGGGATGAAGAAGATCGCCAAAGCGATGTTGTACTGCGTGCCGGACATGTTCAAATCTGGAAGAAGTCCCTCGATCTTCGCATTGCCTTCGGAAACTCTGTCAGCATGTCGACTGCAGAATGCGAGTACGCACACGCTTACCGATATTCGCTCGATCAATGAAGCTGATGAGATAGAGTATCAACAACACAGGGACAAGCCTCCAGTCCACCTTTCGGAGCACAGCTTTCCTCTGTTCCTCGGAGAAGCCGGCGAGAAATGCAGCCTCTTCTGCTGTGAGATTGCCATTTTGATGTGTTACTTCAGCGTGAGCCGCCTCTTTCTCCAAGTCTACTTCGTCATTGTCCGAGTGAGTGACCATTGCTTTCATCTTGGGTTCCGAGGCGGTCGTGTTGAGTGGCAGTAGTCAAAGATGGAACAAGCCAGAAACGAAAGGGGCAAGGAGTGACTACAAGGACCACCCTTATGTATACTCAACTTGACGACTAGTACGATGAGCAGAGTACGGCACAACGTGTATGTCAGTCAGTCCTCAGCGACCGGTGCCGAACGCTTGGTGTCCACGACTAGGAATCCGGCATGCTTCCGACACATGGCGATATGGGGTATGGGGTGGAAAGAGGGGAAGAAGATGGGGTCACGCCAGGATTTGTGAACCGGCGGCACTTCATGGCTGGAGAACGTCCACTAGCAACAGAGAAGTTGAATCCGTTGTGGAGAGCCTAGACCAGAAGGCGGTTGTGGTGGCTTGGGGCGTTCCCGGAAAATGCGGATTCTCTCAATTAGGACCGGATTTGCTTTGACATGTTTCCTGATTCGGAGATATCCTGCCGGCGATGTGTTTGTGTCGACTATGCTCGGACCCAACTTCGGCCGTGGTGATGAGGCGACGATGCCGAAGGGCGAGCAGTCTACGATGAAGTTGTGGCATATATACATGCAAGAATGCTCTTGCTGAGGCGACGTCAACACAATCAACCATCTCATCGATCAAACACTCTTGCGAACATCTTCTCTACACAACTCACAACACTTCCATCCCAGACCACAAGATGCACGGAAACACCAACGGCTACACCAATGGCCACAGCAACGGCTCCAAAGTCGGCTTCGACGTCAGCGGCCTGGTCCCAGCTCCCGTAACCCCCTTCACCAAAGACGGCCAAGTCGACTACGAAGCCATCCAACGTCTCGGCTCCTGGCTCGGCAGCATCGAAGGCGTCAAAGGCCTCGTAGTTCTCGGCCACGCCGGTGAAGGCACATTCCTCACACAACAAGAACAAGAAGATGTAATCCGAGCCTTTGTCAAATCCACCAACGACCGCGTTCCCGTAATCGCAGGAATCACAGGCGAAGGCACCGAAGTCGCTGCTCTTGAAGCTAAACGTGCAAAAGCAGCAGGCGCAAAAGCCGGACTTCTTTACCCGTCTCATGGTTGGTTGCGATTTGGATATCAGCCTGGTGCTCCTCAGGATCGATACAAAGTTGTCTATGAGACGAGCGGTTTGCCTCTTATTCTGTTCCAGTATCCCGACAACACGCACGCAACATACAACCTTCAGACCCTGCTGGATATTTCTGCGCAACCTGGTGTTTTCGCTATGAAGAATGGTGTACGGAATATGCGTCGCTGGGATACTGAGATCCCAGTCATCCGCCAACAGCGACCGGATCTCCAGGTTTTGACTTGCCATGATGAGTATCTCTTGCATACTGCTTTCGACGTCGATGGTATGCTCGTTGGATACGGGAACATTGCGCCTGAGGCGTTGTTGGAGTTGATTGATGCGGGCAAGGCGAGAGATTATAAGCGAGCGAGAGCGGTTCATGATCAGTTGCTTCCTGTGACGAAGAGTGTGTATCACCGCGGCTCACATATGGAGGGCACTGTGGCGTTGAAGCATGCGCTTGTAGCGAGGGGGATTCTGTCGCATGCTACTGTTAGGTCGCCTTTGTTGCCGCTTCCTGAGGGTGCGGCGGAGGAGATTCATGCTGCAGTCAAGTCGGCGCAGTTGCAGAAGGTTATTGTGAAGGGGTTTTAGAATGAGATAGATCTGTTTCCAAGTCTTGTAGCATGATAGTACATTTGGCAGTCAATAGAATTTTCCTGTTTCAGATCCATCTCCGTTATATGTCCAGTTTTGGATGTTTGGTTGGCCGAATGCCAAATGATGGGTCGACTCGCTTCCACGGGACTTGTCTGCGCTTCGGCCTCAGATCCGGAATGCACCGTTCAGAGGATTGGCCGCGGTCGTGAAATGGACACTTCATTCCCAGTCTTGCAGCACCGAGGGCACCAGCGAAGACCGGATCGATCGAAATGAATGGCACATCTGCTTTGCCTTTCTGGTTTCTCTGCAACTCATGCTGTACGACTTTGACCAGGTCTTTGTCCATGGCATGTTCACCATGCAGAATGACCGATCCGATTTCGATGTAGAATATACCACCAGTAAGCAGTTCGCGAAGGAAGGTTCCAACCTGTGACCAGTATTCGCGTGGAGATGAATGGTTACGCAGCGCCTTCTTTCCCAAATGATCGTATGCGTAGCCATCCGGGTTGATCGAGAAGTGATCGGAACATGCGTGATAACAGATATGCATAGTTAGCATATCTTCTGTGTAACCAATACCCAAAACAGCGGAATCATTGGAATTTGCCCGCATGATCCATGCCTTCGAGAGTGTAGATAAGGTCGTGGAGAGGAACTTCTTCGGCGTTATCTTCAGGATGCGCTGGTCTGCCCAGTATGAGCTCAAAGCCGACGAAATGGGCTGCGTCAAGCAGGTCTTCGTTGTAGAGCGCAGGTAGATTTGGAACGGCGATTGTGCCGTACTTCAATGGGCCTGTCTCACCAAGTGTTGCGCTGACAGCACCCATGAGGCCGTTGAGTACTCTTGCTAGAGCTGCGACTTCATGCTGGCTTGCCGTTTCTTTTTCGGAAGTATCGCTCCCATTGTCGGCTCGCATCGTGCGCAGCTTTACGCAGTCCGTAGTACGGGGGACTGTTGTGATTACTACTTAGCGAGTCTTCTGTGCATCAAATTCGCATACGAACCTTGGATGCTGCCGAAAATTGCCCGAGCATTTAGCCATGTAATCTTTGTATTGCTGATCGCCTTCGAAGCGACTAATAGCCACAGTTGTACCGTTCCGATAATTGATAGCCGAAGTTCTGTGCTCGTGTGAGCTAACTTGGCAGGTTGTGAATTGCTGCTGCGTGCCTACCCGTATCCTGCTGTTAAATGGAACCCAACATGATAGGTCATGTTTTCTAGCCGCTGAGATTCATGGTATGGCTCAGGTAGTCCCCACGGCTAGCATAATGGGCTTGTGATGGGGCAAGCAGTGAATAGGTAGAGCACATACCACCAGAAGGCGAGCAACAGTAAGGAGGCAAGCAAAAATACGGGTATTGAGATGCAGCAGCAGCAAAAGCTGAAGCTCGATCGCTTCTTGACTGGAGGTGCTCTTGTGTGTCCCACCAGCTCTATTGCATTATCGGGCTCATATGATGGTGCAACAAGCGCTTCGGTCTCTGAGCGTCGGATCGCCTGTAGTTCGGACATGTTGTCGTCCACAAATGGATCACTAGACGATGTGTCGCGATTGCGAGTCTCGCTGGAGAATGAATCAGCCCTAATACCGTCCACGGACGCCGCTTACATAGGTGCAATTGCTGCTGTATATGACTTCAAAGGGTTCGTTGAAGAGAGGATTGCTGCCTGGATTCAGCTGCAGGAGCATTGCAGCACAGTTGACGCTAACTTAATTCTATACTGGCGATCGCTTGGCAACCCGACCAACGATAGAGCTGGCACTTGGAGTTGTCATTGTATGGCAACGGAAGATGCGATGGCTGACACATATTCACTTCACATAGCTGGCAAAATTAGTATCTTTTCGATCCCATCCTTGCTTGTGCGCGGGTGGAGAGGACTCTTTCGGAGGCCCTTGGAATTCGAACGTCTCCTTGAGGCGGCGGTCTGTATTTTTACGAACTCCTTGCACAGGTGTGACAAGACACCGACGTCCTCTGTCTTCTCTCTGTCCGGACGAAGCTGCTCGAGGCGCGAGATGTTCGCAGCCTTGTAATTCGCAGCTTCATGGGCGAATTGGAATGTCGCGAGGGCTGAGTGCAACTTTGATGCTGGTGATTGTGGTGCTCAATTGATGTATGTAGACTGATCAGATTACGAGTGGATGTGTGGTTGATGATGGTTCACAACAGAAGCAGTCGCGAGGAACGACGTGACAGCGTGATGTGTGATGTGAATGTGAATGCCAAGGCTAGTGTTGCCTCAGGCCATGATGCACGAACTGTGTGAGTGCAATCCATTGCCATTAAGAATTATGAAGTGAATGGAATGTGACAAGAAGTGAAGCTCTCGAATAATTCTAAAGAGGATTTGTTGCCATTTATGTTCTCCCTTATCGCAGGCCAATCGAATTACGTGTACTATTTGACCCAAATTAACTATTCCTCCGCAACAGACGTGCCTCGGACAGAGCGTCTGCATCTCTAAAGATGAGATCGACCCTGTTGCCTCTTGATGCCATAGCTCAATCAAAGAGGAAAGTCGAGCGTGTAGCCGAAGGAGCACGCAACGTCCAAGTCCTGAACGTTGTAGAACGAGGCAGGGTCGCTGCTGTCGGTCCCTTCATTGACGTCCAAGTACTGCACGCACTCCCACGCACCTCGGGAGAGACGGAAATGCAAGTCGATGGTGAAGTAACCGTTGTCATAAGCTTGTGTGGCACATTCGAGGGCAGCTTGCTCTGTGGTCGATGTTCCCACGATGTAAGTCGTGATGGGTGGGCTGTTCTCAGGGTCCTCGTTGTAGGGGCCAGCTGGGTTGAGGGTGCGGCCGATGCCACTGAAGTAGCGTGCGTAATCTACCTCATCAGGGGTGGAGACTCTCTCTGGTGAGAAGCCACCACAGACGGATGGAGGAAGCACTGCCGTGGTTGTAGTTGTAGTTGCAGTAGTAGTGGTTGTTTGTGCGTTCGTTGTGGTGCTGGTAGTCGTGATCACAGGAGTAGTTGTAGTTGTTGTAACGCCGTTGGTCGTAGTGGTCGAAGCAGCAGTGGTAGTGGTGGAAACAACAGCACTGGTGGTACTGGTAACGTCGTTGGCAGTGGTCGTCGTGGCCCTGAGTTGAGTCAGTACAAAGCAATCATCGCAAGATCCCAAAGACCTACTTCGTGGTGCTCGTCTTCTTGGTAGTAGTGCTCGACTTCTTCGTGGTCGTCGTCTTTGGCTTGTTGGGCTTTGGTGGGCAAGCACAGGACTTGTCGTAGTACTTGTATGGGGACTTGCTCGAAGTGGCACAGTTCTTGACGACCTTGCTGGAGTACAATCTGCAAGCGCCGTTGCTAACAGAGTAACTCTGGCACTTGGAGCTCTTTTGACAGATGTTGTGGCACTCGTAGCGATCGCACTTGTAAGAGACAGAGTGGTAGTGCGGGCGGCCAGCCTTGTTGTATCCGTTCACGCCGCAGGTAGGCTTGTAGTTGCGCTGTTCAAGGGCTCCGTGGGAAGACTCCCCATCGAAGGCTGGCAGAGCGCTTGCCAGCGGCAGGAGAGCCGCAACGAATGTGATGAAACGCATGTTTGCTATTAACGAGAGTGGTTTTGCGAATCTTGGAAAGGCCGTACAGTTGGAAGCCTGCGGCGAGCCTCAGCAGTCTATATGATGGCCACCTCGACTAGTAGCTTCAGACTAGAAGTCATCCCGCTCGGGAATTTTGTCCTTTCTGTTATTAGAATGTGGTGATAGCGGATCATCTTCACGTCGTCCGCGCCTGTGGCTTGAACTTTGGCCTAACCGAGCGCTGCAACATGCTAATCCTCATCGCAGCAGAGCGTAGGATCACCGTGAACGTATATGTGAGCGACTCACACCGACTCTGTGTCTCTGTCGCAGCCGGGAACATCTGTTCCTTGAAGAATCATCACAGTCCTCTCCAGTCGACGTCGACGTCTTACCTTCGCCGCAATCAAAGCTCCCCGTTCGGGCTTGCTGTGGCTGATCATAGAGCTGAAGTTGTCCTATTCGGGAAAGGGATGCGGTTCTCGACTCGTTGCTTCTTCAGCCTTTGCCTTGGCAAGAGGCAGTCGCTTCTCACCTTTTGGGCCTCCTTTCCAGATGCAGTGGCTGCACAGAATCGTGTCGCCCCGTCTACTGGCCAGGCCGAACCACGTGGCGGAGGCTTGAACTCTATCTCACATGGTAATTTCCCATTCTGTTGCTCCAGCTACAATGCGATCATAATAATTTCATCGTTCCTGCTTTTCAGTACTCTTCTCATGAGACCTTGCTGGCCTTACAGCGTCGTAGGCCCGAGATTGTCGCACCTGTGGTCAACTTCGTCTTCTGCGCGGCAAATGCAGCGCTATAGTGTCGTCGGCCCAGTTGCTCCAGATCGAGATCGAGGACGATCAACGTCGCGCCGTCCTGGTGAAGATGAAGCACTTCCCACTCCTACATCGCACATCCGCGATGATATCGAGAGGAATGATGACGAGACAAGTCGCTGATGTGGTACTTCGTGCGTCGCCCACATATTTCCGAAATGCTTGGCCGAGCTCGTTAGCTTCTTCCCCGAGCTGCTCGCTTTCGACACAACACACGCCGAGACATGCCTTCGTATTTCGTTCAAGGGTTGTATAGCGTCAACGGCAGAATGCGGAGATGTTGCGGAGTGCAGCAGTGATCCTCATGCCGACATTTAGTGCAAACCAGGATGCATTCAGTGGAGCTCACGGAGAGCGTGGACGATGTTAGGGCAACTCGACGGAATGATGTCTTGATACGAATATATAAAGTCTCTACGATGAAGTAAGTGACACTGGTATCAAAATTGACAAGATGAAAATGACAGGCAGACTGCTGGCTCTAGTGTTTCCGGTACTAGCCGCAGGGTGAGCTGCCATACTTATTCAAAGGCCAGATATAGCCAGCTCACGTTCTATAGTTTCGTGGACTACGGCCATGTTCTTCCAGTCAGCTACAGCCTCGATACAAAGCCTCTACTCGCTCATAACACCAAGTACACTGGACAATCAATCGTACTCTCTAGCGACAGACCAGTCCTAACAATCGACTATGGCGTCGAAGTGGTCGGCTTTCCCTTTTTCGACATCGAGACACTATCTGCACCAACGCAGGTAGAAGTCAAATATGCAGAAGACTTCACAGCATTCAACAATCCCTACAGCGATGGACCATGGACCTTTTCCAACGGACTTTCCAGTTCCTTCCGCACAGAAACATTCGAACTCTCCAAGTCTGGACGCCAACAAGCTTATTTCCTACAAGGCGGCCAACGATGGCAAACCATACGACTCCTCACAAACACGACTGTCACTTTCAGATCTCTAGGGCTGAATTCAACTTCTGAGAACAAGCCTTCCTCAGCATTTGTTGGCCAGTTGCACACATCGAATGAGCTCTACGACAAGATCTGGGACCTCGGACCAAGAGTCTTACAAGCCGCTTGCATTGATGCTGGTAATGCACCTTCGACTGGGGACATCACATCAGATGGTGCCCTTATTCGTGGTCAACAGACCGCGCAGTCGAACAATGGAAGCACTTTCGCGAATTACACGTTGTCCTTCAAGACCAAGATTGTTCGTGGCGGCACAGGTTGGCGGGTGGGAAGCACGATCGGCACACCTCGAGGGCATGTCTTGTACCTGACTTCCAATTATCCGGAGGAGACGACCTTTGTCAACACAAACCGCAGCTTGGTGCCAGCCAACACTCTGGTCTACAACTACGGATTCTCCATCGTCAATCAATCAACGCTAACCACAGGCTGGAATCAATGGTTTCCCATCAATCGCACAATCGCAGAAAACGTCTGGTACACCATCACCACAACTCTCAGCCACACTTCACTCGACATCTTCCTCGACGGAAAGCTCATCGCCTCAATTCCCCAAGACGAAGCCAACTACCTCTCCAGCCGAGGCCCCTCCTACCTCGGAGCTCTCAACCCAACAAGCGGAACCTTCGGTCTCGGCCCCTGGGCGGATCAAATCGCCTACTACAAAGACATCCTCATCACGTCCCAGAACGGCACGACACTCTACAGCAATGAACTGACATCTGACTCCACGCTCTCCGAGTTCAACATCGCCCCCCTAACACAAAGCGTCTGCCTCGACGGCGCAAAACGCGACCGCCTAGTCTGGGCCGGAGACTTCTATCACACAGCCAAAATCCTCTCCTCATCAACCGCACGCTGGGATTACATTCTCGGCACAATAAATTTCGTCCTCGATCGTCAACGGAAACCAAATACAAAGTTCGCAGGTCTCGTACCTATGAGTGCAACACTAGGAACCAGTTCTGCAGAACAATATACCAATGTATTCGGTGAAACGGGTTATGGCGGATTACTCGATTATCAAGATCTATTCCTCGCTTCTGTGGGGTATTATTTTCTCGCGACGGGGGATGTACAAAATCTGAGGCCGAGATGGGAACAAATCAAACGCGTTTTCGAAGCGAGGAAGGAATTTATTGATCCGTATTCAGGACTTATTGCTGATGGAGAGAATGGAATTCCTGGGAGTTATTTCTTGGGGCCTGTGAATGGGAGTGCGCCGACGGGGTTGGCGGCTTATGCTTACAAAGAGCTTATCCCGCTTGCGGAGGCGTTGGACGATGCAGAGGCTGCGCGAGATTTGAATGAGACGAGTCAGGGACTGATTGAGAATTTGAATTCTCAGCTGTGGAATGATTCTACGGGTGTCTATGACCTTTCTGTGGACGATCGCGGGAATTTCTCGTTTACTGGGATTGCTTGGGCTATTCTATCCGGCGCAGCGAATTCGACGCAAGCCGCGGCTAGTATTGCGAGGTTGCCGGAACTTCGTTTGGGGGTTGGGTATAAAACCTCAACTGCGGACGAGTCTAGCAATAAGACCCAGCTTTCGGCCAATACAGGCGGTTTCCTCCTCGAAGCTCTGTTCAAAGCTGAGCGCGATCTTGGAGTCAAGAATTTGACTGTGGCGAAGTCGCTGCTCGATGATTTCTGGAGCCAGATGGTTACTCAGGAAGAGTATTACTCCGGAGCAAGCTGGGAGTATGAGTATCCTGATGGCAAGCCTGGCATCGATCTCTTCACCTCTTTGGCTCATCCTTGGGGCGCAGCACCAACATACGTGCTGCCGCAGTACGTGGTAGGAGTGACTGCGCTTGAGCCTGGGTTCAAGACTTGGTCTTTCGAGCCCATGATTGGAGCATTGGGTCTGATGAACGCCAATGCCACGACTTGGACGCCTGTTGGACCCATTGAGGCAAGTTGGGAACTTGTTGGCAAAGAGGCAATCGTGAGAGCCCGTGCGCCGAAGGGCATAACCGGTGTGTTGGTTCTACCAGACGGCGCTGGCAAGAAGCGTATTCGTATCGCAGGAGGCAGACGGTTCCAGATCAAGTGCAAAAATTGGTCGTAGTCGAGCCATACAATCGTGACCAAAGATTGCGGGCAGACGTATGACCCAGCAGGAGGCCTTCCTCACGTTGGAAAGTTTGCTTCAGTCTTCTAGCACAGGTGCAAATTTGGACTTCTTTCTGAGTCGAAGACCGATTTTCATGAAGATAATACTGAACACCATCATTAGTTCACTTCTGATCGCAATAGAGGTACCGAGACTCACGGAACAGGCAGTGCCAAACACGAGATACCACCTAGGATGCTCGTAGCAGGCCCAACACCCAAGCCATGGAACATTGGCTTCGCGGCCAACGGCAGCCCGCACGCAAGGAGTGATCGCAGGATTGTATTTGCGCTAGTCGCTGAAGCAGCATACAATCCGTAGACATCCACAAGGTAGTTGAGACATTGCTGGAAAATTGTGTTGAAACCAGCTCCGATGAAAGCTGTGGCAACGATGGGCAGACTCCAGTGGTACTTGGGGTCCGCGGTCCACCCGAACCTGGTCAGCATTGTCAGTATCTGCATGATTTCAAGGACGTGTTTTCACATCATACCAGAACAGCCCACCGCTGAACAGAATGCCGCCTACCAGCATGGGTGGCAGTCGAGCTTCAGGCGCAGCTCTACCTTTGTTCTTTGCGACCTCTCTTGCGTAATATGACTGATTGGCTAGATTGATGCCCACAGCGAAGAGAACGCCAACGAAGAGACCTGGGTGCGCGTCAGTGGTAGTAAGTCAGTCGGAAATAGGCGTTGAACAAACCGAGAAATGGCGTAGTCGCGACAATCAAACCCCATCCGCGATCTTCTCGAAAGACGATCGGAAAGACTTGCAAAGTCGTGTAGAGGATAGCATACACGTACGAGGCGTAACACGCAATGCACGCCACCATGGGCTCTGTAAGCAACATGCGTAGCGGACGTGCAAAGTATTTGGTCAGGATGTTGCTCAAAGTCATGCGTTCAGCTTCATGAGGATGCCAGTATCTGTCATCTCCTGTGTCTTTGCGTAGTTTCACAGCCTTTCGTTTGAGAATGACGGGAGCATAGAGCTCTGGCAGACAGATCAGAGTCAATACAACCATGGCAAATGCAAAGATCGCCTCGATGTATTGAGTCCATCGCCAGCCCAAGTTACGGTTGGCAGTCAATGCTGCGCCCACAGTAGGACCCAGGGTTGGGCCACCAACCACCATGATTGCGTAGAAAGTCATGGCAATTCCTCTGGCTTTTGGCTCGTACATGTCTCCTAATGCCGCCGATACGTTGGAAATGGGAGCCGAGCCACAAACGCCGCCAAAGAAACGCGTGACGAAGACACTTGCAGCGTTCTTGCTCGTAGCGGTGCCGATGCTGAATAGACCAAGTACTGCGATGGCAGGAAGTATTGACCACTTGCGCCCGTAAACTTCTGAGATTGGCGCCCACGCTGATGGTCCAACAGCAAAACCGAGCACATACAGTGCTACGACGAGTACTGTGACTTCCTCACTGACGCCAACATATTCCGAGATGATGGGTTGCGCGGGTGATATGATTGAGCTGCCAATGGAGCCAACGAGTGCGAGAAAGCCGAGTTGCACAGTGATCCAAGCCTTGTAGCCATTCGACCAGCCTCGCGGGTTCGCGGGATCATTGTCGTCGAACTTCACTTGGAAAGCTGGTTCACCAGGCTGGCTCCGATTTCTCCTCAGAGAGATGTGGGAGACAAGGCGTGCAAGAGGTGGCCAGGATTGTGATCGGGAGCGCGAGGCTGAGCGTTTGCGCTCGTGGCGGCTTTGAGATGGTGAGCGTATCGGTTCCTGTGCTGTTTCCTGCTTCTCCAGATCGGTTTCGGTTGCAGGGCTGGTTGACTCGTTGTCGTCTGAATTGCTCGCGCGGCCTTCTTCGTGCTTCTCTTCGTCTCTGCTCGCGCCAAAGTCCTTGCTGGATGATGCGCTGGGCTCCATCTTGGATTTGTGAAGAACGGGCGCGGAGGCTCGCACTTACCCTTTGACGCATACATGTTCGAGACCTCCTACCTTCACTACTGTGATAAAGTCTTTGCCGACGACGCCATCAAAGCACTCGGCATACGGCACGCGGCACTCTGGAATGGCGGAATCTGGGCCAGTAGTTAGTGCGCCTTCATTTCACTACCCGTGACGTCGTTGAGATGCATTAGCGGCCGTTTCTGCAGATGTGCTCAAGAAGTGCACGGATAGGACATGCCGACTACGCTGCGAAGTGCAAGCAGTTCGCAGGCCTTGAATGGACACTTCGTGCGTTGAGTATGGCCTTATGGCCGCTTGCTGCGGCGGTGAGCTCTGGTCAGCATGTTCGTCGACGCGTCGCCAAGTTCGGCTCCGCGTTGGTTGCAGTAGTCGCTTCAGCGGTTGCAGACAGAACGCGGCCAAAGTAGCTGCTTCGGAAGCGCGAAAGAAGTGGTCAAAGTCGTGATTCGCTTGCTGTGTCGTGACTGCGATGTCGGCGTATGTTCCTGTGGCTGCACGTGAAGTCGCGTTTTTCCAACCTCACTGATGAACAGGTCCAGAGAATTCGCGAGGGCGAACCGGCAGCCAATCCAATTGAGAAGACTATACTATGGCGAATACTCAAGTTCTGGAGATTGAACATCCAGCTATTATTTGTCACCGATGGTATGCGAAAGCCTGGCAAGGGGCGCTGGGGTGGAAGAGGTGGCGGCAAACTCGACGACGATTGCACCAAAATGCTTCACCAGATGTTTGATCGATTGAAAGTGCCATATCACCGAGCTCCTGGAGAAGCCGAGGCCGAATGTGCTCGCTTGCAACAATTGGGAATTGTAGACGCCGTCTGGTCTGACGACGGGGACTGTTTGATGTTTGGCTGCACGACAATGATCAAGGCTAATCGTACCAGTGCTGGTAAAAAAGAATGGCTAGAGCGCATCACCGTCTACCAGGCGGAGACTGTTCTGCCACGCTTCGATCTGGACCGAGACAGTCTGGTCTGCTTTGCTGTATTGACTGGAGGCGACTACGATACCGCAGGTTTGCCAAATTGCGGCTTCCAAACTGCTCGGAAGCTAGCACAGCGGCATGTTGGGCTGGCTTACGATTTGAAGATGTGCCAAACAGCACCAGACTTCGCACGGTGGCGAATGTTGCTCGCGTCAAGCCTTGCAGCAATGCACAAGGCTGTTTCGGTGCCTCCAAATTTCCCGAACGTGGAGGCTCTGAACGGGTATCGAAACCCAGCCATCTCCACTGACGATCAATGCTTCAACTTGCGCGGTCTTCGAGGAGGATGGGAGTGGCTGGAAACGCAAATCGACCAACCGAAGCTACGCATCGTATTGCGAGATCACTATAACTTTACCACAAAAGAGTACCTCAAGCACATGGGACCGGTGTTCCTGGCCCGAGCCCTGACTAGAGGAGTGACGCCGGCACGACGTGAGGAGAACCTCTCCTACGGCGTCCAGCTACGACGCACGCTGAAACGTAAAGGTCAGGACGGAGAGGAGGGAAGGGTCAAATCAGAGCTGAACATCAAGTTCAATGCTTGGATGCTTGTGGATATCAATCTCACATCTCAGGATTCTGTGAACGCCGACGGATCCGCCTACGACCCGATGAAGCGTATAGATGGCGTGATGCTGAAATGTTTCCTCGAACATGGCCTTCCGCAGGGTGCACTGGACAAACCGGAATCTCCAACGACGAAGAAGGGTAAGGCTAGAAGTGGCACGCAAGAGGAGGACGGTGCCAGCGCGACACCGAGTGCCAGCCAGAATGCACCACCGAGCTCTGCTCCGATTCCATCAACAAGTGCTCGAAAGAGAATGTCTCAAGATGCCCCGGAGGGTGAGGTTGTAGCGTCACAAAGCAAGACCGCTAAGAAGCGCAGGAAGACAGCCGAAAAGGAGGATGCTGCAGGTACGCCTAAGAAATCAAGGCAACGAAAGCCGAAGGTTGCTGCAGAAGAGCCTCCTCCTCCTACGTTCAAAAGAGTTGATATGCCAGACTTCGCCGCTTTGAAACGTTCATGCAATGTCGTCGACCTGGACGAGGAAGATACTGACGATGAGATCGAAATCCTGGCCCATCCATCGCAGTCGACATTGTCTCCAGCCGGGACACCGCAGAGCTGGCATCAGACCAGTCGCGTGCCACGTTGGCCTAGTCTCGACACTCCATTGCGAGCGAATACAGGAGCCAGTCCACACGAGACCAACTTCCGGATTCCGGCCGATCCGTTGCCATCATCTAGTGGCACAATTGATGAGACGAACCAAGATGAGGCATCTGCTGCTGCAATGTTGCGCCAACGAAGAGAGCGAGGACTGCTCAGTAAATTGTCTTCTCAGACAGCTGCTTCCACAAGAAGTGAACCTCCTGCGCCACCGCGGCCGCCTGCGCCATACGAGATCATCGACTTGACTTGAAACAAGGCAATCTAGGACGCGAGACCTATCCGTCTGATATGATATTACTCTCCTACAAGCTGGTCAGAGGAACGTTTGTCACAACGTCGTCGACCAAATGCTCAAAAATAGCAAGCCTCGATCGCGCGCATAAAGATCACATGCAGAGCCGCGCTGACGGGCCGGTCGATGACCACATGTTGAGCAGAGCCCCTGTGCCGCAACACAGTTCGGCGCGGGAAATGAGACTTGGCAATGCAAGGTACCCCTCGGGCAATACTTTTTACGAGCTGCGACTCATGCGAACCAATCAAGCCTCGCCACCATGCCACATCGAGTAATGTCACCTCGTTTCTTGTTGACAAGCGGCACGCCTGCAGGAATCAGCGCGTGTCAACGCCAGTGCTCACCTTTATTATGAGACGCCCGTTTCCCGTCGCGCGCGCAATGTCCTGAGCTTCTTCATCCGTACTCACTGCTGCCAGCCAAACGTCGTCGATCGTTCTTTTCACAGTCTCTCGCTACAACTACTTTTAAGTGCTCTACTATCGCACACGAATATTTCACGACCGCACTCTTCAAGTCCTCACACGTCAAACCGCCACAATGAAGACTTCCATGATCATCTTCTCCGGCCTCAGCGCCATGGCTTTCGCCCAACAGAGCCCCGAGGAGATCGCCGCATCTGTCTCTGCTCAGGTTGCTTCTATCGCATCCGGTGTCATCAGCGCTGCGAACGCGGCCACTCCAGACCCAAACTTCAGCCCAGAGGAGCTCGCATCTTACAACTCGGCCGCCTACGCCGCAGCAACATCCGCCATGTAAGACGACCCTTCTCTCTATTGCAATATACAAATTCAGCTAACAATGCGACATACAGCTTCGCCGTGTCTTCCTACGACGACGCACAGCGCTCCGCCGTGGTCGAGGCTCAAGCCTCCCTCTCCGCCCTTATCGACAGCGCCCAAAGCGTCGCTGCAACTGCCACCGGTGAAGCCGCCGCTGACGCCTCCAATGCTCTCTCGAGCATCGCCGGTGCAATCTCTTCGCAAGCTTCCGGTGCTTCTGCCGGCATCACTAGCGCCGCCGGCGCCGCTTCCAGCTCAGCATCGCGTGCCGCCAACTCTGCCACCCAGACCGACTCTTCTTCGTCTTCCGAGGCAGGTGCCCCAACCAACATGCCAATTGCTGCCGGAGCCGCGCTTGGTGCTATCGGAATGGTCGTTTTGGCTGCTTTGTAAGGGAATGGCGAATCTCTTTGACATAACGGAAGTGTGGAGGATTGAGAAGACACGAGATGTTGGAAAATTCGCGACTTGACAGGTCTACGAGGACAGCACTCTTGTCTTTCACAACATATCAGCTTGGATACCCCCGAAATCTAATACATATCGGAACGACGCGACAGTCCCTATCCTCAGGACCAGCGAGAGTCCAAAAGACGCCAGCACGGCAATTTGCTTTCCCTATCCTGTGGGCTTTCAGCATTGTATAATGAGAATGATTCATACGAAAAGCAACATACTAGTTTCACCCATTTTCGCTCCAAGCATCAGCTCCCGCTTTTGACGTTCGCTTATGCTTATATTCGCCATGTGACAGGTGCCGATGTCGTGTGCAAGCCACCCGGCACACAAAACACAAAAATGCAGGTAACATGTCACAGTCCACATGGCACAATCGGAGTGGAACTGTGGGACGGTACCACCTTTTTACAGCCACGCAGGAGAAGTTACACGAACCACACATCGGATTACACAAGCAGCAGCTGACAAGAAAGAAATGCATCGACAGACCGAGACAATACGATGTGTCGCTACAAAAACAAACGAAGACCCGATGAATACCTCAAGCTATATCTTACTCTCCCCCTTCCAACTCAAATTCTTCCTCAAAAACTCAATCTGCGCCTTAATATTCCTCTCAAAGAACTCTCCCTTATAAATATCAAAATGCCCCGCTCCTTCAATCCAAACCATTTGTTTCGGTTCTTTCGCTTTTCCATATGCCGTAAGTTGCGAATCCGTCGTGACGAGTGTATCATTACTTGGTATGACCATAAGAAATGGTGTTGGGGAAATTCGATGCATCATAGCTTCGGCATCGAGTTCCCACATATGAAGCAGAGTTTGTTCTGTTACCCAGTTTTCCCATTTTCCGCCCGTGGAGTAAATTTCGGTGTAGTTGTCGTAGGCGTCGAGGGAGTTGAAGAGGGCGGGGGCTGTGCCTGTTTTTGCGGATTCGCGGTCTGCTGCTACGACGGGGATGCGGGATTGGTTGGAGGGGGTGTTTTTTGCTCGATTGTTTAGGACTCCTGGGAGCAGGTCTTTGAAAGATTTGGGGAAATAGTGGCCGGCGATTCCTGAGCATTGGACGATTGCGGCTTTGATACGTTTATCGCTTGCTGCTGCGAGGATTGTGGTTGCGCCGGAGAAGGAGGAGCCCCAGTAGACGATTTGGTCGGAGTCGACGGATGGGAGGGTTGTGGCGTAGTTGAAGGCGTCGAAGTAATCGGAGTGTTGGTACGCGGGATTGGATTCATTCTTGGGGAGGCCGTCGCTGTCGCCCCAGCCGCGGTTGTCGTAGAGGAGGACGTTTAGACCTGCTTCTTGGAAACGCTGGGCGAAGTTGGGGAGACGGAAGTGACGGATTCCAGCGAGCTGTGGGATGTGTGGGTTAGTTGATGATCGGCTGGTTGCTTTGTAGTTGGGTGAGACTCACTCCATGCGACATTATGATACAGGGACGCTTTTCACTTGTGGGATAATGCCATCCACGAAGCGTAGTACCATCGAAGGCCTGGAATTCGACATCTCGTCTTGGAAGAGCCATTGTTTTGGTTGATGTTGAAGAGGTGATTGGAGCAGGACAATTAGCTGCACAATATATGGAGTACAGAACCGATGCGCAGGGAATCTGCGAGTGATGTATCTAATGTGATCAGAGAAGGAACGGTATATAATATCATTCTGCATCAGTATTCGCAAAAATTGGACGCTTGATGTTCTGCCGTTGTTGCTACATCCGCGATGGCCCACGCAAGTCAGCAATGACGTTCGGCCGTATGACCATTCGGGGTAATGATTGATTAGTGAGGGTCAAGAGTTTTCGGATCCGATCAGCGACGCACGTAGGATAGCTGGTGGAAGAGTTCCGATGTACCATAATACTCATGCACATTTGAGGGACATACACGAGCTGGACTGGGTTAAAGCACTGTGACCAGGCTGTTGGGTTCATGCGATTCTGTGTAGTAAGAACTCATGTAAAGGAGATGCGAATTTGTCAGACCTTCACAGAATGGGTCTGTGGCTTAGCTGCATGCCACTTTGCAAGACAATCGAGACTAATGGACGATGCTATATCGTCGTTGCTACCAATATACAACTTTTGACGTTCGACGCAATCGACTCCGAGCGATCAGTTTGGTATGTATGGCTAAGATGATCACTCGAATGATCCTGAGAGAGTTCTTCAAAGCTCTCATAGTGCAGCACGCTGTTTACCGAGGGCTGCAAAGGTAGCACCAAAACCGAATTTCAACACACCAGGATTTGCCCTCTCTCCGTGAAGCTTCATCATCTCTTCATAGGCGTCTTCTGCGTTTCCGCCTCGTCCGACAACTTGATCGAGCACCTTCTCGAAATCCTTGATGTATTGGCGAGTCGCCGGAATAGTCCACGGCCCATGCATTTCTCCGGCTTGTTGATGACCAGCTACGACATATGATGGCTTCAACTTTTCCACAATATCGAGTGCGGCCAGCCATTCGGCGCGTTGCTCTGGTGAAGTTCCGATCGCGTGCATCTGGTGCACTTGCCCATATACGACGTCGCCCGCTACTACGAGCTTCAAATCTGGTATCCATAGCACTGTCGTGTCGTGTGTGTCCGAATGTCCGACTTCGATCACTTGACACTCCCATTTGTTACTAATGAGGAATTTGTTTTCGGTGAGAGGCTCAGGGAACACAAAAGGTTGTGGAAGCTCGTGGTCTAGAAACCATGCTGCCCATGTGTGAGCCCATGCAGGTCCATTCACATCATCTTTCGCGTGCTTGATTGTTCCCGCAGTAGCGAGGACCTTGGCATTTGGAAACTTCTTGAGCATGATGGGTATCCCAAACCAGTGATCCGGGTGGCCGTGAGTGATGTAGATCGTTTCAAGATTGCGGCCAGGAGCTGTTTCCAAGATCCATGCGAGCAAGTTTTCGTTTTGTTCGACGGTGATGGGGGTGTCTACCAGTACGGCATTCTTATCGTCGTAGATCAGCGTGCAGGAAGTTGGTGACCACTTCTCGACGAAGCAACCGGGCTGGCAGGTAGTTGGCGGTGCAACATGGACAGCCGCACGCAGTTGAGACATTTTGAATGGATGGATTTATCGGTAGGAGATGTTGCAATGTATGATGACCTGAGAATCCAGTAAGCTTTCATCAATTACCTTTGGTTGCAGTTAAATACTGGATCTTGATTTGCAATGACGTGGCTCACACACAGAAGCTGGGTGTGTTGTCGAAGTTTCCGCTCTTGACGCGGTTCGTGACATGATCAGTAATCTTCTGGCCGATGTAGCTTGCATCACCTAAGATCTCTACGCCCGCAACAGAGATCCAGTTGAAGGTTGTAGCAAAGATCAGTAATCTCAGAGCGAGCACTAGACCAGCTTTCGGAGATCTTCCGAGCTAATGCAAGGGCTGATCAAGCACCGTGGAGAGATCGTAGGGTTGTCGTGCTGCTTACAACACTTTCGGGATTCGGAATAGCGGCGATGTCCCGTCGCGAGAACGACGATTCCAACTGCAGGGCTGGGTATCCTTTGCCATATCTGAGCACAACGAATACGACGCCTTCACTCAGTATGTGTCAGCTTTGTTGCCACCTGAGGAAAGCAGAATGGGAAAGTGCGATTCACAGCTTCATTCCCCACCATTTCCTTGCCCGCTGTTCCATTTAAACGCACAGGTATGATCTCAATACCGTGCTTAGTCTGTTAATGGGAACCTTTCCAATGCTCTGGCGCAAAGAATCGACATTGGGACGAGAGATCTGCCAGTTCGGAAGTGGCCCAGTTTCCGCGTTGTTCTCCACACCTGGCGTAGTTGAGCAGCTGCATGAGCAGTGTCCAAAGAGCCCACCGAGGTGACAAGGGACCCCTCTATGGCATTCAGCTTGAAAGATCTTCCATAGCTCTCCAGCCGATGAAGAAGGACTTGTCAACGTGGATCTGGTTAACTTCCGTGCCGGCGGGTTTGGATTAGTGATGCGCCATATATGCATAGATGACCGCTTCACAATTGAGTATCAGGAGATTTGTACAAAGCTAGAATGCGTGTGAGATGTCAACATGAGTCTTTGCGGGCTCATGCGAGAGGTGAAGTTAACCGTAGGCCCCGTCTAGCGCGAAGCTGAATGACTAAGCACGGTTCCTCAGTGGTGAACACTCCACGCTCTGGATACTCACAGTTTTAAGCTGGTCCTTTCAACAGCAGAAGTACTGTTGCAAGAGGCATGTGGTTTGCGGATACTTGATACTCGTACATAGCCACTAGGCCGAACATCGCATTCATCATCACCATCATCTGTCTCTTGCAGCGCCATTGCACACCCAACTCCTCGCTAACAGCACAACACACTCTTCTGGGAAACGAAATTAAAATGCCTACTTCTTCGCATCCTTCTTCACCTCCTTCTTGACCCCAGCACCGACATCTTTCTTCGCGGTGTCCTCCTTCAAACTCACGATCCGGTTGAGCACAACATGCTCCGGTGTCGAATCCTGATCCTCGGCAAAGAACGCGGTCCTCAGGCCTTGAAATCTCACAGAAGATTTATCTGCATTTCCGCTCGTCTCGCCATCCGTCTTGGGCCAAGGGGCTCTTTGCTGGATTTCTCTAAACCCAACTTCGACCAGAGCATTCTTGTAAATCACCTCTGATTCAGGGTTGACGTCGTCGTAGTACCCGCCGTTCTTCCAGT